TTAAATATAGTAATATAGTTTAATAGAGCACTACGAATCTCTTTACTATATAGCTACTATACTTTCTATAGTTCTCTTTCGTAGTTAACTTCGTTCATAAATAATTGAGTTCCTCTTAGTTATACGCTTTACGTATAGCTCGTATACTATACTCTTAGTTTCGTCTTAGCTACTCCATCCCACTACTATATTACTAAGTAAACCTTATAGGGTTTGCTAGTAACACCTCACGTGTGAAGCGACTTATAATAAGAGATAGGGTAAAGAGTAACTCTTTTCTATTCCTACCGCCGCCCTACTTTACTTTTAAGATTCTAGAAGGTTCTAGAGGGTATATTAGTAGGATATTAAGGTCTAAATCTAGTAAAAAGTAAATTAAGAGGAGGAAAGGGGACCCTAACGCTACCCTCCAGCTACTGTACGACGTTCCCGTGTCCTCTCGGATAGGTCCTCTTAGATACGTTTTTGTATAACTATCCATATAGTATATTGTAATTCTAATTTACTGAAGCCTACCTATTTACCTATCTACTATACATGTGCATAAATTACTACCGTTATCGAGCTGTAATTACATCGTCCTGAAGGAAGTTCCAGTCTAACCAATTTAGTGTTTCATACTGGTCGTTCATCGAGGGAGTAAAGTCAAACGTATCTGCGAGAGCGTTCCCTGCCTGTGTCTGCAGGAACGGTGGGTAGAGCGTGGCGCTTTGGTTGCAGCCCTCTGGCCCAGAGACCTCGTGCAGATCCTCTCCGGCGCCCATCTGTTGGTGCGTCGTCGCCTCCGTTGACTGGGACGGGCTGGGGTTTTCGCAGACGACGCCGTGGTTCTTGGCCTTGTCAACGACGGATGAGGCGATTTTGGCAAACTCTCCACTCTGCGTCAGGAGGATGGTGCCCGAGGAAACGTACTCGATTCGCCCAAACAGGCCCATCACGCACTGAATCAGGGCGATGTCGGCTGTCGCCGCGGGTGATAGCGGGTTCGTGACGACGTGCGAGAATAGGGTTATGATGGCGGTGAGCGGATAGTAGATGACCAACCAGTTGGGTGTGTAGCTTTCGATATCAATCTGTTGGGTCATCAGACACATCGATCGGGCGGACTCGAGCGAGTCGGTGGCCAGTTGATCCAGAGGATTGTGCGACGTTTGCTGCGAGCCCCTCCCTATGCTTGTTTTGCTGGAGCTGTGCAGCGCGTCCTGAAGGCGGCAGGCCTTCGAGAGCGACAGGACACAGTCGTGGTAAAAGTATTCAAGCATGATTTTCTGGTAGAAGAGAACCGTCGTTGAAGTCAGCTTGGTCTCGCGCAAGGACGTCCAGCTGCTGAACACGTCTTGTCCCGCGCGGGCAGTGGTGGTGCGCCACTGCTTGAGCTCGTCGTACAGCTCAGCCACAGTTCGAGATCTAGACTCAGCAGTCTGCATGAGCGAGGTAGTCGAATACAAGTTCTTGATGATGCGGGAGCAGATTCGCGAATATCGGGTCACGCTGAGGAAGAAGTCGAATCGATCTTCGGAGGCTTCTTCACCCTCACCTTCGGGTCCAAAGTGGCGGAAAAGGTGACGGGGAAAGGGGCATGCGATATCACTGTCATCGAGCAATGACGGCCGACCGGTCCGGAAAGCGATCGTCTTGTCAAGACAGTATAAACTCCAGAAGAGCCGGTTACGGTCCTCGACTTCAACGTCGGACAGATTTAAGGATTTGGGCGAGTATTTGTGCAACCCGAGTCCGGTAGCCAAGCGCACGGCGATTGCGCAGTATATGTATTCAGGCTGAGGGCCACCGACGCCCTGCGCGAAGACAGTCATCAGGGCAAAAGTCTGCACAGCCTGCAGAGAGGTCTTCTGATACATCAGGTCCGACTGTACCGAGACCGTGTTGTCGAAGTAGCTCCACGCTTCCTTCTCCGAGTCTTGGAAAGATTTGGGCGTGCCCAAGGAGAGGCACGCTCGACAGCCAAGGGCGAGAATCACATTGTACAAGGCGTACCACGTGTTGTCGCAGCTGGACGGGTCGTTCCAAAACTTCTCACAGCCTTCTCGAAAGCGCGATTCCCGGATGATCGGCCATAACCACTGCCTAGCAAAGTACACCTCGAAGTACTTTTTGGCGACGCTGATAGAGGGAAGATTAGATTGCAGACGACTAGGTCTGGTCCAAGGTCCGTCGTAGGAACCTCGTGTCGGCAATTTGAGTTTCGATAAAGTATTATTCACCATCTCTCGCAGCTTGTCAGGACGGACACTATCGTCTGCGTTCTGCGGGATCCATTGCAGATCGGTATCGGATAGGAGAGACATGCCGCAAGACGGTCCCGCATACTCCTGTCCATGCTCTCCGATCATAAGGCCAAAGCTCTCGTCGTGGAAATTGCTTGCAGTGCTCGAAGACCACAGAATTTTGTCCACCATGTCCATCTTGCCAACACCCAGATGCGAAGGGTTCTGGCGCTCAGCCGTGTCACTACCGGACGCGACATTTGGGACTCCGCGACCAGGAGTCGAGGGTTGGATGATCTCAGATGGGCCATCGATTGTTTCCGAAGGCACGATACTGAAATGCTCGTCCGCAACGGGCTGAGAGGGACCTCTCGGTGAGGAGGAATATCTAGGGTGGTTGGACACGTCGAAAGAAGTCCATCTGCTGCTTTCTCGTTCGTGGAGACTCTGGATCAAGCCCTCCATACGTAGAAGTCGTGCGTCGATATCTGGTTTACTCGCCTCAGTTCCTCAGACGTTCCTCGGCCACTACCAGCCTATGCCATGCTAACCGGAGACTCCTGGCAAAGGAAAGAAAAGTAGCAAAGTAGGCAACAAGAAGCTCACCATCTCTATCATTAGATCTTGTTTTCCGTTTGGCTCTTTGCCTATAAGTGCATTGTAGACGATGTTCCTGCGGCGGAGTCAGTCGTTAAATACTTAGTAACTATCTTGCATCGAGGAAGCTTTCTCACCATGCAGTATCTACATGTTGGCTTCGAGGAATCACCTGGAACCAAAGGTAGTAACAGTCAGTCATTCCAGTTGTGTTTTCGAGTAAAAAGGAGGTGCCCGAACATTTGACCTTCTTTACCTGGCACACTTCACAGGCCATCCCGAGCGTTTCGCGTCGACAAACTACTAGTAAACAGTTCAGATCTTCAAACCATGAAAACAACGGCAAACTGATAAGTGTTGAGCGCAGTTAGCTCGGAGGCCGCAGGGCGGGCCTGGGGAGCAATGAGAGGTCCTTCAATTGTTGGCAACAAGCATCCCTGGACGCGGGGTCCCCATGCCATCCAAAAGGGTGAGTGACCTCGGCCCAGTGACTCCGCTCTCGGAAGAGAAGATGGTGGGACCGTGCATGGACCCGGTGAATCCCTTTTAGTCTACTGGGGCCTATGGAGGTGCAAGAGGTCACCCACGGCTAGAGTCGGATCTTGTGAGAGCTTTGCCAACGAAACTTCGCCCAGGAATACTCGTACAATCCCGCGCTGTTATTGACTATTTTATTCACTATGTGGCAAAAGATTGTTCGAAGAACGCTTCAGTGTAATCTCCATTCTCGTCAAGCATCTTAGATGCATCTGCCCATTCCCTCCTGATGATTGCACCCCGGCCCTTACTACGCACCTTGAACACAGCGCTGCAAAAGTCAGCAGGAGTCGCGTCTGAAATCGGTCTTTAGGGTCACCAAGAGCATGAGAATGGAATTCCCAGTGCGAGGTAGGAGCACAAAAGGTGAGACTCACTCGTATTTAATTGGCATGACCAGGAACCCTGGTGTCAACGCATCAGGATCCAAGGGGGGCATGTTCCCGTTCTCGTCTCGGGGGCGTGACATCTCAAACGCCCAGAGAAATCGGGACATGGCAGTGAACATACTTCGTTCGGCAACGTGGATGCCTGGACACATGCGTCGGCCGGCTCCAAATGTTGTGAACGGTCTGTCAGACAGATCTGAGCCCTTTGGTTCCCCAACTGTGGGATATTTTCCAGGCAGATGCCGGATAGGATCAAATTGTCTAGGGTTGGTACGATCGTTATTGATGGTCCATGCCTGTCAGGTTGATAGAAGTCAGCGATAAGCTCCGACAGACACGCTACGCATTCGGACACGAACATTGTTCACGATGGCAGCTCCAGCGGGGATCCGATATCCCATGTAGAAATCTTCGTGTGTCGTTGCGTGAGGTACTCCACCTCCTATAGTTGTTGGCATCCCTAGAGTCGGTGAGCTTCCTATTGCCAAAGAAGGCGGTAACATGATCAAACGTACATCTTACTGATTCTCTCACTACAGCCATAGTGTATGGCATGTTTGGCGAATCGTCCCAGCAGGGCAGTCGATGACTCCCAACAACTCGGTCAATTTCTTCTTGAGCCGCCCTCTGGACTTCTGGAAATAATATCATGGCCTGAATAGCATTTTAGTTGCTCCATCATCCGGGTCTGAATATATCAATTACCTTGATAAAACCCATCAGGGTGCTGTATGTAGTGTCTCTGATGTCGAAGTCAGTTTTGAATATATCACTCGTGATCTCTATGAAGATAGAGCTTACGCAGCTGCAGTCCAAGCATGTCCAGCCGCAAAAGCTATTTCTTCTTCACTCAGAGCATCCGCCTTGTCAATCTTCTCAGATTCTGCTCCCAGGGTCAGGAGCATGTCGCGGCTAAAACCTAGAAGTATTCTCTTGTCAGAGATTTTTAAACTCCAAAAAGTCTGGGATAAACTGACTAGGATGCATCTTTCCTTCATCAATAAGGGCAATCGCTTGCTTGATGAGCCTCGTCCACAGTCCCCGTTCCATGTCTCTAAGCTCACTTGCTTCCTTCAGGAAACCACTCACCCAGGACGGCAGTCGCAGAAAAAGTGGCTTCAGTATAGGGTACCAGTCTGCGAGCTGACTTCTTTCCTGAAGGATAGAAAAGCGATCAAGCCACTAACAAGAATTTGAGTTGTCAACAACGATGTTCTCAAATTATATATACAAAGTAGATACCATATGTAAGTGCTTACTTCGAAGAGCGTCTTCACCGTTGGAGTATTCAAGAGGGGGGTTCTATGGCCATATGTCACCGTGGAACCGATGCTAGTGGTGTACCTCTTAACGTGATCCCAGAATTGGTGCGGACCGTCCATCATTTCGTTTAGGAGTTGAAGGCTTTCGAATTCCTAGGTTAAATATCAGTCAAAACCACCAGCTTCCCATTCATGGCATAAAACCAAAAGAAAAAAACAAAGAAGAAAAAGGCCTACTTGATAGGGAATGTATCTGTTTGCAGCAGTGACATTCAGTCGTAAATGATACATTTTTCGGAATCTCCTCCACAGGTCGTCATTTCTTCACATATTTTAGCCTTGTGTGACCTCCATTCATTTCGAGAACTTCACAACTAGACTTACGGTCTGAAAAGTAGATTCCAGTTGTTGCCAAACTCTGCGACAAAGTTGCCGGGTTTGGACGAATAATTCGCACTTCTCTTCTCGAACAGGTCCCGAATCGTCTCTTCGGTATTCAAGACGACCATAGTCTGAGTTCCGAGTTTGAGAGAGAATATAGGTCCATCTGGAGACGGCGTGAACATGGGCGGCGAATCGGATGACAGAGTCCCGACTTACATTCCTTTGCCAATTTATCGAACACTTGGTAAGGTCGAGCGGTCATCTGATGTAGATTCCCGATAATTGGCAAGGTAGGTGGTCCTGTTTCAAAGTCAGACCAAGGTGTTTGGCACCATGGGTTGAATTCGATGACCTGGTGGAAAATCCTTAGGGCGCCTCCCAATCCCCATGAGCCTTGACCCAGCGAGCAGCACGACAACTAGTACCACTGCTGCTATCTGCCAGCCATCCGAGGGACCTGCCATTCTGGAGAGGGTTGGAATCAGTTACTCGACGGCTAAAGCGGGAATGAAGAGCTTGCAGGTTTTCACCGCTTGCTTGGAGAACAAGAATTACATGCTTCACAGGAAGGACGTTCATACTATTGAGGCACTATAAAAAGCTCTCGATGATGTCCAATTCGGCATCCCAATCAGAAAGCGGGTATTCGTCGACCATCCCCCGAATTGTTTCTTCAGCTTGAACAGATGAGCGAGCTCTGCCCAGGTGGCACCCCGAGCTACGTCGGCAGCAAGTCAACGCTACCCCGGGGGATTTACGCTTCTTAAGGCTTTCTCCACACTTCGGTACTGTAAACTAGTCTATCCCCGTTCGTCGTTCGATGGCGCACGAGGTGCCAGGCACCCACCAGGCATTCTCGTAGATTTCGTAGGCTAGGTCCCACTCTTAGCTCTAACACATGAATTTTTACACTGCTTTTACCCTGGTCATACCCCAGTCTGGGGCTTTTATACTAGCGAAATTTACTCAAATCCCTGAGGCCTCGTAGTCGTACGAGTAGGTTGGAAAATTCCAGCTCTTAACCGAGCCCCCGCTGGGGCCTTCAATTGTTCTGATTGGGAAGTATTGAGGGAGCGAAGAAAAACGATTACGCCACGTTCAATGGTACTGGTGGACATTCGGGATCCCGAAATCCCGGGTCTTTTTTTTACCTTTGACCCGGGAATTGCAAATAGCCTGGAACAAAGACGCCAAAGCCACCGATGTTATTTCCTAACATCATTACTCATTCCATTGCTCAGCCCGTTGCTCAGTCCGTTGCCGTTGCCGATGGGCGCAAAATTCCGAGGGTTTCGCTCGGCCACAGCCTCCCAAGCTTCGGGAAAGCCAGCCCATCTCAGCCATCTTACAACCACTCGCTGGACAAAGGGATCAAGCTCCGCAGCATACTCGTAGCCGGTCGTGCCAGCATTTGGCATCTTGAAGTCTGGGCGGTCCATTGCTTCAACCGAGTCCATAACCATATGCGCAATTTTCAGGAAGTCGCCAGTTTTCAGTTTGATCCCTGGGGCTTCCTCAAACCCGGCGGTGGTAATTTCACCATTCTTGATGGCACGTATGAGTTTTGAAGTGTGGCCGTCGTCTTCATATGCTGCTGCTCGGGCGAATATCGACTCCCACCCACCTGGCTTTTCGGGCCTATAGTCATTGAGGTCTTGAGGGCGAAGTTTGGGTCCTTTAGCAGAGGCATACATGAGCAAGTGCAAACGGCCCATACACTCGACAATCCTAGCTTTGGCTTGCGTCGAAATCCACGGCATTTGGTTAAATACCGAGAAAAAGTACGATGTGTTGGCGCAGTGCATAAAGAAGAAATCGAACTTGACAGCCTTGTCGGCCCGCTGCGCAAGGGCAGTCATGTATACTGCGACAAGAGAGGCGTTAAGTTAGGGATACGGGAGACAAAGAATGCATCGGCAGAGCCAAAGGGGGTACATACATCCAGCATTGATCATCTCAGCGGTCTTCTGCTCCAGCTCTTCTGGCGCCACTTGCCACCGGGCGGCAACTCTGATCATTTCATCCGCGGCTCGTTTATATAGGCCATCCGTCACTTTATTGGGAGGATCAGGCCATTCAACCGAGTTCGCCAGTTTGGTATTTGCCCTAATTTCATCTAGGATCTCGACCAGTGTGCCTCCGGCGGGTTTGGATAGGTTTTTGGCTTCTGCCTCAGCGCCCCAGAGAAAAGGCCCGGGCCAGTCCTCGTGTATTGCTGCTTGTGCCAATGCCTCGGCGACGATCATAGGCTGGTTAAACTCGAGACCGTAGCCGAGATGTATGATAGGATGTAAAAACCCTTGATATGCGTGAATACAGGACCTTAGGAGAATGACGCCAGGGAAATTTTACCTGAAAACATCCTAGCCAGCATGTCATCCGCTCTTGCGTCTCCTCGAAAGACATATTCGTTCACAACCGCTTCGACTCCGCGCTTCGAGATCTCTTTCTTGAAGAATACCACATAATCTCGATAGTGTTCGCAGTTACCGAGATATTTTGCGAACTCTTTTTGATCGCTTAATGTTTCAATGGTTGCTGGATCGGCCGGATATGGAGGGATCTGATACTCCGTATTGTTCCTATATGCCTTCTCGAGTTGCGATGCTGACGCCCCGAGGGAATAAATGCAAAGCAGATGGTGGACGATATGATCTAGAAGAGTTTATTGGTTAGACGAAGTCCACAGCTTCCCACACTTTTGACTGATATCTGCACACAAGCCCCCGTATTTCAGGTTGAGGCCAGCCGTTGTAAGACTGCCAACCAGGGTGAAGTTGTGTGAGGACAATCTGGCAAAGACTTGACTTACTGTGAAGACCCGCGTTGTCAAAATAAATGTGATGCTGCTCATGATTTTGCATCAGCAGGGTTTCCGTAGTCTCTGCACTCTTAAGTGAAAGTTCGTTTTGAGTGTGAACAAAGCCAGAGTGGCAAGGAGAAAGTCGTAATCGATAAGATGTTGCCATGTTGATGGTGTATATGGGGGTTTATTATCAAAGAGATGCGTTCCAATTTTTGACAAGACATAGGCGTTACACCTCGAACCGGTCGTCAGGGATTGCTCGCTTTTTAGACCGATGCAAAGCCTTGCGACTGGCAGTAGCCTTTTAGGAATATGCCTGAGCCAGTGTCTCTTTTGCGTCTAGACCTAAACATTGATGGATCAGCGAACTACTGAATTCCCGATAGCACCGGACGGGGGTCTTGTCCCCGTAATGCCGATGACCACGATCTGCCTCGGACGCCCTCCACTAATACCCCGTTCTATTCCGGGAATATTCACAGACCCGTGCTCTTTTGGGAAGGTATGGATTTGAACGCGGGTATATAGGAGCTTTGATTCATGGTGATCAGGCCACTCCTTTACTCCCTCGACTCGAGCCCGAGACCAGACCTGAGCGTCCAGAACGAATCAATATCAAACTCCATTTTAAGGATACACAAAAGGTTTGTCGTGTATAACTATACCTTTCAAAGAAGATGGCGTCCAGAAAGGTCAGCTTTGAAGGTACGATTATTCAAAAGCTTCCAGTTTCGAAAGCTGATGGACTTACGACCATGGGTAAAGAATGGCAGGCATTGTCAGAAATCACCTATGAATGGGCAGATAGCTACGATGCAAAAGTAAGAGTTACGAAAAGCATTCCCCCTTACAGTCTCTATGTGCTAAGTTAGCGTCCTAGCAATGGGACAGATTGGAGGCCATTGTCGCGCCTCACATGACTGTAAGTGAGACATCCTCATATGAAAGCCGCACAATGCTGAGGGCATGTTGTTTCAGCTCGACTACACAGAACAATTCGGCACCAAGTTCGACAAGATTCCCAGAGCCGATTTCATGAAGATGACAGTCAGACCCGATAACCTGGGGGGCTTGTTAGACTGTATTCATATAGTGGGAGGTTCAAAGTTCGAGAAACACTCGGATGACAAGGCAGACGGGCATCATCAAATCTATGTCGTTTACAAGCGCTGGACCAATATGGAGAAGAAAGAAGTAGAAATGGAGACCGAGGGTCTTCTCATCATGATCCATCACTATACCAAAATTGATGGAGTGTGGAAATTATGCGGAACAACACCACATACACGCCTTGGAAACCTCAGGGCTGGCGACATTTTCCGACCATAGTCGATTTACGCAAAAAACTCATCGAAAGGCCTAGGGAGTAGCTCCTTGGAAGGAAGCATGAAATGGAGACATAGCCGACACACAGGGGTCATGGTCAGCAATTTTGCAAGCCAACAGAATCTCAAAAAGAAACTGGTCTATAACAGAATGAATTTCACCACCGCCTGCAAGTCTAACTGTGGCTTCCATTTATGACACTTCCATTCGTTGCACCACCATATGGATAGCGTTCCTCCAATTTGTAGTATTCGTCAAATCCGACACCACGGCAAACGTCTTGGAAACTGAGAATCTCTGGTGGTTTCCCAACTGTCAGAGACGACTTTAGATTCTCGAGTGCTTCGCAGATGCTTTTCAACTTTGCTGCCACCAAAGTGAGAGGGTAGCACACCGCAGAGTACCCCAAGGAAGCCAGGTCTTTTGCTGAGATGTTCTCGGTCTTGCCACCTTCGATGATGTTGGCGAGGCAAGGAAAGTTGATGTCACGGCGAAGACGTTGCATGGTTTCCTGATCGGGCATCGCCTCAACAAACACACAATCCACACCAATCTCGATGAATTTCTTAATACGAGCTAGAGCCTCGTCATAGCCATGAATGAGACTGTCCGTGCGTGCCAGGATCCAAATATCGAGGCCTTCATCGCGTGCATCCACGGCCGCTTGAATTCGAGCAAAGGCTTCGTCACGTGCGACTACAGCCTTGCCCTTCGTGTGTCCACATCCTAGTGAAGCAAAAAAAGTAAGTGAGGGCAATCAACGCCAAAGACACTAAAATTACTTACGCTTAGGCCATTTCTGATCTTCGATCATAATTCCTGCAGCACCCGCAAGGGCAAATCTGTCCAAGATAAACGGTTATGATACTGCCCTAGCCCGTTCAAGATGGCCCGCGGACGGTATACTCACCCTTGAACCGTCCGCCTCACGTTCATCGGACTTCCGTAACCAGTGTCGGCGTCTGCAATGATTGGCACTTTAACCTGCCTGACTGTCTCCTGGATGCGTGAAGCCATCTCCTGGAATGCTATGTATCCCGTATCAGGCAGGCCAAGAGACGACGACACCGGAAACCCAGAAAGAAACACGGCTGGAAAGCCTGCATTTTCGACAAGCTTGGAGCTCAAGGCATCGTAGCTACATGGAAGTGCTAATATTTTGGAATCATCGGCATGAGCTTGTAACATCAGTCCTCGAAGCGTTGCTGCTTGAATTGATGGAATTGAACCGCGTCCATTGGGATACGACTCATACCGTCGATAGCCATTTGATTGGCAGTTTAGTTTGGTAGGGACAGGAAACAGAGATGAGAGTTTATTATTGTCCACAGAAGTCTCAGCCATTGTGCCAGTGGCCATAATTTCCTTCTTGGTGTGCACGGCTCGCGTTCAGCACGGGGTTGATAAGCTCAATTTATATCTCGTTGTTGCCCACTATGTAGCGGGAGCGAGACTTCATACATCGTGGTTCCGATATCGCCTTGTACGTGAACTTGAAGATTCTCTATCAACGGCATCACTCGTCCACTCTTTCCGGGCTTACCTTGTTCTTGATCGGTAAGCTACTGACGGGATTAACGAGGTTTGACCGGAATCCGTCCACATCATCGTCGCCTCGAACGACGATAAGTGAAATACGCTAGCGGGCTATAGCGGGCTATAGCGGACTCGTAATGCCGGTTGGAATAATCTGGTTCTTTACTCCGAATCCGGGGGCTCGGGATGACTTTTCCAGGTCAATGACCATCTTGACCAGGTTGGTTTTTAAGGTCTAGATCTTGCTGGCAACAAATTGTCGACGACGAGGTAGAAAGAATCTTTTCGCACAAACAGCCTGACTGTGCTTTCACCTAGCCCAAAATTAATCTCAACACCATGGCGGCTCCAGGTAAAGCATGTTGCTCGTGAGTCTACCATGACCCTGATATAATCAAATAGCGTAAATCTGATACTGACTGTGCTAGAATCCCTCCTATCATCTCTCAGGGGTATAAACCGAAAGGAGAATATGTGACTTTGAATGGATTGAAGACATGTAAGACAGATCCCTCCGGTCCATAGAGTTGAACCAAGTTGCACGCATTAATCAAAGTTCTTCTCCTCCCAGATGTTGCTGGTCCAATGGATGCAAAACACGCCGTCTTGGTCATATACGGTAAGGCTTGGACCGTCGAGTCTCCTGAAATGGAAGTTTGCTAAGCAGCACCGCCACTAGATGTCTTCGGATTCTTCGACCAGACTATCCAAGGAGCTGATATCATTGGGAGCTCTGATGAGAAGCGAAAATATCGCGTCTTCATGCCAGATTTCTTCGAAGGCAATCCGGCTGATATTTCATGGTACCCTCCACTGACAGAGGAGCACCAGCGAAAACTCGGAAACTTCTTCCAAACCCAAGCCGTTCCACAGAAGACCCTGGAGAAAATTCCGGGAATAGTCTCAAAGGCGAATGAGACAGCAGCCTTCGGAAATTTTGAATCCTGGGCGATTCTGGGCCATTGTTGGGGAGGCAAGATCGCAGCTCTGGCCGTATCTGGCGACAGCAAACAGTTCAAGACAGCTGTACAGTGTCATCCGGCCATGTTGGATCCGAGCGATGCAAAGAATGTGACGGTTCCTATGGCACTTCTGGCTTCAAAAGACGAACCTGCCGAAGATGTCAAAGCATTCGAGGCCAATCTCACTGTACCCCACAAGGTCGAGACATTCCCCACTCAGATTCATGGATTCATGGCTGCACGATCAAATCTCGAAGATGACGAGGTGCGCAAGGAGTACGAGCGAGGCTATCTAATGGTGCTGGAGTTCTTGAACAAATACACCTAGATGGTCTGATGGAATAATATAACTCATCTAGACTTAATAGAGCTGGCTAGATTTGTGTTCCAACGCTTTCTGTCACCATTTTCGTACTCTCATTGTTTGAAATGATTGTAGTGATGTAGGGACGGTTGTTGTGGACACCTGTGGGGCAAGAAAATTTGAAGCCTTTCCTTTTTGGCAATTACATTAGCTGTATCAAGATATAGACCTAATATCTATACTCAATGCGAGGGTACTGCAAAGGGGGGACACCATTCACACTTTGCCGCCTCTCCAGGAAACTCGAACTTTGTTGGTGGTCGAACCCTGCCGTCGCCGCTTAGCTTTACAAATAGCTTCTCGCGTAGCGGTGTTGAAGGGGTGTAATATGGAATCTCGGGATCCCGGAATCCGGCATGTCAGCACACCCTGAAGGTCGGGATTTTACACCTTTCACCTCTGACCCTATCTCGTAGCCACCGGAAATCGCTTGGACCGGCAGCCAAGGAAAAAGCGTCGGGGAACAGGTTGGACCCAAGAGGTGACATGGTCCGACGCCGATTCTTGACTGTGTCGACCTCTCGCCAGCTGACTCTCTCTGGGGTTTCGTTTGCACATATTAAAGCCCTGGACACTTCAGGGCCCCCTCGAAAAGAAAAGGCCTACCCCCTTGTCCGGACTAACACGCAGCAAAGCTTTGAAAACCCGCCAACATGGTACGAGACAACCCAATCGAGTTCATCGTCATTGGCGCAGGTTATGCAGGCCTGACCTGTGCCATTGAATTGAGACGGAAAGGATGCGAGGTCCATGTAATCGAAAGAGAAGAGTCATTGTCTAAATTAGGTCGGTACTACCAACAGCCACATCTAGCAGGAACTGACAATATCCCAGGCGATGTGATCATGCTTACCGCGAACGCCACTGTTGTTCTGGAGAAATGGGGCCCGGTGATCGAGGATATTCTTGCCACATCCTCCAATCCTTCTCACATTACGATCAAGGATGACAAAGGTGTTACTCTTCTGGAACAGCCATGGAGGCAAGATCATAACGGCCATCAGAACGTATGGACCAACCGTGGTCGCACGCAGAAGATGATGTACGAAGAAGCAATCCGACGCGGAGTCAAGTTCACGTTTGGCGCAAAGATCACGAAGCACTGGGAGGACGGAAACAGAGCCGGGGTCTATGTCAACGACGAACTAATTACGGCAGATGCCGTTATCGGCGCAGACGGCGTCTACAGCAGGACCAGAGAGTATGTCACAGGAGATCCCGACAAGCCAAAGCGTTCCGGGTTTGCCGTTTACCGCTCCTGGTTCTCGCTAGATAACCTTCTCAATGACCCTTTGACCCATGAGCTCGCGAGCTCGGGCAAAGATCGAACAATGGTTTGGATAGGTCCAGACACCCACTGCATTTTGGTCATCAACTCTAAAGTGCGCTACATGTCAGCTTTCATCACCCACAAGGATACTTATACAGTGGAAGAGTCATGGAATTATCCCGGTACGACGAAGGATATGTTGGCAATAATTGAAGGCTGGGACCCTGTTCTGACTGCCGCGATTTCCAAAATCCCAGAGGAAGTCATTTGCGACTATAAATTACTCTGGAGAGATCCGGTAATGAAATGGGTGTCGGACCAGGGCAGAGTGGTGCTAGTTGGGGATGCTGCACATCCGCATCTTCCAACCTCAGGCTCAGGGGCAGCACAAGCCATCGAGGATGGGGCCACCCTGGCTGCTGTTGTTGAAAAGACGCGAAAAGTGGATTTACCGGCCGCATTGAAAGCCTTTGAAAGGCTTCGGTAAGCTTCAAGCCTTATACCATTCAAACACCTTTGGCGCAAACTAACTTTCCCACTCCAGCTTTGAGAGGACAAGCTTGACGCAACGCATGGGTTGGGAGCTGCGTCATCGATGGCATCAAACAGATTGGGAGCACGTCAAGACGAACCCTGATTTCCTTCGACTTCCGCAGCCGGATTGGCTCTATGGAGCAGACGCAGAGGCATACGGTGCCCAGAACTACGATGCAGTGATGGCGCAGCTACATGAAGGGAAGCCGTTTAAGAATACCAATCTACCCCCTGGGCATGTTCACCAAGACTGGAACATTGAGACGATGAGGGAACTGGATAAACAGGTTGGCCATGAACGCATGTATCTCGTTCGATAAAGTGCAGCTAGAAATAGAGGTCCCCCATACATATGCTACTAATAAAAGTAACATCACCGTTTCTCGGTTTATTACTTGGGTTTTGGGCAAGAAAGTCCCAGTTAGGGACGAGGCTCTACCTTGGTGTACGTCTTTATAGTCCCGCCTTGTTTCCATCCCACAGCCTATCGTCCGAACTCGAATCTGGGTTGAAAAGTAAGCTCTCCTGCCTCATGCCCATGTTCGACACTTTCGCTAGGCGATCTACGTAGCTTGAGAAGTCCGTTGTCGCTCGCTATAGAGCTGACATTACAGATTCCAGAATACCCAAGGAAAATATATGTATATAAATGGTAGGGAGACTTCGCCAATCGTCCGACCCCTGTTAGGACATCGATGAGTAAGTAGAAAGCATCGAGAGGCTGGCGTCGCTATTCTCAAACATTTACAAGAAATATTCAGGCTCTGATGTTTCACCATCTCATGGCCATCAATAGTCTACAGCATGGCGAGGAATATAATTTGTGAGTTATTGCTATTGATATTATCATGCCATTCTTGCAATTCCATGGATCCCTAGTTAAGGAGCTGGGCAGCAGAAGAAAAGCCCATGGAAGAATAGACCTATGGAATCCGAGCAGTCCACCACCATCGACTCGAAGGACGGCCCTAAGTCTAATGAGCACAGGGATTGCCGCAGGGGTTAAAGTGGGGTTAAAGTGAAGTCAAACGACATATTAGCTAAATATATAAAGGGAAGGAGAAATCGTTGTTTGGAATGAATAGTTTGCCAGATGTACTTTCGCCGCTAGGCTGTATCGGGCTAGCTAATGTGTAGTTTTCGGCGATCCGTGTTCGGGCTTTCGGGGGCTGAAAAATCCGATCGATGAATATCCTCCTTCGTCAGCGGCCGGGGTGCCGATTCACCTTTTCCCTCGTAGCATGCACGGTTCCCACGTGGGCTTCCACCGAAGCTACGGCTTGCGTACGCTGGGCGACCAAACAACCCCAGATGGGGACAAGGTTTGGACTATGGGGTTATGCGGACAAGAAATTCTGGTGGATGAACTATTCCCGGACTTCCACCTCCTGTCAAGTCCGGCCCACTTCTGCTGGGAAGCATAAAGCTTCGGCAGTAGCTTCTGAAGCCTACGTTTGTAAGACTCTGCTCACCTAGTGCAAGGAACCTCAGACAACATGGCCGAACGAGCATCGAACGAGGTGGCTGAGAAGTCAGTCCATGATCCCACCGCGGAGGTCCTAGAGGTCGAAAGGGCAGCGGAATCTGAGCAGGAAAAATTCCACTTATCTCAATTGAACAAGGTCGTGTGGCCTGTGTCGCTGGTGAGTTCAGCCTCGTCACTACAGGCATCTACCCGCTAACACAGGATGAAGGGCCTCCTGTTTGCGTGGACCGCTCAACAAGAAATTCCCACTGTTATCAACCCCATTCTTGGTCCCCTAAATGCCAGCCTCGGACCATCAGAGACATATACTTGGATTTCATCCGCCTACAACATGGCTATAGCCATTTCGTGGTGCTTTGTTGGTACGGAAAAATAGAAATCTTTCCCCTAGGGAACTGAAAAGCGCAAAAAGTGACGTGGGAGCAGGTCCGTTATCTGATGCTCTCGGTCGACGATGGTTCTTCCTCTGTGGAGGTGTTCTGGGCATTATAGGGGGAATTGTTGCCGGTACAGCAAAGAGTGTTAATACTGTCATTATCGGCATGACCTTCTTGGGTGTAGCCGCGGCAAGTCAACAGGTCTCTGCTGCTGCAGCAGCAGAAATCTTCCCAATGAAGTGGAGAGGTTATGTCCAAGGTATAGATCGCGCGCCCCTGTTGGATTACTCACTTTTGACCTTCAGTAGCGGCGATTGAGGCGCTGCCGTTTGCATTTAACACTTTTGGGTCTCTCATCGGATACTCCATGGTAAAAAGTGCCACGTGGCGCTGGGGGTTTTACATCAACATCATCATCGCCGCCATCTCGACACTGCTTTTGTTCTTTTTCTACCATCCGGTATGTTTCTACCGTCTCCCCTGCGCTTCTACGGGTGCTGATGAAAGATAGCCGGTGCCTCAGAAGGAGCTCTCCCGCTTTCAGATTCTCAAGACTATCGACTTCGTCGGCTGCGGTCTTTTCATGGTGAGCTGAATTCTGAATTTCGTCAGAATGACCATTGCTAATAACTATCCCCAGGCTGGGCTTGGAGCTTTTCTACTCGGCCTGACTTGGGCTGCTGGATCATACCCTTGGAAATCAGCACCGGTGCTGGTCCCAATGCTTCTGGGAGTCTTACTTCTAGTTGTATTTGGCCTCTGGGGCAAGTTGACCATTGCGATGCTCCGTTTTAAGCCTCGCACTTTACTGACTGTCTCGGATAGAAGCCTATGGCTCGTCAAATCCTCTTTTTCCAGGACGGATATTCAAAAGATCTACAGGGTGCGTTTACTCAATTTAAGAAACTCGGCCTAGCTGACGCGATCTATTATCACAGGATGATCAGCCTGACCATCGTTGTCTTCATCGGCTCCATCCCGCTCTATGCCATGCTGAGCGGCTGGGCACAGGAAGTGACAATCCTGTTTACACAAGACCCTCTTAAAATTGGTATTTACGGAATCCCTCAGGGAGTAGGGCTGGAGTTTGGCGCCGTCTTTGCTGGACTTCTGGTGAAGATCATCGGGCATACGCACCTCCAACTAACGGCATCAGCCTTCTTTACAACGCTGTTTGTCGCTCTCATGGCGGTCTTGACACCTAAGAGTATCAATCCCGCGTTTGCCTTCCTGCTGTTGGGCTGTATGGCCATGAACTATCTCCAGGTTACTGCAATGATCATGGCACAACTTGGAGTTGAGCATCGTGATCTGGCCAAAGCAACTGGTCTCCTGAGCATTGCCCGAAACGCTGGTGGCGCTATTGCAGGTAAGTTCTTGTTCCGCGGTCCTGCTGTCAATCCTGTCATAATAATTCTTTTTCGATAGTTGCCATGTTTTACTCGATCTTGCGGTCTCGTGTCAGCGCCAATCTGCCTCCAAGAGTGACAGATGCAGTTCTGGCCTTGGGTCTTCCAGAGTCCTCACTTCCCGGGGTATTACAAGGCGTGGCTTCTTTCAATCAGACTATGATCAACGAAGCTCCTGGAGCGACACCAGCCATTGCAGAAGCCGCCGTCTATGCCGGCAAATTGGCATATGCCGCTTCCTTCCGGTAAGGGCTGATCATTTCACATCCCGCAATTCATCGTGTGTCACTGACAACAAGTTATCCAGAGTGATCTACTATGTCGGTCTTGGCTTGGGTGTGGTCTCGATCGTCGCAGCCTACTTCACTAATGATGTGATATCTCGCATGACCGACACTCTTCAGGTCGACCTGAACGAGAAAGATCATGCACACCTCTTCAAACCTACTCAAGTCGAAGGGGTCGTTCGTGATGAGCCATAATCACCACCTGTTTCTACCGAGATCTGTGGTAGCTCTCCACTGCTGGCCAAGAACGATATGAAGGATCAAGTTGCATTCTTATGTATCGTAAAACGTTGCAGTGTCTATCTAGATATGCGAATATATCTTCTTTCCGTCTCTCGAGTGCGTTCTCCAAGCATGCTACTGTACTGAATGTGGTGACTCAATCGAACTTGTAGTTGTGAATTTTGTCCAAGTGATAAAATTCGCGTCCCCGTATCTCGCCACTGGTCCATTGCGAGACGCCAAACGACCCTACCCGATCATCCACATATACTATCCAGCGGCGTTAGTTATTGAGGTATCCAGCCTAAACGGCCTTTACTGTTTGTCCAGTTGTTTACGCCCTTGGCACACTTGCTGATCTTTTTTGGTGTGTGGGGGATTGGATTTTCGCTCGCCAGTGTACCGTCTGATTTTGGGAGATATGCTTGTGGCTGGTTCCAGTTGACTGGATGATGGGAAACCTCTACAAAGTGTCAGGCAAACGAGGCCGAAATGGAAGTTGGGGTTAATGGGGCTGGTGCCATTCTGGCCTCTCGGGGAACCAAGTGCAGCTTTATGTCCGGTTTTCCGTGGTTCGGGTTCCCAGACAATAATAACCCCGAATAGTATTCAAAGTAGACCATGGACTAAGTTTCTCCAGCTTTTTGTTTCTAGGATCGGTCGAATAGGTCAGGAAACCCCGGGCATAGTTCCCCATGTTGTCCCACAAGGCCGGAAGGGAGTTGAACTTTTTACTTTAGGGAGTGCTCGCGGGTGATGGATGATACCTGCTCTACGGTTACGAGCTTAAGGGGTTTTTTTTTTTCGAAAATCCGGAATAAGCATTGCTTGTGAACAACATCCAGGACGGGCCCGACGGAGATGAGAGGTCTTGAACAAAGAATAATTTTGTTATATTATTCTACCAAACTCTTTTCGTAGGCACGGGAGAAAGAAAAAACAAAATGACCGCTACCAGATGCACCAAGTTCAAACTGAACACAGGGGCTGAGATCCCTGCCCTAGGCTTTGGAACGTGTAGGTTTTGCTCATGCCCTACCAAACGCGTAACCAAATGTACGCAGGAAATCATAAACTGATTGGACGTTTGTCCAGGGCAGGACGAAGGGGCTCAGTATGAGGCATGCTTAAAGGCACTTCAGGTTGGCTACCGACACATCGATACAGCTAGAGTGTCCGTCCATCCAGGGTCAACCCACAAGTTATGATGCTCGGTTAATGTTAACTGATAGTCAGATATGGCACCGAAGCTGCGGTCGGCAGAGCCATTCGCGACAGTGGCATTCCACGGAAGGAGATATTCGTGACAACCAAACTTTGGAACACTGATCATCACCCAGACGATGTCGAAGTTTCGCTAGACGCCTCGTTGAAGGATCTGGGAGTTGATTATGTCGACCTCTATTTGCTTCATTGGCCCGTTGCCTTCCAGCGGGGTGGCCAATCGCCATTTCCGGTAGACGACAAGGGCAAGATCATTCACGAGAATATTGATTATGTGGATGTAGGTGTTCTTGAGAGCCTGCCGGAACCTGCGAAACTCGACGTTTGAATGCTGACCTAGTTTCGTGACCTCAGACATACAAGGCATTGGAGAAATTGTTTGTCACCGGGAAGACCAAAGCCATTGGAATATCCAATTTTTCCAGAGCAGAACTCGACCGCCTCCTTGAAAAGACTGACGTTGTTCCCGCCGTTCATCAGATGGAACTCCATCCGTGGCTTCAACAAACTTCGTTCCACGAATTCAACACCAGCAAAGGCATCAACGTAACTCAGTACTCGTCCTTGGGCAACCAAAACGAGATCTACAGTCTAGGAATGACCACCCCTACTCCAAGACTCATCGAGGATCCCACCCTTGTGGAGGTTGGTAAGAAATACGGCAAGACAGCTGCCCAGGTCGCACTGGCATGGGGTATCGCCCATGGGCGTAGCGTGCTAGTAAAGTCCAAGACACCATTACGTATTGAAGAAAATCTACAAGGCGACTTCGCGCTAGACGCCGAGGACGTGGCGAAGTTGGACAAGATTGACAAGAAGTTGCGATTTGGAGACCCATCGAACGTTTTTGGCTGCAACTTGTTTTCTGATCTGGACGGCAAGAACAAAAACTAAGTGCTTTCGTGGGACGAACGTCTTATAAACAGTGGTATGATGATATGTCGTTCTAGAAAGCAAAAAGGATTAAATCATTCCGACAGGACCTATGTACTGTGACCTTGCTTTCCCTAGTCAATCGCTGGGTGAGCTGGTCCTTCTACTTTAATCTTGAGCTATCATGGAAGATTGTTAGGAGAAATCAATGCTCCCGGCTGCTACTGTTTCTAGTAGGATAGGACTCGGCTACTGTATGTTTAAAGATGTTAATGTCGTGGATGAATGTAGTCATCACTCTACTCTAGTCTTAGATCTTATAGTTATAAACAGCTCACATAGCAGATGGACGCTGTCAACTGTGCTCCGACGGCTAAAGAGCCATATTGCCGACTCGGAACACCTTGCCGTGGGAACTTGGCACGATGTGAAAACGCCGTCCTACGCCCCACTGCTTTCACGGAGCAGAGCGCGGGATAATACGCACCACAGCCTTCGACAGGCTTCACACCCTCGCTATGCACGGCCAGCGCGGCTCTCACCCGTGTTGGTGGAGCACTGTCTTCGGATGGTCCTCCCCTGTTCCTCCCTACGATATACAAGCCTCGCAAATCTCGATCCGGAAACCGATTCCGTGTTCGGTTGTGGACGGAGAAACCTTCGCGAGAGGTCCGTGATGGGATACACTGCTCACTCCCACGGATTGTATATGAAGGTCAGGTTGTATCCTGGCACACACTGCCAGGCTAAGAACTCTTCGCGAAGCCCGTCGAGTGTGTCACCAAAAAGTAGCTGAACCACCTCGCCGCCATGCGCAACAAACGAGCCAGTGGCCCATCTCCAGACGCTGACAAGTTTCAGAACGAAGCAGTGATCTTGGAGGATGTACCGTCTGATGGCGCCCCGCGCAAAGACGTGGATGTTGCGGCCCAATTCCTGGCCACGTTGGACACCTCTGTCGCCCAAGAGCCCGTCTCGCCTCAAGAGGAACGACGGCTGCTTTGGAAGATTGATCTGACGATTTTACCGCTGATCCTAGTCACCGTTGTCCTTGCGGCCATTGACAAAGTGATCATCTCCAATGCGGCGATCTACGGCATGTCGGAAGATACCAATTTGGTGGGAAATCAGTTCTCCTGGGTCGGCTCGCTCTTCTACTTTGGCTACCTGGTGGCCGAGTACCCTGCAGCCGTCCTCATCCAGCGCCTCCCCCTCGCAAGGTTCTTCGCCATCACCATCATGGGGTGGGCGGTCATGATGTTGTGCACTGCTGCCACCAACAATTTCGGTTCCTTAGCCGCCGTCCGATTTCTCATGGGTATGATGGAGGCCTTTGTCTTCCCCGTGTCAAGCATCATGACGGTCATGTGGTGGCGAAAGAGGGAGCAGCCAATTCGCGTGGCTTTCTGGTTCAATTCGGTATGTCTCGCGTCCCCGTCCTCCCAGCCTCTACAACTGGTCGCGGGCTGACAAACCTCGGCAGCTTTCCACCGTCTTCTCCGGGATTGTGAGTTACGGCATCGGCCATACGAACACGGCTCTGCATCCCTGGCGCCTGTTGTTCCTCGTCTTGGGCGGGTTTTCCATCCTTTGGGCCATCGTCATCTTCATTTTTCTGCCCAGCTCACCCGTCGATTGTTGGTATCTCAGCGAGCGGGAGAAGTATGTGTGCCTCTACCGCGTGAGGGAGAACAACACCGGAGTGGAGGATAAGAAGGTGAAATGGTACCAGGTCCGTGAATGCTTGACGGATCCCAAGACCTGGCTACTGGCCATATTTGCCATTGCGCAGAACATCCCGAACTCGGGCATTGTTACTTTTGCGGCGATTATCGTGCGGGGGATGGGCTATTCGCCCATCAAGACGGTGGTCATCGGGATTCCCACAGGCATCATTGCCACAGTCTGGCAGATTCTTCTGTCAATCATTCAGTCCTATCTGCCCAACACCCGATGCGCTTTTATTGCCGGGGGAGATATGGTCACTCTGGCATCCGCCATCATGTTATGGAAGTTCGACCGTGACAACCGGAGTGGACTCCTAGCTGCTTACTACTTATTCTACACGTATTGGGCGCCGTACGTGCTGGCAACCTCCCTGCCCATGGCAAATACGTCCGGTCACTCCAAGAAACTCGCCATGAATGCTGTCTTCTTTATCTCCTATTGTGTGGGGTGCATCTTGGGACCACAGACCTTCCGCTCGAACGATGCGCCCACATATTCTCGTGGATTTGAAGGCCAGATGGCGTGCTTTGTCGTGGCAATTGCCGCCATCTCCGCGTATGGGTTCCTGTGCTATTTGGAAAACAAGAAGAGGGACCGTCAAGAGCCAGGTACGGCGGTCTTGGACTCAAATTTGACCCAAACCTCGTTTTCTGATCTCACAGACTTCGAGAAGAAGGAATTCCGGTATACCTATTGAGATCCTCGGACCGCAGATCTCTGGTTGCGTCGAAATGAACGGCATGGGGAAAATCCTTCCAGGCGGCCACAATGATATTTGTGGTTCAAGGCCACGTCTCTGGACGATGACAAGCCCTGTTTTACTGAGTCCTCATCCGGCTTTCAGACAAAATCGTTGTAGAAACCATATCTATGCCTCAAGGCTCTACATGATGGTCAAATGCTCCAGCAACCACTTTTTGGCCGCTGCAATTGATGCTTCCTTTGAGATCGTATAAAGCGAGAAATTATCCCCCTTGATGTCCACGAGGGACTTCGGCTCTTTGGCTGTTTGATAAGCTTCACGTTGCCCCGGGAGGAAGTCCTGGTCCGTGAAGATGAAGCGCAGGGGAATCGCCGCATTCAGTTCCACCAGAGGCGTCACGTCCACCAGGACCATCGACTGATAACTCTGAACAGTGAGTCGACATCTATAGTTGCGGAGCTCGGCTTGACTCGTCCCTTTGATATACGCGGCTCTCACGTCGTCGCTAGATTCTTTCACAAAAGTCATATAGCGAGGCTCCTTTCCCAGAGCGCGATTTTTCCGAGCTTCCGCCAGTTCCTGGTGGTATCAGTCGAGGTCGTGGCCATAGCCTCCTATCCGGGCTGCCATGATAGGAGTCCACTTGATGGGTGGCGTTTGTGACACTACAGCCTTGACTCGCGGGTCGAAAGCTGCGACGACGAGCATGTCTCTCCCTCCGAGAGACTTGTTCCGCAGGCACCGATCCGTTCAGCATCAATCTCATGGAGGGTGGTGGCATAGCTGATCGCATTCTACCAGTCTTCGACCCGGTCAAGATGAGCCAACTCCTCCCGTGGCTCACGTTCACTGTCACTAAAGTTTCGATACTCGAAATAGAGCTAGGGATCCCGACTTCCACTAGAGTATCGACTACTTCTGGTATTGTGAACTCGTTGAGCCCACCAAGCCCATAACCGGGGATGACTATGGGACTAACACTATGGAAAGCTTCTGTGTTACACCTCCTGTAGCTACCATCTATCAGTTGGCTAGCAACCTACATTCTTATATCCACCGGTGGCCTCTTTACGAGCCCTAAAAGGCGGGGCCGGGGCCGGGGCCGTGGGTCGTGGCCGGGGTCGGGGAAATTTAGCCGATTTGACTCATGACTCGCACATATTCGGAAATATTTTACTTCTCTTATGGAAAGGACTTCCGGCATGGTAGGCCAAGCCCGAGATCAAAGTTCGGAGCGATCGTTATTACCCTGTCGCTGGAGACACGTGTATTCATGAGACCATTACCAAACTAATGCCTATTGCAATCCTTGTGGACTGTAAGTCAAACTGGAGGATAGGTTCTGAGTACCTATTTTGACGGACCTCGGTCGCGCTAAGCTATTCATCCCTTTTCGCTAGCGAAGCCTGATAAATGTACTACGCCGTGGCGCTTGATAGGTATACTAACTAACCTGGCTACTCCTGGAGAAAATCACATTAGCCTATTGCTCTCGGGCTCGGTGCCATTTCTTCGGGTCGTTACTGTTCTCGGGCTTGGTACCTCGTACTGTTTCTTGGGCTCGGTGTCGGAGCCTACTTCTCCATTTTCAGGACTCAATCTCAATTAGTATATTAGAGCTCGCTCGGAAATACGCAAACCGTCATTTTATCCATAGCTTCATACCGTTCCCTGCTCTCCCTTGTCCTTGTGCGCACGATGGTGAGCAAAAACGTAACACTTTTCTCAAATAGCTTGTTCTCAGCAGGGAACTTTCGTCCATGGCACTTCGCAGTGGCGCTGCTGATTCCATTACTTGTATTGGCAATGCTGATCGGAAGGAGGCCTGCGAAGTATCCCCCAGGTCCACCTACCGTTCCACTCCTGGGAAATTTACTCCAGGTATCTAGCTCCTAACATAACTATTCGATGGATAATACTGAGCTATTTGGTGGATCCCAGATCCCTGATCGAGATGTGCACAAACAGTACCAGGCATGGGCAGAGAAATACGGGCCGGTGTTCAGCTTGATGCTAGGACCGCAGCCTATGGTTGTTCTTTCTGGTGATGTCGCCGTCAAAGAAGTCTTGGACAGACGCGCCGCAGTGACTAACGAAAGAGGCGATCACTATGTTGGTCACCAAATCTTAGGTGGTGGTGAACATATGCTTCTGATGGTGAGTGACGTACATTTCAGAAAGGCGCCGTCCGCATCAAGGGCTAATAGACTTGGTGTCAGCCTAATGGACCAAAGTGGCGTCTGCAGAGGAAGTTGATGCAGAAGATGCTGAATGTCTCCGTCGCTCGGAGTTATTTACCGTAAGTCTTCAAGTAGCATGTTTTGTCCTCTCCTCTAGACAATATGGTTATTCACAATAGATTTCAGATATACAATGCTTGAGAATAAGCAGATGGTGTTTGACTTGCTCATGAATCCGGATGATTTCATCTATGTCCTCAAACGGTGAGTGTATGGACGGTTAACTCAGTGGCCGAAGAAGCTTGCTTCGGTTTCAGATGGCTAATTTTGATTCAGGTACTCCCACTCGGTGTTCAAAACTATTATATATGGGTATGGATGACACCCTTTGGCCCGTACTACTTTCTCACATGCTGAGCCTAGCCGCCGGTGCCCTTCGCACGACGATTCTACAATGAGACAGTTTATATCAAAGTATGAAGTCTTGCTCTGCGCGATAGTCAGGGGGTGGGCTGACCATTATTCAAGTGTCGAAGAGATGACAACAATCATGCAATCAAGCACCTCGGCGTTGGCTGACCTCTTCCCGACGCTACGACGGCTGCCAAGTTGGATGCTGCCAACAATGGCCCGGGCAAGTACATGGCACCGTAATACGACCGATTTCTACCTTGGACTGTGGAACGAGACGAAATCAGAGCTTCAAGAAGGACGAGCTAAGCCCTGCTTTGCTGTGGACCTATTGCTCGAACAGGAGAAGGAAGGATTTTCTGACAAGTTTGGCGCGTTCCTCTGTGGGGCAGCCTTGGAAGCTGGGACTGATACTACTGCAAATGAGCTGATTGGCTTTGTGCAGGCCATGGTCCTTTTCCCAGAAGTGCAGAAGAAGGCCCAGGCCGAACTTGACAGGGTCATTGGCGATCGGATACCGACATTTGAAGATTACGACCATCTCCCGTACACTCACAGCTGTGTCAAGGAAACCCTTCGTTGGATGCCGACTGCAGTCATGGGAGCGGCACCACATACAGCGAAAGAAGATATTCAGTATCAGGGCTACACTATACCCAAAGGTGCCCTGCTGATAAATAATGTGTACACGATCCACAGAGATCCCAACCGCCACACAAACCCGGACAGCTTTGTCCCAGAACGCTATTTGAACGACAGCAAGAGCGCTGCAGAGTCAGCTCAGAGTGCAGACGTCAGCGAAAGAGACCACTTCACCTTCGGCGTTGGTCGACGCCTCTGTGCCGGTATACACGTCGCAGAGCAGTCTCTTTTCCTCGGTATAGCCAGGATTCTTTGGGCATTCAACATCACACCGAAGCACGACCCAATCACAAAGCAGCCCCTGCTTCCACAGTCAGACAGATATACGCCAGCTGTGGTCTGCATGCCGGAGCCTTTCCAAGCTACAGTTGAGCCGCGTTCTCAATGGCGAGCTGACAAAGTAGTATCAGAATGGACTGAAGCGGAAAACCTCCTGGACGAGAATTCGCAATGGAAAGTGGTTGGCGAAGGGCTGAGATTCACCAAAGTCTAGGTTTGAAAAGATCTCGGCTTAGAAGGCTTGCAGCCGATCGGCGATTGCAACTGTCGATCGAATGCTATAATGCAAGTGTTCCCAGGCTTAGCTTGGTTTTGATAAGTCGCAAGATAGGTGAGATTTGCAAAGCCCGCACGGACCCCCGAGTGGCCAGCCTGACTCGTGGACTTTCAGCGTGACTCTGATAAATTTAACTGGATTCAGGACAGGGTGAAGTAGGCCTGGCATCCAAGCTCGCTCTCTTTGATTTTGGCCCTTTCCTCCTGCTCGCAACTCTCCGCATTTTCTCCACTTGGCTATCCTCAATCCAGTTAGAAAGTCCCAATTCTGATTGGGACAATTCTTTCTGTTATTAGCTTTGACCATTACTGAAAATTCATTACTGTCACTAAATTGGAGAGAGACATCAAGCCCGGAGTAGACCATGAGGACATGACAGAGACTTTACGCTTAAATTTCTTACCATCTTTTTATTATGCTCTTCCACGCTATGGGTCAAAGGAGTGTTACGAAAGAAACGGGTTCTAAAGAATCTGGGAAATGACTCTTGTTGATTTAGTCCAAAGGCAAGCACAGGTCGAGAGTGATTTCGCAATACGGTGACTGGAGACAGACAAAGAGGATCGTGTCTTTGACGAGCACACTTACAAGCACAATTATCATATGAGTGGGTTCTCAGATTGTACCAGACCGACTACCAAATCAACATTCTAGCCTACGCAACTGGATTCTATGTTCAATGCCTACCGCGTTTTGGGATCGGTGGACGAGTGACCCAGGACGGGAAAGGAATCTAACATCTACTCTTCAATCGCTACCCCGAGATATCCTATACTTTGTCGTCAATGACCCTTGGGGAAATTAGGGCCAAGGCGGCGCGTTGCCTTCCCATGAAGTATAGGTCGAGAACATCCTGCAATGCACCAGGAAAGTGCAATAAAATGGCATCCAACAATGAGCCCTGAACGAGAAGTGACCGCACAGTTGAACTTGTGTATGGATGCTTGGTATAACAGGCATTCCTGACATTTGCCAATTCTGTCACATAGATAACATGCCGGGCGGGAGAGTATGCATTTGGCCGGGAAGCTTGTCCCGTCAACTCAAGTACATGTAGAAGCCAAGCCATGAGCATTGTGAACTCACATTCATGTACTCGCTCGCTCAGTGAAGATAAGCGGAAGGGACCCCTTCAGTAGAGAAAGGTTTGAACGTACTGCTCTCTGGAAAGCTTCCTCGTCATGTGAGCCATCCAAGGTAACATCGAACCTTTTGACCAGCTCGGCTACGAAGAACCGCATTTCCAGGAGCGCAAGTCCCTTTCCCACGCATCCGTACTGGCCAATACTGAAGGGAATGAATGCACGGGAGTCATGGTGAAAATTTGTAGGCCTCTTTTCGTCGATCCACCTCTCAGGCATGAATTCTGTAGGCTTGGAGAAATATCTTTCGTCTCGGTGTATAGACCAGCCATGGACGCTCAACTGGATGCCAGAACTACCGTTAATTCTCTTCAATATAGCGGCTTTTGGACCATGTTCTTACCTGTGTACCCTCTGGAAGATATTCGCCCAAAATGAAACAGCCACCCTTGGGCGTAGTCCTTTGCATACCGTTAGGACCAGGAGGGTATAGCCGGAGTGACTCGTTGATGACACCATTCAGATATTTTGCTTGTGCTATCGAGTCTTTCAGCGAATGTTGAACGTATCGTCATGCTCACAGGCTATGAACATACCCCATAATGCGCCCGTTTGAGTTGTTATGCCATCCCAGAGCTCATCAACCTCGTGTTGGAGCTGGCGTAACACATTGGGATTCTTGGCAAGGAAGTAGAATAAAAACCTAGCTGAGTGTTAATCGGGCCAGAGTGTCGATGGGCACTCACATGACCTACGTGAGACAGACAGACGTAGTATCAGAGCCTCCCACAATGACAGCACCGGCATCAGCTTCGAGCTCGGGGTCTGTTAGCTTCCTGATATTAGGTTAGCCATGTCATGGTAGTATAGATCGTTATACCCACTTTGCACCCTCGATACCACCTCCCAGCAGGTATGAAAAGACATCATCCCGGTCAGACCCTTCAGCGCGCCTCTTCTGGAACCTTTCTGCACTGATTTGAGCAAACGTTTTGCTGTCTCTTTTGGTTTGAGCGTCAACCGGTACCCAGGGCACTTTTTCGCTCCTGGTTAGATTCTCTGATACTAGCTTAATGATAGGCAGACTCACAGATCGGCTTGATCCACGGGACATGAGCAAATATCGAGAGTAATCGAAGGCCTTGGTGCATGAAGACCATATATGGGTGAGGTTTCGCTAAAATTCGAACGTCAGGTCTATTGAACTCTGGTCAAGGTAGAGAACGTTCACCCTCAATCAGCATATGAAAGTCTTCGCCAAAGCCGAGATCGCCCATAACATCGAAAGCGAAAAAGTCACACCAGTCGCTAAAATTGAGCACCGCTTTCCACCGCGTTGTTAGTATAGGCAAAACCATAGGGTACATGGATCAAAGAAATACCACCTGTTCGAGCTCGAAGTTGCTTTGACAAGCTGTTGACATGTTGCAGGATCCTAGGCTCATATCCGACCAGAGCCTTTGGGCTGAATCCCCTATCCCAAATTCTCCGCCGGAACTTGTGTTCTGCGAGGTCTCTCTCGCTGGCCATACTCTTGGCTTTGATATCCGGGATGCCGTCGTACCACGGACCTTTGGCTATTTTGGAGGAGAGCGCCCCATGAATCTCCGTGATAGATTCGACACTGCAGTAAGAAAGTTCGTTCGGGGCGACTCGTACCACATCGCCGTACTTGGTAACGTCAGCCCGTGAAGTAGCAGGGTAAAATAAAGGACCAGAGAGACGACTCGTACCTGCCTGTGCAGGCTTTCAAGCCAGAGGTGAGAATTGCCAGTGAGTGCTTCTCTCACCGCTACTGCTTTGGACAAGCGAGCCCAGAGTGGTCCTTGAAACCTCTTCAGAGGATTCAACAACAGTCGATAGAACGTTAAAGCAGCTCTAAGCAACGTCAGAAGACAACATCATTCTTGTCCAGGACACGGAACCAAACTCACAACGTGCTTGTCATGAGAGTAGTGTTGTAGACCAGAATTGCCTGAACAGCACCATAAGCCCCTCCATCTCTACCAAATCTGACAAGCGCGCCTGCTAGCACAATTTGGCAGAGTACCAGTAGTGCAAGGAATCCTCTGTAACACAGTCAAAAGAGCTCTTATGATGGACCAAGAGAACTTACGGCACAGATGGTTCACGATAGTGACATCGGAGGTACAACATGAGGCCGACCGCTCCTCCAAGGTAGATGTATGTAGACTGGACATCTGCAGGACCTTGATGAATCAGGAACTGGTTGCCCAAGCCTGCAAACCGAGCAAAATTGAAAATTTTAGAGTCCATACTCCGACTCATGCACGTCTGCGTGCTGTGGCCTTTAGTGCAGACACCTCTCCAGATATTAAAGGCGGACTCATTCACCAGTGATGCTCGCTTTTGACGCTCTGACCTGGGCCATCGCCATTAGTCAAAAATTATTATGGCATCAACGATGACGGCCACAGTTACGCTACGATTCTTTAGTCAAGATTACACCTGCATATTTTAGTCTCCCAAGACGAGACGCAACTGGCTTCAGCGCCAATCAGCGCTGATACACATCATTGATGCTGTATTAGGAATCTCATAAAGGATTAACGTTAATTGAATGATGAGGCCTGCGTTCTGAATCTAGTCGTCGGTCCTTTGCGACGATGAATCGGATTCAGTATCAAAGGAATTGATTACAGGTATCACTATTTGTGAAAGCAAATGAGTCACCTTTTCACAACACCTTGAACTACCGAACACGAGCCGCAGCAGTAATAGACCCCTCGGTCTTATGTTATTCTGCTATCCTACCGATGTCAGAAGATCACCTCTGGGAGAACACACTCAACGTGAAACCCTACCACAGTGGATGGTAACTTAAAAGTCACACATTTGGAATGGCGAATCGGTCAAGTCTGGGCTATACAACAGAGGCTAGCAGGAACGCTCATAGTTCGCAACAGCGAAGAACGTGTTGAGGCTTTACACTGGAGACTAATGAACGCACTGTCAATTGACATTGACACAAGAGCATGTAATTTTTGTCGAGCTCTGGAAACTGCTCACTTCAAGATTGTCTTGGTCTCTTTGTTGTATCCTCAGCGCCGAAGCTTTTCTATCGCACAGTCGAAAGCCCACGTTGCAATACTATTATATCTCTGCATCATCGGTGTCGTCATGGTTGGGGGGAGGGGCCAACTTGGTCTGTCTGGCCGGCGTAGAGGTGTGCCTCTTGCGATTAGGGTGGTTTGTGCGTCATGTAGTTCTGGGTATTTCTGGTAGAACGTGGGATCGAGACGAAGTAAAGAAGGATCACGTTGAAAGTCAAAAGAGCGATATGCTGCGAGTGCATACTCAGGCGACGTAAAGAGAGCTTCCAAGCTCGGCGCGGGCAGGCAGTATTCTTTGAACTTGTTGTTGATTGATTGCCAAGTTGGAGGGTCAGTGTACTCTTTTATGTTGATATCAGTCAGCGTCGAAGGGAAAGGGCTATCCTCTATCGGTGTGCTTTGCGAAGCTGCGACGGTAAGAAGATCCCATAGCCCGATATATCCCAACTTTGGAGTGAAGCCTCGCACTAGCTTCGACAGATCGACTTGGATAACGTAGGAGTCGCCAATGTCGCAGACTAAGCGGTCCAGGTGCTCGTCGGTATACGCAAGTAGAATCCGATCTCTCAGAGATGGAAACGGTATCCAGTCGATGATCGCAGCGTGTAAGCTCGACTGTTGAAGGAGACTCGGTCGGTAAGATAGGTCGAGATCGGCGTACGTCTCTGGGTTTGCGTTGATCCGCCACATGGTCAGCTTTCCCAGTCGGATATGAGCACCCGTATAGGTATAGAAGCTCATCATTGGCGGCCACATTGAGCATACGAATGCTGACAACATGAGGTCTACAGACGAGCGAAGGCTGTTGCACAGTCAGCCTAGATGTAAAGGAAGGGCTCAAGCCGCAGCCCATCTAGCATGTAACTCACCTATTCATGTCATCGTACAGCTGATGTTTCAATTCATTCCATTTTCGCTTGATACAGGATTCGAACGCGATAATGTGAGCAGAGTATGATGAGTTGGCTCCGGAGAGTATTGCTTCAGAGCTGTTGAGATGGAATTCGGTATTTGCGGATGATTGGTGTACCAAACAGACCTCCTTCCCCGAGTCGATTTGCTGAAAGCAGCCAAGCCCATTCCCGGAAGATGCGAGATCAATAAACAGGTCTGGGAACAGTGTGGAAGAAATATCCAGAAGAGTAGTCGGATCCTCATTGCGGCGGATGATCTCTACCGGTCCAAGGTCAGATATACGGTTGTTAGTTTGCGGCAACGTTATGTCTGTTGTGGGTGATATAAGTGAGCTATCGACCTGTTGGACATCACAACCGAAGTCCAGTCTATGAGAGTAGACAGGATCCCCGGTACATTTATCCGCTTCTCCATCTCCTGCCACATCCAGCTCCGACTTGTCGACGTCTGAGCCTAGCTTTGAGCAATCTGCTGTAGGTGATGGCTACCCCATCGAGCTGGTCAGCGGAAACAAAGCAGGAAAGAGTTGAGAAGTTGATTCAAGGTGCTGAGAATACCTTCTCGTAAAGTACGCCTGTGATGTCGGCGGATACACCCTCTAAAGACGCCTGGATGCTCCGAAGCTTCTTGCGACACTCCAGCAGCTGATCGCGCAGAACGCGATTTTCTTCCTCGAGCGCCACCATTCGGGATGTTTCTGGCTTTTCGGCGATCTGAAGCCGTTTTTCGAGTTCCATCACATAGATCGCTTGCCGTTCGCGGAAGGCTTTTTGGGATAGTCGATTCCGAAGTTTTCTGGCCAAACTCGATTAGCATGCCGCACGTCTGGGTCCATGGGTCTCAAACGGTTCGCCTCGAATAACACGTGGGCGAACAGCAAGACCAGCCATTGACGCGAAAGTCTGCAGGCAAACTGCCGCATAGGGAGGAAACCAACTTTGAATCCTGCGCGGCCCCATTGGTCGGTGCCTTTGTTCGTCTCCTTTTCAGGTAATTGATGGAGTCTCCCATCATCGATATTAGATTTCTGAAGAAGTCCGTTCGTTGGCGTACAACCGAATGGTCAATGTCGAATTCGAAGGCAATACACATGCAGGAGATTTCAGACTTGCTGAAGTACTCACAGGGAAACGAGGGGACTGGAGGAGTGGTCAACATCCGTAGTAGGAAACAACCCCACAAACTATCCTTGTTGTCCTATTACAGCCTCGGGTAGCCTATTGAGGTCATGAGAAAGGGACTTTGCCAAGATTAGTCAGGTACTTTACTGCGCACATTGGCACCACCCAGTGCCTGACTATTTTACGAGATAATTGCTTGTTTGTGATTGGCGGGCGAGGTCTCCAGGCCTGCTATTGTCATTGATGATGTTGCCGCGTAGGCTTATGTTATCAACGGCTGTTCTAGTGCAGAGAATCAAGGACGTGTATTATTTGTAAGCTCCACATTTACTTCCGGACGGACAAAATTCCAGTGGCTGATGTGAGCCACAGTGCAATCTGAGGGTCTGGATAAGGTGTTCTGGCACGGAATAATGTAGTTCCAGCTAATCAGAAGGCTCGGAATCGGAACAGGCATAGCGGGAGTCGACTTCTGGTTCGTGGTGCAGGTCAACTATAAAGACCTTGCCACTGTTCGATGTGTCCTTCACTCAATCAGGTCAGTCTCATAGCTCTCTTGTCGATCATGGTTTTCTCGCGTATACCTTCTGCAGTGGTCGACCCTGCGCCACTTGGGTCACCCATCACCTATAAATATTCGGGGCAAACAGCAAGTAACCGATTCCTCAAAGCGGCCATGAGCGAACAGATCTCTTCATGGGACCCGACGAATCTTTTGGCGCGTGGAATTCCATCCAGGGAGGTCATCAAAGTCTATCAAAGATGGGGAGAGGGCGGTTGGGGGCATATACTAACAGGGAACATCATGGTTGCTTACGACCAGCTGGAGTCACCCGGAAACCTCATTATTCCCCCAGACGCACCGCTGGAAGGGTCAAGGTTTGAAGCATGGAAAGAATTGGCATCCCAGGCCAAAAAACAGGGCAGTCTGATTTCTGGTCAAGTGAGTCATCCAGGCCGACAAACCGACATCCGACTTCAAGCGAATCCAATATCCGCAAGCGACATCCAACTGCAAACTACCATGGGCAGGTCATTTGCAAAACCAAGACCAGCGACGCAAGAAGACATTGACGCAGTTATTGGCGCCTTTGTACATGCAGCTCAATACCTTCATGCTGCAGGCTTTGATGGGATCCAGCTTCATGGAGCTCACGGCTATTTCTTGGCCCAGTTCCTCTCAAAGACCACCAACAAACGAACGGATCAGTATGGGGGTGAGCTAAGGAACAGAGCTCGCATCATTTTGCAAATCGCAGATGCTATCCGTAGAAAGTTACCCAAGTTCCTCCTGGGGATCAAAATCAACAGTGTTGAATTCCAGGACCAAGGATTCACTCCATCTGAGGCTGTCGAACTCTGTACCCTATTGGAAGAGGCCAAGTTTGATTGGGTCGAGTTGAGTGGTGGTACATATGAGAATTTCGGACCGCTCGAGGGCAAGCAAGCAAGCACACGGAGAAGAGAGGGATTTTTTCTGGAGTTTGCGGAGATGATCAAGCTTCACAATACGAAGCTTTACGTGACGGGAGGGCTTCGTACAGTACAAGGGATGGTTGCAGCTTTGAGCACAGTGGATGGTGTCGGATTAGGACGTCCCGCGGCTCAAGAATTCAGCCTAGCGAAAGAAATCCTGCAGGGACAGGTGACTGGAGCAATCGAGCAACAGATAGACCAGTACAACTTCGCTCTGACGACGATCACGGCGGGCACACAGATTGGACAGGTGGGAAAAGATCAGCAACCAATCAACATGGGGATCAAGGAGAATGTCAGCATCTTGATGAAGAGCTTTGGGACTTATATGCGGGAACTTGCTGAAGGTATGTCTGGAAATATAGTGTGTGAATCCTCTAACGCGGTACAGATGCGAATAAAATGAAACGGACAGGCTATGTCAATTTAGAGGGCTATACACCGGAGCCTTTCAGTCCAGTCAGAACATAGGACCAGATGTTGCTGTGCCAATCATCACGCTCCTGGAAAAGAAAATGTCCCCGTCTTGAGGGAGTCGAACACAGAGAACGAAGACCAAGTTGACGCGTCCACCCGAGCCCTCAACTCAATTCAGGCCTAGCTCTTCGAGAAGCGGGAGGAAGAAGATGGAGTAGGTGAGAAATCCACGGACATGGTGTACAGACCAAACTCCCCGGAGTTTTCCAGAACCATTACTCTGACCCAAGACCGTGGACTTCTCGGCTCACAAGTGGATTAACATTGGTACACCCCACGGGGTAGTCGGAATGGCTATACCACAAACGGTGTGGTTATATTTGAGTCTAGTGATATGCATGTATGTAGATAGATGCCTGAGTACAAGTACCTCCGAGTCCTTTCTGCGTCCATAAATATGCCCTTCATCCTAATCTTCTTCCTCATCAAGACCCAACTCTTGCGCTGCAAGGATATCCCTCACAATGGTTCACAAGACCACCAATCATGATGGACTCACATCAGCAGAGCCTCCTGTCCGCCATTACAACCAATATACTCTCCTTGTGTCCATCGGCTTATCGCTTTCGTTTCTGGCCTACGGTTATACCGGCGCTGTCATTGGCACCGTGGGTGGACAGCCATCCTTCCTCCAGTACATGAACCTCATTACAGCCAGCAACGCTACTCAGCTGTTTGGCGCCACAAACGGACTGTACTACGCAGGCGGTGTCTTCGGCACCATCTACGCCGCCTACGCCGCTGACCGTTGGGGCCGGAAAAACGCGTCTGTCCAAGCTCAGGTTGGCCTCGTTATCGCCCAGGCCATTCAGACAGGTTCGGTTCACATAGCAATGTTTATTGTTGGTCGGTTTATAGCGGGATTTGCGTGAGTCTCCTCTCCTGAAACTTTCGTGCTTGCGAGATGGTTCTCTGCCTGTCCCCTCTGGCTGTCTGGAAAAATGGATGCAGAGTCTGCTTTGCACGGAAGAGGGCAGATATATGTACAAGAAATGAAAGCTGACTCTCTTGGTATCTCGGTCTGCAGTGGATACATTACATTATGCGTCACGCCCATGTGGCTGTCCGAACTCGTTCCCCCTCGCCAGCGAGGCACTCTTATGCAGATCATTGCAATCACGCTTGGGCTGGGATACGTTGCGGCCAACTGGATCGGATACGGCTTCTCTTTCTACACTGGAAAGGTTCTTGCGTTCCGCCCAATTTTAGGTAGGGGCTATACATCGAATACGACGAAGAAGGAAACCCCTGCTGACCATTGACCATCGCATCCCATTTCCAGCTCTCGGCATGGTCGTTCCTGTCATCTGCATCATTCTCTTCATATGGCTCCCTGAAAGCCCACGGTGGCTTATAATGAAGGATCGTCATCCAGAAGCTCATGCGCTACTGCGCCGCCTGCATCGATCACCAGTCGATAAAGACGACTCTTTTGCCGATGTCGAGTACTATCAAATCTCTAGGCAGGCCACCGTTGACGCCAACCTTGATCTCTCTTGGAAGTCAATGATCTCGACCCGCCCGATGAAATTGCGGACGGCTTTTGGAATTGTGTGGCCGGCAATGACCGCAACATCGGGGGTGAATGTTGTTGTTAGTAAGTATTGACCCCGACCACATACAGTGAGGTTACCAGCATCTAGCATGCTCCTATATCTCAGTTGACACTGTTGTCTCACCTGAGGTGAGCTGACCATCTCACAGACTATGGTCCGCTCCTGTACAGTCTGCTTGGCTTCTCCTCCGATAAACAGCTTATATATCAAGGCGGCTGGGCAACCTTGAACTGGGGCGGCAACGTCATCGGCATTTTTATCATTGACCGATTCAATCGACCGGGATATTCAATCACCGGCTTCGTGGGCGTGACCTGCTGTCTTCTCGTCGAGGCCATCATCGTGGCAACTTCGTTAGACAATGGTACCGACTCAGTGCTACGTTTGGGCGTGGCGTCCATCTTTCTTTTCGGCGCCTTCTTCGGCTGCTTCATCGACGGATTGCTCTTTACGTGGGTGGGGGAGGTGTTTCCTACGCCATACCGTGCAAAGGGCTACACCATAGCCCTGGCGACACAGGCTCTGTTCAATATTATATGGACCGAGGCCGCACCGACGGCTTTCACGTAAGTGGCGCAGTCATCGTCTCGTCGTACGGACGTGAGGGCGGTGTGGTGATCACCGCACGAGAGCCAGACGCTGACATTGAGGCAGTAATATCAAATGGGGTTACTATATCGTCTTCATCGTCCTGAACGCCATCTCAGTTGTTGTTATCTGGTTTTTCTTCCCCAACACAAGAGGCCTGGCCTTGGAAGAGGTGGGCGCGATATTTGGTGTAAGTTATCCCAGACAGTTCTGCATTCGCCGCTTCACCATCCAAGTCTTGTTCCGCATCATTTCAAAGTATTCCCTTCATATCAGAATTACAAATCAGTATTGTATTGAGAGAAACCAAATTGTTACAACTGCGTGTCTGACGTTCATACAGGATGGTGACCGCATCGCGGTGTATCAGCGTGATATCGACCTGAGCACCCTTCAAACCGAGGTGGCAGTGATCGACAAGGAGCACGGATTCACTGGGAAAGAGTTGAGGGTAGAGGCTCAGCACATCGAGGCGACAGAAGAGAAGACGTCCGGCTAGGCCCCGAAAACGATGTCTGCAGGAACTGGAACCGCGGTAGGATCTTCGACAGCGACCTACTTGAGAGAGACGAGGCGCGTACGTTGGTTGGGTATGTGGTGGATGATAGTTTGCCCAGTGACGACGAAGTGGCATGAAAGTGAAGGTGATATCGTTGTGTGCAACGGCATTACGAAAGGCATTAACTAAGGAGGAGCGACAGAGCCTGACGTGGTTTCGAAGATATTTGGCGACATGAATCTCCCCAGGATCTGAGAGTCTCGACTTTGAAGCAATCAATTGTGGAATCTGACGATCCCGCTCTCCGCAGTGGTGATTGCTTTTCTCATGTTCAGGGGTTGCCGACTTTTCGGTTGTGGAGGCTAAGGGATAGGAAAGCGTTGCATGTCCAGTTCAAGAGAGAATTCGGGATCCTCAGCTGCCCAGAGATCTGCCCAGGGAACGGCCCACGGACTGGGGAAATCTTTGTTGATAGCGTCAATCATCCCAGAGTCGGCGTCACTGAAGAGCGTTTCAGGGTGCATAAACGCGTTGCCCGAGTTCTGCAAGCCGGTGGTCGCTGTGACAGGCCCTGGGAACGCGACGTCAGACAAGCCCCGATCGATTCTGGGCTCTGATCTTGGCCACGTTATGGAATTGTGCAGTCCACGCAGGATGATGTCAGTATCTGATTGGGCCTGCTCCGAAATGTGGTGATCATGGATCTGTATCTCTTGAGCCTCCAGTTGGGGCACGCTTGAATCTTCTCCAGATGATTCCTGACCTCCTGAACCGACCCAAGGTCCCATCGTTCCTGGGGCTTGCTCTATCAGTGGCAAGGTTTCGAAGATCTCGGAACCAGACTCGGACCTTCGTTGAGTCGCCGTGGTGATTCTCGGGCGTGTGGGAGACTTCATGTCAGTCCAGCTTGCACCCAACATTTCTTCGCCCTCGAATGCATGTGATAAATTCTGTGGTGAGGCGTCCTGCGAGTGCTTGACCAGCTCTGGTTCAAGAGCTCGCATGAAAGAGACGGCATGCTGATATCTCGTTCCCAGCTGCATTGCTACGTGTTTGCAATGGTCAAAATTGCTTCGCAAAACAGGTAGTTGTGCGGGGCCGCATGTTTTGGACTCGATATGTTGAAAGATGAGGGCTGAAAAGAAGACGGTAATCCTGTTGGGGGAATCAGAGAAGAATTCTTCAACTAGAGGATTGGGTGTATCACCACCTACGTGTAAGAAGGAAGATACTTTGTTAGATCAGCCCGAACCAAGGCTGCTGCGATTCGCGAGGTGTCCTCTGCGGTATCATGCAGCTTGGTAGACGCCCTTGCCCTCAGCGCTGGGTCTCCAAGACGAGGAAGCATAGTGTCTCGAGATGACGGATGAATATGCGGGCGAAACAAGGCCATGACAGCGAGATTGTAGCCGAGCCGGAGGGCTATGCGGTTCACCATGGAGGCCCCATACTCGTGTTCCTCGAGCGTCTGATCATCTAGCAGAGGGGTTGCGAGCTCCTGGGGTAGACTGCTCAGCCATTCCGAGAGCCAGGATTCGCAAACATTCATCTCGTGTATCAAAAGGGTGCCTGGGTCCATCTGCAGAGCTTGGGGAGCCCATTTCAATATCGGATGGTTCGACCAAACGGCAAGAGATGATTGAATGGAAAGAATGCGGTTGATGCAAACGCAGAGCTTGGCCAGCTCGACAGCCATAAGGTCGTTTGTCTTGCGGTCCATGTTTAACTGCCTAGGCTCTCCGAAGTCAAAGTCGTCGAGGCGGAGCATGTCAAGGGGCATGTCGGCATAGTCGCTCTTGCGAGGATAGCGTAATGTTAAGGCGAGTATGGTTTCGCGCATGAAACACGCCCACCATATTCTCCTGAGGAGTTTGGCCTGCCTTGCTGTTGAAGGCAGTCTTTGGATCAAGTTGGGTAAGTCCAAGCTTTGCACTAACGATGTCGCGGCACTCATCCAGAACCACGTGTACCGGTCATCTTCGGGGTGTTCCACCCAGTGCGTGAACAGGAGAAGTGTCTGTAAGGTGGTGACGAGATCCTGCTCATACTTGAAGTCATATAGTAACATTGCCCGTGCGTAGAGCGCTTCCCGAGCCGCCTGTCGAGTCTCGAACCCCATAGCACGGATCGTTGCGAGGTCGACAAACTGTACAGATTTGTCTCTCGTTTAGCCTCCAAGTTCGACAAGATATTAGGGGCACAGGGGGTTGCAGGTGCATACCGCGCTTCCACTGAAGAAAACCGCCTGCAGCAGCAGAAGGCTATAGGGTCCTTCATGTTCCTGCTCACTAGATTTCTGTATTGTGTCAGATTCGAAGAGTGCGATCAGCTCGTCGCAGTCAAGTAGGGGCATGTACGGATGCACAGAGTGGCAATAGCTCCGAATAAGCTGTCTGGCGCAGTCGAAGGATGGAATCGTCAAAGCATCCTGTTCAAGCAAGAACATCTGCTCACGGTGAAGCATGGTTGACGGTAATGGTCTGACGAAAGCAGGCAAAGTGGGTGTTGCGCCAGTGGGATTGTTCGCGCCCAGTGCAGCGGCAGATGATCCTCTGGTATCGAGACATTGCTTTTTGCTTAGGGTCGCAGACTTCTCATTGTTCATACGCCGCTTGAGAGGACGGATATGGCCCTGGGTTTCCGTTATGGTCAAGGAAGGCATTCTCCTCCCGGCTTGATAGACCAGACCAAGAAAGGAACGCTGTCTTCTTCAGATGGCCCGATATGAGTGCGGATGACAAATTGAACAATGTGCCAGGGAGAAAAGAAAGGCAAGTTGTCGTCGGGACTCAAGGCAAACAAGGACGTCAAGATCCAACCCCGCTTCGGGCAATGGCACCATCCACACCAAACGCACTGAGTCGGTAGCCTGGGGATTTGGTGGAGAACCACGAGGACAAGCACGAAACATTATTGCTAAGCACAAAAGGCGACGATGTGGGAGGTCGGACCAAGCATTCTCTAGACATGCGGTCGGCACCAGGAGCTTGTCTCGTGGTCACCTGGGTGTGCTCGGATTCCATCTTCCGCCACGTATTACTTCATCTCCACGGAAAAATATCACGAGCCTCGCTCAGCCTTGTGGCCCGCCACCCGCGCGTACCGAGGGGAAAACCGTCTCTTCGGGGTCTCTGGACTTCTCCAGGCGGGGGGATGGCTGGGGAACACTTGATCCACCAACCTATGTGTGATATTCCGAACGGAGAACCGAATACGGAGTCTTGTTCTATAACGGAGTATCGTTTTATACAAGAACCCTCATCTTCATACAAGACGGATGCCCCATTCCCAGCACCACCAACTCACAGACCTGCATCGACCCAGCTTAGCACTCTACCTGCAGCAATGTCTTCCTTGGCCGATATTCTACGAGCCAATGGCGCCCTGCTGGGAACTTTTGTCAACCTGACCTCAACGTTGTCCGCACATATCATTGGCATTTCCGGCTATGACACCGTGATAATCGACATGGAGCACGCCCCAACATCGGCGCTCGAGGCGACGCACATTGTGCAGGCTATAGGCTCATCGTCCAAGGGGACCTGTAAGCCCCTCGTCCGTGTGCCTTCCCATGGAGTGGAGTGGATCAAATGGGCTCTCGACAGTGGTGCAGCCGGCATCGTCGTCCCCATGGTCAATACGCCAGACGACGTGCGCCAAATTGTCCAAAAGGCCCGCTACCCACCCCTTGGCCAACGCAGCTATGGCCCCTCCTATGCCCCCTTCGCTGATCCAACCTTCGACCGGACGCCTGGGCAATATTTCAACACGATCGCCCCAGGACTTGCAGTGCTGCCCATGATCGAATCTGCAGAGGGCGTGAAGAATGCCGATGCTATCCTTGCCACTGAAGGCGTCACAGGTGCATTCGTTGGGCCCTTTGATCTGCGCTGCTCGCTGGGCCTACCTGGTGGAGATGGAACAGAGCAGCGCTTTCTCGATGCTTTGAGCGCCATTGTTGCGGCCGGGAAGAAGGCCAACAAGCCCGTCGGCATCTACACGGGATCGATCGAGCAGATGAAGCGCAATTTGTCCTTGGGCTTCAGTCTGATTGTCTTCCAGGCCGACTCTACATTCCTTGCGAGCGCTGCCAGGGCTTCGGCGGAAGAGGCGAGATCAGTCTTGAAGCAGGCAAAGCTGTAAAAGTTAAGGGTGTGATGGATAAATAGAGGACAGAGTATTCAGGGAGATGACAAGTCGATCATTCACCTTTACCCAATGATACTGCACCATAGTTCAGAGTAAAGGTCGAGTTGTTGAGGCTCTTCTTGGTAAAAGCTAGAGCTTTCCAACTACCAATGTCATGATGCATGGCCCCGAGACTCATTTCACAGAAATTTCCATTCGTCTTTGGTGTTGCCAGGTCTGGCCCAAGCTAGTCACGAGCTCCATGCCTCTGGTGGCGCTATCGAATGTCTGGCCCATTTCAGCCAACGCCCGGATGCTGAGTCGCAGCGACTGTTGTGCCGTCCCCCTCCTTTCTTCGCACGGCGTGCTGCCCTGCGACGAGCATTTGTCAGGGCAAAACACCGAAAAATACGCATGCATCACTCCGGCTGTGACAGTGCTGTGAACCATCTGCAGGTGGACGTTTTGCAGCCCGTAATGGCGTTTAAACAACATCAGCAGGGCGATTATTCTAGAAGCCGAGTCAAAGCAGTATTTTCCCGCCGTTGTGTGGACGTTGGTGATTGTTGAATCGAAGGCAGACCTTGGAGCTATCGTGGCCGAGCCCGCTGGTGAAGAAGTCACAATCTGAGAGGTGAATGGGCGGTTGAGGAGAATGATGACTTCGTGAAACAGCATACTAGGTGGTGAGATTAGCCATTAGGATAGTTAGTATGCTGGTGATGGGTGCACAAACTTCAGAAAGATGACTTCTTGCGCATACACTTCGTCTCTGAGTTCGGGTTCTCCACTTGAGTCGCTGATCTTCAACGGAGGCGGAAGAGAACGCCGCCATTGAAATAACTCCTCTGTCATTTGTTGCCAGAAAGGAATGTCGGAGTCGAGTGGGCGAGAATCTTCGTCGAAGCTGCGTCCATGATGAGCAGGGTTCGACCATATGGGTTCGGGGAGACAAGAAGACGAGCAAGTAGAGGGTCGAGTTACGTACAGATGGGCAGATAACCTTCCCGCGATCTGAAGCAGCTGACAGAGGTACAGCCTCGTGAGAGCAACCACGTTCTCCGTATAACCATTCAACTCCAGTGCCGAAGGTGATCTCAAATAATGGTGCACTCCGAAATCCGTCATGATGCCCATGGCAGAAGAAGTTCGTCTGAGCTGCTCCATGACAGAATGTCTTCCTTTCTCAAGGCACCATAGTCTATTGATCCCACGAATTAGCATCGTCTTGTAAGGAGGAATACAGGAAGCCCATAATTTCGGGATATCTGAGGGAATGGCTATGGTACAGTAACTCACATGTCATATGCATAACAGGCCCAGAATAAATGCCCAGGGAAAGTTGAGGAGGCAGATTGGCTTCCAACGATTGGGTGACTAGTTTCGTCGCCTTGAGAATGGCGATGAATCCCCAGATCTGTGATCAATTGTACCGCCATACCTGTTGATTGATGTCAGATTTGGTTGAGGAGAAGCAGTTGTTGAAATGGTATCTGTACCTATGTAAATCCACCCTACAGTGGCGGATTAGCCAATGTATCTGGACAATACGTGCAGTCAGGTAATTTACCTCGCGAATCACGCGTGCTTGCAGCCTCGTAACTGCTCAGGAGCAATATGGCTTGTAAAGTCGACGTCTGGGGACAGTCTAGTTCGATATCAAGGAGCACTTCTGCCCGGCGAGCGAAGAATCTCGAGACTTCACTGCCAATCTCAGGACGATATTCGCTCGAGTATAGAGCTCCTATCGCTAGGCTAATGACAATGGATGGTATTAGCAGATGCCCGGATGATGGATGAGATGGCAGGATTATACGCACATTGCACTGTAAAGAGTTGGCGAGTATAAATGGCTCTTTTGTCCCTGGTCATACTTTGCTTTCTCCATGAAGAAAGTGCCTTTATCTACCTCTTGGAGATACGGGTTGTGATATCTGAAAAACTGTGCCAGGAGGTAGCTCTCATAGCGGACGTCTCCGGGCCACGCAAGGCCATTTTGTTCCAGGGCAGTAGCGCCATGGACACGGACCGTCCGGATCAATGGCGTAAATAAAGGGAAGTTCCCATTTGGGGCCAAAGAAAGGCTGCTGGCTGCACCGTAGAAACGAGGTTGTCCTTCATCCATGGCCAACAAACGACCAGCACGGTTGGCTAGGTTTGATGAATGTCGCTCGAACTTGAAGATGGCTGAGACGTCAGGTCCGTCAGCCTCCAGCCTTTGGGTTCTGCTGGGAGAAGCTAGTATGCTGCGTTGCGGAGAGGTCTGGTGCACTTCAGCAAGTACCTGAGGAGAAGCAGGGGAGGGCGTTGCCAGATGCTCTGTAACTCGTTGTATACTGGGTCTGATATTGGCAATCGCATGGTCAGAAGGAACAAGTGAAGGCCTGAGATCCACACCTCCGTCCGACTCTCGATTGCGCCCGTTCGTGTCCGGCAAAGAATGGCCTTCTGCGATACTAACCCAATAGCTGAAGTCGTCGGTCAGGAGTTGTGGCGATACAAGGTTGATTCTCGCCGAGTTGGAGCGCGGATGGGGATGGTCCACCGGCGACTTGATACCGGCGCCATTTTCTTGTTGCCTGGGAGGTGCACTGTCCGCTTCTTCTTCTTCTTCCTCTTCTGAGCCTTGTCGGTTTGATCTCAACCTCGAGCGAGGACTTGGTCGTCCACGGCTAGGTGGCACAGACGCGAAGTCCTCTTGAATGCCGACGGCAGTAGCTCTATTTCTGTGTCTATCTGGGTTCAGCTGTGCTGCATGCATCTTGAGTGGTTATTGTAGGACTCAGTGCTACTCACCGGCGGCCGTCCTCGGTAAAGACACACTCTGAACCATAGAGATCGCAATTGGTGCATCGAGGGCGACAATCGTCACACTATATCTTGGATCAGATACCCAGAGACTATGGCATGTCGAGAAAAACAGTGACGCGCACAGACCTTGATTTTCCTCTTTCTGCATGAGAGACATGCTCGCGAGCATTGACGTCGGTTCTGCCGCGGCGCTGCTATTGTTGTCGAGCTTGACCGACCCATCGGATAAGAGTTGGTTTGATGCAGAATGCACAGCGAGGTTATGGCAGCAATTGTGTCGACGTATCCACTGTCACAGTCGAAAGTCGGGCACTTCTGTTGCGATCGGACACGGAGATGATGGAGGCAATCAGCGGGTTTGGCCCGAGGTTCTTCAGAGATGATGGGATGATGGGATTTCTGGGGCAAAATAAAATGCGGGGTTTACGACATGTACATGGTAGTTGGTGTGCCTGGGCTAGCCTGGATGGCCCGATTCAACCTCTCCCTCCTTGCCCTGCTTGCTGGAATCCTTCCTCTACGAATCAAGTTCCTCCCAATTTACTCAGTACGGGATCAATCTGCTATACAAAGCTTGTTTCAATCGATGACTTAGACGAGTCGGAATGTGCGGGACTGGTAGGTGGGAAGGCCCTTTCCCTCGAAACTCCACGGAGATGGTACTGAACCTGGTAGGTCGAGATAGACCGATCAGCTTCAGCGCCCAGACGTGAACCCGGATGCTCCAAAATGTGAACGCTCCAAACGCTTAACTAAATTGGCGTCTTCTACAAGTAATGCTACAGGCATCAGGGGGTCTCAAGAATACACAAGACCACAATCTACGTGCGACGAGATGCATCCATGTTGATGGGGCTCTTTTTGGCTTCGTATATAGCGGTAGAAAGCGGATTTCTCCCCCGGGAGTGTTTCTTTTTTCGTTACTTCGTTATCGGAATGCGATCAATTCCTTCCCAACTTCGTTTCCGGAATGAGGTACCTTGCCAACCTCTCTCAAAGTCGGGCAATATTGAGGTTCTCTCTCGAGTATCCCCCAGCATCGCGTCCCCTGGTTTTCCCACCTAGACCCAATTCTCGGATAATGATGTCAGCTGCCTTCTCTCCAACCAACAGAGCAGTGTTATTCGTGTTTGCGCCGACATTCTCAGGCACAATGCTCAGATCCGCGAGCTTCAAGCCCTTGGTGCCATACACGCTCAGGTTGGCATCCACGACACCCTTTTGTTCTCTTGGCGCCATCTTGCAGGTTCCCAATGAGTGCCAAGTTGTAGTGACGATCTTGCGGATATTCTCTTCGATGGCCTTGTCGTCCTCGGGAGTGTACTGGACGCGTTTTGCATCGTCGGCGACAGGACCATCCGCCGTCTCGACGACGGCGGCCTTAGAGCCCGGAGGAAATTTGGGGTGGTCTGCTGCCAACTCGCCGCGAAAGATATTCATGCGACGGAAGATCTCGCGCTGGATCTTGTACGCCCATATATGCTTCTTGACATCAATGTCATTGGGGTCTTTCAAGTAGCCAACGTCGAAGTCAATGGGATCAGAGACATTCGGTCCTGTGATGTGGATATGCCCACGCGAATAGGGATATGCCGTCCAGTTGGCCATAGAGACATACTCCGAGTTGTCCGGCAACGTGGAATGATCACCGAAGAAGCTGTGTTCGTGTCAGGGTATAACAGTCCATGATGGAACAGGTGATGGCTTCCTCTTACCTCAAGTACATGGCAATGATCATCAGGGGCCTATCGGGTGAATTCTTGAAGTCGCGATCCCACGCCCTCTTAAAGTCGGGCCCGAGCGCTTCGACTTCAGCCTCGGTGGGACGAAACTTGCCAGAGGCATCCATCGAGTTCCAGCCCAGCTGCTTATTGTTCTTCCTGATCTCTTCCTGCACATTCAGTCGCCCGTCAGCGAAGGCATTAATCGTCTCGTTGGGCGTTAAGCTGGTTCGATAGGTGTATAGGGTCAGGTGATGATCCTGGTAATCGTTCCCCACACCAGGCAGGTCCTCGATAACAGGAACCCCGGCGCGTTTGAGAATCTGTGAGTCACCAATCCCCGATCGCTCAAGAATCAGTGGCGTAGCATTGGCGCCGGCCGAGACAACCACCAGCTTCGAAGCGCGGGCAGTCAGCAGAGCCTTCCCGCGAGCAGCAGCTTGGAATTTGGGATTGGGCCTGTACTCCACTCCAACCGCTCTTTTGTTGTCGTCCAGAAGGATTCTCACAACTTGGTTTTCTGTGAGGACGTGCAAGTTGGGATAGTGACCGCTCTGCAGCTTTGGGTGAAGAAACCTGTGCGCGGCATCCTGGCGTCGTCCGTCTGGGCCAACGTAACGTAGCCAGCGCTCGGTACCATTATTGGAGTCAAGGTTCTGTAAGTCCTTCAGCTCACGGTAGCCCATCTTCGCCGCAGCGTCAATGAATTCGTTCTCGGCTCGGGTGGCTCGGAAAGTACCGCTTGAGATGTTGATAGGACCGCTATCGCCATGCAGCTCCTTTTCACCTCGGCCATGATAGGTTTCGAACTGGTAAAACGATCAGAAAGATTTGGAACGCAATTGGAGGCCAGCCTCTACCTTCTTCAGGAATGGCAACAGCTCTTTGGACGACCAACCGGGCGTCTTCCATGACTCCAAGTCAGATCTTTGAGCCCGAGTGTAGACCATCCAGTTTATAGAACTGCCACCACCCAAAGTGTTCCCCGAAGGCACAATAGGCTCCCTATCTGCCAGCTGTGGTGCCCTATTGCCTTTCCAGAAGAGGGTGTATTTGCTGCCGGGGTCGAGATTCAGCGGGAATAGGGCGGGCTGGACGACTTGGGGCACATTGTAGTTGTTCATACCCAGCTCGATAACGAGAATTGAAAGGCTTGGGTCAGCTTCGGCGAGACGAGAAGAGAGCACACATCCCGCCGTCCCCCCTATCGTGCGACGCGATCAGCGATGAGAAGCACTGTCGAGGAACAAATAACTTACCTCCGACAATGATCACGTCCACCTCCTTGAATTCCTCTGGGAGCTCCGTGAACATACCCATGATCAGACAAGGCAAAGGGGGTTTCTGTGTGGGAGATTGCGTAGCTGTTGCCCACAGGAGCGTCACAGTCAACAAAGATCAGCGCTGCAATCGTCTGATGTGATGTGTAAAGCAAGAGATGTCACACAAAGCTCCTTCAACCCAATATATAGATGAGCAACTGTTCAGCTTTATCCTCCATGGTCAACATCTCCTCCTCTTCCTCCTCCTTTCGTTACCCCGCCGACAAGGGATGGATCCGAGGTGAGGAGAAAGGGCATTGGAATCACTTTGAGAGGAAGGCTGTGACATCAGGCGAATAAGCTTCGATATTGCTCAGGTCTGACCAGTTGTTGCATCAGAGATCGACAAGGAGCGCGCTGAAGAGGAGAAGGGCGACGTAGACGGGTTTCGATCCGGCCTCTCAAGGATGTCGGTGGTACTCCGAATCCGCCTCTACCGGCATACATTGCCATAGGCGGGTCTCATGCGGACGACAGGGAGTAGGGAGTAGGCAATGCGAAACATGAAACGACGCGTCAACTCTTCAGAAAGTGAGGTTCGGTCAGTGGTGGTAGCTGGTTGTAGTAGCCTTTGTCGATCTTACCCCGCGTTTTTTCATCACTTTCCTCCTCCGCAGCCCCCGTCCGTGGGTGCTACGAGTGCTACAAATGACGGTGTCAGTTTATGAAACACGCAATTGTAGACGTTCATACGAAGGTCAACATCAACGGGACTTGTTATAGAGCCAACACAATACTAGGGGAAGAACAGCTGCAAGACCCTTGAGCGGGATGAACTTGCGGAATCTCATTCTCTCCCCATCATTTGGAGAAGCCCCCAAGGTAGTGAATATGCGTGAGATGCAAAGTAAGCAGAAATGAGTGGTTCAACTCTCGCAGAATTATCCCGAGCTGCAGCGGTAGGTGGGTGTAAATCATTTGCAAAAGCCTGTCGGCAACACACGGAGAACACGAGGGCAGGTACTTCCAAGGGCAAAGACATGGACCGGGATGCTAATGCTGTCAAATAGGAGTCAGAATTGGTCCGCTTCCCCGATAAGGTGGTTTATTGATCTACTCGTATAATACATTTAACACCGTCAACATACATCAAACTCCCGGAGTCGCGGCTTAGAAAATTACACCATGTCCTGAAACCCATTCAACTTGAGAAATGCTTCATCGTCAAATGATGTGGGGATTTCCAAGAAGAAGGCTGAAAACGCACTTCCGGATCGAGAAAAACTTACCTGGAGTGATTGTGGCAGAAAACGCAGCCCCCAAGCCAAACCTGCTGAGCTGAGGCAGTGCCGTTCTTATAGTCATAGTATCAGGTGAGTCACAACCATTGCCAAAGCTATAAACAATCAAGAAATCACAGTTACTGTGAAGAAGGTGATCTTCACTCTAACTTGATATTTTTTCTGCTCATCCAAGGAGCAAATAACGGAGCTCTTGACCCCCTGATTCCGCATCCTCGCGTTTGTGTTTTTCTAGCGAAACATCGACCCCATCAGTGATTTGTGCAAAATTTACCCTACTACAGCAATATGGGCGGCTCTGTGTTCAATGCCGAAGGCCTAGTTACTCCCCGAATGCCCCCGAATGTCTATTACTCAGTACTCGACCACGCCGAGGCGCGCCTCAAGGCACACTTCAAACTCGTAGGCCATGCGATCGAAGCCCCAGCCAAGACTTCTCACGGAGATATCGACATAATGGTGGCAGAACCTGTGGATCGAAGTCTGACTGCTGCCGGTAGTAGGACTGGACCTCTCCTGGCCAAATCACTCGGGGCTGACAAGCGGAAGAAAATGGGTGGGGCTTCGACGTATCATCTTGCGCTGAGGTGGCCCAAGGAATTTGAAGATCAACTGATATCCGTGGGCGAGGTGGGGAAATGCCCCAATGACGACGAAACTGGTTTGGCAGAAGTCGACGACGCGTTGTCCGAGGAGAGAGAACAAAAAAAGACCGGGCTGCAAGCTGATGCTTCTTCGACTTCGACTGCTGGCTACCTCTCGTCAGCGTCGCCCATCAGGATCCAGAACCATATCCAGGTTGACATCTCAATCATGCCCACCCCCGCCTTTTTCCACTGGAACATCTTTTTCCAAGCGCACGGTGATCTCTGGCAGATGCTTGGGGGGATCCTCCGCCGTCTCGGCATTACCCCGACCTCGAGAGGACTATTTTTGCGCATAGCAGAAGTGGAAATGCACAACAAGGAGCAGTCCAGAGTTCTGATGAGCAATGATCCCAACGCTGTCCTCGACTATATGGGATTGGACCGAGAGCGGTATTGGCGGATGTTTGAGACTTGGGAGGAAATGATGGACTACGTGGCGAGTTGCAGATTTCACGACCCTGGTCACTGGAAGCATCCAACCAAGCATGACGCAGCGGCAGAAGAGGATGAAGAAGTCAAAGAAGGAATGGACCAACGATCTGACCGTCTGAAATCAAATGACCGTCGGCGCGCCACCAAGCGACCACTTTTCATGTACTGGATCAAAACATACCTCCCTACCCACGTCGATGAGGCACCGGGCAAGTCGGCACTCCTGACAAGGGACCAGGTCGTTGAAGATGCAAAGGAGTTTTTCGGCGACGAATTCGCAAACAGGTTTGAGGCGAGAAAGACCAAAGTGGTCCGCCAAATCAAGGTGGACAAGCTGTGGGCTGATATAAGGAGAGGCCTGCCACTACAAGGTACAGAGATTGGGGATGTCATGAAAGGAATGAAAAGAGAGATTGTGGGGAATCGCGAAGCGCAACCAGTGGAGCTGGAGAAGCTGGAAGGATTGGAAGAGATCAGAGTGGCATACGAGGCGGACAGGTTTGACGAGGTCCTAAAGTGGGCGATGCTCAACTGGAATGAGGTTGGACAGAGACAGAAGAGGCTGAATCGAGAGAAGAATCGGGTTCCTGTCTTGGAGAAAGGTTCATCATGACCGGCAGCGGTGGAAGGCCAATGGATACGTCAGGCGAGCGGTAATCTGTAGAGGCTGCCTCTACGAATCACCGGGGCCTACCTAGTTCACGACAAGGTACTTTTAGGTGCTGAATCGTAAAAGGAAATGGAGAAGTATCGATCCATCCGTATAGCCAGTGACAGATAAATCGAGCTAGGCAACGTTGGCAAATTTAAAATGCTTAGTTTGCGTAGTTAGTGTAGAACTGGCCAACTGTTGGTGCCAACAGTTTTGAACTAGTCCATAAATTATCTAGAGAACCACTAGCCTATCCCTCACACTAACTACTAACTGCGACCCCAACATCATGTCCCGGGGATCGTTTTCCACGGAGATTCTGCCATGCATAACATGAGTACGCCAATTCGTCACCAGATTTGACCTTGAAAGTCCCATAGAATTTGCATCACGGGCATTGGTCCAGATATCTTAGCCCCTTTCATTCTTCAAAATGAGGAACTTTCGTCAACTCTTTTCCCTCTCAAGGAGAAGAAGACGTGCGAACTTCCACACCAGGCACGTCACTATCTCTGGGCTAACTTAACAAACCGAACAGAGACCTCCAAGTCGTGGAACGGAAATGGCTGACCTCCAACGAAAATCCATCATAGTCACTGGCGGGGCCTCTGGAATCGGTCTGGCCACGGTCACTCAACTTCTGGAGCTGGGGGCCCGAGTCGCAGTTGGTGACTTGGCTCTAGAAACTCCGAGCACATTGACGAACCTCAATCCTGCGTCCGACAACTTCTTCTACCAGCAGTTGGACGTTACCAGTCGCCAGAGTGTCCAGGGGTTCATCGCCAAAGTGCTCGAGAAGTTTGGCCAGGTGGATGGACTCGTGAACAACGCCGGAATTTGTCCCAACGAAGGAGAAATCGCATCCGATGATACTTTCGACCGCATTATGGCGGTGAATCTGAAAGGGGTGTGGAACGTGGGCACGGAAGTCATCCGTCGTATGATGGAACAAGAGTCGCGTGGTGTCATCGTCAACACAGCGAGCGACGCGGCTCTGAAAGGCATCAAAGGTCTTGCGGCGTATACAGCCTCAAAACATGCCGTCCTAGGCCTGACCAGAGTTTGGTGCAAGGAATGGACGCCGAAAGGCATCAGAGTCAATGCGGTCGCCCCGGGTAAGTGCAAAGCCACCCTCTGAGATGAGGATAGATGTAGTAACTGACATCGCACCCAGGAGTCACTGATACGCCGATGGTTGCTAAAATTGCGGCGGATCACGAGTCTGGCCAAGAAGCCACAGCCTCGTGGCTTAAAAACATCCCCATGGGAAGGTTTGGACAGCCCGGTGAGATTGCCAGTGTCATATGTTTCCTGCTTAGCAAAGACTCGAGCTTCATGAGCGGACAGGTGCTGAGGATTGGGGGCGGGGAAGGCGAGTAGAGGATCTGACCAGGACACGAATTCTTCTTTGCATGATAGACATGGAGGAAAGTATATACAATCCCAAACACGGCTGGGTATGCCTGTTGGCAGATCCAAGAATGTGGATCTACTTGTTTCCTCCTAGTATGGTCGCCAGAATCAATCAAGCTGAAACCCGATATCCGCATTGAGCACATGTACATTCATGAAAAGTCCAATACCGCCATGCCATGTGATTTGTATACATAGGATATTAGCCACGTCCATAACTTCATAGCCCCCATCAAATACTCCTAGTAGGACGGGAACGAATTACCGACTCACTATGCTCCCCCCATCGGCCAAGTGCAAGGGCTTCCAGTGTTTTACTTCGTCCTGACCAAATTGAGCCGCGTTTCGCCTTTTCTTGCACCTCGGGAATCCAAAAATGCGTGACCACCGCCCCCAAAATCATACACGCGCTGAAGATCACTAGGATCGTCCCATAGCGCTTCGTCTGGTTGTCGCCCGGTGACGAGGATCCAAACTTGTAATACAAAGAAAAGACCTGAACCAAGATTGACCCGAGTTTTCCAGAAGCCGCTGCAATACCGTGGCAGGTACATCGATAACGGGTGGGGAATAGTTCAGCAGGAATGATGTAGGTGGTCGAGTTGGGCCCTATATCAGTCAGCCACGATACTCGGGGAGCGATATCGCCTCGTCCACTTACCAAAATTGAACAGGAATTGTCCAATCACGTACAGCGTGATTGCCAGAGCCCCTTCTTCCTGGACTACAATGAACTCGGTGCCCAATGCAATGAACAACGCTGCGAGGGCCAAAAACCCGTATTTCTGCAAGGACACCCTGTTCAACCGGGACGCCGAAAGAATCCAAAGAATCCCTCCTGCGAAACTTCCCGTGTTCAAAACGACCAGCGCCTGTACCGATGTGTTCATGAACATGTCATAGATGTCAGTGCTAGGGTCATCGTTTGTCTTCCAGATCGGCTGGGGGTTCGCGATGTGCAGGCTACCCCAGGTCTTCGCAAGGAACTGAGGATTTGACAGGCCAATTCCATAGTAGCCAAAGTCCAACAGAAGCCAGCACATTGACACAGCCATCAAGGTACGCCAGTTGCCCTCGGTCCAGAAATACTGTTTGATGTCGGCTTTTGATATCTTCCAGGAGGAATTCAACGTCGCCAGCGGGGCAGGGGTCACTGTGTACGAGGGTCTGGCATCCGAACGCTCATCGAACGATCTGTTGGAAAGATTTGACTCCTCTAGAGAGTCGCACCACATTCCAATCTCCAGCTCGTTGTTCATGGAAGTCTCCCCGAACAACTGCGTTGCATCGAACTCAGCTTTAACTGGGTCATCCTCGATGTCGAGGAGGAACCTTGGGGTTTCTGGGATGGCAAAACGGAAAATCAAAGCGACCACTCCAGGCACCACGCCAATACCGATGATCCACCTCCACATGATGTCCACGGAGCGCTGCAGGTCATCGTTGTTTGAGCGGCGGGATATGGCGACCACGATCAATGAGATCAGGTTGCCCATGATCTGTCCAAGTGGTTGCATGAAGAACACACTTGCCATCATGCGCGCCCGGTGTCTGGTGGGGGCAAACCTGCGACATGTTAGTTAGACCGAAGCTGCTAGCGACAAGACGACAAGACAACTGACTCTGCAGTTATGACGGCGCTGAGTGGATAGTCAGCTCCTACGCCGATTCCCACCATGATCCTCCACCAGATCAACCAGGCAAAAACACTCATGCTTCCGTTGTAGCCTTCAGAGCTCATGACCACACCCAAGGTTGAAGCAATGAGTAGCAGCAACTCAATTCCGTACATTGTCTTTCGACCTTTCTTGTCAGCGAGGAAGCCAAAGGTAGCTTGACCGACGAGGGTGCCCGCAAGGGTGACGATGTTGATACAGGTCACTCGGTATGACGAGACTTCTTCCTTCCAGTACACATAGGAGATCATAGGTAGGGCGATATTCCCAGCAAACAATGAAAATCCATCAAGCAAGAATCCCACGCCTGCAACGAGGACAACGACCCATTGGAAAGGCTGTCGGTCGATGGTTTCGTAGATCTGGCGAACACGGACATGGCGATCCTAAAAAGTTGAAGAACCTGTTAGACCATACATGCTCTCCCAGGTCCATACCAGCCATTTCAAAACAGAGACGCAAAGACGTACTCGCTCATGGTCAAAGTCTCTTGCACGATCAGTCGCATAAAGACGTCCACGCCATCGGCCCATGTTGAGGTCCTTCGGAGTTCTTCAGGCGCAATGGGGCGAAAAGCGAGGGGTCGAGGATTGGAGTCAACCGGCCATAGCGTAGTCGATGATTCGAGGCTGCAAAACCAGCAGGTCGCAAGGAACCCTGTTTAGATCAGGTTACAATGACAAGTCTATGAGTAGACGAGAGGGTTCAGGGGAGGACAGAGGTATGGCAGAGGGAATAAATGGGAAGACTTGGGGGGTCACAAAAAGGATGGCGCAGACAGGTACATGAAGTTGCTTCTGACTGATGAGGCGGACTCGGATATGAAGTAGCTCACCCCTCGAGCCAGAATGGACACCAATTAGTCGGTAGTCTGGTGCATGTACCTGTACACAGTACCTATTGCTTTCTTCCTCACATGCTTATCAGATCGGGCAACGTGCAGGGCGTGGAACCACAGCACGCGCGATATTCCCCGTGGGCCTGCGCAGGAGTTACTCGTACTCGCACGAGTGCTCCGTAGAAACAACCTGGTGATGCCCACTTAATCGCTCGGTCCAGAGTAGCTGGCTCGCCAGGTTCGCCGGGATAAGGATTGATCGAAGGGCAGTCACCAAAGAGATCCGAAGTTCCTTGCACGCTCCAACCGACCCAGGGCCCGTAGGCATTGTCCTTGCCGTTAAGTTTCGGGGGGTGTGCCCACACACACCACGCTTGATGCATCCTGGAAGTGACTAGGTGAAAGGATGGTGGTACCAAGGATAGGCTAGGTGAGTGGCGCATCAACAGGAGGGAAAAGACAGAATACAATGAGGTTGGTTACAAGGAGTTGTTCCGAATACCCTTTACTACTACAGTGCAAGTAAGTGGGAGGTACCAGTAATACTGGAGCTAGGCGCCTAGGGTCCCATGAACAATGACCACAGTTGGGACCCTCAGAACACCCCCTTGGCGAGGAATTATTGCAATAATACACCATTCAGCGTCCATTGTCTACTACACGTGGGAGGTGGCCAAGCCGGGGTCAATGGTCTAGAGTTTGTCGGCTGTCCACCAATGTATTATCTGATACTGACCCAAGACTCAGCATCATGCACCTCTCCCAGCCATCTTTTTCAGAACAGAACAAAGCCTGATTCCCACGCCGACGCTCCCGCTGTCCGCCGTGCGCCGTCCCTGAAATTGGCATTGTCTACGAGGTACTCGTTCAACGACCTGCTTTCGGGTTGAGCACGCCTGCGATACCTCCGAATTCCTCCACGTCCAGTCCGTTATCGAGCCGAGCTGATGGATTCCGTGGGCACAGTCTGCCCTATGCCATATAGCCCAAGATACCTCTATCATAACGGGGGTGGTCTCTCTGTGACAATGTATCTCAAAATGCACTCGAGGAGTAACGCCTTGATGAGGTGCTGTCAATTCTAGAACAAACACGAGGACACTTCTTGACCATCGCGCCACCCACTGCGACTAATATCTTGAGTCGGCTGGCGGTAGGCAAGCCACAGGTTCAGTTTTGCACTTCTATCAACAGTTTTCTGTTGTAATTGGTACCAAGGAGAACAAAGAAAAGGATGGGATCTCTCGGTGGCTATGCTTGTCAAACCACCTGCTCATATCACTGGATACTGGCCTCGCCCTCGAGACCTTGGCAAGATCATCGATCTCCCCGAAGCCTTGTCGAGAAAAGCAACACGAGGGGGCAAGGGGGGGCAATAGGTTTGCTCACGCTAAATCCTGCAATCCAGGTCAGACCCTCAGCCCACAGTCGTGCCACCATCAAGGGATCCTCCCATGAGCTAGCCTAGAGCTATATCTAGCATTGAGGACCCTAGCACTTGTGGTGTAGGGCGCGTCTTCAAAGCCGTCAGCAAAGCTCGAGCTCAAACCCCTCGTGTCTCGAACTCGTGGTGCAATCGTTAGGGGTCTTTCCCCTTGTATATAATCCAGCTAAGACGCCGAACTGCGCTAGAATTATGGGTCGTTACTGGGTATCCTCGTAATCGCTCGTACGCTCACATAACCCAAATTGGTCCATCATTATATCTGGATATATCTTCTTCCATCATCCCTGAAACCCTACGCCATGGCATAACAAGCCAAAGAACTTCTTTTGGTCTAGAAAGGGGAGGGGTGATTATTAGCCCGTTTCAAGGGGATGGACAGGTCTCCATACCGTTGTCCTCCAAGAATGTAATGTGCAATGCCTTCAACTGAGCCAGCAGGTCGAAATTGGGTCGCAACGACACAGTCATCGGACGCCCGGATTTTTTGCTCTGTTCGATATGGTCGATGCAATCAACTATGCACTAGTTAGTTGGCTGCATCATCCAGTACAATACTTCAATGACTGGATTTGTATCAATTCCAAGGGCTCGGACAGAATTCAAGTGGTAGCCAAACAACTGTTGGGCTGGGGGTCGCCAATGCTGTCACCCATTTTGACACAGGTTTGGTGCTCGATGGTCACTTACGAGGAATAGTAACGTAACGCTTCTTTTCTTTCCGTTGTGAATTGGCAAAGAAGAGAATAGTCTGCCTTCCAGTCCGCGACCGGAGGATGCGTAGGTTCTGGCTAATGCATTCCTCGCCCCTTCCTTTGGATTTTGCCTCTGCAATACCCGCAGTGAACATAACTGTTTGGCTGAGCAGAGCCTCCTGAAAGTGTACGCAGTCTAGGCACCAGTCAGCAACTATTCAAAGGGCTTCTTGGACTTTTGGCAAGGATTCGTTGTGGTCTTGAGAAGGATGTCCTGGGGGTTGACACACCTTCCCATGTCTCAAATATATAGGAAGGCTGCGCCTGAAATAATGTAGATGCCATGCGCACATTCTGTTCCTCGAGAAACGACACTCGGGATATATGGCTGGTGCTTGATGTTACAGGAGTCTCGAGGTGAGGAATGGGCATCTTCGTGCCAGGAACTACCTGCCGTCAGTGCTGGGTCTGCTCACAGAGGGGAGACCCAACTAACAGGAGTGGATGAAGGTGGTCTGGAGGCCCGCTGGGTCACTGAGCTCAATTTGCTTGAGGTGACCTGCCACATCTCTTCGAAGTTGAATTTGCGAGTATCTTAACTTAAACAATTTGCTGCCTTTGCTGAAGGAGCTGTAAAATCCCAGACAAAGAGTGTCGTTAGCGGGCGCTCTGCTGCAGGATCAAGATGAATGCAGGGGATAGCAGAGGCTCATATACATATTAACAGGCTTGTTCAAGGGCACATGGAATATCTGTTCTGACGAGCAACTTGACTGTCGACTCCTATCCTCGTGGCCCGAGAGGGCTGGAGTGGGTGGCAGATTGAAACGGGTAAAGTGGACGCTGGCAGTATCTGAAGGAGTGTCCAACGATGTGATACTATCTTGTCGAGGTGACTTTTGTAAGGGCCAGTCGGTCGTGTCAAGAAAGTTGGACTGGCTGGACATTGCCACCGGTCCGGTTCCGCTGACAGGGCCGTTTTGCTGCCAGTACGAGGTACTCAGACAAGGTTCTGTTCTGTAGCACCCTGCCAAACTGGAAGCCGACTACCAGTCAGAACAGGGATCGACCACGTAGATTGCTAGATTGCGATTAGCTCAGGACGAGGGCCGGCTGGAGGAGACGCTGTACAAGATTGCGGGTTGCGGTGAACAGTCGCAGGCAAAAGAAAGTCTCATCTGGAGCCATTATCCAGAAGTGAGATTCAAAAGCAGGCTCTCCAGATGGCAAAATCGGGAGGGATAAGATATCTCTTGGGGGGACGAAATGAGCTCGAGCATGGCCATTCTGATCGGATGAGAGACACTTTGTCCGCAATTCTGGGACATGGTGAACAGGCACAATGAGTGGGCTGCAATCGCATGGCGAGGTGGAGTGGCATCTGGAGGTGCGAGGAACGTGGTTGAGCGTGTGGCTAGAAAAGCTCGACATTGGTAAAAGGGGCCTGGGCTTTTGTCGCCATCCCGTCGCTCACTGCATACTCGGTAGGTATTCGGCTGTTTCCCTCCTCTTGTAATTTTTGGGGGCCTGCCGTTTGCAGGGCATGTCAATCGGTGATGGTTCTAGGGCGAATGGTTGAACCAGGTGGTTTTGTGACGCTTTGTGCCTGGACAATGGTTATGTATGAGTGTGCCTTTTGAGGGTGAATTCCGCGTGGGGGAGGGAGAGGCGCATAGGTAGGCTGGGCTGGCTGGCTGGGCAGAGAGATACGTACTCGCTAATACCCTCTCTGCCTCTTCATCTTCATCCTCATCCCCATGCTTTTTTCCTATCGAGTCCAGTCGAGAAGTTGGGCACGGTGTCTGTCCGCTTTGCATTCCTGGCACACGAAAATGGTTTTGTGCATCAAGGGCAGCCTTCATTGATAGGTCGGTACAAGGTCAATTCGCCTACTGTTGGAAATGACGATGTCGCTGTTCTTTGACAATACAGCAGCCACTACTTACTATGACAGAACATGTATTTTTATCCAAGCAACTGCGCCCCATTATTGTGTGTTGACCAGCCGTCCTCGCACTCCTACAGTACTAAACCCCCCACGTCTCTCACATCATGTCCAGGAATGGACCGCGAGAGGTCACAGTTGTACAGAAGTTGCACCACTGAATGCCCAGAGCCGCCACTGTCAAAGTTTCGATCCATGCCATCGCCAGTTCGAGGCCGAATTTGGAGACTTGCCGCCTGTGGCGCCATGACCAGCACATGTCGTTTTTGCTTGGAACCCGTCTTGATCACATTAATTCGCCAAGGGGATTTGACAAGGTAATAGATTCACGCCGATCAATAACAAGACTGCTGAGGCTCTGATCACGGGGAGGAAACCCCCTCCCGGTAGTTGAAGCAATTCAATTCCAACATCATTCGTGTCTCGATAGCAAGATACTAATCGCGCTCAGTAGACCTCCTGAGACATGTGGATCCACACTGAGAGCAATTCCTGAAACCGCGACTCTTGGTTTGCTTTGATTGCCCAAGAGCAGAAGAGAAAGAAAGAAATCCCACTGTTCCACCAGTTCGTGCCACAGACATAAAACCTGTATGTATTTGAATTGGAAAGCCTTGAGGCAAGTCTCTCTGCATCCATTCCAGTCCCAGGGCTGGTCGCCAAATAATAAACCGACTCCAGTAGGAAACTTGTCATGATCCTGTAGAGCACAGCATTTGAGCTGTTGCTGGTGAATAACCGAGGAATCTATTCTGAACATGTCGACGTCCATGCAGCGTGGCCGCCTTCAACAACTGCCGGAAGCCTTGCCTGAACCCTATGCCGCATCCATATTGCTCCATCACCGAGGTGTTCTCTGGTCGATCTGGTCATCTGAAGCTCTTGTTGTGTGGATGGCTGACTAGCTGACGGGTACTTCGCTGGGTCGATTGTGCTGTTCGACGGGTTGTTTCGAATTCTTCCAAATGTAGCCGGCGAGCTCGTCACATGCAACCACATGATACTTCCCGCTTTTGGCAACCTTCAGATAGGGATTTGATGTCTTGCTGCATATAATGCTGATATCTTGGAGGCTCTCAATGGCTTGTCGGTCCGCGTCGTCAATATCAACCGACATCTCTAGATTGCAATCCTACAGGAAACTGGTCAGTACACGTCTTCAGAAGGGTTTCACGTGTGGGTCGACTCACACATTTCCATGTAAGACGACGATGAGTCTTAGGAGGTTTGGGTCGGATCAATTGGTTGATAAGATCCTCAAGTCGGTCCCCGCTCCCGGAATCGCCTTGGGCAGCAGTTCCAGAAGGCTGTTTTCCTCCTTGTAACGGGGGCGGTGCGAGGTTGTAGCCTCGCCTTTCAGGGGGTGTTGGTGGAGGCTGGAGCTTATTCTCAGGCGAATCAGGGGTTGTGACTGATACAAGCGCCGCCGCCGCAAGCGCAGGCGCAATGGCCTGTCCAGCAGCCGAGCTTCCAGGTGCAGGCTGAAGCAGTGGCACGGAGGGGGCGCGAGGGGTACCATTGGGGCTCATGGTATTACTGAGTCGACGGGCTTCTTGGGGACTATCAAGCTTGGGATAGTTGCTTTCTGATTCTGGTCGTCGGGATGAGGCACTCAGTGATGGGGACTGTTCGAGGTCACGAGAGAGACCATCAGAGCTGGGAGCATCGGTCATGGTGACGTCCCTGTCCCTGCTCGAGTAAGGTCGTTCACTGATCGTAGGAGGTTGGTCGACAAGGACATGACGGCCGTTACCCGCGTCCTTGATAATGCCTTCTTGAAGAGCCCAATTGGTCAGATCTTCATCCTCCCGTTCTTCCTTGGCTTCGACGATGTCGCGGGAGAAATGGCCCCCGACATGCTCCATGCGCTCGTTCCAGCTGCCTTCCCCTTCAAAGACCCTGCCACAGAAGCCACAGGTACTGCGCTGGGGAGGTTTTCTTTTCTCCATCCAGCAGCGGTTGCGCACTTCCTCAAGACTGTCCTCAAAGGCTCTCCAATCCTTGTCGCCGGCGTTACCAGGAACGATTGGGCCTGAGCCTGGACCAGTCTCAGGCTTGTGCATGCGTCGATGATGCTGGGTGAAGAGATCCTTCCGATTGAAGTCGTTGTAGACTCGTTTATGGTTGGGAACATTGGTGTTTAAGTCGGGGTTGCACGAGCCGACATCGCAACGGTAGAATCCCAGCTGAAGGTGCTGGATCGAGACATGACGCTTCCACTCGTTCTTGGAACTCAAGGCAACATCGCAGCCATAGTGGGAGAACGAGCAGATGAATTTGCGCTTCGCGGGTTCCGACCGCTTTGCTCCAGAACCGGGCGATTTGCGCGCACGAGGCTTCACGACGCGCCCGGGGTGGGTATCAGAACCGGAAATTGATTGCAAAGAGTCCTTTCGGGGACGTGGTTTGATGATGCGATCTGACGGGCTTCCACGTAGAGATGCAGACGTAATGTTGATGTTCGACTCACTAGCCATGATGGATGAGAAGACTTTGGAGTGAGACTTCTGGAGTGGTGTGGTTTTGGGGGGATGGGTGGTTGAGAAGCGGAGTTGGGCGAGTCAAACCGACGAGGCGTGGCAACGAGGCGCGACACTGACGAGGCTTCGGGGGACTCGGGTCACTGTGGCGTCTCAATCAACATGGACCATCTTCTGACGGTCTAAGCGGTCAAGAGAGCAAGGTCGACGACCGGCGCAGTCGAGTTCAGTGATGAAATCGATGAAGGGCTAGATGAATTCCCAGTAGGTGAACAGTACCGCGACCGAGAAAAGCTGGGATCAAGTACAAGCTTGTGAAAAATGTGGCGAGGCCGCCAAGAAGACGGTGGGTGAAGGAAAGGTGGAAAAGGGAAATGCAGACGCAGGTTTCACGCGAATAAAGGTGCGTTGCTGGCGTGGGCTGCAGAAATGTGATGAAACCACACACAGGTGGACAATGTCTGGAAGGGAGAAGAGGAAGAGGAAAAGGTGGGAGGGTGAGAGGAATTCGAACGAAGAGAGGGGATGCTGCAGCAGTGTGCAAATGAGATAGTAGAGGGGGGAAGAGGCTAGGAACTGGACAAGGCTTTAGCCTGAAATAAGGCTGCGGAGGGACCCTATTTTTCACTGAACGAGGCACGGTAACTCGACAACTGGGAGGTGGGCAGGCAGCGCAACGCGCAGGGTGGCCATCTTGCCATTGCGCACTTGCAATCAGCCTCAGGCATTTATTCTCGTCAGGCTTCAAGAGATTGTCACTGGCTGGGTCTGAGAGAAGCTGCTTGTACGAGTTACTCCGAACCAACCTTCTTTTTTCTCTCTCTCTTTCCTTTCTCCAAACTCAACAAGCATGCGTGGATGCACCAGATCTGTCTCTTCCCTCCGTGTTTACCCTAGATACGTACCTATCTCGTATCAATTGCACCATCCATCCATCACCTCATCCCCTAACATTCAAACCTCAAACTTAGCATACCGCCATCGTGGACAGGAATCGTGGACAGGAATCAGTGACGGAATCAAGCCACGGCTTATCGTCCACAGATTTGCACAACCCACAGAGTAGTGGCAAGGCCCCAATGCCAGCAAAGCTCCCTCGAATCCAAATGGGCAGAGATCTGCCGAGGCTGCACGACAAGGTGTGGTGCGAAAGCCACCCCAGCGAGGGTCTGCATGGCGAGGGAAAAGAGGGGGGGCGCAGCCCAACACACCGAGACACTATCCAAGGAAACACGCCGCGACAGGCTCTGGCGGGACAAGGCTTTGGAGAAGGGCCAGGGAAGACATGATTGACTGGCCAGGCTAAAGCGCGGCCTTCCCACAAAAGATACTCCCTCCGAAAAGGCTAACTGAGAGACCAATGGCGACGGCAAACCGAGTCATTGCCTCCTCCTCCCCCCTAACAGGAGGGCAAGCCAGCCCATGAACTACTCATCAGCCCATCAGCACCAAATGCTACCGAACAGACACGAAGATTAAGGGATTCGAGGCCACCCTCCATCAAATCACAGATTTCCACTTGACCTTCCAAAAACTGCTGGCCACCACTCGCCGTTGTGCATGTCGCATTTGCCTCACTCCCACCAAGACCACTTGATCATGCCCAAGTGCGTTTGCTTCGGTCAATCCAGTTGCCAATCAATTCGTGTTGTCAGTGAGTGTACCGAGTGTACATGATGACTGATGCTTTTCAGGTCACTGATTCCCTTTTTTATCCTCTCAGCCTGGTCACTTCAAATGTGTCACCTTTCAGCCTCCCCAACAAGGCTATGAAAGCCTTACCCCAGGTTAACGACTTGTGTGATTGTTGCCTCACGATCCGACCTGGAGTATGCTGGTCTTATTACGAGGAATTTCCGACTCGGCCCCCCGATGGGACCCCGATGACTTTGTCAGACTCAGCTCCCCTCACCCTGGTGTCAGGACTTTGTGGGTTTTCTCGGCACGACTATACCGAGTACATACCGTCAACGACGAATATGTTGGTACTCGATATACGCGCAATGGGTCCTATACTTGTTACATACGAAGTATTCGGTATAGGTCTCCCTCTGCGAGACGGCTCCCAGATGTGTCAAAGCAATGGACAGCGTGCCAGCCGCAGCCTCGGCCCACTTCGTTGAGCAGGTTGGCTCTCCACTCTGATATCGGAATTTCCCAGCCACATGTCGGAATCGACTAGACGTATTGCACCTTCCCTATTCAATCTCGGGATGGATGTCGTGTTATCGCAAAGTCAAGCAAACACACCCACAACCACCATCACAATCACAATCACAGCTTTTAGATGACCCGAGGTACCATCAACTATTCCGAGAATGGAGATTGAGCCTTGGACCATTGCCGATGCGGGCCAGCCATGCTCTCCCGTCGGGAAATTGCACCCCAAGTCCATCGACACTCGACACAACTCTCTCTCCTGTCTCTTTGTCTGACCTTTCCTGTACGCGGGATAGCCCTCTACCCCGCACTTGTATTGGGGCACAAGCACAGACCAAGTCGACCTGCTCGTGGCAAAGCCTTTAGACCTTCGTCCTCTCACTCGTGGGAATTTGGCGGCCTCCGAAGCGAATTTCCCACCGTCCACGCGCGGAATTTCGGCTGGAAGTCACGTTGCATCCGCCAAGCGACATTTTCATTCTTCCATCCGAACTGAATGCGGAGAATAGATTCTCCTTCTCCGCGCTTTCCACCGTTTGTTGGCAGGGCTACGGTACAGCCTTTTTGCAAAATTCTCTGCCTCTTCTCCGCCTCTTATTTTCTCCTACGTAACTCATTCCTCCTTCGACCATTCCATGACACATAGTTGATTCTTTCTTTGCAACAACATCCAATCTTTTTGACGCCTTCTGACACTCTGCCAGGAAGTCTCAGCACGTCCAGGATTTTCAGTTGCTCGTGATCATGAAAAGAGTTGATGCAATTGCCCAACTTCGCCGACAACTGATGTCACTCCCCTGATGAGCATGACGCTTGGGATAGCCACGTCGTCTACGTGCTGCTTTTTCACCAATCGTACAGCCGACCGGCCCCTTCGCTCCCCTTGAGCAAACTGAAAATTTTTTCCCACTGCTGTTCTAGTATGGAACCCTTACCCCAGATTCTGTGTTTATAAAAGGCCCAGACTGTCTGGGAATCCGGGGTTGGTCTATCACATGGAACAAGCATTGATATAAGCATTCCGAGTTTACTTTTGTTCAAAAAACATAATCTTATCTATAGATTTCCCTTCACAGAGATCTTTACTTCGATATCAAGGGCGTATCAAGTCTTCCTTCCGCGCCTACTGCAACAAATTTGTCAAGGCAACCAGAAAAACACAATGTCTGCTACTGGCCGGACTTCCGTGTCCTCCAACACCTCTGCATCGTCCGTTACTGAACCCTTGCCTCGACAAGTCTCGTCAATTTGCTATCCAAAGGGCAAGTGGTACGATTGCCTTCGTCCAACAACCACGCCTTATGCAGGCTTTGGCAACCTGACCAATTTTGCGAGCATGTCCAGCAACGGATCTGCGGAAGCAGCTGGAGAGGGTTGGACGAGGGAAGTCTACGGAAAGATGAAGTGATACTATGGACTTTACGGACGACAAGGACATGGGAGGGTCTTTCGGGCCTCGAAACTACCACGAACTACTACTTGGCAATGTGACTGTCACCCTCGCCTTGGTGGCCTTGACCCATGCTGAGATACGAGGCTGAACGCGACGACTTTTTTTCAGGATCAAACCGGCACGAGGGAATAATTGAAACTACGGATGACTGAACGTGCGCTGGGCTTTCTTTTTTTTTGTTTTACTAGCATGTTGATCGATCCAAAGCTGTGTTCTACCAAGGTTTAACGATGGCGTTGACAGGTGCTGTCGCCTTCTTCATGAGTGATGCGCAATATCCTTTACGCGTTCTCCAAAGCTGGGTCTGGACATGGAATGACGGGCAAATGGAGTTTACCTAGATAACAGCCGCTAGCAGTAACTTTGCTTGATCCAGCTTTAACATTCTGGTTCTTTGGAATGACCCATCTACCGATGATCTTATTGTATCATACTCTATCTGCCTTGTTTTACAGGTCCGTCGCGATATCCAGCGACATTATCTTGATATTGTGGTGATAGCCACTTATTGTATCTCACCGTTTGGGTCTCTATCGCCCGAGGGTCGATCAGCACGATCCAAAACGGCATCGTCCTTCGTTTCTTCCATCTTTCCAGAGGAGTCGATGGCAGAGCCCGGATCAGGCATATCTGTCATTTCCGCATCTTCGGTGTTGGAAACTGTGGCTATCTCTGGCAAATCTGATGCTCGCTGCTGCGAGCCCGTCTCCGGATCAGGCACCGTATTGCCTGTCTCTTCTTCGTCTTGTGGTTGTGTTCCCGCATTGTCGCGGCGGTTTCCTGCCTCTTCCTCAGTTCCATTCTCGCCCCCTTCGGCCTTTGCTCTGTTCTCTTCCGCTTCAGCTTCAACTTCTCCGCCTTTCTCGGCTTGGTCGTCAAGGGTGTCCGCTCCCAGCAGAGCCTTCAAATCACCACCATACTGGACCTTCTCACACATAACGAACCGATTCTTGCTGGCACGCAATGCCCTCCACACCTTTCCAGCCTTTCTCTCCTCAATCTCTTTTTTCTCGTCCTCCGTCATCGCAAAGTCCATGTCCAGGTCATCCCTGTCAATGCCCCTGTAGTATTCCTCCAAAGTGGGCACCCGATGGCGTTTTGATGGATGCTTGAGGGCTTCGAGAGGTTCAATTTTCGAAAGAAACGCTAGGTCATTTGCCCCTGATGGATTGACAAGGGGTGCTCGCGCGGCCTCAGCCAGCTTTGTAAGCGTATCACGAGATTCGAGATAGATCCGTGGCGAGACACTGTCGCGCGATATTGATGGACAGTTTTCAGCTTTCCATCGTACCCAGTTTTTGTCTCTCGACAAGATTGTATCAACCATGCGGTAGTAGAACTTGCCTTCGTTGCCGTTTCCACCTTGTTGTAAATAAGCTGCGATTTGAGAACGAGTCGAATGTGCCCATTTGGTGTCATCTTCAGAGAGTATGTAGGAGTATAGCACGGACTTGTTAGTCAGGCCTTCAAATTTCGTTTTAACACCTGGGGAGAGACTGAGCAGGAAGTCGAGCATGATCAGTGCCTGCACAAGGATGTGTCTGCGAAAGGCAATATCATGAATTTCGAGATCAAATAGATCTCTGTTTGTCAGATATTTGGGGCTGAACGTTGAAGTCAAGGCTGATGTCTTGTCAACCTCATTGCGCTTGCGCTTCAAACCGCGTTTGACATCGGTAGGGTTAGTAGAAGAGCCAGAACTATTCGAGACAGACTTGAAGCAGGCGAGTGTCTGTCCGATGCCGTCTCTGAACGCACCCATGTTGGCGGAGTCGAAAAGCTTCGTTGGTGCAGAAAAGAAGGATTGGAGCGACCAGAACTTGGGATACAGGACGTCGAGATCGGGGGGCTGCTCTTTAGGCTCGGACGTGGAGTTCTTCGGAACTGGTGTGTTTCTTGCCGCCTTATCGTGATCCTGAACTTGACTGCTCGACGCAGGAGTATGGGTTCCAGAGGTTGCTTGTGGTGTGCCGGTGTCGATTTCCATCGGCTTGATCGCATCTTCCGATTTGATAGGTGTCGGATCGAAGGCAGTAATGTTCTCCACGTGAAATTCACCACGTAGATTTACCGAGCTCTTGTCGCCGAGGGGAAAGCTCTGGAAGAGGAATATGAAGACTCGTCCACAAAAGACGGTGTCTTCAGCCCGCGATAGCCTCCTGAGTAGCTCATTGCAACATCTCAGAATGACCAAGTTCTTCTGTTTAAAGTGCTTCGCCGTCATCCTTTCTCTCCGCGATTCCAGATAGTCGAAGACCTTCCTGCAACCCTCAATCGTTTGGCTGTCCAGCAGCTCTTCGATGAGCCAGAAACCCAACCCCGGTTCGCACAATTCGTTGTCGGATAGGATGTTGATAATGTCCAGAAGCACCCAGACCCGGGCGAATGCCGGCGCTGAGATATCAACTGTCGCAACTATGTCAACAACAGTGTCGCGACAGACTGTTTCGACTGCGGCATTGTGTATCTGGATTGTCTCCGTAGGGACTGTATCACGAACAGCTTTTATGCGGTCAAGCAGCTCCGCGCAGTCTGCCTCAAGAACGAGGGTATCAATGTCACCATCCTCCCGTGCTTCAGTAAGGCGTTGAATGCAGGACTCGATCAAGGATTTGTAGGTTGCGACGCAGGGAACGTTTGTAGCTGCCATGTTGTCGCGGGGTCGGTGGTCGGAGAGGTGACTGTTGGTCCGTTTACATCAGGAGCAAGGCCGTTCGACCCTAACAAGCATTGAGGAGGGATTGCCCTTCACGTAGAAAGCGTCATCGTCCTGGAAGGGTGGATGATGGATTTGCGGCACAGGCGTGGCAGGCAAGGCAGGTCCAGGAAACATAAACTATGCGGCTCTGCGGAGAAATTAAATTCTCGGCGCAGTTTGTACTAAACTCCACAAGACTCGTTGTCCAACCTGCGCGTGACGTTTTTTTGTACCCACGAACCACGTCTTTTCATGGTCAATGGGCCTTCAACTACGGCCGGCGATGGCTCCAGCCCTCGATGTGCAAGCCGGTGTCAGCGTCCCGAGTGAAAACGGTGTCAACAGCTGGGAAGAGCTGGCTAAAAAACTGTGGTGGGATAGAGATACTGCACCTACGAAGGTCAAACCAGAAGTGATCAAGACAGCAATTTGGGATCCTCTCGAACAGGACTCTTTCCCATTCAACTCTCTCGCTGTCCTTGAAAACCATCAGATTCTCGAAAAATTTCTGTGGCCGACCTTCTCGTCGGAGTCTTCCAACCACCATGTCTTGCTCATCGTCGTCTTCTTTAATGTGAAGCAACGCGCTCGGCTCCACGACTGGCTCTTGTTCAACAACCGCCCGGCAGAGTTTTCAACCCTCCTTCGTCGAGTCCTCTCCTTGAACCTCGATCCCTCTTTATCCATCTTTCCCCGATTGTCGCTCCTCCATTTTGTGCTCGGTGCGTTTCAGTCACTGGAAAATGAGCACGTCCGCAAAGAGTGCGCTCCACTGGTATCGATCGCAACATGGCACAATCTACACGACGAAAGAACAAGGGAACAACTACTGGAGTCGAGCGCGGCAAGGAAAAAGGCGTGGAGAGCCGCTGCGCGGAGATATGATGCGGCTGATCCAGAAGCTCAAAGCCGTTTGCGCTTCGATCGAGCATGGTTGTATACGATGCTGATTGATTTCACTGCAAGGCTCAACGTGTCAAAACTTGCCCACTCTCAAGAAATGGTCTATTGTGAGCGATTTGTGGAGTTCTTAATCGACCTGACAAGTCAACTGCCCACCAGACGGTACACGAATCTACTATTGAAAGACGCGAACATTATCCCCGTGATCCGAACATCAAAGCTGTATCAAAGAGAGGACGCTGTGCTCTTGCAAGACTTGACCCGTCTGCTCGAACATTTCCAGTTTTTTGCGATTGATGAACTGGGGGGTACAGAAGAAAGTCATGATGGCTTGCGCAGAGCACACTATCAAGCCTTGGAAAAGCTGCAGCGAGTGGCGCTGCAGCACTTTGGAGACAAATTAAAGGTTTTGGCACTGTCGAACTTCGGATCCATTGACAAAAGAAGCGAGCTGGAATCTCACTTTTCTACATTGACGGATACCGAGCTGCAGGAGCTGTGTGTGCAGCTTGGGTTTCGAACCAGTTATCCCCCGGCTGCGGGAATCGTTGCAACTCGAGCGCTCTTGATGGAGGTTCTCTTGTCAACCTTCGCCAAACCTCGAGACTTCCGCGAGGTTGTTGGTCAGCTAGCAGTTCTGCCCACGGCTAGCTCGCTGTATGACCCAACTTTACTGGGGAACGAACACTATGATGGCTCCCGGCCCCTTGGAATTCCCAAGCTTAACCTGCAATATCTCACTCTTGGTGATTTCATGTGGCGGTCATTCCAGCTCTATCAAGCCGAAGCTTTTTATGGAATAAGGAAGGATATGGAAAGCATTATCAAGCGGATGAAGCCGAAAGGCGGGCGGGATCGGAGCACGACAGCCTTTGAAGGGGTTTCGAAAATGGCTCTTCCGATCGCAGAACCTGCAGTCATTGAAGTCGGGCCGCCGAAAGTGGGATATCTGAAGCCTAGCTTTGTGCGAGTCGAAGTCATCCTGGACGTTAGCCGCCTTGCGGATGGTATCAGAAGAGAATGGGACAATCTCAAGCCACACGACGTTGTGTTTCTCTTGGCGGTTGATGCGACCAACTCTTCTCAGCTTCTTACCAATGGCCAGGCCAACGATCACGGCGAACAAAGAATGTTCACCAGTCTTAGAGCGGCTGAAGTAGTCCAGATCCTGGACGATGATGGGAGAGCTCTGAGAGATACACGAACAAACGGGCATAGTTCAAGACCTAAGAGGAGGCGTTTGCTACTCGATTTGGACACAAGCTCATACGCTGTCGACAAGCAGAAATCACGCCGATTTGCCTCAGAAATCGCGTCACTGAACGTCATCGCTCGTAGACAGGGGCGAGAAAACAACTTCAAACCTGTTCTGGAGACAATCCAAACTCTAGTGTCTTCAGAGACTGTGCTTCCACGGTGGCTACAAGAAGTCTATCTGGGTTACGGTGATCCAAAGAGTGCATCATTTCCAGCACTTCCGAATCACATCGACTCCATGGACTACCTGGACACATTTCTTGATTGGCAGCATCTCCTGGACAGTTTTCCGGGAAAGACAATTGAAGCAGGCGCTGGACAGTCGGCTCCCTTTGATCCGCCTTATATTCTCGAACGCGCGACGACGGTCGCTTCAGCCGAACCACCGCCAAACCCGAAGAAGAGACGCCGTGACCAAATGGAGCAAGACTCATCCATGCTCAAAGTTTTGACCTACAAACCTCGTAACACGGGACCATATCCAATGGACAACCCAAAGAAGAACACGATTCGCTTCACGGCGAAGCAGGTAGAAGCCATTGTGTCTGGCACGCAACCTGGTCTCACCATCGTAGTCGGGCCCCCTGGAACGGGCAAGACTGACGTTGCAACACAAACCATCAACTTACTCTACCACAATTTTCCATCCGAGAGGGTCTTGCTTGTTGCTCACAGCAATCAAGCGCTTAACCAGCTTTTCCAGAAAATCATTGCGCTTGATATCGATCCACGCCACTTGCTGCGACTAGGCCATGGAGAAGAGGAGCTTGATACGGAGGCATCCTACGGTAAATTTGGTCGGATTGAGTCCTTCCTGGAGAATCGCCAATTCTATCTGTCCGAAGTCAGCCGACTTGCCGCTTCAATTGGTGCTGAAGGAGCACATGGTGCTTCGTGTGAGACTGCCGACTATTTCAATCAGGTCTTCATTAGACCTGCTTGGCAACGCCTCTGGGATATCATTAATGCTGAAAATGCCACGGTGGAGTCCGTCCTGAGTTCTTTCCCCTTTTACAAATACTTCAGCAACGCTCCAGTTGCAACGTTGTTCCCTCCGGATGTCACAATTGAAGAAGCGCGGGAGATCATATCCGGCTGTCAGTATCATATCGACAAGATCTTCTCCGAGTTAGAGGCTATCCGACCTTTTGAGATTTTGCGCGCCGGTCGTGATCAAGCGAACCATCTCCTGGTGAACGAAGCACGGATCATTGCCATGACATCAACACATGCGGCCATGAGGAGATCCGAGATAGCTGAACTGGGCTTTCATTATGATACTTTGATCATGGAAGAAGCAGCACAAATCACTGAAATCGAAACCTTTATTCCATGTGTGATGCAGGACTCGGATCCCCAGACTGGTGAAATGCCCTTGAAGCGGATCATTCTCATAGGAGATCACCTGCAGAACTCCCCCATTATCCAGAACCTCGCTTTGCGCCAGTATGCCAACTTCGAACAGTCCCTCTTTCTACGCCTCGTCCGCCTCGGTGTCCCAACCATCCACCTTGATCAACAGGGTCGCTGCCGGCCCTCAATTGCCAGGCTCTTCAAATGGCGCTACCACAACCTGGGTAACCTAACTCACCTCGTCTTGCAGCCAGAGTTTTCACGCGCCAATGCAGGCTTCCGTTATGATTACCAGTTTATCGACGTACCGGACTACCAAGGGAATGGCGAGCGTGAACCTACACCGCATTTTATCCAAAACCTCGGAGAGGCTGAATACGCAGTAGCATTGTATCAGTTTATGCGCCTGCTTGGATACCCATCACGAAGTATCTCGATCCTCGCTACCTATGCCGGTCAAAGGGCATTGATACGTGACGTGCTCGAGCATAGGTGCAGGAACAACTCGCTTTTTGGAATGCCGAGGATCGTGACAACGGTCGACAAGTACCAAGGCGAGCAAAATGACTATGTCATTGTGAGCATGACGAGGACGCGGTCGGTCGGATATCTCAGGGATGTCCGAAGATTGACTGTCTCACTGTCCCGTGCAAGGCTCGGATTGTATATCCTTGGCCGGAGGGAGCTGTTTGAAAACTGCTTCGAGATGCGGCCTGCCATGGACATCCTGCTGCAAAGACCGGATAAACTCATCGTCACGACCGATGAGATGTTCCCTACTACTCGCTTACTTGAGGATGAGGTAGAAAACACATCGGAAATGGACGGGGTGGAGCATCTGGGTCAATACGTGTACGAAATGACCCAGGCAAAGGTTAAGGCTTTGGGTGGACAGGTTAATGTTCAGGTTGAGGCAGACGAGCAGGATGGTGATGTGGGTGAGGAACTTGGCGCAGACGTGGGGGAGGAGGATCCGTTACATGAGATTAGTTAGGCCGGACTGATAGTGAAGGCGAAACTCCAAGATACCCAATACCGAAGCAACTTGATCTTTGTTTGTACAGGAGTGTTTGACGAGCACTCTGCAGGCCTTTGTGAGGTGGTTAACACCACGTGGGCTCGACCGATGCCAATTCAGCGTTTTCATAAACGTCTTCCCTTCTGAGTCTGCAGACGCGTGTCCTTATTTCACTGCACGCGATTGAGGAGGTACAGGTACAATACCCAGGGTGTTGGATGCTGTGCCGGAGGGCGAGGGATCTCCATCATGTTTTTAGGCACGATCACGAATAAATGTCACCTGAAACACGCGTACAGTGCAATGCAGTCAAAATGTTCCATTCAGCCGAAGAACGCCTAGTGGCCATGTCATGCCTCGTGGTATGTTACTCATGTTCACCCTGCCATAGCACATCATTCCAGTGTGCCGTATTGTATCACATATCAGCCCGTTCTCTTGCCACTCGTGGTACTCTTCTGGAGTCACTCCCCAATGTCCACAGAGATATACAGTGAAATGCCGTCCCGTTGATCAACAAGAATCGATTCGTTCCATCGCCCCTCTCGTTGTGACTCAACAAATCTTAGAAGACGATGGGGAGCTATGCTTTGGTCGTGAAGTCCGTCTCCGTTGGGAGCAATCCACCATCAGCGGCCTTTTCGCATGTGCAGCTACTCGAGTCCCTCTTGCCACAGGCGCATGTGGCTCCCGTAGGCGCAACATTCTCCGTCGCGGCTCGATCGCAGGTACATTGGCCGGCAGGGCGGGCTCCTTTATGTCCGGTCAGTTCGCTTGTTTTTGCATGAAAGGGGGGAGTCATGACGGAGGTGTCAAGCAGGGTAGAACATACTACACGAGCATCGTGGTCCTTGCAAGGTGTTCTCTTGGTTCTTCTTTTCGCAAGTGCAGTGCATAGCGGAGGTTTTGCCGCACGAGCAGGTAGCCTTCTGAGCGCAAACGCAGGCGTCGCTGCGACCACAGCATGTGGTTGGTTTGACCATGGTTGCGGGTGAGAGGTTTTGTGTTCGTTTGGTGGGAAATGTTGTGTTCTGTTCAATGGTTGTTCTGCCGTGGAATGGGACGATAGATGCAATCGAAGTCTGGTTGTGCAGGGAGAAACTGAAGAGATTGTTTCTGAGCGCAGGTGCGTGTCAACGGAGGGGATTATATGTTTCTGTGAATGACGTACCAAGGCTGAGGGCTGACAATTACTTGGGTGGTTATTGGTCAGCCTTGCTTGCCATGGAGCATCTTTGTGGTCGACACCAGCCAATAACGATCATTTTATTTGCAAGGAGACCCGTTACGAGTATTCATCCCATCGCAGGTGATTGTCAGCGGTGGTATGATCTTCCCTTTTGTTGCCCCTTCGGCCAACTACAACAGACTCCGCTCACCTTATATGTCATGGATACGTCCCTTACAGAAGTCTTTGGTTGCAGAACGAAAAGAAGGGCATCTATTGATATGGTCTCAGCACACGCTTGCTACTGCTGGCCTCCTGTCACACCATTTCCTCGATGAATCCAACCAGCCATATGCACCTCGTAGACTGCAACCTTCCCTGAACATGCACGCGTTTAGCATTCTCCCTTCGACATTGCCTTAGACCTGCTTCGAAAGAGTCCGCCTCAAAGTCTCACCAGACAAGGGTTTGCCACACTCCTCGCAGCAGTCCGCAAGCTGGGGCCGCCCGCTCAGGATATCCACCGTCTCCTTCATCGACAGCCAGAATTCACTCTTAGGCCTACGATCCTCCCAGTCGGTACCTGTAGCTTCCAGACCTGTAGCGCCCCCCATCGGAGTGAAAACAACTTCAGAGCCTTGGATACCAATGACAGCTACTGACAACGGGTCGTCTGCAATCCAGTCCTTGGACTTGCCGGTAAACCGGTCCTCGATATGTTGCATACACTTGATTGCCATTCGGAGGGCACGGATTCGATCCATAGGCGAAGGCTTGCCACCCTGTTGATAATGACCAGGTACGGCTGCTCGAGACTCGAACCGACCCCGGGCTTCCTCTTTGATCATATCGGCAATTACCTGTGTCGTGTACGTGGTACTAGCTCTTTCATTTCGAAGGATGATTTTACCCGCTCTCGACGCTCCTTGATCGTTCTTGAAGTTCTCTCGTAGGAACTCAATATCCCTCGCAATCATATGGATATTGATTCCTTCCTCGGGGATGTACACCGCGAGCGCGCCAACCGAGAGACCGGCCATCGTCGCAAGATAACCGGACCGACCTCCTTGTGTCTCGATGACGAACACCCTTCGCCTTGACGATGAAGCAGACTGCCGAATGGCGTCGCAGAATTGGATCAGCGTGTTCAAGCACGTATCACTGCCGATAGAGTATTCAGTGCCAGGGACGTTGTTCGATACTGTCGCAGGTAGCACAACCAGCGGGATCTTGAAAACCTCATACTGTTCTCGCGCCTTTCTCAGTTCACTTGCGGCAGTGAAAGCTTCAAACCCACCAATCAGAAACAGTGCATCAAACTTGTATATCCCGAAGCATTCAGCGGTTTTCCTCATGTCCGCACTCGGTAGTCCACGGTTCGTGCCGATTTCAGAGCCCCCTTCGTTGACCCATGGATCTACGTCGATCCACCGACACTCACGTACAGATCCTAGCGGCTTATCGTCGTGGTGTCGTTGGAGACCTGGGAAGCCATTGTGGATCGCAATAGGAGTATGACCGCGAGTCAAGCAATATGCAACGGCCGCGCGGGTAGCCGGATTCATACCCCCGGCAGGGGCACCGACGTGTATAATGGCGATCCTCAGCCTCTTCTCCTTGGGTAAGAGCAGAGCAGGGTGATCCGTGGAAGTGGTGATGACATAACTGTTGTAGTATTCCTTGAATTCGACGTCGCGCAGCTGCATAGCTTTGTCAAAGTCCTTGGCCGCGATAGCAGCACTAACCGACTTGGTCAAGGCTACTGTCTCCATTAGGTTGGAGCGTTCAATCTTGTTCTCCCGGATTGTTATGACTGGACTGGGTGTGCTTGGAGTAGCTTCTAGGACAGCTTTCACAGCTTCGACGCCTTGCAGTGTCGACAGCCAACGGTCGTAGAAACATGCGTGTCCACCACGTTGTGTATGGCCTAAAACCGTGACGCGTGTATCAAGCTTGAGCTTCTGTGTTAGAAGATCTTTAACCTGGTTCGCAGTGATCCTGTTGAGTTCTCGATCGTGGGCCCCCTCCGCGATGATGACAATCGACCTTCTCTTGCCTCTCCGTCTGTGGGTGGCGATTATATCGCACATTTGATCTTCCCAACCAACCCGAGGAGGTTTTTCGGGAATGAAGACGAAGTCAGCGCCTGTAGCTATGGACGCCATGAGGGCTAGCCAGCCACAATGACGCCCCATGACTTCAATCACGAACCCTCGTTGATGGGAGGCAGCAGTGTCGAAGACGTCGTCGACCGCGCCGCAGATACGTTCGAGGGAGGAGTAACAACCGATGGTAGCGTCGGTACCAGACATATCGTTGTCAATGGAGCCAACTAGACCAACGATATTCAGGTGCTGGAAGGGGTCAACTTCTGCCTGGGTCAGCTCTCCAGTTTCCACCAGCTCTTTGAGTAGACTGGGCCATTCTGCTCTGAACTTGTCAGCACCAGTCAAGCTACCGTCACCCCCGCAGATGACAAGGGCATCAATGCCGCGCTCAACCATGTTTTTCGCTGCTTTCAGTCGGCCCCATCTCTCCATGAACGCCATGCATCTTGCAGTGCCAATCAGTGTTCCTCCTCGAGACAAGTATCCTCTCACATCTTCCCAGTGCATTTCTTTGATCAGATCGCCGCCTTGCACCAGGCCTTCGTAGCCTTCATAGATCGCATAAGACTCGCAGCCCATGTGGATGGACATACGAACAACAGCTCGCACGGCGCCGTTCATGCCAGGGGAGTCACCTCCGCTGGTCATGACACCAATTCGACGCTTCTTGGGAGGAGCGGGCACACCGTTGGCAGCCATTTTACTGGCAGCCCTAGGCAGTGGACGGGATTAGAGGGAATGGTCTGGGTTTCAGGCAGGGTTCTGGTGAGGGAATCGGTACAAAATGATTGAGGATTGCTTGACCGAGGGGCAGGGCAACGCGAAAGGTGCCCTTATTTGTACGGGAGGAGGAAAAAGAAACGTGAAGACTTGAGGCCAGAATGAGAGGATTGTGATAGTAATGATGAACTTATTAGAAGATAATGCAAGAGTCTATCAGCAGATAGCATACGAAGTCTGTCGTGCCGAGCAGCAACAGCTGAAGCCGCAGAACGTCATTCGTGTATCCCCAGTGCTTAGCAGCAGAACTATGAGTGGCTGTTGGGCGCCCGCAGGGCCTAGCGGCCTCACCAGCCCAAGCTCCAGCACCCCCACCATGACCGAGCCTGCCGATAGGCCCAGAGGCATCGCCCCGGTGACAGAGAGGGGCAGCAGAAGAAATTTTAGGTAAGAACAGTAGCGGCCCCCTAGTGCCCCAACTTACTATCTCTAGGCTTGTCACGGCCCTGGGCTCTCTTTCGTTACTGCGCGCTCGAGTTCGCGATCCAGATTTTCACCAATCAAAACATGCTCCAACCTTTCCACCTCTGCTTTGTAGGCTTGACTGCCAGTCATTTGATACAGTAATAACTTAGGCTTCAATCGAGAGGGCCTCCCTACGGACCACGGACTGATAAGAGGTTGCACACATTGCCCTGTAGTTGGTGCGGCACCAAGCATCATGTCTGAGTTGGACACCATCAGCCTGCTGATTCCTCCTGAGCCTTCGTCCAAACCCCAGGATCTCCAAGCGCAGATTCAACAGATTATCGCACAGAAAGGTCATTTTCGTCATTTCACCCAAAGTTCGCTCCTCGCCGAGATCCAGGGCAAAGCCACTGCGCCGGACGCAGTCCAGGTTGATCGGGACGATGAGCCCCAGGCCGAAGATGATACTCCGCAGAAGCGTCAGGAACGGGTTTGGAAGCGGCGAGATGAGATGCTAGAGCGCATCAAGTGAGTCTCCTTTCATCACCCATGATTGCGAAGTCTGACCCGTTACAGCTATGCACAAAACGAGGTCCTCTGCGCCCTAGACTTTGTGTCATTCTTGATTTCTCAGCAGTCAGTTCCCGCTCAGCATTCCATGTCGCCCGCCCTTCAACAGGCCGTTCCTGTCGGGACGCTGGCCTCGAGAGTTTTGAAAGACAGACCAATTCCTCCTTCGACGAAGCGGCGGCTGGCCGCTGTCTCTCAGGGCTGGAGGGCTGAGGGCTTCCATTCAGCATCCCAAAAGCTGGCGGCAGCTTCTGGTAGACTTCAAACCGAAGCTGAGCGCGAGGCAGAGTATTGGCACCAGATTGCTGATCTCAACAGCAGAGGATGGTCAGTTTCGCGACTTCCACGAGACCGCAAGGCCATTGGCGTACATTTCAGATTCTCTGAGTCTGCACCGCAATTTCGGGACCGAGGCTTCGCTCTTCTTCGACAGGGCTCTGATGGTTCAGTCGTTCTGGACCGACAGGTTGGGCTTAAGAAACGCAAACGGCTGGGCGTCTACGTTGTACGGGATGGCGTCAAGACAGGCGCTTTCGACCTTGAAACCACTGGGTCTTCCGGGACGACGGAACTTAACCAGAGCCTCAACGACTACCGCAATGCCATTTTCGAGGAAGAGCTGTTCTATGAGATATGCCGTGAAGCGCGTCTTGTGGCCAACCAAGGCATTACTAAGCGGTCGCAGAGCGTAGAGGTTGACGTCGGCGGCGAGTACCACTTATTGCTCGTGTCGTCCAGCGAAAAAGAAGATGTTACGTCTCCCAATGCTGCAGACAATTTGACAGCTCAATTCGTGGCCATATCTCTGCGGTTGTTGTTGATTGCTGCTCATGAGCAGAATCTGATCAGGCGTTCGCAAAAACCACCGCCAATGACCCCCAAAGCACGACCAATCCCAGAGTACGCGTTGCTCCGACCTATTTTGGCACATTTACGACACCGTGCAGAAGCGGCAACCTTTTGGGATAAGTGCAGAGCGTTGCTGGGTGCCTTCAAGCGAGCAGATCTACCGATCTCGGTGTCGATGGAGGGCTCGAGCACCACACTTTTCCAATCTCTGCAGATGGAACCACCCAACACCATGCTGGCAGGCTTGATGGTACCTGTAAAAACCAGCTTCAACATAGCCCTGACAGCACAGCGAAAGCTGCAGATCGGACTAGCCACAATTCTTGGACCGCCTCTGTTCGGCTCTCGCTACGAAATATCGTCGATTGATTTTGGGCTTGCAACCATAGCGTCATCTCACCATGAAACTCGCGACGAGGCGCTGTCGTTCATCCGACACATATTGTTGTTGGATCTCGTTGCACACAGTGAGACACTAGCCCTAGGGGTGCAAGCTGCGACCCGTTCAGAGTTGGATAAGAGCAAACAAACAGAATGGGCCGTCTCACAGCCGCACGACGGTGAGCTGAGCTTGTACGATGCTCAGGAGGCCATCGAGAAGCTGCAGATTTCGGTGCAACACGAAAGTATCTGCGTCAAGTTGAGCCCCGTGGGAAGGAGAAGCGGTGTCCAGAATATGTTGTGGTCATGGACATCGGCCGGCTGTTCCAAGACAGAGGGAGGTGTGACGAGTGTACAGCCTGATTTCACTTTTGATGGAGCAATAAAGCAGGCAATAGAGTGCAGTAGCCAGAGCAGTACTACTTAATCCGCCTGCGTCAGACTGAGCGCTGCACCGATTCTTCGAGGAATACGGCATACCCAGCTAGAGGGCAACAGGACTCGTTCGACGCGAGCTTCGTTTATATATGTGACACCACGATTGATATGCCGCTGTCATTACGTTGTTCTCTGTCCGTACTATGCTAAGGTAGACGAAGGTTCTCCAACGAAGCGTTCAATTTGTACCGTTCAAAGCGAGATCGAGAATTTAATTCGGGAATGATTGATACTGGCGGGGATAAAACATAATTCCATGTCTCTAAAATCCGTGAGATTACAACAAGATCATGACCACAAACAACCCCATCCGCATACGCCTCTAATAGTTTTGTAACATCGTCAGTCAATTACCGCCGCCGAAGATGCACTGGTAACTATTCATTCAAACCTCTGGAGTCTATGGCTCTTCCCTCAGTGAACGGAGATGGGCAGCCAACTCTACACAAACGACGTCGACCCGCTCGAACCTGCCAGGAATGCAGACGAAGGAAAGTGAAATGTGATCGATTGGAACCATGTGGCCATTGTGTCCTCACCCGGAAGCAATGCTGTTACAGCCATGAATCAGCTGCAGCCAGTCGAACCAAGAATGCCCGAGGGAATATCTCTTTGGTGTGTGAGCAACCATCCGGTCCCACACCACAGCCGGCTTCAATCTCTGCAACAGGAGGTACAGGGCCAAGTCCCGCCTCAGATGCTTCTCATCTCATGGTTCGTGCGCCAGAAGATCAACTCGCTGCCCAATCCTCTCGTGAGACAACAAGGTGGTCCGGCTCTTCGGCGACCACCGCCAATCTTGACAATGTTACAACTGGTCCACAGGATGGAAGTATTTGCTTGAATAAATCCAGGCTATTTGGCCAGAGTCACTGGTCAAATGCTACCCTTGAGGTCCGCCGTCCACGCCTCCCTTCCGCATATATCCAATGCCGATACTTAACTAACGCTCAACAGCTCCAAAAGACAGCGGCAGTCTTAAGTGCTGAAATTGGAAATGCCACGGACAATGAAAGTCTTGCACGACTGAAATGGGAGATTGGTTCTCTCCTTCAAAAATGCAAATATCTGTCCAAGGGTATCAAGTTGTCTCAACTAAGCAGGCACTCGTTATTTACACAAGCATATCCGTCCATCGCGAAGGAGTTCGCCGATCAGATGGTACACTTGTACCTTGCTCGCTTCGAGTCTGTGTTTCGCATCTTACATATTCCCTCGTTCTGGATCGAATACGAGCAATATTGGGGCGCTCCCACGGAGGCTGATACCATTACTCAACTCAAGATCCAGCTAGTTACCGCCATCGGAACTGTCGTTACCCAAGATGCTACCAAAACGACAGGCATCTATTCCACGGCGCGTCAATGGCTATATGCCGCTCAGGACTGGCTGGCTGGACCCATGAAAAAGAACCGCATCAGTATTGGTAGTCTGCAGGTTCAGTGCTTGCTGATCCTGGCTCGACAGGCTCTTTCTGTTGGGGGAGATGTCGTTTGGATATCGATGGGCACTGTCGTTCGGACCGCGATGCAAATGGGTCTACACCGTGATCCGAAACATTTCAAGAGTATTGGCATTCTGTAAGGCTCGCTGAACTTGCACAGTATTCCCGTGACTGACATAGTGTTGTTGATGCTAGTGAAAGCGAGGTTCGTCGAAGACTCTGGGCGACCATCCTGGAGCTGGATATCCAGGCAGCCTTGGACGCCGGAGTACCACCTACTCTCTCAGTACATGATTTTGACACAGAGCCTCCCTCCAACATCAACGACAAGGATATTGATGAGCAAATCGAGGCTCTCCAGGAACATCCCACAACGACGGCGACCGATTCGTCACTACAGCGTTTCCTCCTCCAGACTCTCCGTCCAAGGGTAGAAGTTGCCCGTCGCATGAACGGGCTAGTAACCGCGGTTTCTGAGACATCGTACAAAGAACTCTGCACTCTGACGACCGCGATCATCAGCGCCTGCCGGGCCTGTAGCTCGCATATACCCAGGACGAGCAGCTTGGACGCAGCCTCGTTCCACCACCACCTCGCAGACCTCCTTCTCCGCCGCTTCATACTCCATCTTCATCGGCCCCTTGCTAGCCGAGCCCGAAGTAACCCATTATACTATTTCTCGAGGAAAATGAGCCTGGATGCCGCCATGGCTATACTCACCCCGGTCCCCAAGAACCCTGAATTCGCGCGTCTCGTGCTAGTCGGGGCGGGCATGTTCAAGAACCGCATAATCCACGCGTCCCTGGCCGTGGCGTCGGAATTGCTCACGAATGTTGAGGAGCAAAGCCCGCTGGAATATCCCACGCCCTCATGGGAACCTTCGGCCTATCGAAAGATGTTGACGGACGCGTTGCAAGAAGCGCTGCGGCAGTCTACCGAGCGGATCCGTCTCGGGGAGACGAATGTCAAGCTACGTATGAAGCTGGGTATGGCTCTGCGCCAGACGGAGGTGGCAGCAGGCGAGACCTCGTCATCGATGCAGCAGTTGGCCCAAGCCGCCAAGGAGAGCCTGGAGTTTTCATACGCGATTATCCAGGAGCGGGCAACAGCTGAAGGAGTCGACATTGAAGCTGGAGGACGGAGTGGAATGTCCGAGAACGTTGACCTGGATGACTTCGACCCAGAGCACTTCTCACTCGACCCGAACTTTAGCTTGGACGACCTCTTCTTCCTTCCTACAGATCTAGATGTGAACGGTGTAGCAAGGCTTCCTCAAATGTAAGACCAGGTGAAAATAGAAGATGCATCTAATTTGCTATATCGTAAAAATTGGTCTTCGTTCGCTGCAGTGCATTACAACTTGCTCTCTGTCAAATCCTTAAATGAATACATAGCCCTTACGACCGCCCTTATTAGGTATTCAAGATTGGGCATAAGTCCGAACTCCGCATCCTGACCGAATTGCGCGGAGCTGGTGGCGGTTGGGGAAGATCCGCGCCCGCATCCGGCACGTGGCGGCCATAGTGTTCGCGTATGCGTGCTATATATCATGTCTATAATACCATGGAATGCTAAACGTTCAACTCAGGAAATCATCTCATTTACCTTCTATACCAAGCACGGGGTGAACCTCAAACTTACCTCTACCACCCGTCCTTAACAGTCATGGCATCACCAGCCCTGCCCAGTCAGCACCGGGCCCTCGTCCTCGAAACTCTTGAAGGAGGATTCTCGGTCAAAACTGTCCCAACTCCAAAACCAGATGCCGGTAGCGCCGTCGTACGCATCCTTGAAGCCGGCGTGATCTCATATCATCGTGAGATCTATAATGGAGAGCGAAAGTATGAGTTCCCGAAGCCTCTGGTCGGGGGATTGAGTGCCATAGGACGCATCGCCGCCGTGGGCCCAGATGCCGTGGTGCTAAACCCTGGCCAGCTCGTCTGGGTAGATTGTGTAATCCACGCCCGAGACAACCCCGACTCTCTGTTTCTCAGCGCTATACACGAGGGCAGTGACGCTGGAAGTCGGAAATTGAGTAGCGATGTCTGGCGCGATGGAGCGTTCGCCGAGTACATGAAGGTGCCACTCGAGAATTGCATCCAGCTAGACGAAAACAGGCTGTGTTCGGAGCTGGGATACACCACTCGCGAGTTGATGTATATGATGTACCTACTGGTGCCGTTCGGCGGCCTGAGGGATATCCGCCTCGAACCCGGTGAGACGATCGTTGTGTCTCCTGCGACTGGCGGCTTTGGTGGTGCGGGTGTTCAGGTCGCAATAACAATGGGGGCAAGGGTGATTGCTATGGGGAGAAACGAAAAGGAGCTGGCCAGGTTAAAGAAGCATATCAAGAATGGGACACCAGGAGCCAACATCGAAACCGTCAAGATCATAGGGAATTATGAAGCCGATGTCGCGTCACTGCAAGCTTTCGGGACCATCGACGCCGTCATCGACCTCACACCTCCTTATGCATGCAAAACGACGCACCTGAAGAGTGCCATTCGCTCCTTGCGTCGAGGGGGTCGGTGCAGTATGATGGGCTACGTCGAAGACGTGATGAATTGGAACGTCATGGCCCTGAACCAAACGTTGAAAGGGAAGTTGATGTATGAGAGGGAGGACATTGTGCTGTTTGTTAAGATGTTGGAGCGAGGCATGTTCCCTCGTGGAAAGAACCTCGTGGATCCCAAGGTGTTTAAGACGGAGGAGTGGAAGGAAGCACTTGATGCAGCAGCGGAATGGACAGGGCTTGGTAAGACAGTTATGATTGAGCCATGAGTGTTGACCACTTCTTCACCGGGGACATCTTGGAGAGAGTATGTGTGTCTTGTGTTTGTGTGCGAGGGAGTGAAAGCGAGTGAGAGGATATCAACAATGTTCGGCTGACATCTTGCCTCTTTTGTCCTATGGTCTGAATTGTCCTATCAAGTGTTGCCAAGCATCCAAGATGTGTAGGGCGGCATCACCCCCTGCTCAACACGGAGTGTTGCATCGACTATCCAATTGCTTGGCATCATCAGCAAACGTGTCTTCCAATCCATCAGCCAGCAACAGCAACAGCAACACTGTTACTCTTCCCTTCAATCTCTGTAATACTCTCACCCGGTTCAAGCCAAAAACATTTCCTCTAGAATCCACCCGCTTTTCAGGTTGTTTGTTGCGCAAAGCCGTAAACAAACAGGATGACTACCCGATATCGAGTCGAGTGTTTGTCACCAATCTCATATATCAAGCAGTTGCCTCAAAACCCTTGCTAATAATGGCTAGATGCACTGAAGGCAAGTAAAGCCCGCTGCTGTAAGGCAGGATACGATTATGCTGACTCTGATACGGCTGAAGACCCATCGCAGAGACCAACTTGTATGTAACTGATCTTGTCACACGTCCCCTGATTGCTGATTTCGCCTCGTTAGATCGAATGGATCAAGGTGAGAGGGCAATTTGCAGTCGGAGTGCCTAGCAAAACTCTCACTGCGCACTCTCTAGGGTCTCCTTGCGGTTCCATTCGTCCTCAACTCGCAACCAGCCGTCGAATACGACGGCTCCAATGGCCAGAGCTTGGATACCATGGCGAGGTCAGCGCGACAGCGATTCGCTGAGATCTTCAGAGATGTCGAAGATTTGATACTCGATCACAGTGCGTTCGAAGACTAGCAGAAGGAGGTTAAACGAGCTAACTAGTTGCAGTCAACCAGCAAGCTGTGTCGAATCCGAGGTCTAAACTCAATATGCTGGTGCCTACCATTTCTGCCTTTTTTACACCTCTAGCGTTAGAAGATGCTTTCCGATATCAAGATGCGAAGCGTGCCATCTCCTCCCGTCGTTTTGTTGCCCCCTCTTTCAACGACATCCGACTGATCCTCAACACCGCTCAAGTGATGGCGATGATCCAGCCAAAGCCATACAGACAACTGAAAATCAAGCTGAACCCTGGACTTGAGCTTTTGACATTCGATGGTGATGTCACACTGTACGAAGATGGAGCATCCTTGCATTCGCCTGAGGCGAACCCAGTGATCCTGCGTCTCCTTCATTTTCTGTCTCAGAATGTCAAAATCGGGATCGTGACGGCCGCCGGTTACATGCAACCCGAGCATTACTTCAACCGATTATCTGGCCTTCTTCTAGCTGTCAAGGATTCGGAGAATCTCAGTGCTGCTCAAAAGTCGAACCTGATTATCATGGGTGGTGAATCCAATTTTCTCTTCGTGTTCGACGAAAAGGAAGAACATTGCTTGCGGTATATTCACCGGCGAGAATGGATTTTAGATACCATGAAACACTGGTCAGAGTCAGCCATCCAAGAGCTTCTCGACCATGCCGAGTCTGCGTTTCAATCATGCATTCGCACACTTCGGTTGGAAGCCAAAGTACTCCGGAAGGAACGGGCAGTCGGGATTTACGCAGCTGACCAGTCCAAGAAGCTCACCCGTGAACAACTGGAGGAAACTGTCCTGGTGGTTCAGCAGGTGGTGGAGACCTCGATCAATACAGCCAACTCCGAGAAGCCAGCTTCGTATGCGGACATCCCTTTTACCGTCTTCAATGGGGGTGCCGACGTCTTCCTCGACATTGGAGACAAGTCCCTAGGTGTACAGTCGTGTCAGAAATGGTTTGGGGGTATTCCACCTTCTAGCACGCTGCATGTTGGCGACCAGTTCCTGAGCGGAGGGGGCAATGACTTCAAGGCTAGAAGTGCATGTTGTTGCGCGTGGATTGCCAGTCCAGCAGAGACTGTGGCATTATTGGACGAAATGATAGCTCTGGCGAAAGGCGAATAAGCGCTGGGTTGGCCGCATGAAGTTCAGAGGTCGGGAAGAACCAGACGAACAATAGACCTTGTGAACCCTGGATGCAAAGTAGCCACGTACGGATGATGCGAGTAATCATGCTTACCGGAGTGGGAGGGATCTCGAAGCCGCCCACCGCATATGATGTGATGTGTGACGGCAAACCTTGTCTAAGTCTATTATTGATGGTGCAGTCGTGCAGTTAGCGCTACTAAATAAATTCGGGGGCTCGATCTGTTGCAGGGGTTCGGATCCTTTTTGGGGGGTCGAGATGGCGCAGGCCCAAACTGCGGGTAGTGCGGACGTTGACAACCACATCGTACTTCATCCACCATCTCTAATTAACACGAGGCTGGCTCTGCTCAGCAGTCTTATTCTTGTTGAAGACGGGAGATAGTCAATGCTGACTCTCGTGTCCCTTGACTACTGTGGTCCGTTCTTGTGAAATGTGGTCCTCTCGTCGGACAATGACTTGTTGATTGAGACCAGTCTTCCCCGAATTGAGTCCTCCCTGGTCCTCCTCCCTACGACCCTGCCCGCACACCGTCCCCTGTTGCATTCAGCGCGCAGGCCTCGCGGCGCGTGGATGCCGCCTGTCTCTTACCTGTCACCATGTCGTCGATGCGCGGTCTCGTCCAATTCATAGCCGACCTCCGAAATGCCCGGGCGAGAGAACTGGAGGAGAAGCGAATCAATAAAGAACTGGCCAACATCCGCCAGAAATTCAAGAGCGAGAAATTGGATGGCTACCAGAAGAAAAAATACGTCTGCAAGTTGCTCTACATCTACATCCAAGGGTACAATGTCGACTTTGGACACCTGGAAGCCGTTAACCTGATCTCCGCAACCAAATACTCCGAGAAGCAGATCGGCTACCTGGCCGTCACCCTATTCCTGCACGAGCAGCACGAGCTCCTGCATTTGGTGGTCAACAGTATCCGAAAGGACCTGTTGGATTACAATGAACTCAACAACTGTTTGGCCTTGCATGCGGTGGCCAATGTGGGTGGTAGAGAGATGGGCGAGGCGCTCAGTGCGGACGTCCATCGGCTGATGATCTCCCCTACCTCCAAATCCTTTGTCAAGAAGAAGGCCGCCTTGACGCTGCTCCGGCTCTACCGAAAGCACCCGGCTATAATTCAAAGAGAGTGGGCAGAAAGAATAATATCACTGATGGACGATCCTGATATGGGTGTGGTGCTCTCTGTCACTTCTCTCATCATGGCTCTGATTCAAGACAACCCGGAGGCGTACAAGGGGAGCTATGTCAAGGCAGCTCAGAGGCTGAGAAAGATTGTCATTGAGAACGACATCTCGCCGGATTATTTGTACTACAAAGTCCCTTGCCCGTGGATCCAAGTCAAATTTCTAAAGTTGCTGCAATATTACCCTGCTTCAGGTGAGTACGACACCGTTTCCCATCCTCGTCCGAGCGATTCTGACTTCAGAGTAGAAGATTCGCACATCCGCGATATCATTCGCGAATCACTCCAGGCCATCATGCAAGCAGCTACAGAGGCGCCCAAAAATGTGCAACAGAATAACGCTCAGAATGCCGTGTTGTTTGAGGCCATCAACCTTCTCATCCACCTTGACACAGAGCACCAGCTCATGATGCAGATTTCTTCCAAACTGGGAAGATTCATTCAGTCGCGTGAAACAAACGTGCGGTACTTGGGTTTGGATGCCATGACCCATTTTGCTGCCAGGTCCGACACTCTGGATCCCATCAAACGGCACCAAAATATCATCATCAGTTCGCTGCGAGACCGAGATATCAGCGTTAGGAGGAAGGGCTTGGATTTGTTGTACAGCATGTGTGACACGACCAATGCTCAACCAATCGTCAATGAACTGTTAAAGTACCTGCAAACTGCGGATTTCTCAATACGCGAAGAAATGACGCTCAAGATTGCGATTCTAACGGAGAAATACGCCACTGATGCTCAGTGGTATATTGATATCTCCCTGAGATTGCTGGCCATGGCTGGTGATCATGTCAGCGACGAGGTCTGGCAACGCGTGGTCCAGATCGTCACCAATAACGAAGAACTGCAACCCTACGCAGCACAGCATATCTTTGACTATTTGAAAACCGACAATTGCCACGACACGCTCGTCAAAATCGGAGGTTATATTCTTGGGGAGTTCGGCCACCTTATAGCCGACAACAAAGGATGTAGTCCGATCGAGCAACTGATGGTGCTGCAAACGAAGATGCTGTCAGCTCCCGACCCCACAAGGGCTCTGCTGCTGTCAACATTTGTCAAGTTCGTCAATCTGTTCCCAGAGATCAAACCACAGTTGCTCCAGATGTTCCAGTTCTACAGCCACTCGCCCGACTCAGAGTTGCAACAGAGGGCATGTGAATACTTGACTATTGCGACTCTACCGACTGATGACCTACTACGAACCATTTGCGACGAAATGCCCCCGTTTTCTGAACGAGCCTCCATCCTCCTGCAAAGGCTGCACAAGAAGAGTGCCGGGATCAGCGAAAGGAGAACGTGGGTAGTTGGCGGCAAGGACGCCAATGCCGATGAAAAAGAAGTTTTGCTGGCCCAGCAGACAGGGCTCAAGCGATCCTTTACCACTATCGTCAATGGAGCAACTGGAAATACGAATGGCGCCGCAGTCACACCGGGACAGAATGGAACGACCAGTGCTGCAAAGGACCTGGAAGGACTGGATATGAACGGCCATGACGATGACGTGAAGTCTTCCAGTCTCACGAGCACAGTCCATCTTTCGCCAGACTGGGAGATCGGCTATGACAATCTGTTCTTTGCCGACGAAGGTGTCTTGTACGAAGATCCCCAGATTCAAGTCGGCATGAGGGCAGAGTATCGTGGTCACCTCGGGGTGATCAAGCTGTACTTCACCAACAAGGCCTCATTTTCAGTTGGCTCCTTCACGACCACTCTGGATAACAAATCGGGCCCCAGCCTCAAAATTGATAACAAGAATCTCCCTGATTCAACAGTCAGTGCAGACTCGCAAGTCCAACAGACCATTGTGTGTACTTCGGTCGCGCCATTCTCGGAAGCGCCAACCATCCGCATCTCATATCTCGCCGGAGCCCTGCAGGGATATACTCTGAAGTTGCCAATCCTACCCCACCGGTTCATGGATCCATCGGAACTCTCCGCGGAGGATTTCTTCAAACGTTGGCGGCAGATTGGAGCGGGCCCCCTTGAAGCGCAAAGTACATTCGGCATGCGCAATCCTTTGGCGCCAATGAACGACCAATTTGTCCGCGAAACCGTTGCAGGATTCCGTTGGCGCCTGTTGGACAACGTGGATCCAAATCCAAAGAACATTGTTGGATGTGCGGTGTTGCAGTTGGAGAAGGGAAAGACGGGATGTCTACTCAGACTAGAGCCCAATCATCAGCAAAAGGTATGATTCCCAAGGAGCGCTGTCCTTTGTACATGATCGAGACTGACCTTTTGTTTAGATGTTCCGCGTCACTATTCGTGCGACACAGGAAAAGGTTCCTGAAATCCTGTTGAAACTCATGCACGAACGACTTGCTAGAGGGCCTCCAATGTAGGGGCGGCCTCGACTCGTGTCACCAGCATCAGCATTAGCAGGTCCGGGTATTCAGTCCTTTTTTTTAGCGCCTGTCGTATGGTGTTCAGCGGCCCAGGTGGAGCGGGTACAGCATGCATTATCCTCACGGGTGACATATAATTTGAGCATCTTCTTCTTGAACATCAAAATAGCATGATGCCGTTCTTCCCTTTCTTTTTCCCCTGTGAGTGGTCAAGCTCACCGTTGGCCACAAGGTCATGAGATTCAAGCCCTCTCGTATGACAGAATGGTCTTACTTCTTCTCTTGTTCCGTGTGTTCCAGCACTGTAGCCTCTTTCTTTGGAGGGCGTTCCCCAAATATCGTACTCCCTACCCGCACCTCACTACTACCCAACCTGACTGCGCTCTCAAAGTCCTCCGACATGCCCATGCTCAGCTCCAGTTCATCCTTGTCCTGCAGCCCCAGATCTGCGGCGAGTCGGTCGCGGGTGGCGCGGAGGGTGAGGAAGTCCTCGTTTTCGGTTTCCGCGGTCGTGGCCTTTGACCGCGCGATGGCGCCGATGGTCATGAGCCCCTGGAGGTGCAGGTTCGGACACTTTGTGTGGTCGCGGACGAGTCTGGCGAGGGAGACCAGCTCCGCCGAGTCCGGGTGCAGGCCGCTCTTGGACTCCTCGCCCGACGTGTTGACCTGGATGAAGATCCTCAGCTTTTCCTCCATGCCGGCGTCGGCCAGGGCCTGGCGCCACCGGTCGCCGTGTTCCCTTTGTAATCGCTCGTTGCGCTCCGCGCGACCCTTGTTCAGCAGGTTCGCCTTCTTCTCGCTGTCGACGCTCTCGACCGCCCACAGGTTGTCCACGTCCCTCGTCACCGGCACGCACTTGTTCGACTGCAGCCCGCCGATGAAGTGCCACTTGATCGTCTTGGGCAGCAGTCTCGACTTTTCCACCAACTCCTGCACGTAGTTCTCCCCGAAATGGCCGTGGCCTTGCCCTTGCGTCCCACCACTGGCCGCGGGGGACGCGGTGTCTTCAGACGCTGGCGCAGGACGATGAAGGGCGAGAATGTCCGAGGCGGGCTTCAGCTTCGATACAGCAACGACCCGCACAGGAGCCGCCGGCGGAGGACTCGTGCCAGCAGGCAAGGAGGCGCACCATGCGCCATGGACCCGTTGCTGGACGGAAGTGAGGTTGTGCCAGAGGGCGGATGCGCGTTGTGGGTTTATGGAAATTTTCATGTCTGATGGGACTTCGGCGTCGTGTGTAGAGCTCATTGTCGCATTGATTAATATCTAGGTCGCTTGTTCTATTCGAGAAAAATGAGGGCAATCCACGGCAAGCTGCAGTGGTTGAAGATCGGGGATGTATGTACATTGTATAAGCCTCCTCCTAGTGATAATTTCATTTGTGCCTTCGCCGAATACCACGTCATGGTTTCGATTGGAATCTGCGGCAAAAACTCGCTCAACTATTACTGCACAACACATCAACACATTAACGTGGAAAAGTCCTCATTCATTAAACGGGGTATCTTTTCGTGGTGCCAGCCTGTCTATCAACATCATCAACCCATTGTCTATGGAGCCCACAACATATGCAAAATCCTAGTCAAACTTCCAGATGGCAAGCGAGTCCTAGTCTATAAGTCATTTTCCCACATGCCCAGTCTATCGTCTATCGTCCATGGTCCACGGCGTGCATATCCATGGTATGGTCAAGATTTCGCGTGAAAGAACGCCAACGCTATGAATTCAACCGTCTTGCCACCCTTATTCGTCGTCTGAATCAGGGGGGTGAGGTGTCCCAGGAGGTTTATTGAGCCATTCGATACTGGAAATCAAATCATTAGCACTTAGTACAAAGACTGCTAGGGTAGGGTCAGAACTTACTGTCTCAGTCTTCTTCTCACTTCCCTTTCCTTCAACTGCGCCCTCGTCATCTTCTTTTTCTTCTTCGCCTTGAACTTCATATCGCTGTTGTCTTCGACGCCCGAGTTGACGGCGGAAGCAGTAGCGCTGGATACCGCGGAGCTGACATTACTGGACCCCGGGCGTGAGTCTTCAAACCGGTTCAGGTCGATAGCAAGGTGACCTTTGTGCGTCACTTTTCCGTTGGCCACATGCCACTGTTCCGGACACAACGCTCCAACAAATTCTTCGTTATGACTGATCATGACAACGCCACCCTTGTAGTCGCGGATAGCCACAGCCAGACCACCTAGTGAATCTCGATCCAAGAAATTGGTCGGTTCGTCGAGGACCAACAGGTGAGGGTTGTTCCACATGGCACCTGCTAGCACGACTTTCACTTTCTGGCCACCACTCAAACCCGAGATCTCGTTGTGGTTGGCGATTTCAGGATCTAGTCCAACGTCCTCAAAGTGCTTTGATATCACCTTGGGTTCGAGAATGCGATAACCTAGACCTTCACGTGATGCCTCGTGGTCATCAAACTCTTGGACCAACTTCTGGAAGCCCCACTCTAACAGGGTCTCTCTTGAGACCTGCGAGTTGAACTTTGGAAGCATGTTTCGCCATTTAACCTCGTACTGGAACGTCTTCTTGTACTTTTGCCGGCCGATCAGGTTCTCGATCTGTCTGGAACCCTTCCCATCTCCGAGGTCGATCCATTTATCCATCTGTGCCTTATCCTCAGCAGTGAGCTGCCGCGTAGCTTTCATCAAGACTTCTCGATCATCTCCGTTGGCATATCTCCACTGTAGATACTGGTTTGGTGTTTTCTCCAAATGCATCTCGACGTGCTCCAAAGCATGCTGCTTGATGTATCCAATTCGCAGATTGGGATGCTTTTCCACCTTGCCCGTTTGAGGAATGGTTTCGCCAGTCAACAACTTGATCAGGGTGGATTTGCCTGCACCGTTGGCACCGATGATGGCGACTCGGGATGATAGACTTAGTTGACATGAAACGTCGGTCAAGCTAGGCTTAGATGCACCGGGATAGGTATAGCTGACATTCGTCATGCGGATGATAGACCGTGTGTTAGACTTGACGCCGCTGAGGATGCCAGGAGGAGGGAACTTGAATTGCACTTGCGTGGCTGATAGTGTGTAATAGCTCTTACCCTCGGGCTTGACTTTGACGAATGCCGCGAGATTTCCAGGATAATGGACCAACTTCTTGTTCTCATAGTGATAAATGTCCGTGCATACTGCGTCGAGGAAGCCAGAGTCGTGGGACACGATCAACGAAGTGATTTCCGTGTGCTTCTGGAGATACTCCTCGAGCCACTTGACATTCGCCACATCCAGGTGGTTGGTCGGTTCGTCGAGCAGGAGAACATCAGCCCTCATCAACATAGCCCTTGCCAAAGCCAGCTTCATCTTCCAGCCTCCGGACAACGAACCCACCTTGTGGGACTGTCGACCTTCGGGCCCGGCTGTAAAGCCAACTTCGCTCAAGACTTCTGAGATTCGCGCTTTGCCTTCTTTGGCTATTTCGGGATCTTTGGACACAAATTCAAGAATGCTGATATCAGCATCCTCGCCCTGATTGTGCTCCACAAAACACGTCTTCAGGACTTCCTTGGGTGGAAAACCTTCCAATTTCCCTTCAGCAATACTCCGCATTAGAGTCGATTTCCCTGCGCCGTTACGGCCACACAGACCGTAGCGATGTCCCTTCAGAAGTCGTAGGTTAGTGTGCGAGAGTAGTAGCATACCGCCATAAGCAAGCGAGAATTCGGCATTGACAATCTCGACCTCGTTCGGGTCCTCAACAACTGGAGCCCCAAATCTTTTGTGATCCTCATCCACAAAGTGCTTCTGCACAGCCTCAGCAACAGCTGTACAGAGCTCGTCTGGTAGCATGTACTTCAGATACGGTCCAACCCGGGAGGGAATACGTGAGAAGACTCGAGAATTGACGTCTTCTCTAACCATTTCCGAGACATAAGTCTGGCCGGTCTTCCAGACCGACATGTCCTCCTTGTTGAGACCGCCTTGGGCGCGAATTGAGCTGTCTAGGACTTTGAGAACGTCATCAGTGGTTGTTCTCGCAATTTGGCCATTGGTCACCCCATCTTTATCGTCGCCCATAGCTTTCTTCATCACATTGACGGCTCTGGTGGCGAGTTCTCGGACTTCGGGGAGTGACGCATTGTCTTTCACCCTTTGCACGCCAGGCTGTAATTTGGGCAGGAAGGTTCTAGCCTCGACGGGATCGTGCACGAGCTTGGTCAAGTTCTCCACGACAACCACTGTCTGGCGGAGAACTTCTTGAGATGTCGTCGGCGTGTTGAGTGATCGTTCCAGCAACGGGGTAAGAAGAGCGAGAACAGGAGAGGTGACGATGGCGACAAAGGTAGTTTGAGAAAGGGCGTGAATCGCTTTCTGGAGAGTCTGGGCGGACGGGTTTTTCATGGTGTCGATGAGCAGGGGTATCCGAGGGGCTACATCGTCGTTTTGGAGCAAAGTCGTGAGCGAGGTCATGGTCTTGGTGGCGGCTTTGGCGACTTCAGCTTTGAGGTCGTGCATACCACCCTCCACAACTGGGATAAGCTCCTTGAGTGTTTTACCCATAGAATCCCGCAATACATCCTTAGCTTGTTCCTCCTCTTTCGTGCCTGTTCCCATCTGGGCCTTGTCGGCCATCTTTCCCAAGAGAGTGTAAGCACCCACAGTGCCTTGCCATTTTCCAGTTGGTTTGGACAGATAGGCCTGTAAAGCCGGGAGGAGGCCTATGACCATGGCCTCGGGTGCGAGATTCTTGAACAGTTCGTCGACGGCGTATTGTGCCGACTCACGAACTGAAGAACCCTTGTCGGCCAACCCATCGAGGACCAAATTGAAGAGGCCACCGTCTTGGATCAGGAAGACCACTTCACTCAGCGGCTGCTCACGGGGGAATCGCTCAAACATTGCCCCGAGGATGAACATGGCGCTTTCCCGTTTGGCGCCATTCTTCTTGTCTGCGGCGGCCTTTTTTATCTCTGGTATGAGGTTGTAAGAGACAAGACCTCGAATACCCACCGATTGGATAAGGAGGTTTGTGAGGGCATATGCAGCATCGAGGGAAGTCTGGGCGACATTGGTGTCGACAATAGTTTTCAGAAGGCTGCTGACTTCTTCGGACGCTGGAGCGACCCCGGAAAAGTTGGACTTCGAAGGAACGACCGTCGTCGCCATTGCGGGAGCCAAGGGGGGGCTTTCGATGTGTGGCATTCCTTTGCACCTGAAATTCCGTGCAGCGCGGAACTTCTAGGTCTCCCGAAAACAAACAGTAAAAATCGAACTGGGGAAAAAATTTGAACACAGAAGGCTGGACGGATCAACAAAAACGATGGTGTCGCTCCCTATGCCACCGCAGCCCGCGCAGGAGTGAAAAGTAACCCAAGGGGAAGACACAAAGCAATAGAAAAAGAATAAATTGCAGAAGCGACGAGGGGCGTGTCGGAGGAGAAGAGGAGCCTATGAGAGAAATCTGACACGGCCTGCGCCCACCAGCCACTGACTTCACTGGCTGCTTTGGAAGGATGGAAGATAATTTTTTTCCTTTCAGCCTTGTTTGAAATTTTTTGGGGGCGCTGGCCAGATACCAGGGGGGTGGTTTCTAATCGATAAGAGATAGGCGGAGCAGGGCACTGTTGGGGGCCACCAGAGGGGGTTGGTTGACTGACTAAGCAGCACAATATACTGGTAAATTCATGCTATTTCCGTTGCCACCATGGCGAAAATGATTTCGATTCTCCTCCAACACCAAGTATACACCTGGTTATGCAGTAACTAGAAGCTTTTGGCTACAACAATATATCTACAGTGAAATCCCCAGCTCGAAAAACATTCTTTTATCCACATCACGTCATCATATAGAAGTGAAGAACTCTCAGTGCCTGTCTCATAAGATGGACAGTCCAGCGGCTTCACAGCAGTGCTCAACAGAACAGTTGTCAAACAAGGCTATGCCCCATGATAGTGCATCAGCATCTTGTCATTAGAAGCCTGCCTCTGTATTGCCTTCACCCATACTCCGGCTAGAACTGCTGCCGCTTTGAATGGCGCCAATAATTCCATCGATGTATGGCGCTCCACTCCACTTCTGATGAGTGAGAACATCAACCCCAAGCTCCTTCTCCCGACTCTGGACCAGCTTGACATAGGCGAGCATTCCGTCTTCCTTAAAGCCTCGCGACAGCTCCGCGCTAATCGTGGCCGTGGAATGGAGTCCGGCAAGGGAGATCAGCTGAAGCACGAAGCCTTCCTTGGCAAGATCCCATACGAATGACTTGAGCGAAGTATCGTTGAAGCCCTGACCCATCCAGTTGAACGACGGGCTCAGATTATAGACAAGCTTTTTGCCAGGGTAGGCCTCACGGATCTCCCGAGCGAAACCGGCAGCTTTCGACACGCTGGGGTCGGCAGTCTCCAGCCAGAGAAGGTCCGCATAAGGGGCGAACTCAATGGCACGCTTGGTTGCAGCAGGAATGCCCGCTCGGTAATGGTAGAAACCTTCGCGAGTTCGAGGGACGTCGCAAGACCAACCCACGGGCGACTTGGTGAATTGAGAAGAGAGTTTGCGGCGTGATGAGAGGGACATGTTGCGATCTGCCTTGGTTTTGGCGAGATATTCCGAGGCATCTCCGCCTTCAGCTTTGATGTGGGCTTCGACAGCTTCGTCAAAGGTGACCAGCTTGTGCTTCTTGACCCATTCAGCTTCAAACTTGTCCACTTCTGGTCCATCTGCTCCGTTCAGCTCCATTTCCTGGAGAACCTCGGCCAGCGGAGCGGTGTCTTCGGTTACACCAAGGATATACTCGTGATCCCGCACGTCGATGGCGCTGGAGAGTAGTTTGCCACTCTCCGAGTCAGTTCGGGCAATGACAAGGTTCTCGCTGCCCATCATATCCCATTGAAATCTTGCGGCGACGAGGCGGTTGATGTGGTCGCCCACAGGTACCAACACTTTCCCTGCCAAATGACCGCATTTCTTGCCCCCGTGGAGCTGGTCCTCGAAATGCACTGCCGCAGCACCATTCTCGGCGAAGAGCTTCGCCAGCTTGATCACGGCAGACAATCCACCGTGCCCGGTGTCTCCATCTGCAACGATAGGTCTCATGTAGTCGATATAAGGGGTCTTCTTCCGTTCTTCCGCAGTCATCTTCCGCCGCGCGTCGAAATGTTTGCGGTCGTGGAGTTGCTGAGCTTTAAACAGTCGCTGAACTTGATTAGGAACCGTGTTATAAGGATAGTCGCCGAAGTCTGCCGAAACCTCATTTGTGGTCGTGAGAACGGATGAGCAGGCCCAGCCCGATACATAGAGAATCTCTTGGTTGGGCGCTTGCTGCGTCATCTGGACGGGATCAATTGCTCCCATGGTGTGGACTGGCTTGCCCTCGGCTGCTCTCTCTTCCAACAAATTGAAGAGTTTCCTCGCCATGAGTGAGCTAGGGTATACCTGCTGCAACGTCCCTCGTTTGCTCACAACATCTTCTGGTCTGTAAGGTCTTTTGATGCCCTTGTATCTCGGTGATGCCCACCATGCCTTCACATCTTCTACTTGTTGCTTGAACAAAACGTCTTCTGCGTCGCCAGCTTTGTCCTCGGTCGAGAGAAGTTGAAACGAGTCGGAAGGTAGTGAAGTGGACACGGGAGGGTTCACTGCGGGTAACGAGGACAAATATCGGGGCATAGCTGCGAAAAGTGGTTTTGATACTGTTGCTCTTGTGGTGTGTCTGGCTGCGAGCCTGGGAAGGCTCCTGGGTAGGCGTCGAAGCATTGTTCTTGCGATATCACTGACCTCTTCTAAACATTCCAAACAGTAGCAATGGGGGAATGAACAAACGGCACTCCCCTGGGTTATAGCATTAAGAAATGGCGCACCTCTATGAGCCTTGCGGACGGCAGCCCGAAATTGCTTGGTAAGAAATAAACACCTCGATCGTGGAGAAAGAACACTGTCGAGGGCTCTCAGAGCTGCTGGAGATGCTGGAGACAACGAGCCTCTCCCGAATTCGGGCCGCGAAGCGACGAGCTCCGGCAGGGTCTGTGGGGGGTTTTTGAGGAGAAACGGAGGGCTGGAAAGTGCCTCGGGACATCGGTTAGGCTCGGAGCTTTTGTTCATGGGCTGAAGCTGTCCACCGAAAATGCGCCTTTCACAAGGGGCTGGTAGGCTTGTCGCTAATAGCGAAGTCCGGACTTCACATTTTTTTGGTTCGAAGCAAAAAGCTCTTGCATGCCGCATTCTTGCAGAATACTGTTAGCTTTCTCGACTCTCACCTTCACCACCAGTGCTCACACACTATCTTTTCGCGGTGTCGACATCTTCTCCCACTGCGTCCATTGAAGTCCACGAACCCCGCTCAGGAAGCACCGTCTCAGCAAACAATAGAGACACAAGCTGTGAATAGGAGGATTGTTGACTGCAATGGCTGCCACAACCAGGACCACCCAGCACGCCCTGAGAAGCCTTCGTGCTGCTTCGTCAACCCGGCCCTATGCCTCCTTGACCCTTCGGACGTACGCCTCCTCTGCCGAGCCCGACCTCAAGGCTACGCTTCAGTCTGTCATCCCTGAGAAACGAGAATTGCTCAAGCAGGTCAAGAGCCATGCCGACAAGAAGATTGGAGACATTACTGTCGGCCAAGTCATCGGCGGCATGAGAACAATGAAGTCCATGGTTTGGGAGGGTAGCGTGTTGGACGCCAATGAAGGCATCCGCTTCCACGGCCGAACCATCGCCGACTGCCAAAAGGAGCTCCCCAAAGGCACCTCTGGGACCGAGATGTTGCCTGAGGCCATGTTCTGGCTCCTTTTGACCGGCAAAGTCCCTTCCACCTCCCAGGTTCGAGCCCTCTCGCGCGAGTTGGCCGAGAAGTCGGACCTCCCACCCCATGTCGTCTCTATGCTCCGCTCATTCGACAAGAATGTCCACCCAATGACGCAGCTGTCGTGCGCCGTTGCTGCTCTCAACACCGAGTCCAAGTTCGCGAAGAAGTATGCAGAGGGTCTGAACAAGGCGGACTACTGGGATTCGACCTTTGACGACAGCATCAACCTTCTCGCCAAGCTGCCTCGTGTGGCTGCGGCAATCTTTGACAAGTCTGCCCTCGACCTGCCCTTGGACCTTGACCAGGACTGGGCTTACAACTTCGCGAAACTCCTCGGGAAGCCAGGGAAGGAGAACGAGGGCTTCCAGGACTTGCTTCGTCTTTACCTCGCACTTCACGGAGATCACGAGGGTGGCAATGTCTCGGCTCACGCAACTCACCTGGTCGGGTCTGCTCTTTCTGATCCATTCCTGTCGTACTCTGCTGGCTTGCTGGGTTTGGCCGGACCTCTGCACGGTCTTGCTGCCCAGGAGGTGCTTCGCTGGATCTTGAAGATGCAGGCGCAAATCGGTGAAAACTTCTCTGACAAAGATGTCAGAGACTACCTCTGGGCAACTCTTCGCTCCGGCCAGGTTGTCCCGGGCTACGGTCACGGTGTGCTCCGCAAGCCTGACCCACGATTCAAGGCATTGATTGACTTCGGTGATGCCCGTGAGGACATTGCAAACAATCCCGTCTATCGGCTGGTCAAGAAGAACAGCGAGATTGCGCCTGGCGTCTTGACCGAACACGGCAAGACCAAAAACCCTCATCCCAACGTCGACAGTGCTTCGGGTGTTCTCTTCCACCACTACGGCTTCCAGGATCCCTTGTACTACACTGTCACTTTTGGAGTCAGCAGAGGTCTTGGTCCTTTGGCGCAACTGATCTGGGATCGTGCTCTGGGCATGCCAATTGAGCGACCCAAGAGCATCAATCTCGACGGACTCTTGAAATTGGTGTAAACCTTCACTGTCTACCAGGAATCGTTGTACATAAATTTGCCTTGTTTACGTGGATGGACCGGCGTCCTTAGTCTGTGTTGTACAGCCAACAGGGCGCTTCTCAAAACTTCTCAAAATGATAGCAAAATTCTAGATCAAATGCTCCGAACTTGTCCTGCGACATTTTCCTCTGTGGTGACACGTGATGTGACGGAACAATGTTGTTCCGATGCCATCTGCTCCTCGTCTGGATTCTCACTTCACCTGTAACCTGCCTGACCAAAAGAATGCTTCAACCTCTCAATGACCTGACCGCCATACTCCTTCTCGCTTGGTCTCAAGGACTACTCGTCAGGAAGACAGAGTTTCCACACCATACCGAGCCTTCGGAAACTCTGACCACGGTTCACTCACATCCATTGTATCCCTGCTGCTGCCACATTTTCACACTCTTGACAGTCATTTGGCCGCCGTCCTTCCACGTCGGATACCATGTGTCTCGCGCGTTCCAGAAATCCTTCTTCGCAGTCTGACCGGCATCGACCCAGGGTTTGCCCTTTTTGCCGTCTTCGAACCATCCATTCGTACCGCCAACGGCGACATTCAGGATGAGATAAAAGTCTTGGTCAAATGGTGTCGATGCACGGTTGTACTTGGTCCATGGATCCACAATGCGAGTGCCATTCGCATCGGCCTGGGGGAAGCGGCCACGTCCCCAGAGTGGCTTGTTGAAGTTGGTGTACAAAACCTGCAGCAGCCGCGTGTCAATGTAGGTGAAGATATATTTCTCCGACCATTCCAGCCCAAACGTATGGAACTTTTTCGCGAAGGTTGTGTGCAATGCGTTCCTCTTGACGTTGGTCCGCCACCAAGCATCATTCGCAGCGTCTGGACCCCAGTGTAGAGCGCTGGAAACAATGTTGTTTCCTCCTTGCGGATAGGTGTGGTTGTTGCCTCGAGACTCGACGATATCGATCTCTCCAGACTGTGGCCACACCCCATACTTGGCCTCGACAGGGAGCAACCAGATTGCAGGCCACAGCCAATCACCTTCAGGTAATTTGGCTTCGATCTCAATCCGACCATATTTGATCACAGCGCCTTTCTTTGTATGGATACGCCCAGACTTGACAGGATTGACAATGGTGCCATTGGTTCTGTTTGTACCGGTAATGCAGTTGCTCCAGACTGATGATGTACATATGCCACTGGCCTGCAGATCAATGACGTTGTCAGTCTCGATCAATTTAGCATCTTGAAGAGTCGGCTTGATCTGAAGCATTCCATCTCTCACAAAAACATTCTCCTCCGTCACAGTGGTCTCCTCGAACTGACCGTTCCCAAAACCCCCAACTTCAGCTTCTTTGGTCCAAATCCTGGAGTTAAAGCCGCTCGAGAAATCATCCAAATACACTGGACAGTACTGGTGATTGACCACGGTTCGAAGACCATCCCAGACCAGCAGACCAGCAAGCCCGAAACCAATTGCAAGTCCAATCAATGGGATAATTGTTACCCATTTCTCTCGAGGATCTTTGACCTTTGTCCATGGCTTCTGCACCTCGCCTTTCTTGACTCTGCGGGAGTGGAAGTATCTCTGGTTGAGCATGGGCTGGACGAGTACTGCAGATGATGCCGCCCTCGATGGATCTCCAGAAGCGTAGGGGGTAAGGAATGGATTGACTGGCTTCTCATGTTGGTATCCGCCACTCGCAGTCGCTGAGTCTGGCGAACCAGGCCGAGGCATAATGTCAATACTCATCGTGGAGTCCGCTCGAGAATAACTTGGCCGAGAGAAATGTGTCATGGTAAGGCTGGAAAGTATTAAGAGCTGTGATATCGTTCAACTTTCTGGACGCGGCGAGGCTCTATCGACCCTGTGATAACAGGACAGTGATCTCTCCAAATCTGCCGGAAGCTGTTCTGTAACGAACTATGGCACGAAAATAACTCCAACGTCAACCCTTAAAAGCCACAGTCCTGGTGACGCGCTCCTACGCCGGCGCAGAAAGTTGGACTTGTCTCGGCTCAGGCGGTCATATGTCTCATCCGGCTCCCAACCGCGATCAAGCGACAGATTGAGATTATCGCAACTTAGCAAGTCCGCAATCTCTTCACTGAATTGAAAGGAGCGGGAATATTTCTCTTACACTATAGCCACTTGTCTACAGGACTGAAGGTGAGCCATAATGATCGGTACCAAGGTGGAACAAACCAACAAGCATATACCTCATTCAGCAATGGACAACAGGGATAGAGACCCCGTGTAACAGGATGAGTCTCTATATTTACCATCAATTGGTTCCCGGACTGCCAGACATGACACTACATCATGCATGATGCGCACAGACCTGATATGACCATGTCTAGTCAGAGAAACACATTTACTGCCCTGGTGGCCCTTGCATACACGTTTGAGATGAGGCTGACTTAGACCAAACCCGGCATAGTTCCAGGAGCCCCTGTCTGAGGTCGTTGGTCCAGGAAACATGACCTGTCAAGTCTCCTTGCGCACCATCCCCTTCATTCTCTTTTCCCTGTTCCTGATGTCTACAGGCTTATCTGGGCTGCACTGAACTGGCCTGGTCCTCGTCGAGATGGTCTCCCCTCTTGATAGAGCGGCCAACACTATTTTCAGCTAAGAAAATCTCAATGCCATCGAAATTCGACCCCGGTGATGACTGCTGTGCTGCAAATGGATTTGGCCATGTCTCATCGCCATGACATGGCTCAGAAAGGCAAGTGTTCAAATATGATCAAGACAGACAAGGGCTATGGTGAGTCGAAACCCAAATCTTGCTCTTGATTTGGAACCCTTTCTGGGCTGTCAACTCAGGTTTGGAGTGAAAAGTTTCTTCAGCTACTGCATCCACCGTCTCTGTTTTCTAGGTGTCACTATTTAACGCCGGTCTGTCAGCAAGACCATGTGTGGTCCCCCAGGATATTCCATGAGCAGACGGAGTATTGTTCATCTTTAGAGCGGCCCCATGTTTTCCTTCTCCAACTCTCCCCTTTCCTACACTTATCTAGCACGGTGGTTCTCTCGTCGTTCCAACTGCTTCTTCAGGAGGGAGTGCATCACGGTTGGGGCGACACGTATAAACCACAAAACAGCGCGGCAGACGATCTGAGCTAGTTAAGGTACCCAGCAAGACAGTTCCGCCTCGACATCACCCAATGGCTGGCTCCCCGATTCACGGCTTCCTTACCTCTACTGAATCCCCTTCGCAAAGCGATGCCGCATCAATTGGGGGCAAATCGACACGCAGCGTCCGAAGTGCCCTTGAGGAGATCAGATATGAGGTTATGGTTAATCATCTCTATCAGCAACAGTGTTCGCGCCTATGGGTCAGTGACGGAAGCGGTGAAATCGAAGGAGTGGTGCTTCGAAAGTCTCGTGGAATCTACCTTTCATGTCCATCAGCTCTTCGAGACTCACAGTTTGGGGAGGTTTGTGCGGAGCTTAATGTACAGGTAAGCTATACTACCCTGACCATCACAATAGACTTATTCGGACAATAGGTCGCCATGACGGTGAATTCCAGAGTCATCAAAACATTCTTGGCTTGGGCTCCTGATGCTACCGACGTTCCTCTCATGAATGGCCTACGTGTTCAAATCCTACCCACGATTGCTCACCTGCCTCGTGCACGAAAATATCAATTTGCTGCCTTCATTGCCGCTGATTCGCTGTTGGTTGTGTGGGACGATGATCCTTCAAATGTAACGAGCAGAGCAGCCTCCATTGAGTCTGAGTTGATGGAGCTGGTGTGGCATACCGGCGAGGCCGGTGATAAGGAAGACGTTTCCAACGAGAAAAACGGAGCTTCCACAGCCTCTCTAGAGCTCGAGTCCGGAGAGTTACCCATCCAGGATCGTCCGACCAACCTGATGAACACTATACTGGTCGCATTTACACTAATCATTGTTGTCACATTACTTGGTCTGGCATGTCGATCTTTGGCAACTGAAATCGCCGTCGATGGCTCATACATACGCCTCGCATTTCTCTCCTTGGTTCCCGTACAGATCTTCTTTACCTTGGTAAGTCTCGTTCTTCGTGTGGAGGAATCGTTAATGACTTCTTAGTTCTTCGCCCAAGTTATTGTTGGTTGCGTGGCACAGTGCCTTGGGCCCATCCAGCAGATGCAACTCAACTCAAAATACTACTCAGCAAAGTGCTCCCCTCGCCTACGTACGTCGTCCTTACCGCACATTACTATTCAGTGTCCTGTTTACAAGGAAGGACTTGGCTCCGTAATTGCACCAACGGTCAAATCGATCAAGCGAGCCATATCAACGTACGAGCTGCAAGGTGGCACCGCAAACATGTTCATCAACGACGATGGCCTGCAGATCATCGAGGAGGAGCAACGGAAGGCACGGATTGACTTCTACCAGGACCACAATATCGGCTGGACGGCTCGTCCAAAACATGGTAGCGAAGGCTTTATACGCAAAGGCAAGTTTAAGAAGGCCTCCAACATGAACTATGGCTTGATGCTGTCATGCAAAGTCGAGGATAAACTTCAAAGGTATCACCGCAATTCGACCTGGACGCCCAGTGACGAGACCGAAGCCTACAACGAATGCTTGCGAGAAGTGCTGGACGAAACTCCACGTGCCTGGGCGGATGGTAACATCCGCGTCGGGGACTATATCCTATTGATCGACAGCGACACCAGGGTACCAGCAGACTGCTTGCTCGACGCTGTGAGCGAGATGGAACAATCTCCGAATGTTGGAATCATGCAATTTGCATCCGGCGTAATGCAGGTTGTGCATACCTTTTTCGAAAACGGCATCACCTTCTTCACCAACCTCATCTACACCGCCATCGAATACACGGTCGCTAACGGTGACGTGGCTCCCTTTGTAGGGCACAATGCCATTCTTCGTTGGAGTGCGATTCAGCAGGTCTCCTACGTCGATGAAGACGGCTACGAGAAATTTTGGTCCGAGTCACATGTCAGCGAAGACTTTGACATGTCCTTGCGACTTCAGTGCGACGGCTACATCATCAGGCTGGCGTCATGGGCCCACGGAGGATTCAAGGAGGGCGTCAGCCTCACCGTGTACGACGAGCTGGCCCGATGGGAAAAGTATGCGTACGGATGCAACGAGCTTCTCTTCCATCCCATGAGGAAATGGATCTACAAAGGGCCCTTCACAGAGCTCTTCCGGCGGTTCCTCTTCTCCAACATCCGGTTCACTTCCAAAATCACGATTGTCAGCTATATTGGCACGTATTATGCCATTGGCGCGGCCTGGATCATGACGCTCGCCAACTACTTCGCCATCGGCTGGTTCAACGGCTACTTGGACAAATACTATATTGACAGCTGGAAAGTCTGGTTTAGCATCGTGATTGTGTTCAACGGCCTTGGAAACATCGCCCTCGCGATCATGCGGTACCGCATCGGTCAGAAATCCTTCGTCCCGGCCTTGCTGGAGAACTTCAAGTGGATCGTCATGCTCTCCATCTTCCTGGGCGGGCTGTCGCTGCACGTCTCGCAAGCCCTGCTGGCGCACATGTTCGAGATCGACATGACTTGGGGCGCCACCTCCAAGGAAGCCGAGTTCTCGAACTTCTTCATCGAGGTCCCCAAGGTGGTGAGGAAGTTCAAGTTCAGCATCGCCTTTGCCCTCGTCGGCATCGTCGGCATGGTCGTCCTGGCCACCAACCCCGGAGGCTACATTCCGTTTGACTGGCTGATTAAGGACTTTATCGCGATTCTGCCCATGAGCACAGTCACCGCGAGCCACCTTCTATTGCCGATTGTGTTGAATCCAGCGCTGATGACTTTTTCGTGGTGACGCGGGAAACAAAGGGGTATGAAAATTTCATAATGGAACGTTCGGCTGACCACCAACCCGTCCACTCACAGTATGGATATCGTGGGTGGTGGTTGGGAGAGTGTGTGTATCGTTGCACTCTGGATGACAGATAATGAATCAGAGCAGACAAGGGATATTTTAGGAATTAGACAGAAAACTTGTATCAGGTTGGCGCGGTTGCACCGCTGGTAGGCGTTGCCGTTAGTCTGTGGGATCGGGTAGATAGATTCGACGTGCACCGGCATAGCAATTCCCACATAGTCACGAATCAAACGTGGAGTGGAGGGTTGCTAGATCCATACACGACATATCATTCCCTTTGTCGTCTTCTCATTGTCCAATATGCCAATTTATAGCCGGTTTCGGCAACGCAGGACGAGCAACAGCAGAAGGGCTGGACAAGCGAGGAATTATTTTCCTGCCCTGTCTGCACTGCCTGCCCATCAATGATAAACGTGTATTGTGTGGACTCAATATACTCATTCAATTATCAGGAAAGTAAACCTTGACATTATCCTGCCTGTCACGACACCTTCAACACTGCTCTCCCTGCAAGCTTACCGGCGACCATGAGATCGATGTACTTGTCCAGGTCCTCCAGGGTTCCCTTCGTGAGGATAGGCTGTGGAGTGAGAAAGAGAGATAAGTTAGCGATGTCTTGACAGTCCGTTGCCTTCGCGGGGCTTTCTTGTTGACTTACGCGAACCAATCCCCGAGCGGTAAAGTCCAGTGCCTCTTCGACCTCCTTCAGTGTACCAACGACGCTCCCCACAATGTTCAGTTTCTTCAGACACAGCATGAGAGGAGGTGCCCCTGCGAGGACGGTCGGATCCTTTGGCAGACCAACAGCAACCACTGTACCGCCTGGACGAAGCAGTCCAGGTGCAGAGGCATAGGCTTCCTTCGTGGCCGCAGTGACAATGACACCATGGGCTCCATACTTGGTAATGCGCGTGACCTCGGCAGCAATATCCTGGGTCTTTGTGAAGTCGATAAACTCTTCGGCGCCCAGCCGTTTGCAAAGGTCGCGTTTCTCGTCCCCGCCATCGATGGCAATGACTCTCATACCCTAGGTAATTGCGGTGAGCCTAGTGTGTGCGAACGACATTCATGCAGGATCATACCATAGCTTTGGCATATTGTACCGCAAAGTGACCAAGACCACCTCCCGCCCCCGGAAGCACCTATAGCAGGTAGGTGAGTAAAGCCCAGCGACATAATAGCTGGTCAACACGTACAATCCACTGCCCAGGTTTCACGGCGCTCCGCTTGCAAGCGGTGTATGCTGTGACACCTCCGCACATGATCGGCCCGGCCTCCTCGTCGCTCACGCCTTCTGGGATGCGAGTGGTGTAACGTCCGTCACTCAGAGCGTATTGTTGGAATGTCCCAGCCTGGCTAAACCCCGAGTTCTTCTGGTTCGGACAATGAAGTTCGTCGACGCCGTTTGTGCAAAACTCGCATTCGCCACAAGTACTCCAGACCCATTTGATACCGGCACGATCTCCTACCTTCCACCGATGATGCATATCGTCACCAACTGCAACGACCACACCAGCACCCTCGTGACCAGCAATGCCTCTTGTCGCCGGTTGCATCGAGACGCCAAACGGAGCCCACTCATCCTTAATCAAGGATTTGTCCGAAGCACAAAGACCGGTCCTGCCCAACTCTCAGAAATGGACAATTAACTGTGTGGGAGGAACCTACCAGTTGATCTTGACAAGAACTTCTCCAGGTCCGGGAGTTGGCACATCGACCTCTTTGACAGGGGCTTTGGAATCAGGTCCCTCGCCAGCTTTCACCGCAGCCTTTTGCTGCTTAGGGATCGATACTGTAGCCATGGTCGTTGTTGTTTGAGGTCAATAGTTCAATACAGGGACGGGAGTGTGACTAGAACAAAGGCAGAAGTGGATTTCGGCGAGATATGGAAGGCACGGGGAAGCAGCAGGAGCGAGCAGATGAGACGAGGTTTTATAGTGTTGAGCTATCTTGCGTTACTACCTGGTACAAGGTGCAGCATCCTTTAGTCCTCGGGATATCCTTCCCCCATGACAGCTCGAGTCGAGTCGATAGGATAGAGTCACGCCCCGCAGAGATCGCAGACGTGAAGCGCCCGTATTCGGTCAGGGGATTTGCAGAGGCGGGGTACACAAGGAGGAGACGTGGAGAAGTAGAGGATGCATGTCAGTAGCAGTGGGCCAAAGCATCGTCGACGGGTGAGATTAATAACACCGCAATTGTATTGTCCTCGGCAGGAGCTCATTGGCTTTCATATCGGTGGCATGCCCCGAAGGCTTGCCACTGGCACAGCTCCAATCGACGTTCCGTGGCCTGTGCCAGATGAGGAGCGCATTGTGGGTAGGAGGAAAATGTTTCAGGGGGTGTTGAAGGCCTGATCTTCTCGGATTACTATGACTGCAGGGTCGTAGGAGTACACGTCAACTGGTAGAGAGGCAGTCTCGCAATGGATATCAACAGTGTTGGCAGAAGCAAAGCACCTCGTACGTGACTGAAGGTGGGTGCATGCAACGAGAAATCTGTATCCGGCAAGTCTGCCGTGCGAGATCCGTTGATCCTATCTTTCTTTGCTTTACCATGCGGAATACCACCGCCCTTGCGATGCTCCTCTTCCCCCCATCGTTTTATTTCTTCCTCTACTCGGGTGAACGGGTGAAAGGAGACCAGCTCGAAGATCTATCGCGGTCCACTTCCTGAGTTACGTCTGAAAAGCTCATCTCATCCCACCATGGTGCTCGCCGTATGGATTAATATCGACCCATGCTCTACATGTCTCCGCATTGGGCTGACCCCTACTGTCTAGGCTATTGGTCAGATCTGCTCGAATGCATCTATGTCCCATAACCTGGCTCAATGCCAGAAGCTTGTGCAAAAGGCCGTGGCGGCTGGAGCAAAGGTAGGTGGAATGTTTGCTCTCTCTATGAGGCCATTCACCTGATCCTTACCAGCGCCTCCATCTTTCTAGGCACTGTTCCTCCCCGAAGCCTCCGACTACATCGCTTCCTCTGCGGCGGAACCAGTAGAGCTCTGTCAAGATGTCACCCATAGCCCCTTTGTCCGTGGTCTCCAACAAGCCGCGAAAACGCATTCCTTACCTATCAATGTTGGAATTCATGAACCAACCGATCCCCCCTCGAAGAGAATCCGAAATACACTGATATGGATTGATAAAGAGGGGGACATCGTACACAGATACCAGAAACTGCACCTTTTTGACCTTGATCTGCGTCCAAATGGGCCAAGGTTGAAGGAGAGTGACTCGACCGAACCCGGCCATGAGGTCGTTTCACCACATCCCACCGCCCTGGGCAAGATCGGGAGCCTCATTTGTTTTGACCTGCGATTCCCTGAACCCGCACTCAGATTGCGTAGGCTGGGAGCCGACATATTGCTCTATCCGTCTGCCTTCACCGTGCCAACCGGAAAACTTCACTGGGAAATCCTGCTGAGATGTCGAGCTATTGAGACTCAGTCCTGGGTCATAGCTTCGGCACAATGTGGTAGACACAATGCAGCGCGTGTTAGTTACGGTGACACCATTGTCATTTCGCCAAATGGCCAAATCGCAGGGCGGCTGGACCACGTCGACGACATAGAGAAGGAGGAGGTGCAGGCGCGCGAGCCGGATATCCTTACAGTCGACATTGATTTTGATCTCCTCAAAGACGTCAGACGAAGTATCCCTTTACTTAGAAGGACTGACGTCTACCCGGAGATCTAGCAAGTTCGAATGCAATGTGCATCTCGACCAGGCGAGTAGCCATCTCGACCAGGCGAGTAGCCATCTCGATCACAGCCAATGCCCGGTATATCAGGTCGATGCACGCCACTTCCAGTGCTCATCACTGTCACCTGTTACGATATTCATGGCAGCTCCTGTCAAAATTGTGAGCCTTCGGACCTGCTGTCTCCCAACATACAAACGTCCGGCCTTGGAATTGCGTACATCAGGGCACAGGACAGCCAACAATTGAGCGTGTTTAGGTACGCCGATCTGCTGACTCGAGAGCTAAACTCTGGTATAGGCGCAAAGGAGAATACTGGTCACTGTCCAAATGTGGCAGATGCAGTTGACCATCGACTCTGTCTGCTGATTTGCAGCACGTCACAGTTTCCGTATCCTAGAGCAGTGCCTGGTTTTCTCTTTCGCTTTTTTGGTGGGTAAGCCGCGTCACAATAGAAGTTGGCATCTACCTTGTTGAGTATCGGTTCCATTCCCCTGATGACCACATACATATACGTGTACTATTAAACCCTGACCCCATGTGTCTCTCGTATGCAGACGGAGATAGTGACTTAGACTACAAGTCCGTTGTACGCGAAGCGCCCGCGGAGACTTCGTACAAACTACTCAACTTCGCTTCCTAATCACCGCACCCCTTCCACATCATTCCCGCCTGTCATCAATGGCTTTCACAAAAGATGACAACCACGTCTTGCAGCCAAAGAGCATGAGTGATTTTGCTGCTATGGTGGTTGGCCACATGAGCTGGAATGTCACCACGAACATGGGCCGACATCGCAGTCCGAAACTCGGCAAACCCTGATCAACAGGGTCTGGCTGCGTATGCTGAACACAGGAGAGGCTCAATGACAACAAAGTACCTCTTTTGCAAAACAAAATAGACCTCGTTGGTTGAACCGGACACACTTGTACCCACCGCCTCTGGCACAGAGCATGATTGTTTCTCAGTGAGATGGAGTCTCCACCCTGACCGGTCAAACATCTCCAAAAACTTTCAGAAGGCCAGGTCAACAAATCGACTTGTTTGTGGGCTGGCTCACAAATGTCCTCTAGAGTCTACGAAATCATATACCAACAGCTAGAGCACCAATTAGCCCGTTGATGGGCCTTTTCCGGGGAGATTTACTGCACTCCTAGACGTCTCCAATAATGTTGACTCCATCTTTGATGATGGTCCGCACCTCGCCTTTGCCGTATATCCGACAACGGAGCCTTTTAAGTCCAGCGTCATGCGGCCGCTTGCACCAAACCCAGTGCTTGAGAGGCACGACGTCCATTCTTGTTGCTGTTTAAGATATTTTAATAGTGCTTCTTTGCCAGAATTCAGCATGGCGGTCGTCGTCATACACACCAATTGACACCGGCATCTATTGCAATGAGAATGGAAGAGCCCCGGCCAGCATTAACACAGGCCCCGTTTGCTTCGGCATCCTCGTCTACGCTGGACGACAATACCGGAATCGAGAAGCCGGCAATGCCTCTGGAGGAGGAGTCCGGCGTTCTTGCGCTCCAAGACCTCGACAAAGGCGAAGATATCAATGTCCCAGACCATATATGCCCGGTTCTTGAACCCCAGAATGATCTAGTCGAGTTTGATGGCCCAGACGATCCAGAAAACCCCAAGAATTGGTCGAAGGGAAAACGATGGGCGATTACCATTTCCATGGGTCTGATGGTAGGTGTTCCAGAAATGAGCAGAGAATTTGATCCGCTGACCTGGTGTGAAAAAGACCTTTGTGGTCACCTTTGCCAGCTCGATCTATTCCGTTGCTATTCGTCCCGTCGCCGAAGAATACCATATTGGCGAGATTCCGTCTACCCTTGGGGTTTCACTCTTCCTTCTTGGTTTTGTGTTCGGCCCTATCCTTTTTGGACCAGCATCGGAAGTCTTTGGGCGACGGATACCTCTCTTTGCGGGATATTTTGTCTTCTCAGTCTTTCAAATTCCAGTAGCCGTGGCTCAGAATGTGGAAACGATCATGCTCGGTCGTTTCTTTGGAGGGTTCGCGGCAGCGGCGCCATTAGCGGTGGTTGGAGGCGCCATGGCTGATATCTGGGGACCCGTCGAGAGGGCATATGGGATCTGCGTATTTGCAGCCTCTGCCTTCACTGGACCGGTTGCCGGACCTATCATTGGCGGCTTCGTCACTCAGTCCCATCTTGGCTGGCGATGGACCGCTTGGATTACCTTGATCATGACCGCTCTGTTTGGATGTATCGGCCTGGTCCTGATCCCCGAAACCTCGGCCGCGAGAATCCTCCAAATGAAAGCCAAGCGACTGCGATACGAAACGCGAAACTGGGCACTACACGCCAAAGCGGACGAGAGTCGAGTCAACATCAAGACATTGACAACTATATACCTCGTTCGCCCATTCGTCATGTTTGTCCAGGAACCGATCCTGGCCCTGATTACCGCCTATATGAGCTTCATCTACGGCATCCTATATCTCCTCTTCGAGGCCTATCCCATCTCGTTCCAGGAACAGCGAGGCTGGAATCCTGGCGTCGGCTCTCTCCCATTTGCCGCTTTTATTGTCGGCATTGCGATGGGAACTGGTATGATTGCCTACTCGACAAGGACAAATTTCACAAAGGCCTTCAAGAAGCACGGCAAGGTCATTCCCGAGGAGAGACTGCCGCCAATGATCATCGGAGCCGGCGTACTCCCAATCGGCTTGTTCCTGTTTGCCTGGTAATGCTGCCCCCCCTCCCCTCTTCCAGCTGGCTATTTCTGCAAGTTTTACGGTGGAGGAACAGTACGTTTGCTAACCCATGGCTAGGACGTCTAATCCGAATATCACCTGGGTCCCGCAGATCCTCGCCACGGCCCTCCTAGGCATGGGCTGCCTGTCGACGTTCTGGCAAGGCACAAACTTCATCATTGACTGCTACGGGTTCTACTCCAACAGCGCCATCGCCGTGAACACCTTTGTGCGATCCATCGCTGGCGCTGGCTTCCCCCTGTTCGCCCCGGCCATGTACCACAACCTCGGCGTCCCCTGGGCAACCTCGCTCCTGGCATTTCTTTGCCTGCTCTTCTTCCCAGTGCCCGTCCTCTTCTACATCTACGGGGCGAAGATCAGAGCAAGATCGAGGTTCCGGCCTGTTGGCTGAGACCTCACCTCGGCTCTGTCGAAGCGAAAAACGCAGCAGAGATACAATTCGACGGTCCGAAGCGAGTATGGGGGAAAAATGCGCTGCATTGACGACGACAGCCCACCTCTCCATGTTGTCATAGGAAATATCTCCCACCTGTCGAGGTTCGAGGACGTCCGGACCGGGAACCGAGACCTGAGAAGAGCAGAGGCACCAGAGGTCCCCACCACTGTTGCAGCTAGAACTACAAATTCGGACGATAGACCATTTATGACAAGAAGTGGCCGTCGCACAACCGGACCAAGATGGCACCACAACATCCACGATGGATTGGTGAACCCCGTGATCATGTGAAAGTGGTGATTGTGGCGCACAGGAGAGACGACGACAGAGGAATGAACTGGTTCTAGATGGCGAAACAGCACATACTTGACACGGGGTTGTTGTTTATTGATTTACTAGTAATTTTAATTCTCGATAGGGACAGACTGTCACCCTGACTAGCATTAGCTTCGCGCCCTGCTCGTGGGTGATGACACTTGAGGACCCAATCCAGCGCAGTAATCGGCGATCTCTGCTTCCCGTCACACCTCATGGGATAGAATCCACCCGGTACGACTTTTAAGCCTTGATTTCCATTTCCACAACTTCTGAATGCACCAGAGCCTTGTCCAGTCTGGCTCTTTCTTCGGCCGAGAGGTGGGTGAGATCAATGGCAACCTCGTCACCGAACTTTTGCCCAATTTCTTCCAGAGCAAGGCCTTTGGTCTCGGGGTAGAACAGTGCCATGATCGCAGCTCCAATCAACGGCACAATGATGAAGATCAGGTAATACTTCCAACCAATGCTGTTGAACGCGACTGGGGCACACATGGTGTAGATTAAGCTGAAAGCAAACAAACCCGAGACACTGAACCCTGTTCCTTGGGCACGGATTGAAGTCGGGAAGATCTCGGAAGAGTAGACGTAGGATGAGGCATCCATTGAGCCTCCGAAGAAGGTCACGACTACGGGAGAGTTAGTGTCTGGAGATCGTGGTCGCAATCGAGGAAGACATACATAAGTAGAGGAAGAAGACGCCAAACCCATTTCCCACACGGTTGTCAGTACCACCGTATCTTGCGAGACAAGCAGTAAACCCAGCGACAGAGATGGAGCATCCAATCTAAAGAGTTAGCATCTGCTACGCACAGAGATGGCCATGTATCATACCTGTCCAACAACCATGATCGGGATTCGGCCAAGCTTGTCAAGAAGAAGACTATTGACGAAATTCATAAAAGCAGCCCAAGTGTCCCAAAGGGCGTATAGCATGAGAGGCATTGCTCCGTAGAGGCTGAGACCGTTGTAAAGAAGGACTTGATAGTTGTTGATGACCAGGCACCCTGTGCTCTGAACTAGGCCACTGCGAGGGTTAGCAAATGCTACAACTCCAAAGGCGGCAGTTGAAAGCGAGGATATAAATGTAAAGGCTCACAGAAGGAGAAATCCAAAGAGCAAACGCTTCCGGTAAGACTTCCTGGAAAACAGGAGAATCCAGCCTTTGATCCAGCCTTGTCTCCAGCCTTCACGTTTCTCCAGATCAAGTTGCTGACGGATTTGATACAGCTCCTCTCGAGCAATAGTGTCGTCCTCATCCTCGGGTTGATGATGCAATCTTTTAAGGACCTCAAACCCTTTTTCTTGCATGTCGTTTGCAACCAAGTAACGAGGGGACTCAGGAAGCCACGGAGAGCCCACTAGAAGGCAGAGTGGTGGGACGATTTGTAGGGCAAGGCAAAGACGCCACTGCGCCTCCTGGTTCTCCAAGAAATAGCAGCCATAGCCTGTCCATCCGGCTAATCCCTAAATCAAGCGTGAGAAAGCAGCTAGACGGAGAAACGGAGGACAAGCTCACATATCCGACGCAAAGAATGAACCCATGGCTGCCCACCATTCGCCCACGAGAGTGGGCAGGGGAAACTTCTGATTGATAGAGAGGTGTAATAGAATTGACCATGCCAACGCCGAAGCCCATCATGAAGCGAGCAACCAGAAACATGGCAATATGGACAGAGCCAGCCTGAATAGCACCAGCGACGATACAAACGGAGGCGGTGATCTGTATGGACCTCTTCCGGCCCACCTTATCGGCCAGCCAGGTGATGAAAATGCAGCCAATAAAGCCACCCCCTGCAAAGAGTCCATTGGTTGCTGTTGACAGCAAGTCAATCACAGATTCCGAAGTTCCACTCTGCGGTGTAGAGTCTCACCTCCGGTGATTCGGGAGCCGCCGCTTGATTTGATGTCGATGTCGAAGTACGTGAAGAAGGATGGCAGGCCAATGACAGCTCCAATAACTGCGGAATTGTAGCCATAGGTGAGAGACCCAAAGGTCACAAAGAAGACGACAAGAAAATTGTACCTGTTTCCTGCACCCATCTTGAGAGCTTGCAAAAGTATCAAAATTTTCCAGGGGGAGTGTCCTGCGGGTTGATACCGTGCTGCCGTCTTTATGCCAGCTTCCGCAAAGGTCTAGATGGGTCTGCTCAAACAGCTCACTGTGGCTGCCCCAGGTTTCTCCAAGCAAGGGCAGTTTCGTGGGTCGCCTTTACCCCAAGGGAAAAAGGACATCACCTGTCGGCAACACATTTTGACGAATGTGGGGTTCACGACATAGGATCGAGAGTCCCAAAATAGTCATGATAAATGCCCTTCTGGGTGTTCCTCATACATCAACGTGGTCCAGCTGCTCGGTGCAAATGACACCATCCCTCCCTTCCCCACAATGCCACATCTCCGTAAAGTTGGGGAAGACGACAAGGAGTATTTTGGAGTTGGAGGCGATCAAGTTAGTTGCGTGGCATCTGATGTTAGTGTTCGCGAGGGATCAGGGAACGCGAGGGGGGCTTGAGACAAGCTGGCAGCAGCTCCAACAGGAGGAGGTGAACCGGCAGATGGCAGACCATGGTCGCAGCCAAGCTGTCCAACATCTCCTTGAGTTCAACGGGGGCACCGCACGGATCAAGCCAGGATTTGGGAAATCTGCCACGCTGCTTACCTTCGAGGTTTGTACCGAGCAGCTAGCTTGTTGACGGATCAGGGCTTGGGCGAATCATGGCAGCTGGTGGCCTGAGCCGGGTACTCTGCGGGGCAGCAACAGACTGAGAACTCGCGCGCAGAGTCAGGTCTGATCTGATTTCCGAAGGTACTCGGAACCGTACAAGTGATAGGCAGACAGAATAATGGAGTGGGAGGGACGTCGAAGTCGAAGTTGAGTTTAGATTGTGGCTGTCATTTGGATCACATACGGATGATCGACCTTCGGACTCCTAGAAGCCGCCTCACATTAATATTATTGCTGGCGGTTTCCCGTCTTGCCGCGTCTGTCGTGGCTGCTGTGGCTGCCGTGTGAGCCGGTGGAGGGTGACGTAATTACGAAGAGAAGTGGTCTATATTTTCAGTCTCGATAGGCGCTGTAGGCGCTGAGAATTGAGCTCCGATATCTCCGGGGGCCGCTGTAAGGGCAACGAAAATAAAGTCTGTTGTCTTCTGATCATTTTGTTATTCTATTACTAGCGTTGACAATACTTTTGGTGGTGCGCGCCTCGGTACTCGCCAGGTCTTCTGGGCTTGATCTTTGGAGCCCGATCTTTGGAGCCCCACGAGCTCCAACCCGTGGTTACAAGGACAAATCAGGTATGGTTTCTTCTACGAGGTACTTCTCCGGAGTTCCCGAGCCCATTGTCGAATGCGGAGGCTCAATGCTCGGGTTTGTGCGGACACGACGATTGAGCATCAGCTATATATAGGACGATGGAAGACCGACATGGTGGCGTTGAGGTTCTTCTGCGGCGTCGAGACCCACTGTAAGTACCCTAGGACATGCATAGCAAATAGAAACAGAGCGATGTTCTGTCCTAATCGCAAGAATTAGTAGCGAGGTGGTCCGCGTGGAAGCGGAGGCGGAATCGATGAAAACAAACCTCTGCCAAAGAAAAGCCAATTCGAGTAGGACAGATATGTGCATATTATAATAGTCTCTCGGGGAGATAATTGCTGCCAAAGGATGGCCATAACGACCTAGGGTGATTTTACATTGGGTATCATATATCTTGCTCGTTGTTAGTCCTGAAAGAGGACCTTGAGCTTCGTCAATGCGTCATCGCAGTTGACCTCCATGCTGGTGATAACATCGACTGCCTCCTCTTTGGCCATGATGGATTGAAGGACGATCCAGAAGTGAAGAGCATTGCGGTACATGCCTTCAGCTTTCAGGGATTTATCTGACGTTTGTGAGCAAAGAACTTCCCACAGTTGGCGCCATCTGTCCAAAGCGCCTTTGATATCTTGACCCATGGAGCTGACGGCGAAATTGGAAGTCTTTGCCCCATTAATCCGGCGACCAAAATTGGTCGTGGGTAGGTTAAGTGACATGGTCATTACACAGGAATGTACGTATGTGTACAAAACTGATGAACAGGTCAGTTGAGATGACATACTAGATGTTGGCTAGTGACAGAGACGACAGTGCAGTTAACTGGAGTAAATAAGGAACTTACAATGGATGAGAATGAACAGGTCAAAGATGGTGAGATTGCAATTGCCTTCTGTCTCTTCCAAGGTCGTTCCGTTTTCAGATTCGCCTGCATCTAGCATCGACTCTTTTGCTGAATCAGAAGTCCTTGCTTTTCCGTCAAAAAGAAGAGCGAAGGCTTGAGACATGGTTAATCGTGGTGCAAAGATCGAGTCGTCCTGCATGAAAGGGTGTCGTGAGCTGAAGATGGCCTCTTTACAAGGAAGATCATTATCGAGTTCGCCAAGGGTTATGCGGCATGGATAGTTTGAGTAGATTCGCATGGCGCAATCCAGCAATGCAATGACAGAGATGGTGCTGCATAGACGCATTTAGTAAAAGCCAAGCAGAAAGGTTCAAGCACATACCGGATCTTTGTCTCTTTTTGCAGCCAAGCGACTTCCGAAATGCGATCAGACGGCCGATGACGAGCATGGTGTAACTGCATGCTTCGAGCGACATTAATGACATCTCCGAGCCGAGATTGCATTGCCCTTCGTTTGGACCCTCGGGATCCGCCCCAATACTGGGCAACAACCATCAAGTAGCCAGCCTGAAGCTCTTGAAAAACCTCCCAGTCATGGTCCTGCTGAAGAGTGTCTGAAGGTGCTTGTAGGTAGTCATTTTGTATGGATCGAGTGACTTCAGCTTCGAAGGAGAAAATTTCCGAGTCGAAAACCACCAATTCCGCAACATCGACCAGTCTCTTCGCGGCTAGCCTTTCTGTCTGATCTTTCGAGTACATGGCGCCAATAAAGACCACACTGATAACTAAACCGACTGGGACTTTGCCGGGGTCGAATGACGGTCGATGTATGATGGGACAGTTCAGGTGCCAATTACGAAAGTAAAGGGAGATGAACTTGCGGATTTTCTCCGAGGTTAGCAAGAAATTCAGGCATGCAGTCAGTTCCTGGCGAGATTTTTCATCCAGGGCCAGGCACCATAGTTTGTTGTAAATTGCCATATTCAGTGCTGAAACATATTGCGCCTGATCCGAAGGTTGCTGCGTCGAGCTAGAAGGTGTGGAGCTAATCTGAGCCTCTGGGGATATAATGGACGGATCGTAAACTTCCAGCTGCAAATCAGTATAGGAAGGAGACTGAGTCAGTCCGAAAGGCCCTGTCCAAAAGTCGAGGTACTGATCGTCAAACCCCATAGGTATTTGGAACATCCCGGAGAAGTCGAAAGTGGCTGGACTTTCAACCTCTGATTTTGGGGCCACGGTATCGGTCTCTTCATCCTCTCCTTCTTCGTGTTGTTGATGAAACTGCAGTCCTCTTTGCCGATCATCGCAAGGGGGAAGATTAAACGTTTCTGTGAAGGTGTCGGTACCGCCGTTTAGAAGCGCTTGAATGGAGACGCGGTCGCCTAACGGGCCTAATTCTTCGGCAACTGGAAGGGTAGTCAGCATCACCAACAGTCCGTGTCTTTCTGTGAAGAAGTTTGGAATGCCTACTTGAACTTTCGCGAAGGGAGTGCTTTTGACGGCAGGCAACTTGTTTCTTCTTGCACGGTGCACAAGGACTGCCTCCGTCGCAGCGAATCTTGGACGAAATGCACTTGGTCAAGGTCAGCAAGATGCATGTTTGTCTTGGTGTCAATAGTGTAGTCACCGTCACACAGGCATGCGGCCTTCGGCCTTTGGGAATCGAACTGGGGACATCTCGGTCTCCTCGCCGTTGACAATGGCTATAATGGGTTTGTAATCGATCTCTGCCTCCGGCATCAGTGGGACGATTTCGAGGAACGGACAAGGCACAAATATCGTACTTGCGTGAGAAGTCTCGAGAGCAAAAAACACAAGAGAACGGTTTAGCTCCGGTATCTGTACAAGGGACGTCAGCAGCGTTGCGCAGGCGTTCAGTGGCAACTCACGTCGAGTTTGATGGCGCTTCAAGTGTTCAGCGCGCGAGAAGCCTTGCCCACAGTCTATACATCGGTACCGCTTCTCTGGAGCGCTGGACGCGCTGGAAGGTGTTGCTGTTTGTTTAGCGCACGCTGAAGAGAGGAGCGCCTGGCTCCTGATCAAGTCGTGGAAGTTTTCCATGGCTGCGGTTGCGAGTTTCCCGCGACTAGAGAGGATGATGGATTGGGGACTTTTTTGGGGGGGAGGGGTTGACGGCTTAGATAAGTGCGACGGCGGCGGACACAGCGGCGACAACAGCCCGAACCACGGGGAGTCCTCGCCTGCAGGTGTGGGAGCGGGCGAAGAGGGCTCGTTTGACAGGGCACCAGGCCCATCTCGGGCAGTTTAGGCACCAGTCAGCACCTAGTAAGTGGAGGGATGCGGAGAAAACCCCCCACGAAAACTTTGTGGACATCAGCTTGGCCACCCCATGGTCCCATGCCCAATCATTCTCACCTGCAAGTAAGCGAGCCTATGCCTCGCCAGCTCTGAGCAGCCGCCCCTTGCCGCAAACTGCAGAACGCAAGGGGCCCCTGGTTGGCTGAGGAGCCGTCCGGAAATACCCCCAGCTTTAAAGGAAGGTGTCAGCAGCTTGCCCAGAAGAGCGGCACAAGATTACAAGTAAGCCTAGGTATTTCCATTTTCTTTCAGCGACACCCAGAACGCTCACCCATATACCGTCAGTGGATAGTCACCCTTCCTATTGTCTTCTCAAGCCTCATTCGAGGAATAACTCAATATGTTCCCACCGGCATGATAAGCCAGATCTCGCACCCAGCATAGGGGAGAGACGGCACAGAGTCAGCTCAACGATGTCTGCCAATTCAAATCCCAACGTGGTTTGAAGGCAGGCCTACACGACAACTCCCAGCGTCGGCGGTGTCAGTGCGTCTTAAGTAGCACGGCCCCTAGAGATGCTCAATGCCTGGGTGTGACTGACAACAACCTTATTCACCAGCTCAGTGTGATGCCGCTGAAAACGTTGTGGGTAGGTGCTTAACGACCCATGTACCAATCATGGTCCACAAAGAAGATGCCGTGTGCCTGACGAACATGTCCAACTCCGCTGCCCCGTCACGCAGAAGGCTCTCGCGTCGACCGGCTAGCATGGTCTGTCCGGCAAAAGCATGAGAATTTGATGGGCACGTCTGCCATGGCAGTCGCATGCGCCAGCTGGGGTCGAATAAGTCGAGCTTCTGCTATACGGCCCAGCTTCATCAGACATTCAAAATACCCACGGAGTGCCCAAACATTGTTTGGATGGCGAAGAGCTCGAGGAAGCGTGTCGTCGAATCCCAGGTCTGCACTATACACCGCAGCGGCCAGCTCGGTGTGGCCTTGTTCCAAGAGGAGGGCACCGTAAGCATGTCGGGGCGGCTGCATCCACCCCCAAGGCTCGTCATATGGCAGTGCATCGTCGAGAGCAATGGCTTTACGGAGATGGTCAAATGCGACATCGAAGTTTCGCCGCCGATATTCCAATTCACCGTCCAACATTGATCGGGCGATGGCAAGAATATCCAGGCAGGTGTTGTTGAACAGCGTTCGGGTGGGCTTAACCTGCGAAACTGCTTCGTTGAAGAGGGTGCGTTGATTCTCTGCTTCCTCTACATTCCCTGTAGCTGCCGACGCGACACCCTTTGCATAGTGAATCAAAGCCGTTGTCACACAGTAAAGCTCTTGATCTTTGGGTAGAGGTAGGTCAAGGATTTCCTGCCACAAGCCGAAGCGAATGAGCGCATGCACACGCATGCCATGGAAGGCTTCGAGCCAGTCGGCCATTGGCGGGGACTTGACGCGAAGGAGGTCCTCCGGAACTGTTGCTTCGAGCCAGTCGGCAGTTTGCAGTGCAATCTTGGACTGACCAGCAAACATTGCAGCGTAAAGGCGAAAATGGTAATCGTGGCATCGATAGAGGCTGTAGAAGTTCAGCGGCCCGGCGCGCGCCAAAAACTTCTCATCCGCGCGAATCGCATCCATGTTCGAAGCGATCGCTCTGCGATAGTCGCCGCAAAGTATGTCAAGGTGGGTAGGCATATGTTGCAAGTGGCCAGCATCAGGTATCAACCCTCTCAAGTGGTCTGCAATGGGCATCGCAAGCTCAGGGGTGCTGGACATTTCCATCAGATGTATATAGAGGTGTAAGACACCGGGATGCTGTAATCCACCCTTCACAGCCAAGGCGTGATCGAGGACAGCCTTGACTTCTAGTGTCCTCGAGCCAGCCGCTGGCTGTCCGGTAGACAAGTCCCAGAGTTTCCAGGGTGTTAGATTCATCAAGGCATCAGCGTAGAGCACTGCCACGTCAAGGTCATCACTGAATGCTTCGTACACCGATCGCATAGCATCCGCGTAGGGTCGATTCCAGATGGAGCAGTCAGCAGCAGCATGTGGGAGCGGATATCGAAACTCGAGGGCATCTACCAAGGCCTTCTCGACGGGCGCGGCATTGATGGCTTCATTCTTTGCTTTCTGCACAGCAGCATGCGTCCGGGTCACGGTGGATTCGAGCTCCTCTCCGTCAAAAAACTCCCATGGTTTGTTGTAGTTGGGACCCAGGGCATATGCCAGGCCCCAGTAGGCCATGGTACAGTTAGGATCCAAGGCGATGGCCCTTTGGAAACATTCAGCTGATTCCTCATGGTTGAAGGCGTAACTCCACACCAGACCTCGATCAAACCAGAGTTGGGCTTGTTTGTTATTTGTGCTCACAGGTCGGCTGAAAGCCGACAGATCATAGTACGAGTCCGACGTCCTGAGGGCGTCACTTTGGAAATGATCGTCCGTCATCTCGACCGTTGCGCATTGACGACAGTTACTTTGTGGGAAGTAAAATGTGTCATGACATGTAAGTAGCACCGAGGCACGTGATCGTTTAGTGGGGGTTTGTTCGGAAAGACCTCGGAGCAGACCACACCTCACCTGTATGAATTCTATGATATTAGCACTTAGAAAACTATCTAGACTTTGTTGGCAACCTTGAGGGTGGTGGTATGGTGACCCCAGTTAGCTGGATGACCCATGGTGATGACTGACAACGTGGGCACATTCTCTGGGCTGGAAAGAGCACGTCGAGATCAGTGCGCTGTACAAGACAGGCTGAAACCCCCCCAAAAATACAACAGATGCTAGCGGAGCCACTTCTGATTACCTAGCATGTACTAGATGCTTCTTGGCACAAACGACGGACCACGATACGATGGCGTGACGTGAAAGTGCTTAGTATCTTTCTGGGTCAGACTAACAGTTCCAACGACGGCTGTCGAAAAAATCAGACACGGGAAAAACAGTGGGGGCAAAAGAAGAGACTATCGAAAAGCGCGACAGTTGAAGGAGAGCAAGAATCTGATTGAAACTGGGCGCTCCCTGCAGGCACCTCTGGAGAGTCATGGACCAGCTACTTGTAAATTTGGGATGTTGCGGTTCAGACCCTCTCCTCATGCACGATTGCGCCACTCTTGCTCACTTCGTCCAGCTCCTTGACGGCGATTTCGCGCGCCCGCTCTGACGACACGCACTGGTACGTCTTGAATTGACTGCGCGGGACCTTGTTGATGAACATCTCATCAATCTCCTCCAGCGAACGGCCCTTGGTCTCTGGGATCAAGAGGAAGAAAAACACTGGTAAAATCCCCAAAGTTAGCCGCAGATCTTATATCCCCACCCAAAGGGTTGTTGGAGAATACCCACCAAATGCCACGGCGTTGGAGCCGGCCCAGATGTAGCCGTACTTGGCGCCCCAGTTCAGGTTGTTCGAGTTCAGGAAATATGGGGTGCAGTACGAGATCAACCCTGCGAATTCACGGTCAGCCAGGTCAGTCGAATTACAGCGCGCAAAACTCACAGTTGAAGAAGTAGTTGATCCCAGTGCCGAGACCGACACTGAAGACTCGCAGGCGGGAGCTGACAAGTTCACCGGCAATCGGCCAGGTGATGGTGCCGGTGAAGCCGTTGTAGAAGAAGCTGAACATGAGGGCGAAACCCACAAGCGCTTGACCGGCGCTCTTTCCATGGCCGGCAAGGCTCAACAGACCGATAACCAGCATGCAAATACAGCAGCCAGCAGCGCCGATTAGAAGCATGGAGCGGCGACCGAAGACTTTGTGCATGAGAAACATTCCACACATGGCGCCGATCAGCCCGAGGCAGTTCTGCAGAATGGTAGCTTGGAATGGCTTGTCGATGCCGGCCATTTGGTAGAAGAAAGTGCTGTACGAGATGGTGAACCAGACGCCAGACGCCGCATGCGATGCGATGGCTCCTGCTGCCAGGATGGTCCGTCGGCGATCGGTTCCCTTGAACATGTCCAGCACCGATGCTGACGACGCCAGCTCCTTTTCCTGCTCAATACCTCTCTGCATCTCGATGAATTCCTCGTTGATGAGCTCGGGCTTGAGCGATCTCCCCCGAAGCCGCTCTAATGCTCTACGAGCTTCTTCTGGCCTGTTGTGCATGAGAAGCCATCGGGGCGACTCGGGCACGAAAAACATGAAGATGCTGAGCAGGAATGGGATTGCGAACAACGAAGCCAGCGGAATCTGGTATGCCAATCTGCTGTGCAAGTTTTTGCTGTAGTTGTCGGCAACGGCCCCGAGGATGCTCCCCAGGTTCACCCAAAAACCGAAGAACGAGGCCAGGACGGCTCGATGCTGTGGAGGGGCGTATTCGACACACGCAACGTTCGAGAACAGGATGAACCACCCATTTCCCAATCCGAGGAGAATCCTTCCGGCATAGAGACCTGCAAGACTGTTCGCTCCGACCTGGACACCACATGCCACCATCGATATGAGGGACGCGATCCAGATGGCTGGTTTGCGACCAAATCTATGCGCAAAGGGGCCGCCCAGGAGCACCGCGACGATGGTGCCGACATTGAGGAAGCTTGAAATCAGCTGTTGAGGCTTGGTGTTGATATTCCATCCCGATTTGACCTTGGGGTCCTTGTAGCCAAAGACTTCGAGGAAGCCGATCATGGCCTGGAACCCGGCAACTGCAGCGGTATCTGCATGGAGTTCAGCTTCGTGTACCAACATCACATCCCAGTAAAGCTCTCACCAAAGCCATATTGACAGTTTGCCATGCTGACCGCACAGCAGATGAGGAGACATTTCCAGTTGTCGATGAGACGGTTGTTTCGTCCTTCGCTAATCATCTTGACTTGTGGGATAACCGTCCTCGTGGTATGACAGGGCAGTATGCAAGATGTGATACATGGGAACGACGCTCCATTTGATGATTATATTGATCCTTCCGTCTGGGGCTCCTGAATCCGGGGCAAGATCGGCCGTCCAGGGGCAGAATCCCAGCCGCTTGAATCCCGGAGAGCCTGGTCCGGAATGTGGCCGGTAGCTCCAACATGGACAACAAAACTATTGCTGGCACTGGGTCAATGGGTCAAGCGCCCCCATGACAAGCAAAAGCTTTCTCGCTTGACCAGTCTTGCCAGAGCTTTTTGCATCTTGTCATGCGATCTACCGAGCGAGCGGAGGGAGTCTCGCCAGTGGGGCTTCTCAACATGCATACTCGTACAAAGTAGGTAGGGGGATTCCAAGTAGAGGCCTCCAACTCGCATGGCTCGGGATCATATCCTACAAGGGCCTCGTTGGAACCCGTTTTCCCGTCCCATGTGGGTTCTGGGTTCGTGGCATCGAAGTTTTCGGCAGTTGGCCCGGTGTGGCATGCACCACAAAACCACCTGAACGGCGCTGGTTCTTTCCAATTAGTATACACAGGGACAAGTCGGCGCCACAACTGCCACTTGTCTTGTGACTCGAAGGCGAGGCGTTGATCTTTCAGGTGTACGCAGTTGTTGTCGGGGCAAAACTCTGTTTCCTGAAGTCACCAACGTCTACGCTGCTGAGAACGATCTCGAAAGTGCAATGGCGCAACAACAGACCCGTCGGCGGCCGATGACTGCCTGCCAGAAAATACTGGTCCATCATGCGCTCGGCCTTGAGACTCCGTACGTGGAACCAGGGACCGTGATCCGCATCGCTCCAGATTGGTTTCTGGCGTCCGAAGTTGCTTGGTTTGGCATGAACAAAAACTACGAGCGCATGGGACGACCTGGCATTCGGCGCAGAGACAGGTTCTGGCTGGCAGGGGATCATGTCGTGGATCCACGAGTGAATCATCAGGCGTACGAGAAGTCTCTGATCGAGGCGTGCGATCAGATTGCTAAGGAAATGGACCTGGGGGACAACTACGCTGGGCACAACACCACCATCATGCATACAGAGTATTATCGTTCTCGGTGTCAGCCTGGTATGCTGGTCATTGGCGCCGACTCTCACACGTCTTCAGCTGGTGCGCTGGGGAGCCTTGCAATCGGCGTGGGCGCAACCGATATGATCCTGCAGCTTGTCACTGGCGAGACGTATCTCGAGGTCCCAGAGATCGTCCGGATCAACTTTATCAACAGACCACCTCTTGGGACCAGCGGCAAGGACGTTATACTCGGTGTGATGCGGAAGCTCCGCAGAAATACCGTTGCTGCAGGTCGACTCGTCGAGTATACCGGAGAAGGACTTCAGTATCTGTCGTGCGACGCCAGATTCGCCATCGCGAACATGACGACCGAGTTTGGCGGCATTGGCGCCTGTATTGTTCCCGACGGAGTCACGATGCAGTACATCCAACGTCGAAGAGATCCGCGACATAAATCGGACAGCCTCTATTTCCGGCCAGACGACGATGCGCAGTACGCCGAAACATATGATGTTGACCTATCCGAACTGGAGCACTTCATTGCGCTATACCCTTCTCCAGACAATGTCGTTCCCGTCTCAGAAGCAACGGCACAGCTCCAACACCTGCAAGGTGTCTTCATAGGAGCGTGCACCACGACGGAAGAAGAGCTGATTCTGGCCGCGTTGGTATTAAAAGAGGCCATGTCTCAAGGCTGGAAACCTGAGGCGCAGGGACTACGACGTGTCACTCCCGGGTCCAATTCCATCATCAATCGCCTCAAGGAACTAAACCTTCTCGAGGTGTACGAACAGGCCGGGTTCGAGATCGGTGCGCCTGGATGCAGCTACTGCGTGGGCATGGGAGTCGACAAGGCCGGGAGGGGGGAGGTGTGGCTGTCTTCTCAGAACAGAAATTATCGGGATCGCATGGGCCCCGGATCCATCGCCAACATCACCTCTGCAGCGACGGTGGCCGTCTCCAGCTTCTCCATGTCACTGCAGAATCCCTCGGAGATCCTTGGTAAGATCGACATGGCCGAGTTTGACGCGATGAGGAGGTACGGTGCACAGGAGCTACGAGAGTTACCACAATACGTTGAACCAGAACTTCTCGCGGCCGCACCAATGCCAGCCAAGGGCGACGCAGATATACCACCCTCACCAGCAGAAGAACGGCCGGCGCCCTCGCTCCCCGAGTCAATTCGAGGGAAGGTGCAGAGGTTCGGAGACAATGTTGACACAGACAGCATCATCCCGACCGACAAGTGCCATTCCCACCTCACCCAGGAAGAAGTCGCCCGTGGCGCATTCTGCTACACTCGACCCGAGTTCTACGATCGTGCGCAGTCCGGGGCCTCGATCGTGGTCGCCGAGAAGAGTTTCGGCTGCGGCTCTTCGCGCGAACAGGCACCCAAGGCCCTGAAGTGGGCGGGCATCCAGGCCGTGATCGCCAAGTCGTACGCCTTCATCTACCAGCGCAATCAAGTCAACAACGGCCTGATGGGGATCAAGCTAGTGGACGAGGACTTTTACCGGCTCGCCCAGGAAGGGGAAGAGGTCGCGATCGATGTCAAGAACCGCAAGATCCACTGTCAGGGCCGGACGTGGGACTTTCGACTGGATCGCATTCAGGAACAACTCCTCGCCGAGGGCGGGTTGATCAGCACGTACGAGAGGTACGGACCCGGGCTATTCTCTAAGTTGCAGAGTCTCGATCAGAAGACGAGCAGCAGACCTCTAAGCGGGAGTACCGATGTTGGATTCGTTGAGGAATCATCAGCCAAAGCCACATCTTTGGAATGGTGAGCTGGGTAGTTAGAGCCTATGCATAGTAGGCCTACACATCAAGTCCTGGAGAGGGGGATGGTCGCGCAAAGAGAGACACAGGCTCGCGGATCAATTCATATGCAAATTCTTCTTATTACAACTCTACCAAAGGCTTTAACCGTGGAAGGATTTTTGGGGAGGAGGGATTCCCATCTGGACCAGCTAAGATGGGTAGTACTCGAGCCCATATTCGCTGGATCGTTCGAGTGTGTGGATTGGCTTGCCGGCCTTTTCTAAGCGCTCCAGTTCCTGTCGTTTCATTTCCTCTTGCATCTGCAATTGAGTGCACAGGCTGTCAGCATCGCTGAACTTGGAGGGGTGGCAGCAAGAGGTCAAGAAAGAGGTCAAGTAGACTTTGTGTGAGATAACGTCCTTGGAGAGAAATAAAACGTACCTTGATCCTCCCGCCCGCACTGGGAAGTAACTCCCTCGGGGCCGTAATCTTCCACTCAGGCAGACCTTCCGGTCGACCCAGGTCCTTGAGCGTCTTGGCCTCGACGAGGCTATACTTGCCGTCGGGCCTGTTATAATTGAAGGGCTCCTTGAGGGCGACGGGCGGGTTCGTGATGATGCGGACATTTCGGAGCAGGTTGCGCGACGCCGAGTGCAGCATGAACGGGTGGAGGAAGTAGACGTCGCCGACGTTGCCGGTGGCTTCGTGGAAGGACTCGTCGCGGCAGAGGCTGGGGTCCTGCACCCACGAGTTCCACAGCTTGCGCCGGTCCGGGTTCGACTTGGGGATCTCGGGGGATCCTCGAGGCGCGAGGTACGGCGTGGCGCCCTGGGGCATCGAGTACTACGCGAGTAGTGGTGGTGAGGGAATGCAATGCACTCATATGTGTACCTCGTATGTGTATACGCAAAGGCGGACCTCTGGTGAGAAGGAACGTACCAATCTCTCTGCCACCAACTTGATCCCGTCCGTACAGATGACGGTGCCGCCTCCCTTGGGCTTGATCTCGGTCAACAAGGGAATCACCAACAGTGCTTGCTCGGGCGAGTCGAGGAAGTGGGTGAACCAGTCGCCGTCGCAGTGCCAGTTGTCGAGGGACCTCATGTCCAGGGAGTCTGATTCCTTGTATTCGGGTTTGCCCAGGTTGGGGATGAAGCCGTCTTTCCAGAATTTGCACCTGCATGGCCGATAGATGAGTACCATTGACCATAAGGGAATGTATATATAACTATCTATGTAGGGATATGCGAGTCTGATACACACCATTCAGCCACTCGATCCTCCCCTCCCACCAACTCACACATGGCCGCGTACGCCTTGGGCGCGTGTTCCTTGATCGAGACGACCGTGTGGCCAGGCATGTTCAGCTTCTCGGTCGGCCACGTCGACTTGTCGTCCGGCGAGGCGCCGAGTCTCGTCCAGATGGAGCTGGTCCATTTCTCGGCGAACTCGGGGGAGAAGCAGTTTTCGATCTTGATGAAGCCGTGGTCCATCCAATGCTGCTTCTGCTCCTCGGTCAAGGAGAAGTCGGTCCATTCGCTGATCTTTCCTGGCATTTTTAGGGAGAGACTTGACTTTTTCACACCGAGTTGATACTGCTTAGCTAGCCTTGTTGGCCTCGTCGGTGAGGATCGGCCATGGCAGACATAGATGTACTTGTACTTGTAGCCGCACTTGTGCCCGTAGATGCCAGATGCTGGACACTGGACACTGGACACTGGACGGCCTGCGATTGCGACTCCGACGTATGGGAAAAGCCTATGGCCGTCATCCCCGGGAATTAGCCTAATTGACGAGTAGGTAAAAGGAAGACGACGAATGAATTGTCATTGTCTCTCTAAAAATATTCCTACTCGGCCTTCCTCCGTGGCCTTTGAGCCTTTATGGTCTCTTTGGCTGGTCATGCCCATATTGCCGCGGGGAATTGAGTTATCCGAAAACAAGAGGTTTCTTTGACGAATGGGTAACGAAGAAGATCAATTAGCAACCTGCCAGACGCCGCATTTGTCCCTTGTACAATCCTCCCCAGTTATCTATCATGAGACCCGGTTTCCTGGTTTCCTGGTTTCCTGGAATTTGACTCCATCCAGCTGGTTACCTCCACCTCGACTGTATATAGCCGTGTCGCCAAATCGCCCTACACCTCACCTCATGACTTCCCTTCCTCAGCAGTATTGTTGACTGAACCACTCTCACCCTTTTCGATATTTTCCCGCCGGAGTTGGTTCCGCTTGCCCAAGATGCGCAGGGTGCGTTCGCGCTCCAGCTCTGTCATCTGGGCCCAGTTGTCGATGCGGGAGAGCGTGCCGTCTGAATTGATGACCAGCGGCCCGAGGGCGTCGAGCTTGAAGGTTTGGGATACCTCTCCGTCTGCATTAATTGATGTTGACGCGTCCTGGGGAGCTGGGAGAGCGAGCGGAGTTGAATCAGATGTTTTTGCGGTGTCGTCCTTGTCGTTTGCTGGTCGTTGAGTTTCTGGGTTTTGTGGCTGATTCGATGACATGATTGATGGTGTTTTCTCTGTGGAGGTTTTGTCCCTGAGTAGATCGATGCTCACTGACAGTTGCTTTTTACTTGTCTTGCATTGGATGTGGAGGAATGATTGTATCTCTACACATTGTCGCCGAATAAGTCATTGTATAAATAATTATGCCTTGACAATGCCAATCCTACGTCTTGACCCTCGCTGTCGCTCGTCGCGCCTGGTAGAAGCTTCCAGGCTCCGCTCCGCTCCACACCAGCCACTTTTCGAACATTCTCCAACTTTTGCTTTGCTGCTCTTCAAACACCAACACTACCATCCCTCTACTTGTAGCTTCGAGATACGAGGTACAAACACTGACTTGACTCAATTTATACATGATGCTGCTAGCAAAGGGTAGAGTCACTGGGCAAGAGTGCCATCTATATACATATCAGGAGGACAATATCGTCTCGTTTTCGCTACCTGTTCAAGGTGAACTTCTTTTTTCCCCGCCTACATTTCCACATCAAAGCCTCCCCAACGTCTACTACAACTTGGCCAGAATCTGACCACCATCCCCGCTCCCCATGACAATCTCATCGCTCTGGTAATAAGGGTTAAATGTCTGCTTGTTTAGCGGATTCAACACGTGTGCGCGATGGAAGAGGTCCTCGTAGACCCGTCCGTCGTAGCGGCCGAGGGCACTATTTTTTTTGAACGAGTTGTTAGTTTCTCATTTTCAGAAGTTGCTTCGGGAAAGGGAAAACAGGGATGGATACTGACCTATCGAGCAAATAATCTGGGATGGCCCATGCGTCGACGAGGCGCACCGCGTGTGGTCTGATGCGCGCCATCAACTCCAACACCCGCGCGGGCAACTCGTTCAGATCCGCCGAAGTGACTGCGCCCGAGTTCTGGAATTCGCGAGCTTCCGAATCCATGGTGTAGAGGGCATACAGGCGGAAGAGGTCGAGGAGAACGGTGCGCGTCGACGCATCGAGGTGAGCGATCTCGTTACTCCTGCTGTCTGCAGCGACGGCGGCGTAGAAGTTCGACACCAGCATCGCCTGCGAATAGGCCCTGCTGAGCTTGTGGAACTCGATGAGCAGGCTGTTCCACGACTTCTTCTGGATCTCGCGCGCCTCGTACGCCCGGTACGCCATGCTGGCCATGCGCCAGGTGAAAGCGTCCACGATGGCCCTGTCGCTCCTCAGCACGTCGAATTGGGGCTCTCGGGCTCGCGCGGACAGATACGTCTGGATGTGCTCCTCGGTCTGGCTCAGTGACGGGCTCTTGTGGGGCGCGTGTACCATGTCCTTGACCTTCTTGATCAGATACCGCGCCACCTGCTGCGTGATCATCCAGTTGTCGCCCTCGACCGTCGGCTTGGAGAGGTAATCCGCATTTGCCTGCACGAGACCGGTACCTCCCCCGAACCCATGGCCGCCCATCGAGCGGCGACATGTTTCGATACCGTCGGCGGCGAGCGTGGTGGCCAGACTCTTCAGCCCGGCCGACGTGCTATGCAGCTCCGAGAGCGTCGCCTGGTCGACCGTGTCGATTGTCGTGTCGTTCTTGCGCGTGCGCTCGTACAGCCGCCGCATATACGCGCCCGAGTAGTGCAGGGCAAACGTCGTGGCCAGCAGGGGCAGAATGCGAATCTGCACCGTCGTGTAGTCGAGGACAGCGGTCTCCAGCGGCTGCGTGGGATTGTCCTGGTCGCGGAATTGACGTCGAATGGACAGATAGCGCACCGCGACCGTCACGGCGCGGGCCAGCACGAGACGGGCGTTCATGACAATGACGGAACGACCTCGAGTGAGCTGGCCATAGACTGACGCGGGATTCTTGGGCTTGGTATAGACCCCCGTCTCTGGGTCGAGGCGAGAATGCCTGGACAGCATGGCACTGTGGGGGATCCTATTCTTCGTGATTAGCCAGGATTAATGGGGGGTGGAGAGACCGGATCCTCATACCGGTGCTGATGAAACAAGCAATACGCGTTGTCCATGGAAGCGTATCCATACTTGGGACCTATATCGCCGACAACGATACTCTTGGGCGGTTGATGCGTCTTCATGTCGCGGATCTGGACCAGGAACGCATGCGGGCCGTAGGACTTGTAGGTCCCATTTTCAGGCAGCATGAGCTGGGCAATGACCACGGCATAGTTTGCCGTTCGACCCAACGTGCCGTTCCACCATTTACTCGCCGTGATGGTCGGACTATGGAGGACGAATTCCTTGGTGGCCGGATCCCAGCGCGCCTCCGTCTCGATGCCGCGCACGTTGCTCCCGTGGCCCAGTTCCGTCTGGGCATACGCCCCGATGACCTCCCACGCGGCGATCCTGGGCATCCAGTACGCGCGCTGCTCGTCGCTCGCCTGCTCCCGCACGGCGGCCGTGAAGAGCGAGATGTGCAGATGATACGGCTGGATGTCGTCGACGAGGTACTCGGCCATGAGGAAGTCGTCGTCGGTCCACCCGTGCTTGTCCTGGAGCTGTCTCATCCGCTTCCCTCGCGCCAGGCCCAGCTTGTACCGGTCCGGTCGCGACAGGTTTGCTTGGTTGGACTTGGAAAAGACCCTGTCTCTGCCCAGGATGTCCAGGACCCGTCGTTGCCGCTCCAGGTACTCCGACCCCATCAAGTGCTCAGACAGCTGGGGGATGTTGACGTCGGAGCATTTTCGCTCGTTGGCAATGACTGTCGCGCCATCGGGCGCCGCAGGCTTGAGATTGGCGCTGAAGTCACTCATGGCTGCTACTTGTGGACAGGAGAAAAGTTGGAACTCTGCGGTGACCCTGTCGAATCGTGTCGAAGAGTCTTCTTGGAGATGAGCCTTCACGATGGTAAGAATTTTCCTGACATTAATGTAGTGTCGGCAACGAATGGCATAGTAATATCTTACGGATACTCTCGTCGGCACTGGTCAGCCAGCCTCACCTGATATTGGAGCATTGGTTTTGCTGAAGGAGTTGCCGTTGAGCCATGAGCGTGACAAGATGTGGAGCATGATTGTTTATTCAAGGACTAGCCAGGCTTTTTTTCCAACAGGGCTCATGGATCACAGTGGAAGTCAAGGCAATTGTCCGAAACGGGAAATATCCGAATGCCTTGTAATAATAGCGGGGGATCATTATCCTCGGAGTGTTGCCTATTAGCTTGTGCGAGATGGGCCTCGTGATGCAGGACAAGTATCCGGGATGCGGTTTCAGGTTTTGGATAGGTCCGTCGAGGGACCCAGACCCTTGATAATGTCTCTGGCGGTGTAATTATCTAGTGGTGGCGGCATGCGATATCGCCAAAGTTCGAAGTGCGGCGACTTGAACCGGCGTTTCTGTGGAGCGGCGATTTCGTTCACCGGTGATTCTGCTTAACGTTCGATAGAATTTACCACCGAATTTGGATGGCACTCGCTTTCTGTTGAACATCAATCTGCATTCCTGCTATTGCCGACCTCGACGTTGCCTGTATAATTGATGTAAATAGACGCTAGTCTGCTTTAGTAAACACTATTCCTGTTACGGATAGTTCACCCAAATCGCCGCTGTATCAAATCGCCGTCGAAATCGCCGCCTTAAGTTCTTCCGGAAGGCGAAAAGGCTTAGCAATTCTTATGTCTCTCCAATATCGGACATTGTCTCCGAGAGCGACCGGTACCTTGTACCTACGCAAATCCTTCTCACACAGGTCCTCTCTCGCATCATCGACTCGTCACAAACCCACGACCAAGACCACCTTGGCTGGCTTCCTGAAACCGAAACACAGGCCCGACTTGTCCATATCATAAGCAAAGCATATCGGTGCTTGTCCCTCGATCCCAGATAGTGAGGGTCATTGAATGAAACCATCTCCATCATGCTGCCTATGGACTCATCGTCCGACCTCTCTTAAACCTTGTTGTCGGGGAGCTCTTCAACATGGCGTACATGGTCCATATCCATGACGTATTTTTCCTCATACGCCTTCTGTTCATGAAGACGAGCGAGATTGGCTGCAGAAATGGCACTGTGTTCTGCATCCTCCATGGCTCGTAGAGGCATGGCATGTCCAGTCTTCGCCTTGCGTCTTTTCGCCTCCCACAGCAGCCATAACGGTAAGCTGGCGAAGCTGATGATGGTAAATGCGATGGTGGATGACGCAGCCGCAAAGCCTGGCAGGTACCAAGGGGCGTCTGAGCTTGGGAAAATCTGCGAACATTAGCCTTTATGACCTGTATGAAACGCTCTAACAGAGATCGCATCTTACCTGAGGACCGATGATACTTGCAATTGATAGTGATGCAATGGCAGTCGCTCCACCGATGGCTTGTTCCGCCGCTCCATACAATGTCGAGGTTCGATATGCCAATGCCGCTGGCTGTGCGATTGAGACCATGTTGCCGAGGAACGCCAGTCCGTAGAGCTGGATCGGCGTCATGTCACCGAAACTCTTCTGTGCTGCCACATGGGTCCAGATGGCGAAGCAGGGAATAGCCATGGCTGCCGGGATGATATAATGCCAGATTCGCTCACGCGTCCAGTCCGAGTGCCAACTCCAGAAGGTATATACGACAATCGCCACAAAGTACACGGCCGAGGTGTATTCGTTGGCCTTGGTGCTGCTGAATTTGGCAAACTGCGATCCTTTAGTGAGAGAGAATCGGGAAAAAAAAGGCGAAGAACAACTACTTACCACTTTCAAGATGGTCGGCAAGAACGTCCCGAGGGCCACAGCGACGATCAACAGGCAAAGATACGACACGAAGAAGACATATGTTGACGGTCGAGTCATAACGTTGAAGAAAGCCGGCCAGTCCCATGTAACGTCTGTCTTGCGAGTTGCTCCACGGCCAAAACGATTGACGGCAATGTAACGTTCTGGGATGTGTTTAGCAAGATAATCCGTACCTTTGGGCTAGTGCAGTACAACATACCTCGCTCAGACAATGATTTCGAATCCTCGGGGAAGGTCAGGAGGAGAAAGTGAACGGGGATTGCACAGACAATCCTACAGCACAGTTAGTATGCTCCGAAGACAAGATTCGGTGAAAAGAACAGCTAGAACTCACGGCATGGCTCCCTCGATGAGAAACAGCCATCGCCAACTCTCCAGCCCACCTTTTCCGTTGAGCTTCGCGTGTCAGCACAGTGTGTTCCATTGGGCGGGGCAGATCTCGAAGACCTACATGATCGATTCCCACGGCCAAAAACCCTCCAACTCCCGAAGCGAGTGAATTGGCAGCATGGAAGACACCAATCCGCCAGGCTCGCTCGTGCGGCTTATACCAGAAGGAAAAGTACATGATGCAGGCGGGCACGACGCCGGATTCAGGAACACCCAGGAAGAAACGAGCAGCAAGCAAGCCGGCTCTGCTGTGAACGGCGCCGATGCACATGACAATCGCACCCCAGAGAACCATGATGACGGGAAAGTATAGTTTCCCAGAGAAGCGCTTCATCAACAGATTGGATGGGATCAGAAGGACGGTGACCATGAAGTAAGTGACGGATACGGCCTGTCTCTTCATCAGTATCTAGAGACCTTCAGCTTGTGGTGGCAATACCCACCCAGTTGAAGTCCGATCCCTTGAGATGTAGAGTCTCCTCGAAGCTGCTGGACTTGCCAGCTTGCAGGACGTTGACGAATCCCATATTGGCCCGATCCAGGTATGCCAGGAAGTATATGATGCAGCAAGGGAACAAGACTCGTGCGTCAAGCTTCCTCACCAGCTTCCTCTCCTCCTCCTCACTCCAGTCCTGGACTGCTGCAACATGCTCGATCCTATCTTGGCTGCTTGCTGTTGAGAGTTAGTAATCCTCCTTCAAAGAGTCTCGCTGCACTGTGCGATGAACTGACCATGGTGACCATCGACACGTTTTGGCCAGAAGGCGTTACGAAGGCCCCAGCCTCCAATGTAGATGCCCTCAGCCTCGGCGGCTGCCTTTGCTTCTTTCCAGCCAAACATTGTCGTCACGATATTGCTTGCTTCGGCCGATGTGCCTTGCAAAGTGGGGGAGGTGACAGAACAATAGTCACACCACGGACAGTCCAAAGGTCAAACCCTCTCATATAGACCGCTGGGGAATGTGGTAGGCATAGTATCCACGTGTGCTCCATACGGGGCCCCAGATACCGAGTATACAAGGGCCGAGGACACACTAGGCGACGGAATGTGGCCGGCGAACCGACCTGTCCCCCTCCCAATGCCCCAATCCTGGTGGCGACGGCGATTCCCACACGGGGATTTCCATTCTAGGAAATCGACTGAATGGCTCTCTCCAAGATAAATCGACCCCTCATGAGGACGGAAGGTTGCGCAATCCTCCAAGAACAGAAACGAGGCTGAGGGGCCAAGAGGAGGAGCGAAAGTCAAATATTGCCCTTGTTGACGGGTTGATATTACCAAAGCTCGAGCCTGTCTCCTGATCTATTCCTTTTCTCTCCCGGTTGAACACGAGATAGATTGTTGCAGGTTGCCATCATGTCAATCCGGTCAGATGATCTAGCAGAGTTGCCCTTGGACGGCCCTTCAGCCGCCGTTATTGTCGACCGTGTCAACTATCCCGACGATCGAGCGCAATGGGTACCGAAACACCAAGGCCCTAACGTCTTCCCGAACTTCTTCCTGTTCAGCCGCTTGCTGCGTTGGTGCTATAGGCCCAATCTTGTCGCTGTCAAGGACACTACTTTCGGCTATACAGCCGACTACACTCAGCTCCTAACTGATGTCCTCCATCTTCGGAACGTGTTGAGACAGACGCTGCCGCGACATGTTGTCCAGAAGCTTGACAGAGACGAAGAAGTCTTCATCAACCTTCTCGGGCCCGGTGGCTATGAATTCGTCGTGGGCTTTTTCGCCTTGATGGCGCTGGGTGCCGTCATTGTCCCGATATGTAAGTGACTTCTCCGAACCTCAGCATTTCCATGTGTGTTAAACAAATGCAGCGCCTGATCTTCCTCCCAAGGAAGCAACATACTATGCCACCAAATCAAGGGCCTGTGCCGTCCTGGTTGCACAGAAGAGCGTGCCGCTGGCACGGGAGCTCGAATCGATAGTTCGCCAACAGCACAACGAGAGTTTCCGTGCCATTCAGATCACGCCGCATGTCATGCAGAAGCCCCTGGATCCAAGCCAGATACAGATTTCGTCGGATCCGTATTTCGATCTGAACAAGTCCGGTCTGGTCATCTTCACGTCGGGCACAAGCGGGCCCCCCAAGGGAGGAGTCAAGCGGAGAGGCTTCCTCTACGACGTGGCTACATCCTTCAGCGACCAACAGGGGATCAAGGAAGGAGACATGGTATTGCATGTGCTGCCTGTGCACCATGCAACTGGTGTCACCGTCACTTTAATCCCCTTTCTGTACAGTGGAGGATGCATCGAGTTCCGCAGCGGCGGGTTCAACGTCGAATGGACCTGGGAACGAATTCGACAAGGGGGTCTGTCTTTCTTCTCGGGAGTGCCGACCATCTACATGCGCCTGATGGCCTATTATGAACAGCGGCTGTCAAAACTGCCACCGCAGGAACTACAGGAATACGTCAACGGCTTGAACGAAATTAGGGCTCTACTGTGCGGCACCTCAGCCCTGCCTCGGCCTCTGCAACAGAAATGGACGAAACTGAGAGGCGGTCGAGCGATCTTGACACGCTACGGTGGTACAGAGTTTGGAAATGCCTTCACAGTAACGCCGCGGTCACAGGGCGTGCCAGATGGCTCTGTAGGGGAGAAGGCGCCAGGGATTGATCTCAAACTCTCGAACGGCGACGAAGGAGAGGTGCTCATACGAAGTCCCATCCTGTTCTCCAAGTAAGCTGCTGTCTTTTGTCTTCAAACTCACTTCCGACTGATGACTGACCTTCGCAGGTACCTGTTTGACAAGGAAGCGACGGCAAAAGCTCTCGATGCTGATGGCTACTTCAAGACTGGAGACATTGCCCGTCGGGAAGGGAAATACTACTTCATCCTGGGTCGAGCATCCATTGACAGTGAGCGACTAACCCTATGGAACCCACTCTACCATTACTGACTCGGTTCACAGTAATCAAAAGCGGCGGCTACAAGATATCCGCGCTGGACATCGAACGAGAGATCTTGGGTCTTGGATACGTCGCCGAAGCCATGGTGGTCGGTGTCGAGGACGAGGAATTTGGTCAACGGGTTGCCGCAGCACTAGTCCTCCAGCCAGATGTGAGTAACGATGGGTCTATGTGTGGTATATTGAGTGAGCAGCTAACCAGAATCCCAAGGCACCACGAGACCTGACGTTGGAAAAGCTTCGGCGCGATCTGAGAGGGACGCTGGCTGGGTACAAGATGCCCACGCTCCTCCGGGTCGTGAACGAGCTCAAGAAGAACGCCACGGGTAAGGTTATCAAGAAGGTCCTTGTCCAGGAACTGTTTCCCCCTGAAGGACATGCCGACGTGCAACGCTGGGTATCCAAGAAGCGGGAGAGCAGGCTTTGATTTCGTACATGGCTGTCAGGGTGGTGCAAGCTCCTGAAGGAGGGATACATCCCCAGTCACCTAGACTTGTTATATATACCAAAGTATAGAGACCTCTATCAGACGTTCCAGGGAGAAGACATCAGGCTTCTTGAACCTGATCTGAGACAATTCACCAGGCACCATTTCACCGAGACTCTCTACTTTGCAATCCTTGATCCCACTCATTGGCACATTATTCCAGGATCCCTCTACAATTTGACCTTTGGCTCCCTTGTCGTCTGCTTATGATGAACGTAACTCACAGCCCGATACGCCGAATGGGCCTGACCCCATAGCTCGTTCCTCAACAAGCCATAAACCCCCATTTTCGCCTTGGACTTCCACTGCTCGGCGATCTTGACGGCTTCCTCGAGCATCCGATCCGGCGGGGCGATAACATCCACGATCCCGTCCTCGAGCGCTTCCTTGCCGGTATATCGGTGCGCTTCGAGCAGGACCTTTCTCGCAACCTTGGGCGCGAGTTTCAGCCGCAGCAGCGACCCCATGCCGTCGTGGTGCAAACCGGCAATCACAGGGGGCATTTGCCAGAACCCGCGCTGCGAGTTCATCACGCGATAGTCGTGCGCGAGGGTGAGAAGACAGGCACCGCCCATGACGTGGCCCGTTATGCACGCGACTGTCGGGAAGGGGAAGTCAAGGATAGTGGCGAGGAGCTGGCTCTCTTCGTTAGAAGGGAACCAAAAGTGCCTTTTGGGGAGGAAACAAGAAGGGGGGGGGGGGGTTGTCAACTCACAGGATAGAAACCGTCGCATGAAGCAAACATGTTGGTTTCTCGCTCGTCGAGATCGAGTCCCTGCCATACATAACGTTAGAGCTGCGTATAGCAGAGAAGAACAGCTAATTGTCGACTGACCGTGGTGAAGAATTTGGCATCGCTGCCAGTCAACACCACCGCGCCTTCGGCATCTTGACCCAACTCCTTCTGGATCGAGTGATATGCCCGGATGAGCTCTTGACAGCAAGCAACGTTGAGACGGTTCTGCGGAGGTTTTCTCAACGTGATAATGAAGACGTCGCCTTTGCGCTCGACGCTGAGGTACTGGTAGCCCATCTTGTTGCCGATCTTCTGCCGCGATGGTAGTTGTCACCTGAGAGTCCAGAGCCCTTTTGTTATATTCCAGACGGTCTATTTTAGTTCCGTTCTGGTGAACACCGCTGAGGGTTCTCCAGAGTTTTCCGCAGATTGACCGAGCACTCTGATCAGTTCCTTTGCTGGTGTGTGGAGAAGATGACAGACAGAATCGCATTTGGCAAATGTCGGATGGATCATGGGAATTACCGGATTAGGAAATTCCCGATACTCTGCCTACAGATCAAGTTATGGAACCAAGTAGCAACCAGCAACCTACCTAGGTACAAGTGGACGTCCAGAGTACCGGAGTATAGTGGGTAGTCTGCCGTTAGCCGGAGCTTGACATGACCTAGACTATGGCAGTAACAACGCGTCAGCCGACAGTATATTCATATCCTCTGGACTTGGACATGGTGTCCGTGTAGTCGGCAATCCAATATTCTGTATTCCATCATGTCTCGCAACATCCCAGTCCAGCCAAAGGATTCCGAGTTCACATTATTTCTTTGGGGAGGTGAGGAGAAGCTAGAGCGAAGGAAGGCTCTGCTCAAAGCCTTGATTGGCAATCCCATATTCGACAAGAAGAATGTCACTCTGCCGTCGTTGGCCCGCAAAGATGCGTGGACTCGGGCGGCGTTGCAGAGCCGGGAGCTCATCAGACTCAAGTTTGAGCACAATTGGCCTCATCGCCATTTCATGGAAGCCATCAAACTGACGGACAATATGCTCCCTGTCCAACCCCAGTTTAGAAGTATGTTCTCCGTCCGCTGTAAAGATTCGAAGATGCTAGAAGATGTGATTTTGACCTTTTGTTGCTAGTTTTCATGTCAAACCTGGAGCGGCAAATGTCGGACGAACAAAAGAAGATCTGGATCCCCAAGGCTGAGCGGTTCGAGATCTTTGGCTCGTACTGCCAGACGGAGCTGGGCCACGGATCAAACGTCAAAGGGATTGAGACGACAGCGACTTTTGACCCCGACAGCGACGAGTTCTTGATCAACTCACCTACCATCAGTAGCACCAAGTACTGGATCGGTGCTACCGGGGTGTGGGCTACACATGGTATTGTCGTAGCACGCTTGATAATCAAGGGCAAGGACTACGGCAACCATTTATTCCTGGTTCAGCTGCGCAAACTCGATACCCAAGAGCTCATGCCAGGATGTGAAATCTATGAACTCGGTCCCAAAGCATTCCAGGGCATGCTGGGGACGGATAACGGTGCTCTTCGGTTCCACAATGTCCGCATCCCTCGCTCTCAGATGCTCGCCAGAAATGCACAAGTCCTCAGAGACGGCACCTACGTCCCGCCAAAGAATCTCAAGCACTCGTACGGGTCGATGGTGACGGTGCGTGCTCTCATGGCCGAGATCACAGGCTGGGACCTCCTGAAAGCCGTCGCTGTGGCATACCACTACACCACTTTCCGAAGGCAATTTTCGAATCGCAAGGATGGCTCTGAAACTCGCGTGTTCGACTATGCGAGTGTGCGATACCGGTTGCTTCCACTGCTTGCCAAGGTGAGACTTATATCAAACGAGCCATATCAATGGACTTGACTAACAATTTTCAAAAGGCCACAGCGCTTGTCGTGGTCGGGCAGGCTATCAAGCGTGCCTATGATGACTATACGGCAAATTACTTGAAGACTGACGACACCTCTCAGCTGGAAGATCTCCACCTCCAAACGGTCGGTGCCAAGGTCTACTCGACTGAGATTACGGGATACGGCGTGGAAACCTGTCGCATCGCCTGCGGCGGCCATGGATACAGCGCCCTGTCAGGATTTGGCCGGATGTACGCCAACTCTATCAACTCCGTGACCTACGAAGGCGATAACTATGTTGTGGCCCAGCAAGTACCAAGGGCTATCCTCAAGCACTTCAAAGCGTATTGCACCCCCATCTCGCCGTTCTGAGAAATTTATGCTGACGAATCGACAGTGGAACTGAATCCACCCTTCCCTCGTTGTCATACCTGTCTTTTCTGCGCGATACCGCAACGCCGCAGCCACTGCGTATCAGGTCACCTCAAGAATGGCTTGAGCGCGATGCCCAGAGATTTATTCTAGAGCAGCGACTTGTGGCTCTGGTGCAGCAGCATATCGCAGACACGAACGCGGGTCGCGATACCAGCTACGCATGCCACGCTTTGACAATGGCACACGGCGACTTCGTATACTGGAAGGGCTTCTGGGAAGTGGTCGACAACATCCCGAACGATGCAACTTACAAGAAGCCGATGACAGCGTTGGCCCAGCTGGTATGTTCACCTCGGAACACCGAATATCAGATTGATACGATGCTAACACCTTCTCCCTCGTTAGTTCTCCCTGTCCATCGTAACTTCGGCACATGCAGTACTTTGTCCTCCACTGTCTTTGACATCCGACCAACGCTCCTCACTACGCCTTGCGTATGACGCGATTATTGTCGAGGTGGCAGATCAGCACGCGCAGGAAATCATCGATGCATACGGCTTCACCGAGTTTGAGCTGGACAGTGCGTTGGCGAGAAGCGACCAGACCCCGTATGAAGCTTTGCTGGACGGCGCCCGGAAGAGCGAGATGAACCACATGCAACATCTCTGGCCCATGATGGTGAGCACGAGACAATTGTGGAAACAGGTCCAGCAGGAGAAGGAGAAGGGCGTAGCTAGATCGAAATTGTAAAGTTGCACTCTTGTGTGCGAGAGTTTGTGTGGCGGAGATATTTGAGTTTACTTTTCCCCACCCGCTGGTATTCCCTGGTGCAATTGAGGTTCACACCAGAGGTAATAGGTAATTGCAAAGACTTTGCCTCATATACTGCTAGTGCGAGATAAGGGTGAGTGAAAAAGTGCTTGAATGGGTATTAACGCCGAGGTCGGAGGTTGATAAACTCCGCGCGAGGCTGATGCGACCCGCTATTCTCCTCTTCCCAACGAGGTCTAGTGGCTTCTTAGTCACCGGGGTCTGGGATTGTCACCATCATCGTCGCTTTAAGACTTTTCTTCTTGAAACCTCTGTCTGTTTCTCCCTCAGAACCTGTAGGATGCAGAACATGGGTATACGGTGACACCGGGTCCGTCTTCAGCCATGGCTACATTCAAAAGCTATGATCCGTCCAGCATAATTACTCGTCCGCATCATGCTCGCGCGTGCGAGGCCTGTTATGCTCGAAAAGGTAGGTGCAGGAGGATTCGGCACCTCGAGCCTTGTTAATGATACCGAGTACACTTGGCCGAGCCCAGCGCTGACCTCAACAAGTACGTTGCGATATATCCGGGACTTCTGGCACGTGTTCCAACTGTGCCGAACATGGTACCCCTTGCAAGTGAGTATCACGGCAGCATCATCCAGATGGACCACAGTATAACCTTTCTCTTTTTAGACCCCGTCTGCGGCGGCGGAAAGACCACAGTCACCAGCGACCCCAGCCGGAGAAAAGAGCCAGAACGGTGTATCGAACTCGGAATTCGGCAGCGAGTCCTGTCTCCCAGGAGACAAGCCACCAGCCGCAAGACTGGAATCTGACCGCCCCGTCGCCACCGCCACAGCATCAAGCCGATACCCCCATGGCACCGCTTCTGTTCATCCGCCACTGTGTCGCTGCCCCTAGTCCGGTCGACCTGGCTGCGGCCGCCTCGTCTCCCAGAGTTGACGAATTCTGCAACTCATCCTACCTGTCCCGACGGGCTGTCCTAGGAGATGACTTTCCCGGGCTCGACTACTCGCACGGCGGACGGCAGCCCTACGAGCATACGCTAAGCGAGAGCGACATGAAAGTCCTGGAGCTCTACAATGCCTTTGATCTGCCGCCAATCCCCGTCCGTCAGGTGTTTATCGAGATCTTCTACGAAAAGTGCTGGCCATGGATGCCCGTGGTGGACGGCGGAATGGTCTCGGCCGACGCCCCTTCAGAAGCGACGTCGCTGGTGGTTCTGCAAGCCGTTTTGCTCGCTGCCGCGACGACCAAGCCTAAGAGCGACACCACCCTCCCTGCGCAACCGCAATACCGCAAGGTCAAGGCGTTGATTGACACAGGCGCCGAGAGCAATCCGCTCAATCTTCTTTCAGCGTCATGTTTGATGCAATTCTTCGCGCCTTCGACGCCGAAAGACATCTCTATCCACCATCCGACATTCTGGGGGAACTATGCGCTCGGTCTCGCTCAACAGATGGGTCTTCATATGAAGTCTACCAGACCCAGTAGCCAAGAGAGGCTCAGGCGAAGGGTATGGTGGACTTTATACGTGAGTTTTTTTGTCTCAAAATGGACGTTGATCAACCAACTAACACGTTGCCCAGGCAAGAGACAGTGTCATGTCCTCGGCCCATGGCCGCCCCCGACTCATCAACCCGACAGATTGCGTGGTTGACCCGCCATCGATATACGACTTTCCGGACCCTAGCGATATTCGCGCCCAGATCTTCGTTTCCTACGTGGCCATCACAGAAATTCTGTGCGATCTCTGCCAGCTGCTCACGCGGCAGAACGATCCTCCTCCCGCCGAAAAGAACAAAATCGGTCTCCGACTCCTAGACTTCGTTCGGTCCTTGCCACTCGCACTCCGACTCGTCCAAGCCGACGGGACCGCGGCGCCGTACTCGTTTGACCTGGCCCAGCTACACATCTACCTCCTCATCACCATCATCATCCTCTACCGGCCCCGATCGATCTTCTACGTCCCACCATCCAGCTCGCCCGCCATCGTGGCGTCGAACCTGAGCTTCCGCATCTTCGAGGCCATCGAGCTGCGGGGACATACCTGCTCGCTTGTGTCCGGGTTCGCGTGGAACCTCCTCGTCACGGCCATCCCGCAGGTCTCTTGCCTGCGGATCCCGTCGTTGCGGGAAGAATGCAAGGGGAACCTGGACACGCTGGAGCGGTGTTTCCGGACCCTGGCGACCACCAGGCCCGCCGCGGCGGCGAACCTGCGCAACACGCAGGAGATCCGCAGGGTGGTGGAATCCAAAGAACCGCTCTCAATGCCGATCCCGCCGCGCCTCAGTGCCACCGACGACACCCTGTCCTTCTCCCCTCTGGACCTGTTCGACCCGTACGGCGCCGACGTGCCGGGGAACTACGACCGCGTCACCGCGGCGCTGGAGTTCTCGGCGACCAACAAGACGTTTCGGAACGCGCCGAACACGAATGGTCCGCACAATGCCGAAAACGTCCCCCTGCAGCAGGCCCCGAGAGATCAGACCGTGCCGCACGTGTTCCCTGCCCAACAGACGCAGTCGTCGGCGTTCACGCCCACGCCGAGCAACCTCGGCGGGACCACGATGCTGGACGACGTGCTCGACTTTGAACTGCTGGGGAACAATTTCCCCGAGGACGGCTGGATGAGGAACTGGGTCAACGAGTTACATATCCTGGGGGAATGACGGGACCTTTGATCTGGAGAACCACTGACAACTAGCCAGACCAGACAGACACACATCCGGTGGGAAGGTATTGACCCTTGATCCGATACCGTCTCTCGCCATAAGCCTGGGCCCGGGCCCCCGACCCTGGCCTGACCCTGGCCCTGGCCCTGGCTCTGGCTCTGGTCCTGACCCGATCCCGAAGTAGGTCGGTCGGTCAGTTCGTCCAGATATATCTGAAATCTCCTGGGGGGAGTAAGACACAAGAGTAGCGAAAAGCTTGAGAGGGACTAACGTTTCGTGAGAGGTTAGACGTAGATTCTCCGCCCAGTGACTGAGATCTGGAAGGCGATGGAACGAGTCGAATTGTATATTTTGTAAGTAAGTATGTATGTTATGCAATGCAAATATATACAGATAGATAGGTACAGTGAGTGAATTGCCAGAGGTACACACTATGATCACCCTCTTGTGCCCCTTGTTCCAGCTTCGATTGCTTCTCTCCCTCCTTTTTCCTCTGATTCTCTCCTCCCTCTCTCTCTCTGTGCATGCGTGTATCTGTGTATGTATGTGCGCGTGCCCCCCTCCCTCGTAAGGCCAACCAACACCAACACCATCTCCGCGAACCTGGCTCGCACTTCTAACCCACCCGACCCTCCACAAAAACCGGGCTGGCCTTGTTTGTGGAGACTTGCCCCGTCTGCGCAATTGTCTCACCGTTCGCCGTTCAGGGAGACATCCACACAGCCACCCACCCATCGTATCGGTTCGCGGTCGGGCAGTGCAAGGTAGTGCAGGGTAAAACAAGGCTACACCTGCTCGTCGATTCAAGATTCTCCTCGTGTCTGGTGATCCTTGAACCTAGGTTCAAACAAAGTGGGCAGACCGGGCCCAAACACCGAAAAGCACCGGGAAGGCCAGCCGGTGGACAAAGCGCGTTGGCCAGCGTTAGCCTAGATAGGGTTGAGCTGGAAAGTCAGTCTGTTGTGGTGTTCCAGTTGAACCCGTACGTCTATAGTGTCTGTGCTTGTACGAGCAAAGCGGGAGGGGTGGGGGTCCCTTTTCAGGCCATATTCATATGAGAGCATGTGTGAGCATGTCGTACATACATCCGCATCACATCGCATCGCATCGCATCCCCAATCAATCATCATGCATCATCACTATTGTAGGCGTGTTCGACCTCCCACCCACCTTGTTAGTCTGTACCACAGAAAGGGACAGATACGTCCCCAGTAGCTGTGTCCCTGTTCCGCAACAAATCAAGTCTCAATCGACTGGTAACCTGCCCAACTAGCATTTCATGGCAATGGGAGATTACCCCATCTACATACCCATGCCACAAAGCCACTTTGCATGGGAAACTTTTAGTTTGATCCGAGAATCGCATGTCCAACAAAACTTCAGTCTGGCAAGGTTGGCCGCGTCATGACCACTCGCCATACCCCGTAGCTTCTTGATAGAATGCATCTTCGGATCAGGACTGTGTTACACTTCCGTCGCCAGAGTGGCTCATGCATAGGGAGCTTGACGAGGACCCTGGACAACAAGAGACTTCCCCATATCAAGACATGCCAAACCCGGCCACGAGGTTGCTATCTCCGCACATATGGTTTCGCCGAGGAAAGAGCCCTATCGAGTTACAATGCCCGGGTACTTGGTAACTTGGTCGCTTAGTAGTTCGCCGTTGTTGTGGTTGGATGATATCTTGAGTACATCTGTGCTTGACGTATCCGAACGATCATATTTCTGAAATAGATGGTGCGGATGGGTTTATTGCGGTCTATCGCATGCCAGATGGTGACCTGCTTGATACTTAGCCACCCTATCAAACACGTGTCACCTTCCACAGTGTCCCGAAGTGTAGGTCACCCACGGCGCCTCTTTGTGCCATCGGCGTATCACACCACGTAGACGATCGTCAGTGAATCACTTGGCTTCACCCAACCTGGAGAAGCCACGGATCGAGATACCGGGGCCTTGTCGGGTTGGGAACGACAGAAGTTGCCCTTGCTCTGCCCCAACTCAGCACAAACTCAACCGAGGGGGTCCCAGGTCCAGCGTCGGCGGAAACCCCAGAGAAATAGATGGTTAGAGTTCGCCCCAAGAGACACCAGAGTGTGTTTGGAATGGGAGAAGATGGATCCCAACCTTCTCACCACCACTAAGCCCCAGCTGTGTCAATCTCACACTGAATGCGGCAAGGCGGACTGCCAGCTAGCCCTTTGGTCCCTCTGATCGCTCTGGTCCAATAACTGCCCCGCCCAACACGTCGTAGGGGACATGATATATTGAAGCCGTACATCGCATCCTTTGCCAGGTCAGTCTCAAGATGGAGAGCGTGGGCTGGGATTCTACACCATCACCAGGGATCCAAAGTGCCACACACCGGTTTTCCCCAGATTTCCCTGTTCGATAGAGACTGCCAACGTCCGCCCAAAAACGGTCGGAAATGGGCGGGATTCGATAGACCAACTGTCAACCAATACGGCCCACTGTCCCCTTGTCTTTGTCCGTGTCGGGGCTCATGTCTTTTAACCACAGTGAAGGCGTTCCAGCCACGGGCTGGCATCCTCAAGCATCCCATCACCACCCGCCATACTTGGCCACGGCCTGTGAGAATACTTCTCTGTTTATACTGCCCGATGCGGCCTCGAATCTCGTCCCTATCGACGTCTCCGAGTATGCATACAAAAGAAGTGGGCTGCCTCTTCAGGAAGCACAACAGTCCCGGGACGATCTGTTGGCCGGCAGGATCTGCTTGCCAGTCTCCTCGCCCGAATATGGCGATGGCGATCATTTTACCTGGCTCGCCCAGCAATCGAGTCTTCACGACAACAGCAGTGACACGACGCCTGCCCATATGGCTCTGGCCCGTCAAATACACCAAGACGGTACGAGTCCTGACCCTTGTGGACAAACGGAAGCCAGCTATGGCTCCACGATAAATGCTCAAGAAAGGAATAGATCCAGTACCAGCGATAAAAGACAAGCCCACTCCATCACTGAGCGGAGATATCGCGACAAGGTAAACAACAAACTCAAGGAGCTCTATTGCACTCTGCGCGAGGCCAAGTATCAGCTCCAGTCTCAGATCGAAGCGTCGGAATGTATCATCATCAGCGAGCCATTCAATGGCATGAAGAAGTCCGATGTCATCAACGATGCCATCACCTACATTCAGGAGTCTGAGGTCAACTTCCGGCACATGGCAGAGGAGATCCAAAGCCTCAGAAGTCAAATCCGCCATTTGGAGGATCACGGAGATAGCTTGACAAGAATCAACTCTTAATGGGGGATGCCAGGACCTACCTCGCTGCCGTACCATAATAACAGGCACAGGGTCACTGCTGGACGTGGGGGGTTTGAGTATCTGCTTCATGTACCGCGTATCTACGCATAGCCACGATATCAATCCAGCATATTTGCCGCCATTTTGCGCTCAAACACCTGCTTGCACAGTCCGTGAGCCTTTGCTGTGGGTAGTGCCGTTGCTGTCCGTGCCCGCAATCCCTAGAATGTTCAACAAAGTGCCTTGTCGTTGCCGATCCTCCTGTTGATCTCTTTTCAACAGCGCTGGTGGCACCATCCGCGCCCGCCATGCCGTCTCAACATGAGCCTGTCCATGTCGCAAGCTGATCTGATCTCAGTGCCAGGGTGCAGGAGGAGTCGGTCGCTCACACCGCCATTTGTATAGACACGATCAGCAACGAGGCCAGGGAACTCACTCCGATCAGGGTATCGATTCGTGCGATTGTCGCATTTGATAAGATCACTCGTCTGCCAGTTTCCACTCACACACCCCCTACACGCCGTTTAGCGGCCTTGTGGCGTATATTAGACTCAGGTCTCTCAAGGTCTAGACCACCGGGATCTGCGAGGTCTCTTCATACTTTCTGGTGCAAACCTTTCCAGAGTCGCGGGAGCGAGGTCGCGGTTCCGTCTCTCCGGGGTGAATAAGTTGGCATGGTCTTGTTCCCTCAACTCTGACAACGTTCTTCGCACTTCGCGCGACGTTTGACGACCGAACCATGGCTGAAATTTGGCTTTCTCCTGTTGGACACTTTGCCCTAGTGCTAGCCCCTGAGTCTCTTCGTTGGTCAGCCACCTGATAGCCTCCACAAAATGGCAACCAATGCCCATGTGTCTTTCGCGCCTCCTACAATACGGGTGAATATCCCTTTCGGGCATTAGAGGGATCTGGACCTCGCCGATCGGTATACCTCCACGACCCCGGGCCACTTACCTGGGAGCTAGGCAGCCCATGTGCTTGTTTTGCGCCAACTAGCCACATTTACACTTTGCTCTCGGCGTTTTATGACCTCAGAGTACTCGGTCCTGACGGGCGCGTCCTCGTTTGTTGTCTCCCGCACTACGTTTTGTCCCACTCCGAGAAGTGCAGGAACTCTATATCGAATATCATTCCAGAAGACGTCGGCATTTGGAACATAGGCCAGTGTGTATAGACAGACGTTGCAAGGAGAATAGGACGATGAGCAGTCAAGTTCCAGGCCCCTTGGCACGGTTCGAGCTGGAGTGTAGGGATTGTGGCATCTTTGGCTGCCCACGGCATCCACAAACGCACGGACTTACAGTATAATCCCTGAAACCCCGCTTTCTCTCACGAGTCACGTATGCAGGGAGGGGAAGAAACGAGACACCCATGAAGAGCAGCCCTATTCGGCCTCGCGTGGATGACGATTAATATGGCACCGGCAAGTTCTGCTTGTCATGCATGGAGATGAGCACTCAACTGGACCTGGTAGAACCATACTGCCATTGTGTAATTGCGTCATATCCCGCGATTGTTGTAACACGGAGGTGGCTGGTCGGACTACACCTGCGGAGCTCAGCTGCCCATGGGAGCAGCGTTGGTGGAGATCGTCTGAAACTCTGTCCTGCTGTCAGGCGTGGACCACCAAGTTTTGATGGCTATTGGTAGACTGACCTGGGTGAACATGGCAAAGATGAGGGATTTGCTCACGAGCTCCTCTTCTCACTGGGTTTCGACGTCTCCCTGCTCCAGGTCCATAGTTCTTTCACATGCCGAGTCCTTGCAATCAATCTTGAACAAATGAATTGGACGACTTACCAGCAAGTCAAATACGAGATAAAGTGTATATCAGCTTGGTTGCAACTTACTCACTAGATAAATCCCAGACCCTTTTTCAACTGCGTGTGCCAATATATGGCGTGTCGAAGTTTTTAGGGGAAGAGGCCAGTTTGATCCCCTCACCCTGCCCTCCCGAAAGTCAGGCGTTGTCCAAGTTGCCGCCAAACATCAAGAGCGAGCAAACAGGCAAACTCACCCTGTTCGGCGACGCTGCCTGGAGGAAGCCTCACTGGCATCAGGGTTTCCCCAACCCCGGGTGACACCAGGGTTTCTGGCGTTTTTGCTTTCGACATGAGTCAGCCCAATGTTTCAGCCCCATTGCTTGCAGTTCGCCTTTCCGATGAGTATGTCTCCTTCCATATTCGGACTGTCACTTGTCATTTCCCTTTCCGATAGCAGAGTGCTCAATGGCTGCCTTGATCCCGCTTGTTCGACTGTTCCAAGATCATCTTGTACGAGGTAGGGGTTTACCTACCACCATGAAGGTTCGTCGTCTGGCTGACCGTGCCGAAGTGGCGGCGCGAAAGGTAGGGAAAAGGGTGCTTGGTGCTGTAGATTCGGCCGAACAGGTCATGAAAGAAACATTGGGGTTCCTGCACCGTCGTATCGGTGGGCCCCAAGGACGTTCAGGGGGTGCTCGCATGCCAGTAATTTATTGGCCTTATCTGCATCTCGGTGTAATAGTTGTCAGGAGTCATTGCCTGCTCAACCCTGGAGTTACAGGAGCCCAAAGAAATCCGCTTGCAGGGGTGCAAACGCATTGTCGGGGTCCTGTTCAAACCTCCAGCTAAAATGCTCTATGCGTGTCACCAACTCCGTCTTGTGCTGTTGCCACTACGTCTCGGATCGTAATTCGAGCTTGCCAGCGCTTGCTTGCCAAGGTGGCTGCAAAACCTTCGGGTCTCGTAGATTCCTCAGGGGACACATCGGGAGCAAGCGACTGGCATCCCCGTGAAAGGCGTCAAGACCCGCTTCGAGGATTGCGTTCTCTTTAATACAGGCGCCACAAATGGCAGTGGACGAGTTCTTGTTGCGACTGTCTCGAGACACTTTATTGTCAGTGGCCTGTTCACATGTGTTGTCACCAGAAAAGGTCGAGATGTCCGTACACATCGTCTGTCGGTGTGAAGACTGAGAAGTAATGACGGCGGCATCAGATCCATGTACTTAAGGGTCCTGCAAGCCGTTCAAGGTTTTTTGTGAAGCCGAAGTAGAGCTGGTTGATACCGTGCTAGAACCACCATAGCATGGCCTCGAATGCTGAGCCTTCTTCTTGCTCCATGTGTGAATATGCTAGAACGTTGTTATGCCGTCATTACTTTGTGTCGAATGGTTACGACGTCCTTCAGTGTGAGATATCGCGCAACCGTTCAACAAAAAGCTCTTGCAGAATTCGAGGCGAGGATCTTGTGGCAAACAGTGTCAGGGCAACGTTCTCGTGTATTTCGACGGGCAGAAAGACGATGTGAGCCGATAAGATTTTATGCAATCGATAAACCAGTTGAAGCAGATTATAGTACACAGGTATGGACAAATCGGCAAACCATATGCCTCTTAAGCTGTTGCCGCTTTCAAAACTGTGTAGTACTCGATTAAGCAAGACATACTTAGACATTAATATGATATGCATGGAATTTGACAGGAGATGTTGATCAAGACCGCAGGATGCTTGGGGTTTGAATGGTTTAATATTCATGACCTTGTTAATGTAGTTTTGCCAGAGGCGTCAATCCATCTAGTTATACCGAACTCTTCTGGACGGTGACTTTGTTTCTTTTCATGTCCTGATTCAGAAAATTGCGGAGATTCGACAGTGCCGTCTCGCATTGAGGAGATAGGAAGGAATGAGAGTGAACGGGGTAGAGGTGAATGTAGGTGGTCGTGTCTCTAATTTCAAAGGTGGAAGAGGATGGGACAGGAGCAGTCTGCAACCAAGAGCATCTGGAGGTCAAGCTGAATGCACAGTTTTTGGCTGTCGAGCGTAGAAGCGGGGAGGAAATAGTATCTGCGCTAAAGACATGCCCATTTAGCGGTAGCTGCTTGACAGAGTGCATGTCAGGCTGTTCGGCGGTATTCCTGAGTCATGATGAGACGTGACAAAGGTTCTATGTTGGTATTGCAGTTGGGTCGGATTGGGGAGCAGGGAGTGGGAGTTGTTTACGACGTTGTTCGTTCGGTTTGGGAAACAACTCTCGGCAAACCTTCTCTATGGAGGTGCTGTGAATGATTGAGGTCTGACAAATTAAAATGACACACACCACCCACCCCACCGAAATAGGGACTGGCGATTTCCATAGCTGCATAGCCATAACTGCCACAATTGAAGTTTCAGAATTTCTCCGACACCTCAGCTTCATGTGATATTCGGGGGTCCGTATGCTTCTTCTTCTTCTTCTTCTTCTTCTTCTTCTTCTCCTCACAGCGGCATTTCTTTGTTTCCCGAGGGTCTCTCTTAGGGACCCAACACGATGTCACTCGACTTGGAGCTGCACTTTTTCTGTGTATCAGTGGGACTGGGGAAATTCAAAGAGGTTTGTCTGTTCACAAGATAAATCCAAAGTTGAAAGCGGGAGAGAATATTCCAGTACAGATTCCCAAAAGCGCTGTAAGATATTATATTTTCTGTTGTCTCGCATCAATGAAGAGTGACTTTCCACTTGCGAGCAGCTTGCCCTGCCCGTCCTCGATCCTCGCCTTGATCCATGTTTTCCGCCCTTGTCGCTCGATTGGCCATGCGCGACACAGTATCACCCCTGGCGTGTCAATCGGCGCCTTGTAATCGACTGTCATGGTAGCCGTCGACGGTGCCATGGTCTGCGACACCATTGACGCCACAGTTCCAGTCATCTGATCCAGCAACAAGGCATTGAACCCCCCGTGTGCACGACCCGTCTTGCCATCGATCCCAGGCCCAAGGGACAAGAGACAACAGTATTCCCAGGGAATGATAGAGTCTACCTCTGCCGTGCGTCGCTTAAAGTTGATTTGCGCGCGGATACCGTCGGCGGTATAGAGAGTCTGTCGGAACATACTGTTGGAGAGATCTTTGTTAAAGGGGGGGTCATTCCGATAAGGGTGTTGATAGGGTATATCGACTTCGAAGATGTCAGACTGCAAAAGGTTCTTGCACCAAGGAATATCAAAGTCTGCGTGAAGCTTGGACACCATGGTTGTCGAATCAGCTTTTGAGGTCTTTATGTCGTTGGCCGGAATGATTTGAGCAATTGACCGAGAAATGAGAGGAACTGAACCGCTAGCTCCCGATACTTCTATACGCAATATTCTAAAGCTGGGGTGGGTATGACTGAAGGAGTGGCAAGCGACTAGATTGACAACTCGGCGTTCTTCCAACAAAACACGACAAGAAATACAAAGCAATGGTGTTGGGACAATATTCCAAGGGTGGTAGACATCAATCCACCTTGTACCTGATGAGCCTCGGTACATCCACATTTAGCAAGCCCGGCGATACCGGCCCGGCTCTCCTTGGCAAGTTTGGCGCAATTACCTCCCCACGTCCTCCGACACAAAATGCGGGGGTGGTGAATAAGTTCGCCTCTTCAGTTTCATTCGCGTCTTTCGCCCTAGCCTGCCAGCCTGCCACACCTGCCTAGGTAAGCAAGGCTCTCGAGTCGAGATTGTCGGCCGATCTCTCAGGGACCATCGTTTTCTTAGACACACATGCTACTTCATACACGAGTCATCAGTTGCAGTTGCCAAGGCAAGAATCGGAGATTCAAGTCCGATCACAAAGGAATTACGGGGAAACAAGCAAAGGACACAATTCTTCATACTTGACAGTCTGGCCACCGACGCAGCATCATCATCCACCGAACGATGACATTGCGGCCACGGCGACTTCTTCAGAGCCATCGCTAACTTTATCAATTCCACAGTTGCTGATATTCCCTTGCGTAGGGACCCCGAAACCTCCCAGTCCTGCGTCTTCAACGCCAGTCATCTCCCAACTTCCCGTCTCACGAGCTTGATACCTGGTCCTCTGTCTCGGTACCATGATTCTCAGGTCAGCTAGTCTACCTGTCGTCGCACACAATTCACATCACGTGGTGGCAATAGATTCCGTTATCTGCGAGGACAAGGGCAGGTACAGGAATATTTGATTCCAGATCAGCCACAGGCGACGTTGATCTCTGTCGTCGAGGCTATTAGTTCAACGCACGCTCTCGGGAGCCCGTACCTGATGAGGATTCCGCTCTCAATGGCCTTCGCCTCCAACGGGCAGCAGTCTGGCCTGGAGCCACCCAAACTTAACCCAAACTTAAGACCAAAACGCATGTCTGGAATATGCCATTCTCACAATCAGTATCGACTGTAGTTGTGTGATATCACAGTCGAGAACGCTCGCTTCGTAGGCGAGCTGAGAAGAAGGAACAAGTAATCAGCCAGCCACAGAGAGCCCCAATTCAATAGCTAGTACCTGAATAGAGATGATTTTGCCGATGCCCAGAGTATAAATCGAGCTAGACTCACACACTTTCCTGATTCGGTGCTAGATGTCCTTTTTGTCCACCTTCAATGAGGCTAATAGCGGGCTAGACACCTGCCTATTGCGGCCGCGGCTTTGGCTGATATTGGTATCTAGCAAGCGTTCTAGAACCTCAGGGATCGCCAGTCTCTTCCTGCGCTGTATCGAGTTGTGCCCTGGACGGCTAAATCGGTTTAGAAAGCTTCGATATTCTAGGTAGGACCCCCCATTCTATACGAGATGCTCCAGCCGCAAGGGGACATCTCGGTGGCCAGACCCAGCCACCATCCTCGAAACTTTTAATATATAAGTTCCCGGAAACAAGCTTCTCTGGCTACCGGCAGTATTTCTTAACCCATTATACTACTCTTCTCCCCCTGCAGTGCATTCCACGAGACACCACTCTCGAATATCCAACTCAGGTCCCAAACCCAGCTTGCACCACGAGCAGGAGGGAAATATGAAGCTACTTTTCTTTCTCTGCTTGCTCGGCATCGCCGCTCTCGCCGAAGCTGGAGCCTGCAACAGCGGGATCAATGCAATCGCCGTTCCTCTGCTGAAGGGATATCCCCCTGCGCAGTCCTTCTGTAGCGCAAAATACCCTCAGCCAGTCGTATCTGTCACATTCAAGGACAAACGGGGATATGTTCGAACATCTTCCACAACGACAACGACAAGACACTCGTCCTCGACGACCACGACGACAACAAGACCTCCATCAACGACGCCCACCACTTCAAGAAGTGCGACGACGACTCAGGACGCCAAGGCATCGCAATGGTCTGTCTTGGTGTCCGAGGCTGGAGCAGCTTTGTCGACCTTCTGCTCCTGTATCGAAACTCCCAGCACCAAGACTGTGAGTCGACGGTCATGGTAATAGATGCGGTGTTGCTTAACAAGTGCTTGTAGGTTACTCCCACGACGACGACGACGACGACAACCACCACTACTACTACCACTACCACCACGACAACGACCACTACAACGACCACGACAACGACCACGACAAGCACGATCCCGACAACGACGACTTCAACGCTTACCTGCGTCCCACAAGGGGGCGTCTGTAATGGAAGCAATGAATGTTGTCAGACTCCCATTCAGTTCTGCTTCGGGGCATCCATTGGTGCTGTATACACGTGCAACACTCCGGAACCCACGTCAGTGGACAAGAGAGATGTACCTGCTACAAGCATGATCCGGGGGAGAAAATATGGTTAAGCTGGGGACTCACAAGGCTGTGGCTGGCGCATCTACTCAACCGTCTAGTGTTATGAGTGACCCTATAGCAAAGATGTCGCAGGACGTTACCACCACCTCGAGATATGAACCTCATTGCTGTTTCCTTTTGCGCGAGCCAGTTTGCTCCTTCCAGCCCAACCGTTGGGCTTCAGCAGCTTCCAAAATCTAAACCTTTGAAGGTAAATTATGTAACCGACGTAATATGGGGAGAAGTATGCAAACAGTTATGCAGGTATTGTGCAGTAACATACCGGATCCGTCTCCCCTTTTCTTGCGGCGGTGTGCCCTCTCCTTCCACATATTCCAGACGACGGTAACTGACAAATCAAAATAAAAAAAAAAGAGACGCCTCAGACATGCAGGGATGTGCCCAATTTGCCCAATCGGCTCGTCTATACCGCGGATCTTCAGGCTGCCTCTTCCACAAGGAGTGAAGCGACCTCGGTAAGTGAGCATCGGTTATCATAGCCCAAAATACTGAAGCATTGTGACGTGCGAAACTGGGGCTCTGGCAACTTTAGTATTGCGCAAAAGGACCAGGTCTGATGAGCGAATGCCGCACGTTGCCAGTAGCTCCCCTTCTCGATGTCACTGGCCCCTTCATGCCCCGATTTCCCCTTCCTGCCGACAGCACAAATACTAGTCTGCTAAAGGTACCTGGGCTAACCTCCATACATTTTCAATCTATACCACCAAGACCGCAGACGATCAAGACGATCCCTCACCACCAGTTCTGAAGCAGTAGTTGAGAGAACCAAATACGAGAAAGGCTTCAATAAGCTGCTATCAGGAACTATGTGCCATCCTCATTGGTACTCGGTATCAGTCGGCCGGGCCCGGCTGAAAGCATTGCTTGAATCCTCTCCAATCTATAGAGGCACGAATAGGCATTGAGGGCTCATCATGGCAACCTCGGTGACGGATCCACAATTGCTGTGGGCAGTTTAACTGGATCTGGGGAGTGGATATAGACATTGAGGTATATCAATCCCCCACTCTTTACGCAGATTGTGCATTTCGCTTCACACGCCATGTGGCCAGGTATTCGCTCGCTGACTCGGACCCATGCTCAACAGGGATTGTCCGGCCACTACTACTCGTAAGCCCAAGGTCCGAGGCAAGATAGTACCTAACACATGAAGTCGTGTTATTGCTTCGACCCAGCTTTCGCTTTTATATAGGAATACTGTGGCCCCTGCACTTCTCGTATCGCAGGGTTCTTTGCTAGCTTATTCCCTTCCCTTAAACCATCGCAAACAATGGCGATCCTCAGCAACACGACGACGCATGCCACAGAGGGCAGACCGGGGAAAGGGTTCGAGCAGGACCGACAATGGAACTGGAGGAACTTCTGGATCTGTTTCGCCCTTGCGAGCTCAGGCATGGCGGCGTTTGGCTACCCGTCCTCGATCATCGGCGTGACCCTCGCACAGCCATCGTTCCTCTTCTATATGAAGCTCATCGACCCCGCGATGGGAGAGAAGGCCCACAACGCCGACTCTCTGATTGGGGCCATGTCTGGTGTCATTCAGGTCTGGGAGAATCCCGCAATATGACTTCCCGGCCAGGCCAGCTAATTCATGACCAATAGGCTGGAGCCTGTATAGGTGTCATAATAGCGAGCGAACTCATGGACAGGTGGGGACGAAAGGCAGCAGCAGCATTCTGTGTGGTCACAAGCCTCATTGGCGGTGCGGGTCTAACTGGTTCGGTCAACACGACCATGTTCATTATATTTCGCTTGATTGCGGGAGGAGGAGCATGGGGGTTCCTTACACTCAGTGCGTTGTCCATAACAAATGCCTGGGCCGGGAGCTTGCGGCGGCGATGCTGACTTTTGCTCTAGTTCCGGTCTACGTGGCCGAGTTGGCACCGCCAAAATTGCGAGGCTTCTTTGTCGGCCTGATCGGGGTGTTCATCAACGTCGGCTACTCCATCGCCACTTACATGGGTTTAGCTTTCTACTGTGTTGAAAACAACCCGGGCGCACAATGGCGAGGGCCCCTCGGTCTTGCGCTGATTTTCCCGGCCATCCATATGCTAGTCGTCTTATGAGCGCCAGAGTCGCCACGGTACCTGTTGATGAAAGGCCAGGTCGAAGACGCCAAGCGGATCGTCATGGACATCCACAAAGTGCACTACGACCCGGACCAGGAATACGCCCGTGGCGAGTTCTACCAGATGCAGAAACAGGCAGAGTTCGACCGGAGCCTCGCGCCGACGTACCGGGCCATGTTCTTCAAAAAATCATACCGCCAGCGGAATCTCTTGGCCTGTGGTTTCGCTTTCCTAGGGCAGTCCACCGCGGTCCTGGTCATCAACAATTATGGTCCTACGTTGTACGGCGCTCTTGGATACGGCACTATAGATCAGTTGAAGCTCCAGTGCGGATGGATCACCATTGGCAACTTTGCGAACCTTTTCGGTAAGGGCGTTGGCGAAGATACGTTCGAAGAAACAAGATCGGGACTAACATCGTGCCATAGGTGCTGTGATTATAGACAGGGTGGGTCGACGCCTTCTCATGCTTGGAGGTATCTTCGGCTGTTGTCTTTGCCTGATCATTGAAGCCGCCATCGTTGCCAAATTCGCTAGCCCCGTGCCCGCGACGCCGAACCTTCCCGCGCTGCGGGCCGGTGTTGCCATGTTGTACCTATTCCTCCTGTGCTACGGCTGTGGCGTCGATGTCGGTGGCGTCGTCTTCTACAGTGAAGTCTTCCCAAACCATATTCGGGCAAGGGGTGTCGCGATGGCCATTTGTGTGACTTCTCTGGCCGATCTCATCTACCTCCAAGTGGCCGCCACGGCATTCGCGAATATTGGCTGGAAGTTCTTCCTCGTCTTCATCATCATTTCCGGCCTCGGCGGCATCGTGGCTTTCTTTGTGATACCAGAGACGAAGGGATTGCCACTGGAGGAGATCTCCGTCATCTTTGGGGATACCGACGAGGTTGTCGTCTACTCGGAGGATATCCACGTCGACCATCAAACGCATGATCTCGTCATGGACGTCCATACCGGCAAAACGGTCGGGGGCGCCGGGGATGAATCTATCCGAAAGGTAGCAACAGAAGGACCAGGGGATCAAGGAGGCAACAAAAAGGAGGCAGCGCATGTTGAGGGTGCTGAGTTGATAACTTCATCGACAGAAAAAGACACCTGAGTGGAACGCCTAGACTTTCCCAGGTCCACCATGTGTATTTACCTCTAGACTCTATACCGATATACTTATCCCGCGACGGACTTGACCTCACAAAGATCCAGTCTCCGCTCTCCGTTCTGGACAATAGCAGCTCTAGCTTTGACTGTGATCAGGTTATGTTTGTTTTTTGGACCGACGCAGCGAGCGTGCCTCTTGTCCTTGTATAAAACGGGCGGGCTGTACACGAGGTCTTAAGCCAGCCCTGCGCGGAGGTGTGGTGTCCAAGCCGGACGAACGGCCGAGCTGGAGGGAAGCTTTATGAAGCTTTATGTCTTGTGGTGAACAAGAATGACACAGTGCCCATTCGGGTACCCGTACCTACAGAACGCGCCGGGGTGCCTCCCAGAGCGACCTTGGCGACCTAATAATGTTAAGGCACTGAATATGTAGTTCCCGAGGTTAGTGGAGCCATTTGCCGATCATGGTCGACATGTTAGTACTAGTGTGTGAAGATTGCCGAGGCCCATCCGAGGCTGGCCCCATTCAGAGCATCGAGTATATTATTAATTACAGGCCAACGCAAGGTGCAGGGAAATTTCCCTCCGAATTCGGCGGCTGGTACCTGCCGCTTTTGGAGGCGGATTCCCTTCGATGCCAAGAACGCGCTAACATGGTCTTCTCCCATCCCATACTGAAGCCCACACCCATACCACTTCATGGGACCAAAAACAGGCCCCTCCAGAAACAACCAGGGAATCGTTGACTCTTTGGAAAGCCCTTTGACCGCACTTTTCCAGCCATGGTGTCTCGAAAACGTGCAGGGACGGGCCCTGCGGGCTTGATAATGTGTTCGATTGGACGCTGCGAGAGTCTGAAAGGCTGTCTCATATAGACCAACCACGTCTCATATCCCCTACAAACGTTATTGGACGAAATATGCTAAGGCATCGCGCAGGTAGACGTGAACGAAGGAGGAACCGTCGGAAATGTCCCGAAGAATGATGGTCAGGATAAGGGTTCGGGGCTTACTGACATGAAAGCCCACTCGTGTGGGTCTATGGCCTGGCCACACTTTGGTCGGGGTGCGTCTTCAATCATTGACAGCGCCTCATTTTCGAGACTAAAGCACCAGGGGCGCCTACTGAGTAGGAGAGCTCAGAACTCGACACTTCCGAGCACGCGAAACACTGAAACTGGAAACCGGGAACTGGGGGAGAAGGAGGGGTGGTTTTGCGGGTTCTCCACGGGGTTTGTTAGTGGTGCCCACACTGCCCAAGGCGCGCCCATGACAAAGCTTGGGTTGATCAGGATCTGTTGCCCTACCAAACTACAGTATCAGCCAGCCACGAGGCTTCTATGTCGGAGAATCCAATCAGGTATATTCAACCTATCATCAGGTCTGGATTCAAGTACAAGGACGAGGTGCGAATGAGCAATCGTGACGATCACCTGGCGGGTGGCCATGCGACAACAGCGCCATGTGAAGTCGAAACCCCGAGTACTTCGTCTGGCAACCGAGACAACGAAATTACATCACATTATATCATCCACGGGCCTCATAAGCCATTCATCTTCGAGGATCTCTGAGGATGTTGCTCTCACTTCCGGATCCCAAGTCAATATCTTTCGTATGAACTTTAGAAGCATCTCTCTTTCTTCTCCGGGAGGAACAGTGGTGATAAAGTTCTCTAAGGATGTTTCAGGAATTGGGGGTTCCGATATCCAATTGCCTGTTGTCATCAAATGTTAGCGTCTCGCACAAAGTTGAAAAAGGCATTGGGACGAAACACTATAACTTGCCTTCTTCGTCAAAATATGTCCCGAAAAGCGGACTTCGTTTGATCATCTCCAGCGGCGGAGGGCCAAGATATCCGATATACTGCGACAGTGCTAACGGGAGAACGTATTGATCGTGAACACGATCAATAGGATCAAAGAGACTTCTCCCTTCCAGCAGCTCGAGTGTCTGATGATAGTGATTAGTGCACGGCCTTAAAACTTTACTTTTCTGCTTACCATGATACCCACTGACCAAACATCGACCGGGAAGGCCCAAGGAAGCTTCAGGAGTACCTCTGGAGCTCGATATGGATCGGACATCCACCAATCATTATTCATCGGTTCCGCTAATCGCATTTGGCCAAAATCAGTGAGGATAGGGATGCCCGAAAGTTCAACCATAGCTCGAGACCTGTAAACGGGAACTCCATCATTCATGATTGGCGTGCTCGGATCTTGCGACTCTTGATCCTCAATGTCTTTAAAGATGATTTCGTCCCCAACCGCTGTCAGGACATTTTGGGGGGAAATGTCTGCGGTATAGTTAGAGGACAATCTTTTAGTAAACCACTTGCAGAGCATACCGGTATGTACGACGCCACAGGTTGCGTGCAGCCAATTCACAGAAAACCACAAACGGTGTACCAAAGATTTTACCAGCATCCTTGGGAAGATTGCATCGGGAAATGTTTCCTGCAATCTGCGGAGGCTACTTCCTTGTGGTTTTGTCGCAATGCAATAATGACGACCATGTGGCCCATCAATCTCGAAGATGTCGTGGGCAAGACGCGTGAAGTCTAAGCCCGGATGATCAGCTTCTCTAGCAAATTCACTCAAGCGCCTTAGCATGGCAACTTCATTGACAACCGGCGATGTCTCCGTTCCATCTTCGATGCAGACCTTCAGTGAGATATATTGCTTCGATCTACACAGCAGTCAGTCAACATTTGTAAAAGACGCTTGGGTTACTAACATCTCTTCTCGAGCAAGCCAAACGGTGGAATACGCTCCATACCCTAGCTTTGCAATGATTCGATATTGTTGTTTGAATACATCGCCAATTTTGACTGGGTAGTAGCGCTTCTGATAAAATAGTGGTAGTGTTTCCTCCTCAATTGGCTGATAGCTACCAGTGTATGTCATAGTGTGATTTCGTTGACGGGATGTCTTAGGCGGACAAACCCAACGCGATCGGGTGAACGCCAAGCGCCGTAGGAATGTATTCACACCTTGCATTGTGGAATGTGGATGGTCTCTCACGCTTGAATCCCCCTGAAAGATGTTTTGCAGTTGATAACCATGACATGTCTTGGCGAATAGGCTAGCACGTGGACCATCACCGTCTGTTCACTTTTTGCACTAGCCACAAAGGAAAGTGTTTTATAAATGGTGAGGGAATGCTGAATGATTGGCGTTAAATGTCTCTCAAGTGTTTAAGGGGCTGTGTAGGGGTTTCACACCGGCCGGTTTGGTTCAATTAGTGGAATATTCACTTGGTTCATTGTAGATTTGTTGCCCTTCAACGCCCTTCCGTCAACGCCTCAGTAAACGCTGCAGTCGCAATGCCAGAAATACGTGCTGTGTTTATATGCTATGCAACCCCTTTCAGAATATTAGAACGCACTTACATTGATTAAGATTTGTAAAGGTTATCATTTAAGCGACACTCGCCCCTTAGTGCTATCCTTTAGCGTGATAACAATCCCCAAACAAGACGCCGAAATGGCGAACAACAGCCGACTTTCAAATGCAACAAGGGATTTGTTGAAGAATATACCTGGCCCGTTCAACGCTCTCATCAGCCAGACTGCCGAGGGAAAGAATCCCCATGTCAGTTTGTGTAGAAATCCAGCTTTCAGCCAGACCTAACACCTTTATAGGCGCAATTCCCCTTCCACGAGGTTAAAGTGATTCGGTCATTCAAATAAAGTCCGTGGATCATAGAGTCAGTGGCTGATAATTTTTCCAGGGGTACGGTGCCTCACCCACCGAACACTGATCGAAGAGAAGTTCGGAATTCCATTACCCTTCAATTCAATGGCACTGCAGGAGGCCCAATGGTTGCCCACCGTTTCAACGATGGGACCATCAGAAGCTCCGCGCAAATGCACCAGGATATCAATCAAAGAAGGGCCCAAGACGAAAGATTGACCACGGAAGAGAAGCGATTTCCTCAACTCCAGCAGACAACTAGGCGAAGACAAGTCGAAACTCAGATGATGACGAGGATACAGGCTGCGAGAAGCAACCCGTCATGGAGCATTGTGCAAAAACAGTTGGAAAAGCAAAGCGCAGAGCAGGAATATAACCAGGTCTTGCAGAGGCAGGCGCAAGAAAGGCCTGCTCCTGCTCAAGCCGCTGCGAGTGGCAGTAAGACAAAACATTGAGAGCACAGCACGAACACCTCAGAGGATCGAACCATCCGCTCCTACGAAGACGTCCCCGATGTGTGCCATCCAGTGTTCTTACTTCAACTCCTAGTGCAATCAGGCCCAACCAAGAAAATCTGTGTCATTCGATTTGGATCGGACGATGTCTAATATTGTTTAGCCTTCAATCCCACTCGTGCCTGGCTCGCCTCCCTCGCCTCCCCCCTCTCCTTTGTTAAACGGCGAGGCCATATTCAATGAATGGCAGAGCCAAGATCGGATCAGGTAGCTGTTTTTGCGATTACGGAAAGCGGCAGCGGGGAGGTCCTTTTACGGCCCTCCCTGACCGAAGCCAGGTGGGATGGAGCGTGCTGTGGCGTCACTATCTGGACAGTCTTTTGCTTTGAATTGGACAAGCTGAAGGTCTCCTCATATTCAGCAAAGAGATCGCAGATTTGGCCAACAGAATGCCGGTGCATCTCAAGCCGCGCCGCTGCCGCTGCACTTGTTACCACCACTACCACCGGCGAGAGTTACGAGTGTGGGCCGCGTCGTCTATATGTGATTTATGGCCTCCTTCTAGTCCTTATTTCTGCTGGGTCTGCCGTGTTGAAACCGCAGTCCTCAACTTTCCAGCTCCGTTCGGCTATACCTCTTGCCGAACAGTTTCTCGCATCGTTGCCGCGGACCGTCGCTGCCCTATATCAGCACCCAACAGGGGGTGGCTACGGCTGTCGACCCATGTCTACCTTCAAGATGAATATCAACGATGAGGGTTTCATTCAACACGAAAGTATCGAAGTGCAGATTGTGTTGAGACCGACATGTGTATTCCGCCACTTCTCAACTCACAGAATGGGACGAAACCTCACCATCTAGTGACGACTTCAGGTGCCTGACGCGGCCACACACACACGTTCGTTGAATCTCCTCACTCCGCACGAACAACACCACGCCATGGTGAGCCTCGGCAGGGGTGGTTTTGCGCGGAGAAGTGCGGGCTATCGCTTGCGACCAACATCATCATTCTCGCCATCGATTTCATCCAAAATGTATGGAAATCCTCGAGCATTGACGTGGTATCAAAAAAAATCAACCTGATCGACCGCGACCGAGATAGTCTTTTGCACCATGGCCACCCAACTCGACTTCGACGTGTTGATTATTGGCGCTGGATTGAGTGGAATCTATTCCCTGTATCGTATGCGCCAGCTGGGATTGAAAGCCAGGGTACTCGAGGCTGGCACAGGCGAAGGAGGGACTTGGTATTGGTTGGTGTCTCCGGATTTTGTTGAGTAGCCAGGGATCGTAGACGAGGCTGACGCTATCTACAGGAATCGATACCCCGGCGCCCGCTTTGATTCTGAGAGTTATTCTTACAACTACTCCTTCTCACAGGAGTTGCTGGATGAATGGAGCTGGACGGAGCATTTTGCCCCTCAGCCCGAGACGTTGCGGTATATTCAGTTCGTCACCGACAAATTTGACCTGCGACGAGATATGCAATTCAATACCGAAGTCCAATCGGCACATTACCACGACGACAGTCGATCGTGGGAACTGACCGACGACAAAGGTAACCGATATACCTCGAGGTTCCTGATCACTGCGATGGGTATTTTGAATAAACCAACCCTCCCCAACATTCCAGGTCTCGACGACTTCAAGGGACAAGCCTTCCATACCGCCCGCTGGCCACGGGAACCTGTCAGTCTCCAAGGCAAGCGGGTGGGAATAATCGGCACCGGGGCCACGGGAATACAAATCATCCAGGAGATTGTGAAGAATGTGGGCCATTTGACGGTGTTCCAGCGAACTGCGAACTGGTCGGCTCCACTCCGTAACGCAAAAATCACGCCAGAAGAGATGGACGAAATCCGTAAGCAATATCCCGAGATATTTAAGAAGTGCAAGGAATCGGCCACTTGCTTTGTGCATCCAGCAGAGCCACGGAAGCTGGCCGACGTCTCCGAGGCGGAAAGGCTGGCACATTGGGAAGACATATACTCGCGCCCAGGGTTTGCTAAATGGGTCAGCAACTTTCCGGATGTCGCATATGACCGGCAGGCAAATGCGGCCTGTAGCGAATTTTTCGCCAACAAAATCCGAGAAAGGGTCAAAGATCCCGTTACGGCGGAAAAGCTCATTCCAAAGGACCACGGCTGGGGAACGCGACGGATCCCCATGGAGACCCATTATTTCGAGGCGTACAACCAAGATAATGTTCGATTAGTCGACATCAAAGAGGATCCGATCGAACGGGTGACAGAGAAGGGGGTCAAGACTCGCAGTGAAGAATTTGAGCTGGATATTCTCATTTACGCCACTGGTTTTGATGCTGTGACAGGGTGTTTCACTGCCGTCGACTTTCAGGGCGTTGGTAACACGAAACTGAACGACGTCTGGAACGAGGGCCCCCGTACACAGCTCGGTCTTTTCGTACGCGGATTTCCTAACATGATGATGGTAATGGGGCCTCACCAGATGTTTGGCAATATACCCCGAAGTATCGAATTTGCGGTTGGCTGGATTGCCGACTGCATAAGCTATTGCCGAGACAACAACATTACACGGATTGAAGCGACTGAGAAGGGAGTAGAAGAGTGGACTGAGCATGTCTACAAATGTTCCGAGGGCCTGTTGACAAACGAGGTTGACTCTTGGATGACAGGGATCAACAAGAACCTTGCTCACAAGCAGAAGAGGACCATTGCACGATACATGGGACCTGCTCCGGGGTATAGGAAGAGGTGTGATGAGGTTGCTGCAAGGAAATATTCAGATTTGGCCTTGGCTTGATAGTATGGTTAGTTGGCCACTGCTATGGTAATGCACAGTTTTGCCTTTGTAGCCTGATGGGAGCGAGCGGTGTTTTGAGCTTATCGGAAGGGCTTGCATTGTCTCTTTGGCTGTTGTAACCACTCCGCAGACTCTTGCCATGTTGAATATAAAGAGACTGTATTTTCCAGATAGGCCATGGTAAGCCCTCGAGGCAACGCCTCGACTTCTATGTGGTTCTGAAAATTTGCTTTGAGTCGTGACCTCTTCTGTTAAAAGAGACTTCGGCCAACAGCGGCGTGAGATTAGCATGGTAATTAGGAGTTGATGGAGAATAGAATCGAGCTGGGGCGGTAGAGGAAAGGATTGAGTTGAGTCGAGGAGTTAGAATCTGCCCACTTAGGTGAGTTCTGGGCGTTGGTAGTTTAGGTGCTTTTAGGTGGGGTCCTTTCTAAGTGACAGGCGTGACAGGTGAGGCCCGTCTAGGCACCTCGATTGGCGCCCTCAAGACTTTTTAGCCAAGTAAGTGATTAAATAGGGGAACTGACACCTACCTAGTAAGTTAGGTAGATAGGTAAAGCACTCACCCTCTGTCAACGTCTAGTTGCCACCACCCGTCCGTCTTCACTCTTTGCAAGATATTGCCCGTCCCGCTTGCATTCATGTCATCCTTCGGAATAACCATTATCAAAGACGCACCCTTGAAAATGCTCCCCATCCCCACTGAACCACTATCATCCAAAAATCCCTCAAGGAGAATACACTCCACTCCTTGGAGATATTACACCCTCGGCAGTCATTTGTCTCTGCTGCGGAGTTGTGACTATCTCCGACTCATCTCATAAGCATGAGGACGAAGCTTGTTCAGGAACCGTGGCTCATATGACTCCAAGACTGTGGTTGCCTTTGGCTATATAGTGGTTAGGCTGATAGAGTTCTCGATTCGATTGAATAGCCCGAACTTTTTTGGCAGCATGGCCCAGGAATATCAGCTCTATATCAACGGCAAACAATGCCAGGGTGGCCGCCCAAGCGAAGACACGATCAATCCGTACACCAATAAGCCTTGGGCGAAGGTGGCACAGGCATCCGTCGAAGACGTACAGGCTGCAATTCGAGCGGCCGAGGTGGCTTTTGAAAGCTGGTCCAAAGTTCCCGGGGTCCAGAGAGCCAAACTGCTGAACAAGCTGGCCGATCTGATCGAGGAAGACGCTGAGTCGCTATCAATAATCGAGTCGTCCGACAATGGCAAGATTCGACGCGAGACAAAAAGCCAGATGTTCTTTTCCGCCAGAAACTATCGGTTCTTTGCTGGGATGGCCGACAAGTTGACCGGCGAGGTGAAGCCGATGGACAACCCGCAGGTCTTCGACTACACCATGCGCGAGCCTTATGGCGTTTGTGCTTTGATCACGCCGTGGAACAGTCCCATTGCTATCCTCACCAACAAGCTGGCTCCGTGTCTCGCAGCAGGAAACACGTGCGTGGTTAAGCCCTCGGAGTATACATCAGTGAGCACGCTATACTTCGCCAAACTTGTCGAGAAGGCAGGATTCCCGCCCGGTGTGTTCAATGTCGTGACAGGAAAGGCAGAAGTCGGCAAGGCTTTGGTGACCAACCCGGCTATCGGTCGCATCAGTTTCACGGGTAGTGTCGATATCGGGCGCATAGTCGCTCAGCAGGGCGCGCAAAATATTATTCCCGTGACGCTCGAGCTTGGAGGAAAGTCAGCGAACATCATTCTGGATGATGCTGAGCTGGACCGGGCGATCCCAGGCAGCGTCGCGGGCATCTTTGCTGCGTCGGGCCAGACATGCATCGCGGGCTCACGGCTACTGGTCCATCGATCAGTTTACGATACCGTGGTCAACGGGATCCTGGAGAGGATCAAATCGATCAGATTCGGCGACCCGCAAGACATGACCACAGACATTGGACCTGCTGCGCACGCCGCACAATGGGAAGCTATACACCAACACATCGACAAGGCCGAGAAAGCCGGCGCGAAACTACTGGTGGGCGGGAGAGAGGCGAGCAAAAAGATCGGAGGACTCTTTGTCGCGCCGACGGTCTTTGGCAACGTCGATCCGAACAGCGACCTCGCGCAAAAGGAAATCTTTGGGCCCGTGCTCGCAGTAATCCCCTTCGATTCGGACGAGCAGGCCGTCAAGATCGCCAACGGCACCATCTTCGGCCTCGCCGCCGGGATCTGGACCATGAACATCCGGCGCGCCCATAAACTGGCCAGCCAGCTCAAAGCGGGTCAAATCTGGGTCAATACGTACCGGGCGGGTGCCGCCATGGCTCCTTTTGGCGGGTATGGACAAAGTGGATATGGCAAGGAGCGCGGGACGGAGGCATTGCTGGAATACACACGGATCAAGAACGTCATGGTCGACCTCAGCGACGAGGTGAGGGATCCATTCACTATCAAGGTCTAGACAACAGGGATGGGTTGTATACAGGCCAACAAATCAGAAATGGACCATTCGATATTGACTGCCTGCATCGCTCAACGTCTACAAACATGCGGCCGCTGGGAAGCGAGAAGATGGGAGGAGAGAGAACAGGAGAGGCCGGCAAAGGGCCTGGACCGAACCAGAGGGATGATTCAAGTCTCCTGCAGGATTATGGTGGATTTATATATTCAGTAACGACTTCATGTCAGCGGCTAAGACGTACGACGACCATCTCAAAAGCAGTCAGATAACAACGCTTTTTTGGTAGCGAGATAGAAAGACAAACACCGTCCCAACCAGCAGACTTATTCCCGCAGCGAGTACATCCATCCGTAACATGTCCCAACCAAACCCGGTTTTTGTCGCTATCGACTCGCAGCTGTCAAAGGTGGTGCATTGTAAGGCCCGGCCGTGGCTCTCGCTTGCTTGTTTGACTTAATTGCCCCGACCCCGACATTCACAATACCAACGCACTCTGCTTCAAAAACCGATTCCAGTCAGATGCCACATTAGACATCTGGCTTCCGATGCTTGCCGCATTTCCAGAACCGCTCGAATACTGACAATATGTTCGCATTGTATGCGATATGGTCGAGAAGCCGCCGTGGATGACCTTAACACTCAGACAGACCCATATAGCTGGATCCCGGGTAGACGTAATCCACGGAAAGAAGTGCCATGTCCCTCTCTAGGGCTTAATCGAATTGACGTCCGCTTGTTATGTAAGACGACAATCTCTTCTCGAAGCCGTTCTGCGTTTTTCATGGCTTTCTTCATGATCTGCGGGAACATATTACCCTCGGACTGCCATCTCCTGATGTTGCCCTCTTCTTTGGCCAGCTTCCTTATTTTGACAGCTATTTTCTGGCAGATCCTGCAGTTACCGGCGACCTTTTTAAGATTGGTGTGGTCGAGGAGGGTCGCAGGGCACCTCTCTCCGATATGATGTTGTCGTGCACATCGAAACTTCATATTCCCCCACCTGAAGTCGCCGCATTGAAAGTCAGTCCGTTCAAAGTGGCACATGTTGCTTGTTGCTATGTCAACATCTGAGCACTGATGGTGTAAGGCTGTCTTCTCAAGATTTCTCGAATCTGTGATCAGGGTAAATTAAACGGGTTGGGTTCCCTGTACGAAGATAGGTCTCTGCCTTCTGGCCGCGAAGGAAGCTCGGTTCAGATAGACAGCTGAGCACGATAGCATAGCATAGATGAAACAGGCAGAGATCACGGGTGGACGACGACATTGAATAGTAGTCCTTGTGAAGGCTGTGACGTCTTCTCTACCTTCCCGCTCAGCATGAAAATGGTGGCGTTCACGGCTTCACGCTATGCGGACCATTCAACACAGTGGTGGTCGTTGTGGGCTTCGAGATCATTGGGGGCGAGCCGCTGTGAACTCTGCAGAAAGAGCAAACAAGATGTGTCTTCGTCCCTTGCATGTGGGACGGAGGGATGGGAGCACTGAAGAAAGTCAGCCCCTTCCCGGCGTGTCGCTAGACATTTTGACGTTGACCCAATCACAAGAAATGTCCATTGTGCATTGTCCTTAAGGTTCGCGGAACCTGTGCCCGAGCGCCTCTTACAATACCTTTGAGAAATGGGCCCGAAAACAAGCCCTGACGATCGGACGAGACGGATAGAACAGAATGTGGGTTGAAGGATAACATCATGCCATATCGAGTGTTCCATCGCATGCTGGTGACATACATATTGACAGCAGCTCTGTTTGGCCCATGTCTATCGGTGTGATCGAAGGGGAAGGGTTCATGTTGGAGGCTACAGTGCAGCTTGTAGGGGATGGCTTGAGAGATCAATCGTACGAGGCGATTCGTCTCGATCAGTCTATTCTGTCCTCAGTCCCTGATTTGGTGTCCACCAGCTGGACGCCCATGGCATGTTCGAGGGATGAGGGGTTGAGGACCATGATAGGTAGCCGCCGAGGGGGGGTCTCCGTTAAGGTCACCCAGGAGGAAGGATACTCAGCTGTAGTGACATCGATAGGCAACCAATAAGGGTTGTCTGATGGGTGATAACTGAAGAATGAGAAGTGAGGGAGTCAGTACCTCGCAACTGGTTCGGTGACTTGGTCACTAACAGCCTTGGCGCATGATGCGGCCGCAGAATCGATCCCACAAAATGACCAGCAAACTTCAGCTGATCGAGCCCGTATGCATGCAAGTCAGTTCTATGCTGACACTGCAAGGTAGTGCCCAATCGAGCGACGCAGGACAGTAATTAGGCTCCTTGTCCATTCATCGATCGTCTCAGAGCACACACCCTCCTCCACCGTCGCACTCCTCCCTGCCTTGCCTGGTGGTCATCCTCCCGCCCATACGCTCGGTGCCCACGGCATACAAGACTTTCTTGAAGAACTGGGGTCAACCTACCACGAGAAGAGGGGCTTGACGGAAGTGGACTGGCTTGACGGAAGTGGACTGGCTTGACCGAATTCGTTTCGTCCCAGGGACCTGGATCTCCTCCTGGCCTGCGACAAGGATTTCCACCCACCACAAGCAAGACGAATGTCATCGCAAGATTGCTGCTGCCCATCATGTGGCAAAATGTGCGTCGAGGATAACGAAAGAGATGGCTCAGGCTACCTCGAAAGTTCGTGTTTCGTGTGTTATCACACAGGAACCCAGCACCATATCACAGCGCCCACAGCAAATGACCTAAAGAGTGACTGGTCAAACCTCATGTTAAGAGTTCGGTCATTTCTTTACCGGCATTGAACATTGCAAACCCGTTGGTGTAAAAGTAGGAACATGTCGTCGGTGGCTTGCGGACTATGGACTGGGACTTGGGCTTCAGTTGCCTAGGAGTGGCGAAACCTCTCACTATTCTTCAATGCTTGCTCAACAGTGATCGCAATCACCGTGCCCTTTGATGTGGTCCCGGTGCAGTGGAACTGGAAGTCGATTACCGGTCTACACTCTGACACTCAACCGAACCGCCTGGGGCTTGTCAATGTGGAGTGCCACAAGCACCTGGAATTTAGGCTCAGAAAAGGCCAGGCTCGCCGGGACAAACTCTGGACGCCTCCGGTGCCCGTGAATGGATCTCAGGGCAAGGAGTGCCCCGTTGGTTCCACTGGTGCTCCAATCCCTCTCGACCTGGAGTCGTAAAGGACTTGTACACCAATCCCGACCTCTATGAGTTCGCATTAAGTTCTCTCCAATCCCGTCGCGAATCTTGAAACAATTGAGGGCGTCAACACTCTGTTCCTGCCAGCCGAGTTGTAGCATATTCCTCCTTGGCTCGTCAGCTTTCTCTTCCCGAAGAGATGTCTTTGGCATCATGTGCTCCCGTCTCAAGGTGCTCGACCCTCATCCAGCAGTTGACGAGTCGGGTAGACTGCGATCTACTCAATCTCTGCCCAGCTTCTGCGCTTAGTCTTCTCTGATTGTACCAGAGACGGCCTTGGACAATGCTATAAATTCTGCTGGAAGCAGGCAAGCATGAGGGCAATCGGATCAGACAGACACAACAACAAGAAGGTAAGCTCACATGCCCTGACTTGATCCGTATCAATCCCGTCAATATCTCCTGGATGATATAGGCAGCACGCAGCATTGACAATTCCAACGAAAGACTTCGCCAGGTCCTCTACTTTGCACGGACATAAAGAAATTTCAAAGGGGTTCAATGATGGAACAGATGAGCCTTCCTGGGGTCATCAGAGCTTGAACCCCTTCAGAAACATAGTTTCTAAAATCACGTCAAGGCTAATGTAAAGCTACCAGGTGTTTTGACTCGGCAGCAGCCCGCTCCTCACATGGCTGTTTGTACAATGAGAGGGAGCCTGATCGAGCGCATCAATAAGCGACGAGCGAATTCCAGACAGGATCATGCGTAGTTGCATGGCTTGGTGGAAACAGTTGACATTATAAACAACAAGCTCATGATCGATGTTACCATGGTGCCATCTCCGAATTTTTGAGCGAGAAAAGAAGTCAGGCCTTCCACTGGAGATGCTCGGATGCGGAGCAATCGCTTTTCCGCCGGCTGACGGACATCTGGAAACCAAGCCAGTTCGGCCGCATCGCTTGACGGTTAAACCACTCACAAATCGACTTTGCGGTTATCCAAGTACGTTGCATGTGCGAAACGGGCACAATTGGTCCTTTGATCACAATTTATCGGCAAGGATCCCTCCCGTGGTAAAACAAATGTCACTGCTGTTGCGTGATGGCAGAACACTCGACTAGCACCTTCTGAACTTGTCACAACCCCCTTGCTTTCCACGGCTTCTCTCACACAATAAACCTGCCACCAATTGGACCCGCGACTGCCAGACTACGAGCAAACAAGAAGTTCGTCAATGGCTGGGAAGAGCGAAGGTGGATGCTGGACTTGTCGGCTTCGCCGCAAAAAGTGTGACGGCGCAAAACCCAAATGTAGGAATTGCGCCTCCTTGGACATCCCTTGCCACAGCAGCGCAAGCAAGCCAGAATGGATGGATAGAGGAAGGCAACAGAGGGACATGACGGAGAAACTCAAATTGCAGGTCAAGCGACGCGCCGGTGCCCGGGGAGCGAGGCAAACAGTGCCAGAGTCCACAAATGAGATGGGAGGCCGGAACTTCATCATAGAGTCAGGACAGGCGACTTTGCAGGACCCTTCACGGCTAGGTCGCGAGATCCAGGCTTACACGAAACACAGCAGTGTTACTACAACCTCCGCAGCCTCAGAGGCATATGTGGCACAGTGGATAACATCCGTCCTTGGATTTCTGGACGACTACGAGCAAGTCGACGACCAAATCCCCATGTTGGCACGGGGTCGGGACTTCGATGTCGACTTCCTCACAAAGTATTTGGATTATGTGTTTCCCCTCTTGTTCCCGTTCTACCAGCCCGGCCTTCACGAAACGGGCCGTAGTTGGGTGCTGGCGCTTTTGAGGCGCAACAAAGTTGCATTCCATTCCGCGATGAGCTTAAGTATCTACTTCTTCATTTTCACGTTGATTGATACATACCCAGAGCAACATGGTGCCTGCAAGAGTCAGCTCTGGAAAGAAGTAGGGAGGCAAACGGACAGGTGCTTTGAAATGATCCAGCATGACATACGTGACCTCCGACTTCGTGGCCCACAAGTAATGCTCATTGACAAGGCGCGGGTGATGGAGAGCATTATTCAGTTCCTGATATTCGAGGTGGCACTGAGTAGGTCCGCGAACTGGAACCTACATCTTACACCAGCCCTCGCACTGTTTGAGGAGATCTGGGAGAGCACCGCCGCAACGGCGTCTGAACCCAAATTGCTTGCCGCTCTAGAAACAATGGCTGTACCTCTCCAGTTTGGCCTCGACCCTGATGGGGGCTACATCTGGAGTCCGGAACAGGCTGGGTTCCGGTTCTTCAGTGGCCTGTTGGTCTTCATCGACATTATTGCCAGTACAGCCCTGGAACAGCCGCCTCGGTTGCTCGACTGGCATCCATTTCTTCTTGACGTTCAAGACAATGGCGAGACAGATTTTGGCAAGGTTCTAATACGACTGTCGAATCTGATGGGCTGTCAGAACTGGGTACTGCTTGCAGTCAGCCAGATAACTGTTCTGAATGTCTGGAAACAGAATATGAAAAAGGTTGCAAGGCTGTCGATGATAGAGCTTGTTGATCGGGCGAGCCAGATATCTCGTTCTTTGAATGATGGGATTTCAAGCCTCGACGAGCAAGCTTCAGGCTGTAGGAAAGCCAATTCTCTCAACTTTCGATCTTACTTGAACCCTGGTCTTTCTGCGTTGGGGAGGACTTCTACGACAACTACACGCATCTGGGCGTACGCTGCCCACCTATATCTAGCAGTCGTTGTTTCTGGCTGGCAGCCGTCTACCACAGAAATCCGCGTCGGCGTGGCTGGCATTCTCGCACTACTACAATCAATCGACTCTCCCGATCATCTTCGAACTCTTGCTTGGCCACTCTGTGTTGCAGGCTGTTTATGCGAGGGGCCGGGTCAACAAGAGCAATTTCGACAATGTTTGACAAGGGTGGATAAATTCACCTTGGTTGGTGGATTGGGCGAGGCTCGAAAAATCATGGAAAGGGTATGGGAGAGCCGAGAGACACTAGATGGACAGGAATGGGATCTTGCAGCCTGTCTCCGCGTTCTGGGCACACCTGCGTTGCTGGTGTAAGGGCTTCATCGCTGACATTCATCTTGACTCTGACTTGGAAACACAACAATCCCAGACACTACCATCATATGATGGTGTTGAATTCTCAGAAAATGAATGGTGGGAGCTATATGAAAACTATTTGCCAACCCAAACACTGAGCATCTCTCTGACCGTGGTCGGTTTGATGTCTGGGAACTTGTTGTTGAGGGTTGTGCCATGGGGGAAATCAAACAAGCCTGCCGTCACGTACAGTGCGAACTTGCCAAAGTATTGTTGGAAAAGCGGTTTCGGGAAGTAAGGGTATATGGCAGGGTGAGAGGGAAGCTCAGTGATTTCACCTCTTGCCAACTGCTCAACACTGTCATAGGTCACAGTGAATTTTGAGCCTGGTTGATATATCGCTTCAGGTCAGTATTTGTGTGGCCACCAAAGAGTTTGCGAACCAGGTAGACTGACCTCTCATCTCTTCGGCAATGGCCAGAAACTCGTTCCAGGTCACCTTGTCCCCATAGCAAAACAAAGACTCGTCCCAGTGTTCCAGGTCGAGAGCTGCGACGACAAACTTGGCCAGATCCTTTGTGTAGGTGAAGCACACGAGATCATTGCCTGTACCTGGTATCGCTGCAGCCTTGTTGGCCATGTCAACGACAAATGAAACTGGCGCCATGTGGGTTTCGATATAGGGGATGCCGAAATAGTCCAAGAAGTATCCGTTGTGGACTCTGGTCCATTCGAGGTCAGTCTTCTTCAACTCGGCGATGGTTGCGAGACGATGTTCGTGCTGGGGCAGCTGCAGGTCTCTGGATCATTTGTTAAAACCGGTCCGTCAGTATCTCCCTCGAAAATTGGTGGTTCCAAGGTGGACAAGATGGCATATAACTAACTTCTCAGCCGGCGCCACAGTCCCATATTCACTCGCAATGAATCGTTTTGTTGTTGAGGCTTTTGCTGCTGCCTTGACGAGGCCAATTTCAGAGGCACCCTCGATAGGACCCCTGACACTGAGGGCGGAGATGACAGTTTCGACGTTGTTGGTCTCTAGCAAGTGAGACTGTGAGTCGACGTCTTGGTAGTCCACACCAAAGACTGGGACGCCGATGTCCTGTGCCTTGGATTCCTGAGGAGTAGGCTGGTGAGTGGTGCCCAAAGGTATAAGATACTATTGCTTACTTTGCGTGCCAGGACAATGACTTTGTGGTTTGGGCTCGCCTTCAATGCATCGACGATGGTGCGGCCGACATTGCCAGTGCCCCCAGCGACAGCAACTGTAACCATGTTGGTGATATGGTGAGAGGATGAAGAGAACTGGGTGTTGAATACAAGGACAGAGACTGAGAGATTTGGGTTCAAGGTTCAAGCTGAAGCTGCGAGATGAAGAAAGTCTGCTGGTCCGTCTCACTGTCCCGGAGGACATCTAGCACTATTTATACTTGTGTAGTCTCTGCCATACCCCTCAAGGTAGTAGAACAATTTGTCAGCTGTGATGCTAGACTTCATCATTGTAACAGGGGAATCGAGGCTTTACGTTGTGAAGATCAGCTCTCTTGAGTCTGGACTCAGGCATCCCATTCCCTTTCTTTGATAGTATCGCGCGGTGGTGGAGAGACTCGAGACTCTTGCGCGCGCATTCGTAGCGGATCTAGTCCGGATTAGGAACCAGCGCGCGGCACTCCCAGAATGGATAAAGAGTGTCTCCGATCAAATGGTATTGCGGATAGGACATTTTGGATATTATACCCTCATGGTCATCTTGAGGGTGAAGTATTTGGAACAGACGTGACTGGCTACTTGGGCCATTGATACTCTATGGCCTATGGCTATTTCCTTCATGGTATGGACGGCAGATACACCACGCACCACTTTCTTGTGACCGGCATTGTTCTATAACCATGTCCTTGATAATCTGGACTATGGACAGAATACACTCACTGCTGGCATTGACAGTTGAGGACGTGTGAAAACATGTTTGTGGTTTGTGGCGGTGCTGCCACCCGCTCAACTCGGCAACTCGTATTCTCGGTAGAAGATTCACTTCTGCCTGCGACATGCGACATTCGCTTGGAATTTAATTCTTGGTGCCTGGCCTCAGCCACCCAACACCCACGAGCAGCTTTCAACCTTTGGGATCCATCAATAATATATGTCAATTGCGTCCTCCAATACTCCATCTCCAGCAGACTTCATCTTGTCGCTGACTCCCTGTTGTTGACTATCTATACTAAATGGATGAATCGCCGCCACCATATCATCCTCACGATCCCAACCGCAGCTTTCCACCAACCGCAGCCCCGGGATACGCTTTGTCGACTACCATCAACCCACAGCAACACGCCGTACAAGACACCGCAGTCTCTTCTCGAGAATATGGGGTGCGCAGCATCAGTCCTCTGGAGGTTGAGCAATCGGGATTCATCTCGGCCGCGCCGTACTTTGAGCTTCGTCCCCCGAGTCGACCACAACCCCATGACTTTTTCATCCACACCATTGTGATTCAAACACATGACGGCGCAGAGACAATACCATTCCCTCTAAAAAATTCCCTCTTCCAACTGCGTGAGGTCGACGAATATGACTGGACAACCTTTGTGAATCACCTGTTTCCAGCGCATCGGGAAACAACGACCCACCCAACCCAAACGAATGCACTGAACCATTCGGCCAGAATACAGTCCTTCTCTTCCAGCAGCGTCGAAAACGTAAAGTCAAGGACAGAAGCGCTTACGGACCTGGTTGATCGTCTATCTCTTCCACCGAGCAAGACATCTACAGCTGGAAGTAGTCCTCTGACAGATCCTTCCAGTCTGCGGAGAATCAGAATCGAAACCGTCGTGGCACAGTGGAACGCGGGGTTTTTTGGGCCTCGTGGCCTGAAAATAATCCTGATATTCCCTGAAGACTCGTCACCTACTGGGAGACTAACGCCGCAATCATGCGGTCGGGATGCCGCTTCTTCGCTGGGAGAGGACAATCCACTCCACAAAGCCGTCGCCAGAGGGAAAGAGTCGGAGGTGCGTCGCCTTCTTGAGCAGGGCTCAGTGTACATTGACGCAAGAAACAGAAAGGGCGAAACACCACTCTACCGTGCAGTATCTCAAGGAGACAAGTCGGTCGTGAAACTACTACTGGAAAACAACGCCGATCCTCAAGCTCGGCCTCCAGAAGCAAACAGCCCTCTTCATGTGGCCGTGATATACGACCGTTCAAGTATCCTCAAGATGCTACTCGAGAGGTCAACTGAGGGACTGGAAGAAGTAACTTCAGCAGGGGAAACCCCGTTATATCTCGCCGTGGCTCGCGGTCAAACAAAGAACGCCACGGCACTTCTGGAGGCGGGAGCCAATGTCCAGGCGAGGCCAATTGGGAAAGATACAATGCTCGACATTGCAGTCAATAGGCATGATTCTTCTATGATCAAATTATTACTGAAAGGCGGCGTGGATGTCAACCAGAGAAACCGAGATGGAGACACACCACTGAACCGTTTCATTGCGACCGGGAATACCAGCATGGTCAAAACTCTCCTGGAACATGGAGCCAACCCGAGAGGAAAGAACAGAAATGCAGAAACGCCGCTGTCATTGGCCGTGAATCAAGGACATTCGTCCATCGTCTCTCTCCTCCTCGCGAGGGATGTCGTCCAGAAGGATATTGATTCTGAAAACCTCAAGGGGGAGACGCCAGTTTACACCGCCATATTAAAAGGGAGTTCCTCAATTACCGAAATGCTTTTGAAACACGGCGCCGACACCAACCGCCGACCTCTGAAAGGGGAGACGGTGCTGAACCTCGCCGTCTCCCATGGTAATAGCACACTGGTGAGCCAACTGCTTGACCGTGGGTCGGACGTCAATGCAGCCAACAAATCTGGAGATAGTCCCCTCTCTCAAGCCATATCACGCGGCGACCTGTTCATGGTCAGCCTCCTCCTGAGTGCTGGCGCCGACGTCAATGCCGTCAATGCTGATGGCGACCCAATCCTCTATCGAGCAGTCTACAACGGCAACGCGACAGCCACTTCACTCCTCTTAGCTCATGGTGCGAAGGCGAACGTACAGAGTCACAATGGTGAGACGGTGCTGTACCGTGCCGTGTACAAGAACGACACTTCGATCTGTGCCTTGCTACTCTCCTACGGTGCTGAGCCCAGAGGTGGAGCTCCCACAGGAGAGACATGTCTATACCGTGCCGTCTACGCCGGAAACACTCAGCTGGTCTCATTACTGCTTGGTCGGGGAGCAGATCCCAACGTCGCCAACGAGGCCAATCCCACTGGAGAATCGCCACTCTACCGTGCCGTTTACAGAGGTGACGTGTCTATTGCCATGATGCTACTCAGCAAAGGTGCCAATCCAACCGTCCCTAGTGTCAACAACGAGTCGCCATTGCAGTATGCCATCAGGAAGAACAACAAATCGATGATGCAGATATTGAGCAATGTCTCGTTACGATACTCTGAAACGAAGATAGTGTAATGAAACACACACGTACAACGTTCCTCCTTATCGAGTCGGCTAATTGATGCCCTTGGTACCGCTCGAGCGATGCTGATGGCAGTCCCCTGGATAGATGCCTTGCAAGAATAAAGGGCTTGCAGCAGAAGAATAGTCTGTACTCAAACCTCACCAGCTCTTCATTACTGATCATGATGATCTGCAATTGAGGTAATAGAGAAGTAGACGTGAGTATCTTCTCCATGGCTAACTAAGAGAGAGCTAAGTACCTTACAAGTGGCCAAACTAACTTCGTCTTCCTCACTCTAGTTTCACTTTTCAGTCACAACGGTGAGCCGTCTACAGAGGCACAGTGATTTCTCGGCGGCATTTATATATCTGTCACCACCTGCCTTCCAAGGCTTCTTCCTCTTCTTCTCCTTCCTGACCTTCTCTTCTTTCTTCTTCTATCGATTCCTCCTCTACAGGACTACTCTGTTCTTCTTGATTGTGCTCCTCCCCTTCTCTACATCTGAAGCCGTCTTCTCATTCAACTTTGTTTCCTGTTGCCCAGTTCATCCAAGTGCCTTCCGATCTGAGACAGCTCTTGAATTCTTTGATTCAGTTGAGCTATATTGTCAGCACAACGACAGAAGAGTCGGAGATTTCATATTCATTATCCTGGGACACTTCGAAATTCGGTTTACTCGCCACGGTTTTCGCCCTGCTGGTTTAATTTTACGCTACTTGAAAGAGAACCCTCTTATATATCAGCCTTTATTACGAACCAGTCCCTTTGACATCACAATTCAACTATTCGCGACGCCAAAGCCACAACATTGGCGCCGCCTGCTGAGGCCCTCACCGAGATGTCTGCGATAACTTCACCAACCCAACTTCAGTATCACCCTCATCGTGAGCCATCGTACGAATTAGCCGCGGTCCAAAGCACCAAAACTGCTGAATCAGTTGTTGCAGTATTGGAAAGGTCTCCGAGAGGACCCCCACCACGCCTGCTGCAAGAGGCCCAACGGCATGCAGCATATCAAAGACCGAAGGAGAGACTCGTTGGCTTCGTTGGAAATTCTGGTGCCGGAAAGAGCAGTACCCTCAACTCTCTCTTCGATGAAGACGGCCTCGCAAAGACTGGTGCCTGCGGCTCGGCCGTGACCCCTTTCCCCGCCGAATACCGATACCGTGAGCCCGGCCAAGCGGCTCCCTTCACTTTGATCTGCAGGATCATGGCCGGAAAAGAGTTAGGAAAGTACTTGGGAGATCTACTTCGTGACTACTGGAGCACTTCACCGATCGGCCGCATGAACCATGAAGAGGAAAATTCCAATTCGTACGAAGATACCCAGGCAGCACGCGATATCTTTGAGGCCACATTCGGAGGAATAGAAGGTTTCGACATAGATCGCCTCAACTACGACGAGAATGACAAAGACGGCAACACTGCTAGAAGATACTTGTCAGAATTATGCAACCGGCTGGACTTTCCCGAGAATATGACCGCAAACGGCGAATGGAGAGAAGAATCAGAGGACGCCGCCGGATGCGAGGATCATCAGTCATTGCTCCAGGAACGAGGTCTTTGGCCCCTGGTCATGGATTTTTCAATCTTTGCAGACACGGACATCCTAAAATATGGCCTCACCTTGGTCGACCTTCCAGGGTTCAATGACACAAACCTCGCCCGAATCAGAGCGGCGAGGAAAGCCCAGTCAAAATGCGACGATATTTGCGTGGTTGCGGATATTGCAAGGGTCACTGACAGTCAGATTTTGCAGCAGAATCTGCAACTTATCCAAGCAAAGGCTGAGGGGTTAAAGTTAACCACGGTCAATATCACAATCATATGTACCAAGTCAGCCGCCGATTTGGACAGGAATAAAAGCGTGGAAAAATTGGTGGACCGTACCCAGCTCAACTACGCCAGAGCCGAGCTACAGAAGGCCAAAGGCGCAAGCGAACAAGTGAAGAAGCATGCTGAGCGCAGACTGGAGACCCTTCTCATCACTGCTCGGAATGAGAAGGTCGAAAAAGACCTACAAAAAAAATATGGCGCATACATCAAAGGCGGAATACTTAAAGTATTCTGCGTTGATAACCGCATGTACTGGAACGCCACTTGTGACGCAGAGCGAGAGCTGAGTGGCATTCCAGCTCTACAACAACATCTGAGTGGTCTTCCGGCCGCATCTTTGTTCAAGGAGACGGATCTTTTTCTGGCCAAAAAGATTCCAGCACTGGTCAGCTCTTTTGCTACCTGGGTGGAGTCCTGCAGAGTTGACTTCGAGCTTGAAAATCGCCCAAAGCTTCCCCGAGCAGGCGACCTGAGATTGTGTCTGGACAAGGTTGAGGAATGGGCCACTGGAATGTTTCGGGTTTTTGAAAAATGTTTCAACGCGCGATTGAAAGAATTCTCAACGTCGATCGGCGCAGCCTGCCTCAAGGTCGCTCAAGGCTGGGAGAAGTGGCCTCCAGGGTCAGTAACTTGCTGCGTCAGACATGACGGCAATTATACGAAAGGCACAATGGGTGTCAGAAATTGGAACAAGGAGCTGCTGGAGTGTTTCGAGGACGAGGTCATGGGCCAGAGTTGGCACGAATTTGAAGTCGATACCGATCCGCTTCTCAATGGACTCTGGGACATCGTCGCCGTCTTCCAAGGGTACGCAGAGTGTTGCGCCGGATCGCGAGCCCCTGGCAATTTCCTACGTTCGCTTGCCGCTCGACAGGACATCCTGAGGAGCACCTTTCAAGCAGAGATCAAGCTCTGTCTCAAGGGGATCAGTCTCATGAGGGTTCACGCGATCGGGACTCACCAGAACTCTTACATTGTGGACTGCATGCTCGAAACATACCGGGCAGCCAACGAACCTATAGGTATAGTTTTGCCTCCCTAGCCCCTTGTCTCTTGAACACTACCAGGCAACTGACCGAAGAATAGGTGTTGGAGCAGTCAAGGCACGCCTCGCCATCTTACAAAACTGGGTTAGTAGCAAGGAATTCGTCGAGGCCTTTCGGGCACATCTTGCCGAAGATTTCCAAGATGTCATCGACGACGTGTCGGCGCGGATCAAGGCAGCTCTGGAACATGAGATCGAGGCGATCGAGTCGGACCTCGAGGCTATCCAGCCCTCCAAGGGCAACGAGCGGCTGTTTAAGGCCGATCCAGAGTACGGGCAAGAGTGTGAGGACGTTCTGTCCATGGTGACCAAGCAGCTGGGGGAGATTGACGAGCTAGCCGCCACAGCGCGAGCGATGGCCCGTGAACGCTACGGATGAAGAATGGAGATTGCGAACAGAGACAGAAGAAGCGGGGTTAACCGAACAAAAGAAGGCGAGCGACTACGTGATGGAAACCAGAACAGCAGACCCTACAGCAAAGGGCTAAGATGGGGGAGCAGGGAGCTGAAAAAATAAACACCAGAAAGAGCTGGCTGCTACTTGATTGAGGTGCTTGCATACTGCTCTTGTTTCCACCATCACCTGGGACCGAACTTGGATCTCGGGGCGTGGGGCGGCCTGGCTAGATAGGGACTTGGTCCACGAGGTAATGGACCAGAGATGACTTCTCGCCACACAGTGACAAATTGACAACGGGTTCCTTTTTTCGAGTAGTTTCTATCATGTACCCCATCTGCCCCTGTTCGCACCTCCATACCTCTTTCCTACTGCTGGACGAGAGATCTCTTTCTTCCCCCTTTTCTTTCCCCTGTCTATTCTCAGCCTTGCCATATATCTACCTCGCTCCGTCGCTCCCTCTCTACCTAGGTAGCATGTATAGATGATTGTCTCATGTCTATACGGTACTTACTAGGCTTCTAGGCGTGCTACACAGGTACATACCCACACAGGTTAGTGCTTGTGTTGGTGTGAGTCTACATCTCCTTGCTTCCCCCCAACACCCTCTTCTCAATCTCTCTCTCTATGCCGGACTCCCTCTCCTTTACATACCACCACACTATATTTAACTTTGACACGGCGAACAGGGAAAAGAGGGGGGTATCGTACCTGTATCTTGCTCGATTCGACCTGTCCGTCCCAGTTGATAGCATCGGCAGGGAAGGCCGAGGACCATATGCCATATGTAGCCTACCCAGCTAGCTATATATATGTAGATATATGTAGAGCTCAAGAGATGCCGAGATCCCATGGAATGCTGTTATCCGTCGTCGATCCGAGCATATATCACATCATATCATGCCATGCTGTGCTCGGCACAAGGCCCGGATGAAGATGGGGGAAGGAGTACATACATACATACATACATACATACATACATACATACATGCATGCATGCATGCATGCATAGGATCATGGGATCGTGGTTCCCGCCGAGATGATATCTCAGAGTGACTATAATAGGTACTTTTCATATGAACAACCTCCTCCTCCTCCTCGTCGCTGGAGAGTTACACTCTGGACATCGCACTTCGCACCGGTATCTTTTCTGGCTTTGTCCGATCACGTCGGCGCCACCGGCCATGAACGCGACGCAATCCAGTCCACCAGACTGTGAACATCGATTCCCAAGAATGGTGCCTGATTTTCCCTGTTGTACAAAAAAACTGTAATGCAAGAGGCGCGCTACGCGGGTTGATAACCTCAACCTTGAAAGTCGCCCCAGTAAGCTTGATCTTGATTTGGGTATCCTCGCACAACTGCTGTTGTGCTCTTCATGCTCTGCTTTCGATTTCATCTGACAACTGCATCCGACTCTTTTCCTCCTTCCGAATTCACCCTCCCCACTCAGCCTTGTAGGTCATTGCTGATTCCTCCAATCGTCACGCTTTTAATGACCAAATACTCATCAACGCCGTATTTGCTGCCTTCCCTTCCGAACCCGCTCTGTTTCACGCCTCCGAAAGGAGAGGCGCCGTCGGAGATCAGCCCGGTGTTGACGCCAATCATACCCACCTCCAACGCCTCGGCGACACGGTAGATGCGTCCAACGTCGCGGGAAAAGAAGTATCCCGCCAAGCCCACCTCGGTGTCGTTGGCGAGCGTGACAACTTCCTTTTCCGTCTTGAATGGAAACAGCCCGGCGACGGGGCCGAATGTCTCTTCTTGGGCGATCGCCATGTCGTTCGTCGCGCCGGCGATGACCGTCGGCGCATAAAAGTTGGATCCCAAATCGGGCAATTTGTTCCCGCCGCAGAGGATCTTGCCGCCTTTCTTCGTCGCGTCTTGCACGTGAGATTCCACTTTGGCGACTGCACGGTCGTGAATGACAGGGCCGTGAGTCACACCATCGTCGAAACCGTACCCGACCTTGAAGTTCTTGACCTTCTCCGTGAATTTCTGCGCAAAGGCGTCGTAGATGCCTTCTTGCACGTAGATCCGGTTGGCGCACACGCACGTCTGGCCCGACGACCGGAACTTACACGCGATCGCTCCGGCGACTGCGGCGTCTAGGTCGGGTGCATCGTCAAAGACGATAAAGGGGGCGTTACCCCCGAGTTCAAATGACAGCTTTTTCAGAGTGGAAGAGGACTGTTTCATGAGAAGTTTACCCACATTGGTGGATCCCGTAAATGACACCTTCTTGACACGGGGGTCGGTAGTGAGAACCGCACCGACTTCGGCTGTATTTTTCATGGCGGTGACGACGTTGACGACTCCAGGAGGGATACCTGCTCGTCGGGACAGTTCGGCCAGGGCATTGGCTGTGTAGGGAGTCTCTCCCGGGGACTTCGCAACTACGGTACATCCGGCCGCAAGGGCTGGGCCGATCTTTCGTGTGATCATTGCGGCTGGGAAGTTCCAAGGTGTAATCAGACCGCAGACACCAACGGGCTGTTTCCACGTCATAATTCGATTGCCCGGAACAGTGGCCCCAATGGTATCTCCATAAATGCGAGGCGCTTCTTCGCTGAACCATTGAAAGAAGTTGGCAGCATACACCACTTCGCCCTTGGCGTCGTTGAAGGGCTTGCCATTCTCCCAAGTGATCAGTGTGGCCAGGTCGTCAGCATTCTCCATCATCAAGTTATACCAATTTCGCAGCATTGTCGCTCGCTCTCGAGGGAGGGTCTTGCGAAAGGAAGCGAATGCATTCTCCGCGGCGGCAATGGCCTTGTTGGTATCTTCGGTGTTAAGCTCAGCACATGACCCTATCTTCTTGCCGGAGCCAGGGTCGACGACATCAAAGGTCTCGGACGAGGTAGCGTCGACGAATTCGCCGTTGATATAGGCTTGGGAGATGAGGAGGGAGGGGTCTTTGAGTTTGGGAGCGGAGTGCATTTTGGCAGAGGACACTATTCGATACGAAGGATGGACTGTTCGTGTCAAGGACGAAGGCAGACGAGGTCGCGAAGAGGACAGCAGCACACGTATATATAAGGACGCCATTGTAAGAGGAAGAAGGTTGGGTGCAGCGAGAGTGGAAGAGGGGAATCTGCCCTAGTATTCGTCGTGGGATACTCCTTGGTCTCAATTAAGTCATGACCAATGGAATGAGCCGCAGTCGCATTGGAAATCCTAGCAATCGTGTCCACTTCAGGCAAGAGTCGAAGGGCGTTTGACTGGCCTGAAATCGTATATCATAATTACTTCACGCGAACGAAGCTTAAGAAGCTCAAAATGTGTGGCATAAGCGGAGCACGTGCGGAGATCTGCGTGATGTCATGATAATACGGCGAAGCATAGAGACGTGCAGGGACGTGACACTGCGATAAGTGTGCCAAGAGCACCAAAGACATCACAACGTGGCTCGGATACAAGTCCGTCGAGTGCGTCTTGGCTACGGCGCATCAAATGTCCAGCGAAGTGCTACGATATTTTTTCGGAGATTGTCCCTGGACTACCACCTACTTGTAGAGCCAGCCAGCACTGTTTACAAATCAGCGCCACGAGCCACCCCCAATATGACAGATTCGCGGGACCCGAAGCCACAGATCTCAAGAAGCAAGGCACAACGTCGGGCGATGGCGGAAGGGAAGCTCGTGGAGACAGTGAACGCTCTGACGGGGACCGATTTCTTTGCAAAATATGCTCCACGGGAACTCTTGACCGAATTGGGGGTCTGTCAGACTGGAGTAGAGTTGTCGAGGCTGGAAGTGGACGCCGCCAATCTACCCAGTCGATGGTTGGACGCATGCCTGAAGTTAGTCGAGGAGACCAGTGCGCAGGACTACCAGAACTCGGAGGTAAAGTGGTCGCCCTCCAAGAAGAGAAGGGAGATGAAGTTGCCAGACTTGAAATACATTGTTCTAATCCACGGCACCTCTGATCTGGTCGGCTTCATCTCTTTCATGATCACATATGAGGATGGTTACGAGGTCATCTATGTCTACGAGATTCATTTTACTCCCGAATGGCAGGGTAAAGGATTGGGAAAGAAACTCATGAAGATCGCCGAGATCATTGGTCAGAACGTCGGCATAACCAAAATCATGTTGACTGTCTTTAGGGCCAATCGACGAGCTGTCGCCTGGTATACGCAACTAGGTTATGAAGAAGACGACTTCTCTCCCAGTCCACGCAGGTTAAGAAATGGTACCATCAAAGAACCGAGTCACATCATTCTCTCGAAACCAGTGAAATGATAATCCCCTTCGAGAGCTTTTCATATCTGGCGTACACTTTTACCCTTCATCTCGGGTCTCTCCATCTCCCATTCATCGCGCATAACAGCGAACAAGGTGTCTCCAACAAGGATGGTCAACCCCAAACTCCAAACTAGTGTGATGGCATAGAAGAAGTTGGCATTGCCCGAGCCGGCGTAAATCCACAAATGGTGAAAGGCAGGGCCCAACAGGGTCGAATACAGCAGCACAGATGCGGCGATGAAGGTGTATCGAGTTACTATGATTGTCAGCGAGTGCTCCGAGAGTTGGGTTTGATCGGGGCACAACTTACGTGGAAGGACGTGTTGATACATTGGCAAAAATCCGAGATACAGCGAGACGTCCGCGATGCTCGGGTATGGCTTGAAGATGGCAAACAAGCCCAGCAGGCTGGTGATGACGAAAAGAGGCTGGCTTTGGAGTCGAAGAGTCATGCCTCCTACATATCCCACCAAGTGCAACCAGAAAACGCCGATGAAAAAATCCCGGAAAGAATCGAATATCTCGATGAAGAAGTACCACCACAGCCCAACGTTGGGAGTCAGGTCAGGGACCGTTATCTGGACGCCGTAGCACGAGGCCAAGAAATCCCAGAATCCGCTGGTCAAGATGGGTGTCGTGGCTAGGAGTGCAGCGAGCCCTGCGGTATAGGAAACGATTGACGCAGCGAGAGACGTAGATCGATTGCTTTTATGGATCATGAGCAGGGTCGGTGGCAGAAGTAAAACCGGATACATTGACAAATAGGTTCCAATCGCAAGCGCAAACATGGCGCGGATTGCATTTCCTGACTGAGCGTTGAAGACAGCTTGGATAATGGCAGCATTCGTAAAGATGCTGGTGCTCCTCCCCAGACACGACAAGATGGTAAAAGGGTTAAAGAGATAACCCGCCGCGATCAGGAGGCCATCCAACTGGTGAAAGCGAGAGGTGGGAATTCGTAGTTCTTCCGCAATAACATGTAAGGATGCTGCGTTTAGGAAATCCAGCCCGACGAAGACCAGCATCGGCGGCAGGATCTCGAAGATGACCAGCAGTAGCGGTGCTTGGTGAAAGACACCGCCGTCGTAAGGTGATAATCCATGTTGATAGAGAAAGAGGCCTTCTTGAAGTCTTTGAAAGCTCGAGATCGGGGTCGATATTTCCACTCTCGCGGTCAGGAAATCGGGAATGTCGGGAAAAGCGAGGAAAATGACCAGCCGTAGCACAATCGCGCCGGCGTATATCGCGACCGTCTTGCGGTCCAGCGATATTGCCATTGTTGTTATAACGTGCGCTCACTTGTAGACCACATTGGCCAGGTGGCTGTCGCCTGCAGGCTTGTTGGCTTGATATGTTGTGGACAGGAGTTGAGGAGCTGAAGTTACCAAGTGGCCGCAGCCTGCCAGCCTGCATGGGTGGATCTCGGCAAAACTGCGGCATTGTCTCTTCTTTCTCTCCACATCTTCGAACTTTTTTTCCTTCATGCGCCTTCAGAAGTGCGCTCAATCTCTGCGCCCTACACCTTTGCAAATACCAGTCGTCCTACTTGCAAGACTCCAAGATGGCGAAGCAAAAGAAAAAGGGTCAGTCCGGCCAGGCGAAGAACTACATTACTCGAACGCAAGCTGTACGCAAACTACAGATATCGCTTCCTGATTTTCGACGGCTTTGTATCTTCAAGGGCATCTACCCTCGCGAACCCCGAAATATCAAAAAGGCGAGCAAATCGGCCACTCACTCGACCACCTTCTACTACACCAAAGACATCCAATACCTCTTACACGAACCGTTGCTGGCCAAGTTCCGTGAACAAAAAGCCCTCGAGAAGAAGATTGCTAGATCTCTGGGTCGCAATGAAGTGCAAGATGCGGTTCGGCTGGAGAAGTATGGTATGCCAAAAATAAAGTTGGATCACATCGTGCGAGAACGGTACCCTACCTTCGTGGACGCTCTCCGAGACCTGGACGATGCGCTGTCATTGCTGTCTTTGTTCGCCAACCTCCCTTCGACCACCGAGGTGCCTGCCAAGGTCATTGCGCGCTGTCAACGCCTCTGCCACGAGTTTGAACACTACCTAATCGCCACTAACTCCTTACGAAAATCCTTCTTGTCCATCAAAGGTATCTACTACCAAGCGACGATCCAAGGTCAGGATATAATGTGGTTAGTGCCGTATAAATTTGTGCAACGGGTAACCCAAGATGTGGACTACCGGATTATGGGTACCTTTGTGGAATTTTATTGCACCCTTCTGGGCTTTGTCAACTACAGGCTCTATACGTCAATCGGCCTTGTGTATCCCCCAAAGTTCGACGTCGTGTCCGACGAGCGAGGAGCAGAGCTGGCCGCTTTCACTCTGGAGGGGCGCGGCATTGGTGGAGGCATCGATCAACAGGACGAACACAAACAATTGGACAATGGTCATGCACAACATGGCAACACCGAAGCTGTTCAGGCTCAAATAGACAAGATTGCCCAAGAGACCTCGGCTCAAGAAGACGTGAAGCAGGATGAGCCCGCCGAAGAGCAAGCACAGACTGATGCCATTGATACATTCGTTCCTGCGGCACCAGAAGGAGACATCCTGCCACAGCCTGATTTGACTGCCGACGAAGCCGCACACTTGTTCTCGGAGTTCACGTTTTTCATTTCCCGCGAAGCTCCTCGTCATCCCATTGAGTTCTTGCTGAGAGCATTTGGCTGCAAACGCGTGGGTTGGGATGCCGTACTAGGTGAAGGCGCGTTTACCCATGACGAGAGAGATCCCCGGATCACGCATCAAATCGTGGACAGGCCTGCACCGTCACAATCACTTTCATCCACGCAAGGTCAAGAAGGCTCGAAGGATCAAAGTCTTCAGACTGTCAAACCTGGATACATCATGCCCGGAAGAATCTATGTCCAGCCGCAATGGATATGGGATTGTGTCAACGAGGGTAAATTGCTGCGCACCGACGTATATGCGCCGGGAGAGACGCTACCCCCTCATTTAAGCCCATGGGTCAAGCCCACTGGTGGCCAATATAATCCAAGAGCGACCTTGGAAGAGCAGGAGCCTGAAGGTGAGGCTGATGCAGCCGCAATTGATGAAAGTGAAGATGAAGAAGGGCAAGAAGAGACTACTCAGCAAGCCGTTGAGGGACAAGAAGCTGAGGAAAAGGACGATGATGACGCTGAAGATGAGGACGATGATACCGATGCGCATGATATGGACGTCGCACCCTCAGATGACGAATCAGAAGAGGAAGACGAGGAAGACGAGGCAGATACTTTCGGCGGCTTCGATGATGCTATCTCACAAGGCTCAGACCTAGACGAGGATGCTGAACACCAGAAGGAACTGGAAGCGGAAGCAGCTGGACGACCTGTCAAATCGAATATGAATGGAGCAGACCCCAAGGCCAAGGCCATCAGAGCTCGGCAGACAGAACGGTCTCGGAAAGAGGAGGAAGTTGAACGACAAAAGATGATGATGAGTAACAAGAAGCGCAAGCTGTATGAGAAGATGCAATACTCCAACAACAAACGTGATGAAGAAGCTGAGAAGCTGCGGAAAAAGCGAAGGAAGCTGGAAAAGGCCGGAAAAAGATGAGGCCGTACGCCCCAGCACTGCCCTGCGTGGCTTATGATTGTTGTGACTATTAGCGCGGTGTTAAGGCCCTAGAATACAGCAGCCAAAAAAAGGGAGATAGAGGAGCATTAATTCGAGTCTCGACCATCATCATCCTGTACCGAGTACTCGGTATAAACTTACAGGGCTGCAATCAAGAGGCTCTATGTACGTGATAATCACGTGATCAGTAACAATCTTCGTTGTAAAAGCGGCAGCACCCGAGCTTCGGAGATCAATTGGGAGCTTCACAATAAAACTTCGACAGATTCGATCACCAAACGCCGTATTCTACACTCGTTTTGAAAAGGCCCTGGACAGGCCGGCGCAGTCTACAATGCTGCGGTTAGCAAGGCCTGTTGGCGCCTCTGTGCGTCGGCAATTGCTTGCCCAAGCTGCTTTGTCTCAGGTACACCTCGCCTCTTCCAAGTCAAACGATGAGAGCTCGCGCGACTAACATCAGGTTCACAGAGGAGGGCATTTGCGGATAGAAAGGACTCGATCTTGAGTTCTGACCCGGCATTCCTGCCAGGCAGTCAATCTGGCGCTGTTCCTGTCAAGACAGAAGTTCCCTTGGGACCCGGCGGGCCTGGCAGCCCAGCTCCTCAACCATCCACCTCAACATCTGCCACGCCAGCCTCACCTTCTTCAAACTCGACCATTCCTCCTCAGAATGTCCCGCTCGCGCCTCCAAGCCCGCCAAAGACGCAGACGGCTCCTCCCACGACACCGGCGTCCGTCAGTCCAGCCGAACCGCCTCCTCCACCCCCTCCTCAGAAGCCACCGACACCGCGGAAAAGGTTCTCCCGATTTCGCCTGCTACTCTACCTGATTACTTTAGGTGCCATCTCGTACGGAGGTGCCGTTTTCTATGCATTGAGGAATGACAACTTCCACGACTTTTTCACTGAATACATTCCATTCGGAGAGGACGCTGTCCTATATTTCGAGGAAAGGTCATTCCAGAAAAGATTTCCGCACGCCAGGCATAACGTCACAAGGCCTCCTCGCGCAGATGGGCGGTTGGAGGAGAGCAAAGTCACCACAATTCCCCAGAAGTCCGGGCTCTCATGGCGAGCCGTAGATGACGCAGAACAAAAGGGAAGCGACGTTACACAAAAGGGCAAGCATATGAGTGCTTTGGATGCCAACCCAGTGGTGACCTCTAAGGACGCTGCCGATGCCAAACAAGATCCACACGGTGCAACACCCAAAGAGAGAAGTGTCTCAGTTGACACCGCGAAGAAGAGTGCAGCAGCAAAACAAGATGGCAAACCGGAAACTACACCTGCAGCTGCACAAGATACCTCTTCGCCGCTGTCAGAGGCTGCCCCAGCAACTGATTCGCGACCACCCGCCATTCCCCCAGTCACGCATATCTCTCCAGTAACGGTGCCCAACGCCGAAGAACCCGTGGTACAAGAGCTGGTCAAGATCGTTAATGATCTCATTACTGTTGTGAACTCGGATTCCGCCGATGCTGCCAACAAGTACTCCGCTCCCATGGCCAAGGCGAAGGAATCTCTCGAAGAGGTTGCAAGCAAGATCACCGTACTACGTGATGCAGAACGCAAGGCCGCTGAGGAGCGTATTGCCCAGGCACATAGAGAGTTTGAAGAAGGGGCCAAACAACTGCTGAAGAGGATTGAGACCGCCCAGGCAGAGGACGACGCCCGCTATCATGAAGAATTCGAGACTGAGAGAGCCCGTCTCGCACAGCTCTACGAGGAGAAGGTGAAGACCGAGGTTCAGCGGAGTGCTGAGCTCGCGGAACAAAGACTCAGGAATGAGCTCGCCGAGCAAGCCATCCAGCTGAAGCGTGACTTTGTTGCTCAGATCAAAGACCTGGTGGAGTCGGAGCGACAAGGAAGATTGAGCAAGCTGTCTGATCTCAGTACTAACATCGACAATCTGACAGAACTTACGTCGAACTGGAACGGCGTGATCGATTCCAACCTCGCAACCCAGAAGCTGCAGGTGGCTGTGGATGCCGTCCGATCTGCGCTTGACGCAAGCGCCGCCTCAGATGCGAAGCCTCGCGCTTTCGTGCGTGAACTGGCCGCTCTCAAACTCTGTGCCGACGGTGATCCCATTGTCGACGCCGCCATTGCTTCCATCAACCCTTCCTCATACCAGAAGGGCATCCCTTCGCAGCCGCAATTGATCGACCGCTTCCGCCGTGTGGCACACGAAGTCAGAAAAGCATCACTCCTCCCCGAGAACGCAGGCATCGCATCGCACGCCGCCTCACTAGTACTCTCGAATGTGCTTTTCAAAAAGCATGGGCAACCCACGGGCGATGATGTGGAGAGCATCCTCACTAGAACAGAAACCATGTTGGAAGAAGGCGACCTCGATGGTGCGGCAAGAGAAATGAACTCCCTCCAAGGATGGGCGAAGGTCTTGAGCCGGGATTGGTTAGGTGACGTGAGGAAGGTGCTTGAGGTCAGACAGGCGCTCGATGTCATCGAGACAGAAGCTCGACTGCAATGCTTGCGGGTCGGATGAATTTTCCCTTGACGTCCCTGTAGGGCTGATAGACGCGGAAAGGAAGGATGGATAAGGAAAGACTCGGGGAAAAGGGGGAGAGAGAGTTTTGCACCCCAGAACGACAAAGTGTGTAGGAGGCAAGGCTTGTGTGTATATATACATATGTATTCCGGCAGCCACAACAACCAAAAAACCATGGCGTTGGCCCATTCATTCAGTCGCTGAAATATCTCTTAAGCGTTTCTTCCTTGTCCCGTCAGAGGTGTCTGTATGTGCGTCCTTTAGCGTAGATGTCAGTACCGGTAAAAGATACATATGTAGAGAGAGAGAGAGAGAGAGAGAGAGAGAGAGAGACAGAGAGAGAGAGAGGGAAATGGGAGTTGGTAGATGGATTCAGCTTCGCCAAATGGCCTCTACAGTGACATCTCAATAGAACTGCTCTGGAGGGAAAAGACTGCCTACAATTAATGCCCTTATTTCCATCTGTTCCGTCAATTAAAAAGGTTGTACCAAATACAAGAATACTATATCGTGTCCCAGCTAAGAAGTATATGTCCCTCGTGTCCAACAAGAAATGGATCGAGTCTTCATGAGTCGTGTCTCTTCCAGGGGATGAGCACAAGGACAGCAACAGATCTCTCGATGCTACGAGGAAGACAAACAGGTTACAACCAGTGCCGGAACGCCTCGCTCGTTTGAAGCAAACAAGAGGCACTATCCAACTATATTTCCCAGAAAGGGTTCTTTCATTTTTCCGCCCCATAGTCTCCCTCAAACAGTGCATCGAATGCAGATCTTCATTTGGTCCATCTGCCAGGTTCTGGTCCATCAATCGATCCAAAACAACCATCTCACTCCACGGACGACACATCGGCCCATTCCCAAAGCAAATCTGACCACTGAAACAACGGCCCAGATGAGCCAGAGTAACCCGACGACGGTCCACTCGATGCCTGCAAACCACAACTTGCGGAATAACCTGATCGGACCCCTCCGTTTTCTGCGGAAAGCGACTTCGATTGTGTCATTGAGTTCTTTGACAGCAAGCGTACTAGTAGTGGAAAGCTTCATGCTCAATTCGCCTGCTGAATCAGCTGTCATTCGCACCTGCGGTGTCATGTTGTTTTCCACTTGATCCTCGAGGATCTGGAGTTGGCTGTGCAAAGTGGGTATGAGCGACGTGGTGAAAGAATGCAATTTCTTATTGAAGGTCAATGAATGGCCTTCCAGCGTTTTCATGATATTTTGTGCTGCAACGATATGCCGTTCTCGTTTCTTGACACGTAAAGGCTTCGCAGAATGCAACGCTTTGTTCTCCGGGGTAAGACTGGCGAGTAGGAATGCTGGCAGCTCTTCGCCCGGATCTTCTGCCCGACGTCCAATCTCTCGGGCCTTGACGGTGGAAGTGAATAGCAGCGCATATGCACGTTCAATATCGCGCCATGTCACGTCTGCTGGTTCGCCATCTTCTTGACCAAGTTCCGAGCCACCCATCTTTGAAAGATCACCGGTAGATCGCGTTGGACGGAGGACACCCAGTCCACTCATTGGGCCGATGACAGAGTTCAATTGGTCGGATGCATCTCGCGATCTGCTGAGGTCCAGAGCTGCACCGAAACCGTAGCTTTTCTGTCGACTCACCTCGCCTGGCGTCGTGGGCGTTCCAGTGTCAATCTTGGGCAGAGCAGCAAGACGTGGTGAATGTGAAGCCGCGCGACGCTGAGCTGCGAGCAGAGAGATGTGGTCGGTAGGATCACTCCGTATGGCTGCATCTTCAGGCGCCAAAAGTCCCTGCTGTTTCTCTTGACGTTGACGATCCTTTTGGAAAGGGGATGTGAAACTGGGCAAATTAGGATTGTTGTATCGAGGTCGATCATTTTCCAGGCTACTTGTCTTCATGACAGCAGGCGCCACGCGGTCGCTCTTGGTACTTGAGACGGTGGACGATCTCGAGCGCGTCGGGTGAGGAGGTGTTTTGTGAGTTGTCCCGTTTTGTTGTGGTGGCAGCGGTTGTTGTTGGTTGTGGTGACCATGGTGATGGCTGTGCTGTTGCTGTTGCTGGTGGTGCTGCTGCTCCCTTTCCGAATCCGACCCTTCGTAAGATCGAATGCTTCCTTCCGAAGCCGAGCCTCTGTGCCTGTATATTATCGGAATATCACGTTTCCAGATAAAGTCTCCCACTCGAGAAACCTCATTCCCGACAATTTCAGCAATGCGACCTCCTTTGAATATGGCACGAATTCTCGAGTGATCAGTTCCTGCATTGGCGGTTGACCGCATACTGGCTTTACTCGCCGTGCTGTGTCTGTGTTCGATGGACGACTGCATGGTTCCGTCGTCGACATCTGTCGAGTTTGTCTGATTTTTGGTCAGCGAAGTTAGCGTCCTAGTCATGGGACTTTGACCGCGAGAATCAGTATCGTTGACGGGTTTTTCCACGTCGTCTTCGCGAACTGACTGCACAGGCGGAACATGCGCAAAGTCAGTTGTGCTAATTTGACCCTGACCCCTGTGAGGTTTGCGGTGAAAAGGATGCAGAATGGTAGATATCGGGTTCTTGGACGGTGAGCTCGGTCTACTCGGAGGCGGGGAAAGATTGATGGCAATACTGGGCCATTCGACCCCATTAGGGGAATTCGGGGCTGTAGTGGTATCGTATTCTGTAGATGCGCGGGGATGGTGTTCGTGCTCGAGGCTCGACCGAACAGGGACCTGGATGGATCGAGGTCGAGAGGCGTCCTGTCTGTTGCGTGAGCGAGTCAAGGGAGTAGACTTCTTGAAGCTGTCCACTCGGAAGAGCTTATTGAGCCCGGTATGATCCATAGAGGTTCTTTTCGATGTCGGCGCAGATGATCCTTGACTAGAGTCGCCGTGACTGGGGACAGATGCCTGCTGTGTCTGTTTTGACTGCGAATGACCCCTCGGTTTGCCCAGACCATTGTTGACAGGGGTTTCGTGTCTTTTTCGTCGAAGTCGCCTACGACCACGTTCTATGCCAGCATCGTCCGAGGACATCGAGGCCGAATAGTCCGAGTCGCTACTGTCCTGGAACAGCTTCTTGCGTATGCGAGAGCGCTCCCTAGAGCTGCTGCCACTCTTGCCGTGAACGGAGTCTCTGATAAGATCTCTGCGGCGCCCATGACGCCCACTCTTGTGCGTATGATGAGCCGACTTGAAAGTGGGCAGCTCAGGCAAAGCCGATGAAGGTGTCTCCTCGAGTGAGTCGCCATGGGACTCCGGAGGTGGGGAGGGTTGCTGCAATCTACTGGGTACATTGACAGGTGTCTGATTGCGCCAACCTGAGAATGTGAAGTGAGTATTCGGTGGATAGATCAAATTGTTGTCACGGTCCTGGATTTTCGTCTTGTTCAAGCCTTGCTCCAACCAATATGCATCAGCTATCAAGTCGGCGGGATGAGTAACCCAGTCAGATCGTGGGCGAAGGGGCTTGGGACGGAGCTGCTCGACTACACGAGGCAGCACCGTACTCTTTGGCTCATCTGGCGAGTCGTCGGTATCCTCATGATCAGCCTCCGCAGTCCGCAGGTCCAGCGGAGGTAGACGGACACACTCCAAAGAATCGTGCTGGGTCTCTGGGTGGCTTGAAACCACAGCGTCAACCCAGGCTCTGACCTTCATGACATCATACCATCCCTCAGCCTCGCTATCAATCGCCGTCTTTTCCCATATGCGGAGCTTCCGATTTCGGACGTATTGTAGAGGATTATATGCCTTCTGCATTGCTTCTGGTCCAGTCAAATGAACATGAGTACCTGGCTTTCGTATTGGAGGCAAGTGCGGCAGAAGACGTCGATGCTCGTGGGCCAGTTCAAAATAAGCCTTTGCTTTGGCAACTCGGGCTGCGGTGGCTGGCGATATTTGGTCCATAAAGTCGGAATCGACGTCCAGATTGGGCACGACTTCGGTAACGGATACGTCCACAGCTTGCGGCGTCGTGGGAGTGTTCGACTCCCATAGTTTGGTAGAGGTTTTCCTCCTGGGAGAGCCACTTTGCGATGACTGACGATTCGTCGCCAGAAATGGAGCGATACTCCGTCTCCGAACGGTGTTGCTAGGATTTGTGGTTGAAGCAGCGGAGACGACACGACGGTCACCCTGATCGGTCGATACATACCTCCTTCCTGAAGCGAGGCGTCGCCGACCCTCACTTAGAGTTAAAGCCATGTTGACAATCTGCGCAGGGTCGTTGTCAAAGCCAACCTGGGGGATGGGCGGACTTTGTACATCCATGGTACGCGAGGTCGAGCCGGAAGTGGCCTCAAAGTGAGAGCCGCTGTGTGAGGTTGAGAGGGACCGTCGGATATCAGTGCCATGGACCAACTGATCTGAGATTGGATAGTTATGTATGACGGGATCCTGCTTGACCTCGCTTGCCAACGGAGAACGCTTGAAGGATGAGCTGGAGTGGCCATACGTTCTATGCCTCCTCTTTGCGAGAGTCAATTCAGAGTCGCCGCCATTCCGTTTGTCTTCAAGATCTTGTCGAGCAGAAGGAGTAGGGGATTCGCGAGACAGTCGTTTGGAGTTTGAGACGGGTTCGAGTAGAAAGCCACCAGAACGTCGGGAGACATTGTGCCGGGGAATGTCGTTTTCTTTTGCCTTCTCTTTCTCTTTCTCCTTTTCCTTCTCTTTGCTCTTGGAGTCCACATCGTTTCGAGCATTGTTACTAGCAAAGGAAAGACGCTCTAGTACTCGAGAAGATTGAGGCTCGGGGTTGCGACTTCTACTTCGATGACTGGCAGAACCCGAAGCAGTCGACTCGGTCCTTGAAACTCGTCCCTCTCGCTCGTTAGAGGGTTCGCGAACGGAGTGGAAGGTCGGCAGAGATAGGTGATTGGAATCCGGATGCTGAGCTGCTCCGGCCTCGTTGCTGGCAGCCTGGCCATTTGGAGGTGTAGAAGTCGACATTCAGCCACCTGGCCATGGAGCGCAGGTGCACCAAAGGGACTATCGCAGCTTCCTGCGGCCAAGGGTCGACGAGATCATTGCAGCTGCAACACGATCCAAGTGACGAGGCGGTGATGGCTGTGGCAGCTTGGAGGTAGGTGGCTTGGTGCCAGCTGTCTTCTGAATGCTGGAATATGGGACGAAGGAATGCACCAACTGCTGCCACAATGGCGGATTGCTGAGTGGGCAGCGGGCAAAAGATTCTGGATGGTAGTCAGGTCACTTGGCCCAGTGACCAACCGCAGTGAACTGGATGTGGAAACTCACCCTCGTCCAGGGTCTCAGAACTTAGGCAATAGTCTCAAGCCCACAGGTGATGATGCTATGATCCAAGCCTCCAATGTGTGTCCGTCACAGCCAGCCACCTTCCTGGAACTGTGGTAGTGGCGGTGACTTTGAGGTGGCGAGGTGGATATCGGCTAAGGGCGGACGGCTGCGCGGAGGGATGCTGGCTGCATGTACCGAGCACCAACTACGAGGTAGAACGACCTATACCCCGTAGTAATATTGAAGACATTTAGAGTCCTTAGAACGAGGTATGTCTATATATTGTTGTCCTGCGACGCGCCCTCTCACCACAGATCCCACTCGCTCCCAGAGACACCATCCGAATGAGCGCAGGAGGAGGTGTTCGTCCCCAATGAGAAGACATTTTGATCCAGGTCGATGCTGTATCTCAAGTACTATGAGGACACCCAGATCCCAGTCAAGACCACATTCTGAACAATACTAGGACGCTGATGCCTTGTCCTGATAGAGGGAGCAAAGGCCCTATCGACGGCGTAGTCTAGTATAGTCCCTCAGCATATTGGAAAGAACGAGTGTAGTTGAGAGACTTTAAAAGGGCCTTGTATTTTCACTATTGACTTTCATATACTTTTACAATCTACTCTTGGTCCATTCCTAGCCTTATGTGCACCTCTCTCTCTCCTCTCACACTCTCTCCTCTCACACTCTCTCCTCTCACACTCTCTCCTCTCACACTCTCTCCTCTCACACTCTCTCCTCTCACACTCTCTCATCTCCTCTCCTACCCTTATCTCTCTTCCTCGCTCCCTTACTCTACTTTTCGTTACTATCTGATCTCTTCTCGCTTCCACTGCGTTAATCAGACGTCGTTGTCCTCATACTAACTGCGTCTCCAATCTTCCGTCAATTCAAATTCACATTTCGGACCGCGAGGTCTTTTCAGAACTTACAATTAGGCAAATATACATCCCCTTTTGGACAGCAGCGTCGGAAATGATCATGGCGACGGTAATCTCGAGACGGATGCCATCGATAATGTTGTCCCAACTACCTCATCCGATGATCTGAACCCGGCTCAAACTCAGGGCAACAGTGTCTTAGCAGCTCCAACACCTGCATCCATTCAAGCTCCGGTCGCAGGCAATGCCCTCCGACCTGTTCCAATTCTCGTGTTGTCACGGTCAGCCCTCCAGGTGTCGATGCGCGTGTCGATACGCTAGGAGACATGGCTTGGATATGGGAACTACTCCATGCTGTGGACCATCCGATCTGCGCAAGTAACCCACTCATTGCGTGAGATATTTTGGTCTTGGCCATTCCAGATCCCACGTTGATGCTCCTGCTCGAGCATTTGGTTGGAGCTACCATCTGTCGCCGCATTGACAGACTCAGAGAAGCCACCCCTAACATCATGATAAGGGCTATGATGAGTATGTGAAGGACGCCTGTGTGAAGGACAGAAGGGTGCATAGAGTGAATACCTAGGTATGCATAGGAGAAGTTCAACGACACATATCATTCATTTCCAGGACTCGTGATCATTATACTTTGTTCCTTATATCATGAGAGCACTAAGGACGCTAACAAACAACAGCATGACAACAGGCAATAAGAACGAAGGCTGGTTGGACACTGCGATCGATGGAGTAGCAGTGGCAGAGGGCGAACCCGATGGCGTAGAGGACGTGGCGTTGCCTTCTGACACCTTTGTAATGAGGTAGACCTCGCCAGAGGCGTCCGAGGACACAAAGATGCGGCCGCGGTCGTCAATGGCCATGCCAACCGGTCGGAAACAGTTGGCCGGACACTTTGAATTGTCTGCGTTGGCGAAGATGTCAACGGCAGCCGTTTTGCTCGTGATATCGTCCACAGGCTGACCGTCACTGGTGAATGCCACGACACTCAATTTATACCCCACGGGATCGTCCCTGTCCCAGCTTCCGTGGAAAGTGATCCAAGCTTCAGTACCACTGTTGTTGAACTTGATGTCGAGAGGCGCCATGTGAGCCTGGAAGACCAAGCTTGCGGGCAGCTGCGCCGCGCAGTAGGCATCGGTCTGGTTCTGGTTGTTGGAGGCAGTACTCGCGTCCACGGCAAACTGACTGCCCACCGTCAAGTTGCCGTTGTCTGGCAGGATATCAACACCCCACGCCGAGAAACACCATGGATAGCCAAAATTGCCGCCCTGATTAGCATACTCTGTGCCATTTAGGTATCCCAGGAAGTTCAACTCTTCGGCAGGGTTGTCTTGATGTACATCGACGCCCATGCGAGAGAGTTGATCGGCTGAATTCTCCACAGAGAAGATGCCTCCAGATATGGGATGCTCTGCGACCCCGACATCGTTCCTCAACCCCCAACCCAGTCGTAGTCCCGTGGTGCTGAAATCGTAGGGAACGCCAGTGTGATTGGTCAAGTTGAATGCCCTGATTTGAGAATGCCCGGACTCCAGGGTCGAAGCTTCAAAGTCAATATTAGCGGTGCTGCCTCGGCTGACCAGAAGTAGGCCAGGAGCTGACTTTGAGAGTAATAGAGTGCGAGTGGTGTGGTCTGTGCCTGCCATGTTGTTGATGAGGGTGGCGCGGTTTGATACGGTTTTGGACGATTGGGAATATTGCCAGGCAAAGACCTCTTCCGAAGAAGAGGCGTACAGGATTTGCCCATCGGTAGATAACTCGATGCCATGATTTAACTACCACAAGTCAGCTCTTGTCATTACCATGCACAAAGTGGATGCGCTTACACCTAACGCTGCCGTGATGTCGGTTGAATTGACCACAGAGACACAGCCTGCAGTGTCCTCATTCAGGGTATGCACCGATATAACTCCTCTTCCTTGCTCGACGACCATCAGATTACCTGCATTGTCGAGGTGGATTCCCCGTGGTTTAGACAAGCCGGTCGCAACCACTTGCATTTGGTAGCCAGAGGCGAGAGAGGGCTGGATGGACCCTGAAGGCGCGGGACCGCATGTCGAGGAGGATTGCCCGATGGCAAAGGGGATGGCTAAGAGCGTTACCGTCACTCCGAAGAATGTCTTCATCTTGTTCAAGGGAGACGCGGATGGTAGATGAGATGGTCAAGGTGGATGGCACGTCAGAGGCAGGCTGTCAAACGGGAATTCAACGAGGGTTTAGTAACCGAGAGACGTAGAAGAGGCGCCTCGTCCGGAATGCAGCGAGAAAAGGATTCATCATTGTTGGCGTGCAGGTCTTTGACTGGGGACTTTATGCAGAGCGAAGGGATGATGTATCGCCAGGTTCTTGTCGCAAATGATGTCGATGATCTCATTCCTGCGTCTTGGTGGCGGCAAGTTTCTGGGCCATCGACGTGCCGCGAATCCCGCCGATGTATCCGATGTTCTAGTTCATGTCCCCCCATACATGCGGCTATGGTCTACAGACCTACCACGAAGAGGTCCTCTCTCTATAGCTCATCTGCTCATCTATCAATAGAAATAAAATTCCAGCATTTGATGCCGTCTGTTCCAGGCGCAAATGCCGGTGCAATAACAGCACCTTCACTCGATTGCCAAGAACGTCCAGGTATACAAGGCCCCAGCATCATGTCACAAGGACGGCAGGTGATATAGATCTATTCGTGGAATTCGCCCGTGCGGTCGCAGGAGGCCAATGCTCCGTGTTCCTTCGGCATTTCCAGGTCTTTTGTGAGATCCCGTTCACCCTCAGTGTGCTTGAACAACACCTGCCTCATTCGCTTGCGCACTGATCTTTTTCTTGTACGCCGTGATGTCTCCGGGGAACTTCTCGACGGTGCCCTTGTCACAGACCCACAGACTGGTGCAGACATTCTGAAGCATCGTCACATCATGGCTAACCATCAGCACACCGCCCTGGAACTGCTGCAGCGCTACGGAAAGAGCATCCATCGCCTCGATGTCCAGGTGGTTTGACGGTTCGTCCAGCACCAGGATATGCGGGTTGGTCAAGGACAAACAAGCAAATGCGACGCGGGATTTCTGGCCTCCGGACAACAGTTCAAGTTTCTGCAACCCCGTCATCCCTGTAATCCCAAAGGCTCCTAGATGTCGCCGATACTCTTCGTCCGTCTTGCCGGGGTAGGTCTTCTGCATGAATCCGACGGCAGACGTGTTCATGTCCAAGGCATCAACGTGGTGCTGCGCAAAGTATCCGACACGAAGACGAGGATTCTGGGATATCAACCCAGAGGTGGGTTGCAGCTGTCCAATCAACAACTTCAGAACAGTGGTTTTACCTGCGCCGTTGGGACCCACGATCCCGATTCGGGAGTCGAGTTGAACGTCCAAATCCACTGAATGAAGCAGCGGCTTGTCCTTGGTATAGCCGAAAGTGACATTTGACATTTGGATAATTGGCGGCGAAAGCTTCTCCACATCCGGGAACCGGAAGTGCACCGTATACTCGGCCTCAGGAGGCTCCAGAACTGGCATCCGCTCGAGTTTCTTGATACGAGACTGTGCCTCGGACGACTTGGCAGCGTTATATCGGAATTTGTCGATGAATGCTTGTAGGTGTGCCCGTTGCGCCATCTGATTCTCGTATTCGCGCTTGGCGTTCTTTCTCCGTTCCTCTTTGGTGGCATAGAAAGAATCAAAGTTGGCCCCCTTGTAGTAATCGAGTCTCTCTGAATGTTGGTGAATAATATCGGTCGCTACTTCGTTCAAAAAGGCACGGTCGTGTGAGACCACCAAGACGGTGCTTGGATATGTTTGCAGATAGTTCGACAAGAACGTGATCGATGGGACGTCCAACATGTTGGAGGGTTCGTCAAGCAGCAGCAAATCGGGCTCACAGAACAGTGCGCGTGCGAGGGCGAGCCTCATCCGCCAACCGCCTGAGAATGTCTTGGTCGCAAATTGTTGGCGTTCCGGCGAAAACCCTAAGCCTGCAAGAATGCTGGCGGCTCTGCTCTCGGCCTTGTCTGATTCCATCTCGGCCAATTTGGCCTGAATGTCACCCAGTGTAGTGTCCAGGCCATCCTTTTCCTTGTCCAGACGTCCAGCATCCTTTGAGGTATCAGCCAGCTTTGACCGCTCGGCCTCAAGTGCCGCAAGCTGCTTCGATATTTTTTCTTGCTCGGCTAGTAAGTGTTTCCGCCAGACATCGGCGTCAAGAACGGCCTGTAGGGCCGGGGTATCATCTCCAGTGATCTCCTGCTCGACGTGCAGGATAGATATGTGGGTTGGAATGGCGACTTCACGCCGACTCAGGGCACGCAGAAGCGTGGATTTACCGATGCCGTTCTGACCGACCAGGCCGTACCTCCGTCCGTATGCCAGTGTCAATGACGTGTCAGTCAAAATGCGTTTCCCGCCGATGGACACATCGATCCCATCGACCTTGATGTCTTTGCTTTTTGACTGAGCATCGGCACCAAGTTGCAAAGGGTTGACTGCCATGAAAAACTCCTCATATGATTGGGTAGGATCGGGCTGGTTTAGCAGCCTTGATGCCTCATACTCGACATTTTTCATAACCTTCTTGTCCTGTTTCGCCCGAATCTTCCGCTCGGCCTTTTCAAGCTTCTTCCTGTCGACCTTTGATTCTACCTTGCGGGTGTTGGTAGCCTCGAGATCGACTCCTGCGTTCGCCAGACCTAGGGTAGACGATATATTACGCTGCGAGCTAACTTGGATGGTTTGCTCAAGTTTTTTGGCGGTGAACGGCATCTGGCGCCGCTCAGCATCAATGCCATTTGCCTCACTTAACCTCGCAATGAATCTTTCGACCAGATTGCGAATGACAGCCTCATTCTGTTCAGAAAAGTTCCCTGACGCAGACACAAGTAGAGAGGTTACAGTATCAAGAGCTTCAGCCAGTGGGGACTGGGCAGAGGGGTCATCTTCTGAGAAATAGAGTTTGGACGCATGATTCAGATATCCCTGAGAGCCTGGTCAGTAACACAATATGGGGTGAAACGAGGCTGAGCTTCGTGCTCCGCAAACTTACTACGGAGTATTCCGAAAGCACATGGTCGATGTTAGGGATTTGGGACTGGATCTCAGCTTCCATAATTGCAATAATGGGTCACCAAAAAGAAAGACCGAAAATTTTGTCAAGCAGACTGCTACCTTTGTCGATAGCGCCGATAAGAGCAGCAAGGGGCGGGGTTGTTTGCGCAATCTCAGGTGCACACAGACAGTCTCAAGAGTCGAGCTGCGCAGCACGTCAGCTGAAGGTGAATGTGACTGGATGTTTCGGGTTCTAAGGAGCTGGAATGCGACCGGGGATCAAAGGCAAGCCGTCTCGCGATGTGGTTGATGTGTAGCTAAAATTGCGAGGGATCGAGGGAGCCGAGAGGCGGGGCGCTGTGGCGTTGACGGACCCGTTGTCACGTCTTTCTATCCGCACTGTCTCTGGTTGTCGTCGTGGAGGGCCTTGAAAGCCAGAATTTCAGAATACGAAGCCAGGTGAACTGCCGGCTGGATTGCCAGACTAGCCAACGCCGGGGTGTTTACTGCAAACCCCTCGGGATGGTGCTTGGGGCCTTGTAGGATGATGGATCTTCTCCAAAGGTCTCAGCTTGGGCCGATGGGACAGGGACGATCATTACTTGAGGTGTAACGAAACTTCAAAGTGGTGAAAGACTTTCTCTGTATTGAGTACGCAACCGTCGAGATTGTTAAATCCGAAATTTCCGCCATCTTGGCAGTCTAAACCAAATATGACTTAGTTGCACCTCGCCATCTCTTCCACCAAGTACGAGTATTCGTCAGAGCGCAGTTTGAAAACTCATTGATTTTTTTCTTCCCTTTTTTCCATCACTGCAATAATGTCACTGCTTATCCTCGTAGTCCCTGTAGATACGCAATCGCTCACAGCTCTTTGAAGGGAGCTACACATCACACCCATCTCGATCCCACTATGGAGCTATTTTTTGGGTTTGTTGGAAAGAGCGGGGAACGTACAAGTGCCTAGCCAAAACCCCGAAAGCAAGACGGGCACCAACCATGTCACAAAAGAGAACAGTGCCCCACGAGCCGAAAAAAGACGCCCAGAGAAAGCCATTGGCACTCACACTGCAACAGGGAGTGCCTCGCTAAAATCACCAGCGTCTTGCAGTAGCGGAGAGCGTGCAGGACCAGCATTGACTACTACGATGTGGTGCCGTCCATGACACTTTCCGGGCAAGCCTGACTATGACAAACAAGACAGAAGCAACGAGCACAGCCTACTCCTCAACCAGAGAATGTCAATGCCAACGGGTGAACAGCCTCGGAGTCCGGGCTGCCAGGTAACGATAGCATATAGGGGATTTGAAAACAAGAAAGGACATCACCATCATCCAATATAAGAAAACCAGCCATCGGTCCTATGTACCTGGGTGCTTCCATCACCATCCGCGGAAGCCGATCATTCATTGGTAGGACGAAGGCGTTTCTTACTTTGCAGCTGACGGGCTCAGAAGCAGCGTTCCAGATTGTTGTCTTGCTCTAGAGCTGGCGAATCCCCTGTAAAGCGAGACCTTGCAGCAGAGGATCCCACAAACGTCGGACTTTCTCCTTGCATCTGAATCCGTATACTCGTACTTGTATGCATGAAACGACTGCTGTTGTGGGGGGTCTCTACTCGTACCCTGTCCGGACATGGGATATCAGATCATCACGCATGGACCATCTGTCATGCCCATCCCTTGCAAGCTCTGATGTCAAACGGACCTTTTGAGCATCGGCTTGTCGGTGCCCCCGCAACTTACCAGCCGTTGCTTTTTCTGAAAGCAGTTCTCCGGCTTGATTGCCCTCCTATGGTTGCTGGAAGCAGTTGCGGTACTATACAGTATGTGACGGTCTTGTTCGTATCCACGAGTTCCTCAAACCTTTCAATCACCAGCTGCTTCCAGTCACGTAACGCAGCTTGCAAGAAGAATACAAAACGAGAGCTTTCCTTCTTCTAGCCCCGCTAGCATTGTAGGATCGGCATCCCGACAGCGGCTGAGGCCCCCACCAGATTGGCCTTGCGAAAAGCTCTTGCAGAGGCATCACGTCGCCTCGTCCGGCAAAGGCCTCAATCAATACGAGGACTCCTTCAACCGCTGCTATAAGACGCGAACAGCAAATCAGCGGACGTTTCTTTCCAGAAACCCATTCCCCTTCTCTTACTCCAGCATTGGCTTGCACTGTCTGACAAGTGTCACGTCATCCGAGGCTGGTGTGTGGCAACACAACAGCACCTCAACATTCCACCAGTCAGTCGAACAATCACAGGTTTTGCAGGGAACAGCCACCCGGCTGGCTCCCCCAATTGTGTGTCATCAGGACTGTATTGGGCTAGACCGACTGGCACGCGACGCGAGATCTGACTTTGGGCGCATCAACACCCACATCTCGTCATCTGAAGCTCTAGCCTATCATGATGCTGAACGATTCCCTGTTATGAGGGAACCAGTTAGCGGGCCTCCACCCGGACGAGCCACGGTTCCCTGTTCGCTCGTAAACGAGAAGCAGGCCCTTCCATGTTTGTTTGGGAACCACTCGGCTGTCTGAATCTCAGACGAGCTCCTCCTGGTCTCCGCCCTGACCGCGCGATCGGCCTCATGTTCCCGAACAACAAACAAACGACATTTCCGTTCGGGGTCTGCAAACTTGTTTTTCGATTTGGCTTGTGGGCAGACTGTTGGTTTAGCCGCATGTGCCATGCGAGCGGTGACTGTGATGGTGTTGGGTCAAGTGTGTGTGGCCAGTAAGTCGTCCGGGATGGCATATCAAGCCCACTGAATCCGCATTGATACATTCTCATCCGATTGACCAGCCATTTACGTACATCCTGGTCTTGGGCTTCCAGTTTTATCATCGCGTTTCATGCTCTGGGAGGTCGCTAACGCACTTGACCCTGGCCGACTCGCTTGGTCGGCCTGTTGCTTGCTTGCTTTAGTGCCTTTCCCACACGCTCACGCGTCCAGCTGGGCCGTCTTTTCAGCTTCCCAAAGCTTGCTTCCTTGACCGACATCCAGCCTTTTTACGTCGTCTTTCTCCATTCATGGAGACACAAAGACGGCTGGGCGCGCTAACAATGTTGCACCTAGAGGTCCTGATTGTTTTTCCAGCTCCCAACAAAGTTTTCCTAAACCGCAAGAGACATCCCGGCTCAATTGGCTAGGATGCTGGCTTGTTACTCAACGGGTCGCCTTTCCGCCAAAAAGGGCAGTTCAATCAACTTACCAGGCCACAAAGTTTCAGGGTCCTTTACCAACCCTGGACCGTTGCTGGATCAGGGATATGCTATCTGCCCGAGGACCACCTAGCAGAGTTCTACCTATGCTGCGGGCAAACGGGGGCAAACGGGGGCAAACAGAGACCAGAGCGTTCTCTTTTTGTGCCGATATCAAAACCCGGTATGAAGGTGCTGTGACATGCACGGACTCTATTTCCATTGCTCCTGTTGCGAGGTTTTCATTTCAAACGCTCAACGGCATCGTCCCGTACCTTGGTCGTTCGTAAGTCCCCGAGTCGCTGTGGACTCGCACGACTCGATATTGTGGAAATAGTGACAGGTTCTGCCTTGGTTCGAAAGAATGGCATCAATGCCACCGTCAACCTGCGTCTGCCTCAAATAGGAGAAGATTCTGGCCCCGACTACTGCTATGTAGGTAGATACTGGCTTCCACAACACCCATCCCACCCAGAACTGTTCAAAGAAGACGATCGTAGCACCACATCTCGTTGAGCGGCGGTTGAGCGACGACACCGCTTCATCATGTAGCAATGTGGTTACAGTGTCTGTAGCTGGCCGCGGAATGATTTGTGAGCAAAAAGGATGCGGTGGTGGTACCAGCCGTAGAGTCGCTCTAGCCCTTGAGTTTGACGCACCGGGAGCGCCCAGGGCCGTTTAGACGCCAATGAGGTCGTGTGTGGGTGGTTTGAGAGGATTCTGTTGCCCTGTGCACTTGTCAGTGCTCCAGACCTCCCTCTACGGTACCGGCAGGGGATTTTCGCCCCCCTTGGAAGAAGCATCGACTGCTTCAAGGCCTTCTGACGGCGTCCTCAGAAGTGTGAACTTTGGGGAGGTTGCCGTTGACATGGACAGCTTGGATAACCCATTCTCCTCCGATCCCGTAGGTCGAGAGAAGGGACGGCGGTGGAAAAGAGGGTCACCTTGTCTGACGGTGGTGATACTTCAATACATACAGAAGTCAATTCCGAGACTACGACAGCGTTGTTGGTCGGGCGGGGTGATGGGCCACTGAGAGATCAACATGCTAGTTAAAAACCAGCCCACACAGGCCAAGGCAACCGCCCCAGCCTTACCTATGGGGCCTGCCGGTTATTACCTACCTATAACGCCAGTGAACGCCCTCGCACGCCTGGAAAGTCCTTGCGCGCCCCTCCACCAACTAAAAACTACTGGCTTACCAGCTGGGATTCCTCAAATCCTCCTCTCCCTCAACCGCACCTCGTCTTTGCACACCTCCCTCCCATCAAGGCTCATTCTTCGTTACCTCGTCTCTTTTCCTTTGTGCTTTGGTTCGTGTCTTGCGTATCTTGTGTCTATGCTACTGCTCCTCTGAGACTTAATCCACAGGGATCAACCCTCCCTTCTCATCCTGACCCGGCCCATTCCAAACCAGTCGCGCGTGTCCTCGCCCAATTTCCTGGCCCGCGTATATCGAGACCCATATCCCTTGCGTCCACACGTCTTCTAGAAACAGCCAACGAATCCACGGCCGCTCTCCCTCTCAGAACTCTCTTCGTCCTTCTACTCCTGCTGCTGATGGTCAACCCGCCATGAGGACGGAGAAACCCATCGACCTCCAGAGTGTCTGGGTTGTGGTGCCCCGAGGGCAATGGGCCTGTCAAGCATGATGGAATCGAGACAAGAGCACGTTGCTACGGTAGGGAGACTTCATTGATTAACAACATCCCCCGCTGCCTCTCACATGCTGACACTCTATCTGCAGCTCTGTGCTGTCGGCACACTTGGTGTAGCCGCGGCGGGACTGGCGCTTGGTACATCCGAAGGGGATTCATACTTGATTAAGCCGGGCAAGAGGAAGGCTCCCGGTTCTAATGCTGCCA